TGTAACGGAGTACTCCGTAGCTTAGCCGTAGAGTAAACTTAGAATGGTCGCGGCTCCGCCGCGACTGAGAAATCACAATGTTGACGCGCCCGTTGGGCGCCATATGGTCAAACCTTGCGTGCTTACCTCTACTCCCCGGGCGCCTGATATCTGAGATATGATTATCTCTGATATCTATGGCGTCTCGACTATAAAAACTCGATTGCACGCCTGTATCTACATTCATTCTTGCTATACTACCGGATCCTGCTCTGTTGCCTGCGAGGCGCGTCGTGACACCGCCACCGCCCGCCTCGCCCCCTTACGCTTAACTTACAGGTCAGGTGCTCATCTTCCATGTATTTGCATGTATCCTGTACGTCAGCTTCCCTCTGTCGGTTGTCTGCGTGCTCCGATTGATACATGGATGCCAGCATATCAATGTGTCGGTCTAACGATTTCTCCGGCATTGACATGGGAAGAGGGTTGTCTCTGCTCGACCGATTTGGCCGATTGCGCTCATCACTATCATCAGGCTCTACTCTGGAACATATGCGGAGGTGATTATGTAAATCGAAAGTTCCTAAAACATGGGCCAGCACCACGAACAGCGGCAAAGTAACCGTCTAACCAGAGTCCCTCTTCATGTGAACATGTCTCTGCTATCTCTGATTCGCCTACATCTTATTGAATTGACTATTTCCAGAACTACGCGACGCTGCTGAACATTGCAGCTCGGTCAAACCATACAAAACCTCACTATAGCTCGCCATGGCAAGTTGCGATTTGACCCTACCGAATTTTGCTCAGCTGACGTTGGCGTTTATCAGGGTACCTTACGTCTAAGGAGCATCTTTGCCGACGAGGAAATCAAATCTTTCGTGAGCAAATACTCCAACGGGAGCGACGAGTAGTATGAGCTCCTCGGATACTTCGACAAGCGCAAATCTTTGTGGTCGCGCAGCGGCTGGGAGGTTGTTGTCTTCGCGAACCAGTCTGGGTCGCAGCGCAAGGATGTTTACCTTGAAATCGGTTCCAAGAAAATCGACATCACGTTCAAGGGGTTCGACCATGAACTCGAGATCGTCTACCACTGATCAAGAAGTGGTGTTAGGGACAAGCGGCTTGATTGCCCATGCAGTCGAATGTATAATGTACAAGAGATACTTTATGCGATTTGCTGTCCGTGCCCGTCGCCTTCGTCGTATGATGACGTTGGTCAATCTATTTTACAGTTGCGTACTGCTGCAGTTAAGGCATGACAACACTCTGTTCGCACAAGAGATCGCTCGAGCTCTAAAGGGTAAGCCTAGCTTCGATGCCAATCTTTTACTGGCTCTTGAAAGCCGCCGAAGCCTGGTCCCCGGCTATACGACCAAAGACAACACACTCCAACAAGCTAGACCCGCCCAACCTGTTCTCCCCATGAACACCACCTGTAACCTCCCCGGCTGCCCATAGGCCTGGGATGGCCTTCCCTTCCGCATCCAGAACCTCGCTCCTCTCGTTGATCACCACCCCTCCCATAGTGAAATGCACCACGGGCGTCACATTTCCCACATAAACCAAAGTTTCCGGCTCCACCTTCTTCAAAGCCCAATGCCCGAATGCCTTACGCCCAAACCTATCTTCTGTGTGGCCAGCAGCTGCATCCGCGTACTCTTGCAGCGCCGGCAACACACCTTCACCTAGCTCAGCCACGGTCGTCTTCCGCATCAAGCCCTTCCACATATAGAACCCGAGATGCGTTTCCGCCGCCTTGAAGGTTCCTTCATCCAGCACGATAAGCACGTCCCACTGCTTGATATCCCCTTTTAGGGGTTCGTGCTTGGTAATCGCATCCGTGATGTGTGCCCGAGTCTCCATCTCGTTTACGAACCTCTTGCCTTCCATCAGTAGCACTCCACCCTCCCCTCTCAGCACTTCCGCCGCCAAGATTTTAGCCAGCGACTGCGGCTCCTTCGGATCGACAAATCCAGTGGGATGCACCTGCACCTGCTCCATATCCAGGAGCTGGGCGCCCACGGCCGTGAGCAGATCCTGGGTGCCCTCGCGTGGGTCGCTCGTTGACGGGTAACCCGCGAGGTCAGGCCTATACTTGGCCAGCAGCCCGTTTGCATCGCCCGCGAACCCGCCCGTCGCGAACACCAGCGGCCCATGCAGCTCCTTCGTCTCGCCGTCTTGCGTGTACTCGACGCCCGTGACCTTCTCGCCGCTCTTCAGCACCCGCGTCACGCGGGCCGCGGTCTCAAGCTGAAACAGCGGGCTCTCCTTCAACTGCTTCAGCAGCGTCATGACGATGCTTGCGCCGACGGTAGATTTCTCCGGGCGATGAGTGCGCGGGACGCTATGGCCACCCAGCTGGGCGACCTTGCTCAGATCGACACCCTTCTCGTCGTGTAGCCAGTAGATGGCGCTAGCCGATTGCTCCGTGAGCGTCGATACGAGTTTCTGACGCTGTTCGCGAGCGATCGAGAACACGGATCCAGCGGAGCGGACGGTGTCGTCGTAGAACGTGGTGTCCGGGACCGTTTGGAAGCGCGTCGGGGCGCCATTGATGCCAGATGATGCCTTGATGGAGTTTCCTCCTGGCTTCTGAGCGCGATCGAGCAGGTGGACGGGGACGCCATGGGAGATGAGTTGGGAGGCGGCTGAAAGGCCGGCGAGGCCGGAGCCGACCACGATGGCGCCTTGCGCGATGGAGGTTGACGTTGCGAACTTGGTTGCTGTGGTCGCCATAAGGGTCTTGTAGAGGTACGCGATGATAGGGACCACGAGGGAGAGAGCGAGATGCTGGAGGACAGTGCGGCGATTCATTGGCGGGTAACGCACTTGCTCCTTGATATTCTCTCCGGGCAGTCCATGGAGTGTGAATCTCGCAGTCGTTCCATATTGTTCTAGGCGCGACGCTGCTTGCTAAACATTGGGTTATGTTGTTCAAAGCCTGAGGCCTGAGGTCCTTGCACCGCCTAGACTCGAGGTCCAGTCTCACAAGGGGCACAATCCCGGCCTGCGCCGTGAGATGCTGGAGTCCAAGGAGGTGGTATACGGCCGGAACAGGCGCACGCAGACAACAACCCTTACCTTATGGGCAGCCGGGGAAGGAACGCGTCCAGAGAAGTAAACATATATGAAGACTGTGGCGTGCAAGCGTTGACTCGGATACAAACATGATTGAATCCGAAGACCCCAGTTGAGGTTCTCCCAATTAGATATGGGTGGCGAAGAGTTGACCATGTGTTGTGATGCACATGCCGCATCTTCGAAGGCGGACGGAAGGGAGCAACGAGAAAAGTTGAATTCACGGTGAAGACAAAGCAATAAGGATACATTCAGGAAATCGCGTTTCCTCGGAGCGCTCGACGCCCTCGAACGTCCGAATTCATGAAGCCAAACGGTGGTGCGTAACTCAATATGAAAGAGTCCCGGTACTATGTATGTAAATCTACCCGGAGCTGCTGACATTGTCTATAGCGAAGTGTATATAGGTAATCCAATCAGCGTGATCAATGTTAATTGACAGAGAAGAGTCCATGCCAACGCAGGCATCTGCAATCGAGATGCAGCGGATTTGCTGTGGACGTTGGGACATAAGCACGAGCTAGCGCAGGAGGATAGAATAAAGGAGCGGACTCACCTCCCCGCGGGGGCGGCGGTGATCTTGACAGTGAGAACCGCGACCAGACCGTCGCACGCGTTGATCCCGTTGCCGCCGACAGTCAGGTTGTGGTTGATGCCGATGCTCGTGTTCTGGAGCAGACCCGAGACGTACGACACGTCCGTCTTGTAGCTGTACCCGTTGTATGAGGTCGAACCGGAGTAGGTGGAGGAGTTGGTCAGATTAAGGGTTGGAATGGATTGCCCGCCTGTGGCATTGCCTACGAGCCAATCACTGGAGAAGCCGGGTTGAGGCCAAGAAGGTACGAGAGGACGAAAGGAAGTGTGGGACATACCGACCGAGGTTGTACCCATTGAAGATGATGTCATGGTCGTCTGGTTCCGCGGTGAGCAAGGGACGGCAGACTGCTCTTGAGGGCAGGGATACGTACCTGATATAGGCTTCTCGTATGAAACGCCTAAGAACACAGCATTGCTCTTCGCGCTTTTGCCGTTCTGTACCCAGTATCGGAAGTGATTGCCTCCTTTGATAGTTTCCTGACATGTGCCCAAAGCGGGGTCACCATAGTCCCAACGTATGACCGCCGTCTCGTTTACTGTCAAGCTATATGAGCGCATGCCGGGTCATAACATGCCACAGGGACGTACGATAACCGTTCCCGTCTCCAAGGTTCGCGGCCTGGTCGGAGCCAGAGTGTTGTCCGAGACACTCGGAAGAAAAGCCTAACGATCTGCAGAAGCCGAAACGACTTAGGGATTGCCTAACTGTTAGGGAGTGTGTGGTGCGCACGTGAAGTAGTTCCGTAGGCCACCACTGGTGGATTGGTCAACAAGGACGGCCTTGTCCGAATTAGCGGATATGATAGCGTTAAGAGGTTCGCCTTGGCCGGCAGGGAAGGTATTGGAAACTTGCTGTAGCGCGGACCTCCGTGTCAGACAACGCTCGGAGGATGCGGCTTGCATGCGTCAACATACCGTGAGCATAGCGCCTCCGTTGCTTAATGGATTGTAGAATCCGTCGGAGGGAATGGCACGTCGGTTAAGAGGGTGCCTTGGGCTGTACGGTGCTCCACGAGCTTGCGGTTGTTCGAGGGCGAACGAGAGAGAGGGTATAGTCAAGAGCACGTAAAATATCGTTCGTAGATCCATAGCTGATGTTCAAACTGTCATGCGGAAAGACCGTGTAGGGAGGAGGAGGGTGGCCGAAGGGAGACGGAGGAAGAGATGTTGGACGAGAAGCTCTGCAGCCGCCGCCGACTCCGGAGATGTCAGGCTTTTGCCACGCCGATCGCGGTGTACACTCTGCTGGAGAACAATGACGAAATTGTATGCTGGATGTACAGTTGAACAGCTTTTGCAGTCAAGCACTCGGGATACGGGATGTGTGTATGGTAGTACGACTGTGAACAATACCGAGCAACTACTCTCACACATACATCACACAGAAATACAATGTGAGGGGCGCCTCCCAAAGAATGCGGACATCGAAGTATGGAAATTTCCATCCTGTCTCGAGGATAGCAACAGGCAACCTCTTCCACGCCTACTCTGAGATCTCAATGTCTCCGTACGGCTTTGCCCTGAAGTAGCTCTCGTCGAAGTGGTGGACGCGAACGAAGCCGTCTTCCCCACCAGACGCGAACATCTCGCCACGAGGGTGTACGGCGATACTATATGGAACACAGAGAAGCACACGGTCAGAAAACGCTTTCGAAGTACTTCGAAGAACGTACGTGTTCAGCGGTCCGAAGTGGCCCTTCACTCGGCCAACCTCTTCCTCGAATACCTTATGCCAAAACCGGGCCTCAAACTTACCCTGGCGCGCGGAGGTGGTCGTGACGTTCATCGCCTCCTGACCACCACCAAGGATGACCTGTGCAATTGAATTGGTTCAGGCATGTGTGCCAGAGTGACAAGCTGAGTAATACGCACATAGGGCTTTTTTGGCGTGATGGAAGCACTGTTCAGCGGGGTCTCTGTGGTGTATGTCTTCAACACTGTCAAGGACTTTGTCTCGTGTATCTGCGTACGGGGTGTTAGTGATGTCTCCGCTTTCAGAAGGACTAGCCAAGACATACCCTCGCTGACTTGTCCTTGCTGCTGGTAATGAAATACGTCCGATCGGGGCTCATCTGCAAGTCCGTCACGACATCTCCGTGCGCACGCTCGTTGCTGTTGATCTCATCGCCAGTCTTCATGTCGAACAACGCGACTTTTCCTGACTCATGCCCAGTAACGATGATTCCTGGAACGTAACTGAAGGCGCAAACAGTCGCCTTCGAGCCGATGGGGTTGAACATGTGTACGGGCTCTTTGCTCTCTGATTTATGGATAGCGAAGTGGTCCGTTAGCTCTTGTTCGTTGGCACCAATGTGATACAGCGCACGTTTTGTCCCGTCCCCGGTCCTGTTAATGTTGAACACACGGATGGCACCCTGGTAGCCCATCCGTTGTTCCGTGATGCAGACGACCTGATCGTCATCCTCGTTGAACGCCACCCTCTTCACCGCAGTCGGGAACTCCCACTTGTAGAGACACTTGCCCGTCGAGACCTCCCACAGTCGCATCTCGTTGTCGGCAGAGCCTGATACCAAGAATCTTGAGGAAGCTGCGAAACGCAACATGCATCGCGACTTGAGCCAATGGCAAGAATCGACAAAAAGGATTCTACGCACAATCGACATCCACAGTCCATACTGTGCCGTTATGCCCATCGTACGTCCCTAACCGCTCGCCGTTGTGCGTAAACCAGACGTTGATAACATGGTCTTTTGAGCAGGAGAAAAGAAGGTCGCCTTCTGCGTTGAACTTGATCTGGGTCAGCGACCGTTCGTGCCCTAACAGAGAGACGGAAAATCAGCTTGCTTCGAGAGGGTCCAGTTAGCAGGCACCGACCTTGCAGTAATATAGGTCTCTAGAACTTGATCAAGCAGCTGTAACAGACTTAATCGGACAACGACGAACCATGGTGTGCTACGTGGAGGTCCTGGATGACACGGTGTGCGGAGACTCGAGAGGACCTATGGATGAGCCCAAGGAAACTTTGGGTCCGGAGATGATCTGAGTCGTACACCCAAATTAGGGTTCAAGTTGACTCTATGCTCGTACGTCCGATCTCAGACTACGTCGTTACGCACCTCTACTTCCGTCCCAACGGAGTAAATCGGTGAGGGCACATTCCCGGACTCTACTATCCTGTGCTCTCCAGGACTTGGACCGATACTATCCGACGTTACACACAAGCCGACATCCGATGTCATGCATTGTATTCGCTGCCGCCCTCGGACCTCCGCCCATCCGATTTGACGCGAATCTATGGTCGTCGTCCTATGGGGTACCACAGAGCTATATAGCTCGGTGCTCAAATCTCACAGATGCTGTACATGTTCGTCGACGGCATGCCATGGCATGGCGCTGACGCGGTGCGGCTCGTCCAGCGGGCCTTCCGTTGCCAATCAGATCGCGAGAAGGCGCCGACGCCAATGGCTACATGAGATGGGTTCGCCTCGTGTAGCCCCCAGTGACAGCCTTTATATGCACGAATAGATTGGATGCTGCGGCATTCTCATCACTCGCTGCATACTATGTTCGCCCCCAGGTTCATACTCAACGTATCGCTGAGGAAGGGATATGCTGGCCTTGCGGCAACCGCTAGCCACCGCAGTCGCCTCTGGGTCTCCGGAACGGCAGGAGATTCGCACGGCACATATATGCGGGGTAGGTGAAGTACTGGTGGATCCTGCTCCTCCGACCTAATCACTCCCCTAGGTCATTACAATGATATGTCGCTGACGGCAGCCGTCGTCCGCAGACATCGACTTGTCTTGAAGCAGTTGATTGGTTCAGAGTCAGAGCTGAACGGATTGGCTGTTATACATTCCGCAAGATGGTTGGCGTCGTTGATGCAGTAAGTGCCAACAATCTATGCCATGTATTTTTGGCTCATTTGATGCTCTATGCTCAGGCCAGCCACAATAGATGATACTGTATCGGACATGAGGTCATCGTTGACTGACGTTGTCACCGTGAGACCATCCGAGACGTTGTTCGTGTTCATCATACGGCTGTCAGACGCTCATTACTTGATATCACGCAATGGGCTGGGCGACCTGGCCGATTTGCAACCGATGGCACGTCCGGAGCGACCAACAGCGGGTGTCAAAACACGACCCTTACGGCCCAGGTGAAGGGCTACGACGGGCCTAGTTATGCGCGTGTCCATGGCAGGACTGTCTCGTTGATGCGGAACACTATCACACTGAATGAGATGACATTGTAGCATAGGTGGCGCAATTTGTATTGATCACTATAAGTTGGCTTGGAATTGTATATGGCCAGCTGTCGTATATGTACAATTTTCAGGATTCCTTCTCGTCGTCTGCAATGGTCGGCTTGAACCTGAACCTGTGCTCGGTGCTGTATTTGACAGGATTTGGCTGTTTGAACACCTCTTCAATCTCTTCAAGAGTAAAGCCCTTCGTCTCTACCACGGTGAAATAGATGACGATAACTTCAAATAGGTCCCAGAACACGAAGATGAGGTAGACTATTGTGTGTCAATTGTATCAGTCATATATATCAGTGAGAGGTAAGTGTGCCTCGCACCTTTCCAACCGATCTTTTGTAGTGCGACCGGTAAACTAGTCTCCATGATAAAACACGCATGCTGAGGAAGCAGACGAAAACATACCCAAAGGTATTAATGCAGGATGATCCTTGCGTGATTATGTTGAGAAAGCCTAGTCCCTTGGCTCGAGATTCGTAGCTGAGGACCTCCATGGGGTACAGTGCTTGCCTGTTGGAATTTTCAGTTAAGCACTAAGCGGCATGACAACAATGCATACATCGCGGTCCATCCAAAGGAAAAGACTACCCCAAAGAGGAATATAAATGCCACACCAGCGTTAGAGCGAGCTGCGTTTCCTGTCTCGCTGAGCAGTCCGCTAACAATCGCCAGGATAATGGTGATGCCGGCGGTTCCAATGAGCAGTGTTCTACGTCGACCGATACGGTCAACGAGAGCCGAGCCCTAGGTAACATGTTGTTCAAGACAAACAACTTGGTTACATTTGATGCAACTCACAGTTAAAGCGCCCATGTAAGAAGTGATGGAATTCACTGGGATCGTCGTCAGTACTGCGTGCATGGGTTTTACAAAGGTACAAGCACAAACCGAAATTGAGAGTCAGTTGCTTGTTTTGACTCTTGATACCAGCGTCCTTCAGAAGCACAGGCAGGAAATAGGTGATGAGACCATTTCCTGAGAGTTGGCCAAAAGCGCCTGATATGCAGATCAATACATGAAGGAGCCTGCGAGACGATAGAAAAATGAGTGCGTGCCGATGATGATGACCAATAGTGTACGGTAACGGTCTGTAGCGGTTCGGAAGAGAGGACGGAAGTCCCACCAGCGTTCTGAAGATGCCGCCATCAGATCATTCAATCGCAGATACAAAAGCAGAGTGTCGTACTGTCGCTACCATCCAAAGCAACCTTCTCCTCAATTTCTTCCATTTCCAGGTCAATCAAAGGCGAGTTCACGTTTCCGGTCTGGGAATGAAGCTTGGCGAGTATTTGCCTGGCCTCGTCTTTGCGTCCTACGCTGTAGAGCCATCGGGGACTGCGCGTGCATACCAAAAAATATCGGGATGTGTTATAATGACATTGATTCTAGTGAGGAAGAGAGAGAAGACTGACGATTCAGGGCATGTGAATACAAGCAGGACGTTCAGGGCAGCGGGAACGAGCTATACAGGAAGAGCTCGGAAATCTATTCGAGGTTTGAACGGGACACTTCGCACCTGTACGAAGATAGGAAGGCGCCACGACCAGTTGTTGTTATAGCGTCCCGTGGAAACCATCATCCCGCTGGCCGTGATCTGGCCAACGAAGTAGCTTTGAAAGTGTCAAACGGGTTGCTATCGTATGAATAGACTAATCACCGTACAAAGAGTTCAACAGTCCCATGAACAGACCACGGTGTTGCGGTGGGGTAAGCTCTCCGAGGAATGACTTGGCCGATGCACCCGCAGTTCCGGAACCAAGACCTGAGTAGGACTTCAGCAAGTGTATCCTATGAAGGTAATACGGTTCGACCTGTCAGATATCTGCCTCCAATGAAAGTTGCGCGATTCTTGGCAGTAGCAGTCACACACGCGCCAATGACGATCATGAGGTTGCCACAGAACATCGAGACCCGCCTGCCGAACATGTCAGGTAGTATAGCTGTGATGTGGAATAGGTGAGAGTATTATTAATCCCGGACCCTGTACATACTGACAAGCAGGTATAGTCGCGCTGGAATGATGTAAACATGCAGGCAGTCAATAATCCTATTGTGATCACTCACGAGAGCGAGCCACTATAGCAAGTAGAGGCATGCCCATGAGCCTGAAATCGAGAGCCTTGGGCGATGTACGCACATGGTGTAGACGCCAAAAACGATGCTGAGATATGTCAGACAGATTCGATTTCGAATACGCGGATCATTCACCTAGTCTTAGCCCCAGCGGATGACATGTCGAAGTACGTTTGGTACTGTTTCATGCTGTTGATGCCTCCCATGACCTGAGGCGCGCTACGTCTTAAGATAATGTAACACAAACGATACTCAATGCTCACCGTTCCGTCGAACCCACTGTCACCAGAGCAAAAACAGGCGACGAGGATGATGAGGTACATCTTCAGCCCAGGAAATCAATATCGAACCCCATGCCAAGTCAAAAGGATATCACCTGGAATGCACGCCGTGACCAATTGTCAACGCCGGGATCTACAGCAAGAGCAGCAGTCAACGCGGCCTGCTTTTCTTCTGGCGTGCGTCTGCGATGTTTCTTGTCTTCAACGTGCTCTAACACTTCGTTATCCTTGACATCGAAGTCCTGATCGGAGATGCGAGTATCGTCTTGGGTCGACATGGCAGAACAGGGGGCAAGGGCTCAAACCAAAAGTGATCGAGCACGAAAGTAGTAGATAACGTCCTCCCTGGGCGTATGCTGGAGTATCGGAGGATGGCGAATCATGCAGAAGCATTGCCAAGACAGGGATACGACAACACGTGAAGGCTTATTTGAATTCGTCGTATATAGTCGTACTGAATATGACCGAGGTATCAGCGCCTTCGTCCAGAAGCAGCCACTTCATGACGAGATGCTCTCACCCTGATGGCAATGTCTGCCGTAGGCCTGTGTCGGTATCTAATCCTGACTCCTGCAGGTAGGCAAACGGAGCGTTCAGCAATGGAGCTGGCCCGTGTCCCTGCATGTTCATTTGCAATTTGGGATAAGAAATCCCACCCACAGGGACAACTTCATGTACGCTCCGGTACGAGAGATTCTTGATACGTGCGGGTCAAGGGTGAACGTCCCGAAGGCGTTGCCAATCCGGGCGACCTCGTGACCAGGTATCTTCAGAGAAGATAGCGAGCCATGAAGCGTTGAAGGCTGCCGTCCATTCGTCAATCCCTCTGAAATGTGCTGTGTTACCAGACCTATTACCCAGCGCACAAGTGACAGCAATTCTTCATCAGTGATAATAGCAGAACCGAAGACTCCGCGGCTGACGCACGGTTATCTGGAGTATATCAGTATCTCGAGTGGAGCGTCAGGAGCAATAAGGTTCACGGTTGTTTCTCCGTCGACCAAGAAGTTCGCAGCAACATCAAGTCCGATACCGGCGCCATGCAGACGAAGCTGGTTGAGCAACGCTACCATATACATACATCCCACCCGCCAGCCTTGGAGCCAGAAGCTGTGGATCGGGGACGAGGTATGCTTGTGGAAGGTCCGCAGCCGTGAAGACGAGCGAGTCGTCTGTTACGGTGCGGTGTTTCAGCACCAGGCACTGCGTTGCGGGCGTAACCCGAAAAAGTGCGATAACCGAATATGCCCCCACTTCGTGAGTTGTCCTGTTGAATGTCATCGATGAGAGGCGAATGGAGTATGTCAATGATCCTGACCACCTGATTACTGAAGTACCACATGGCGCAAAGCATTTATCTTGGCCAAGGAGACATATCGCATGAACCGTCCGTACCTGCGAACAGGTGAGTCTCGCGTGTGCAGTAAAACACGAAAGTATAGAGCGTATCAGCTATGCGTACGAACCCATTTAGCTGCAAGATATTCGAGCAATCAGAGGCCGGTAGCAGGATGCTCTCTAAGAGGTCTAGTTCGGGCATAGTTTGGATGTCGACTTCCAGACTTCTGAGCCGAGAAACATGAGGATACGAGGTTACCCGGCCAAGGAGCAAAAATCGAGCGACTTCAGCACAGGTGTAGTATCTCAGGTTCTTCCAAAATGATACCGCCATCCCTGTGGAAGAATGGCATCCTCAGTCTTCCATGTTGTTGAGCTTCCGATGCTGGGCAGCCGCGACGTAGCGAGCAGAACCCGTCGTTGGACCGGAACGTGCAACCATTGAGCCACAAATCTACGCGGCAGTCTCCATTGTTGATCATCACACAAGAGAAGAAGAGCTTATGACTGGTAGGTAGGTAGGTAGGTAGATTGCTGACGAGGTCCCGGTAGCGGAACAGCCGGTTGCTGCGCTGCACGTACGCCACTCGTGCAGTCGACAGCGTGCCAAGCAGCTCGACGGTTTTCGTGAGCTGATGAGGCCGACCGCACCGTCTCACCACCGGCACCAAAAAATCCTAGGTACATGTGTACATACAGTGCTATGTAATGTATTGTATAAGCTCAAGCTTAAGCAAGACAGGTACTATGGATGCACCATAAATGCAATAGTGTACCATCAATGCAATCGGTCTGAAATCTCGTCACTGCGGGGCTCCCTCTCATCCTAATCCCTACATATTAAATTGAGTGCATATACAGTACTATCTAATGATATGTTCCAAAGGAACAGAGCGAAGCATTAGGGGATGGGCCTCCAGAAAATGCGCAACGTCGTTTGGGGAACCATCCAAGCATGCTCTAGCATGAAGACACGGCTCGGCTCAAGGGATCTGAGCTGATAAAAATCTGAATATATTCAAGTATACTCTATACTATACAGAAGGTACGTCTGTCAATCCCGATACGTGATATCTGCAACTTTGTGCTTGCTATGCAAGGATTACTGGCGGAGGTGCCATGAATGCAATTGAAGCTCCGCTTCAAATGCTGACAAAGCAGGGTCAGATTGCAGGATCTCCCCGCCAGAAGGTCGCGGCCTCGGCTTCTCGGCCTTGGGGGACCCGTTGTGCAATCTGCAGAGTCATCGACACGTCCTACCGGCATCGCTCTGGCAAGGCATCCCGCGTAGGAAAATATTTGAGGTTTGACATACAGCTGCTACATGGTTTTGGCTACCATATGATCTAGCTTCTGGGTGGATTGGCAATGAAATGACGATTTTGAACCATCAATGCAATCGAAATTGCATTGATGGTACATCCATAGTAGTAGACCGGTGCAGACAAGCCAGACTTCGCGAGGCCTCAATTGGAATCCCTCTACTCCCAATACGGCAAGCCCCCCTTTCTAAGATGTGAAGCTTGCCCACTCACGGCGACTGTGACGGCCCGGCCGGTTCAGGTCCTTAGGAGCCTGCTGGCAAACACCCAAATATATGCACCTTGTTGGACTCCCCGTGCCATCTCAGTCATGATCGCAAAGAAAGAAAAACTTGATCCCTCCCGACCGTACCGGCGCGTCATCAGCTGATAGGTCCGAGTGACAACCTGGCGGCCCGCCGTCTGCCTTCGACCACCGTATATACGATCCTACAATATGAAGGTGCCGCTGGTTCATCGCAATATTCCTGTCCTCGAGCGCAGGGGAAAGAATGCTCGACTTCATCTGGATGTTATGCACGCTTGCAGCGTTTCCTAGCGTTGTCAATGGTGGCCAATTCAAGAAGCCGTCATTTCGCTGGTCGGACATAGAATACGTCTACGCGTTCGGAGACTCTTACACGTTCGTGCAAGGCACTCTGGGACATGCCAATTTTAGGTACGGCGACAAACCATCAGGCTTACAGCTGCGGAGTATGTTAACCGTTTCTAGCTTCATAGGCGACGCGTTCAACCTGCCGTTCACCCCGAAGCAACTCTTGTCGAATCAAATCATCCCCAAGAACGTAAGATCACACATGTGAGGAACTGTTCTTCATGCACACTAAACCGGATTGGACGTATAGACGAGTTCCGATGGTTCGAATTGGGTGAATAACTCGATACTCACCCGCATGGACGGATTTTCTAAACCACCGCATTCACAGATCGAGTTCCTGACTGGCTGTCTCGGTGGTCACCCGTCATCCTGCCGGAGGCAGCTATGGGACTTCGCCTTCGCCGGTTCTGACATTGACGCGAATCTGTACGTCCTCGCGATACTACCTTAGTAACATTCCTTTCTGACGTCCTGCAAGGCTGCCTCTGCACCACAACTTCACGGTTCCCCTCGTGGACCAAGTGAAGCAATTCGTCACCTACGCCAAGGACGTCATTCCCCATCCGGCCAAAAAGACGCTCACTGCTTGGTGGATTGGCATCAACGACACCGGGGATAGCTCCAACAATGCCAGTGTGGGTCCTCTTTGATAAATTTCCGCGACACCCGGTCACATCTGTAATTCCACAGATTACTGACTGGAACGCGTTCTGGGACGCAGAGATGACGTCCTACTTCAACGCCGTGGTGAGCCCATCTCAGGAGTACCTTACTATTGCCGGATGCTTAGAAGTTCCGTTTGGTAGCAATCCGCCTTTGACAACGGCCTCCGAGGCGCGCATTTGTTCATCAATGTTCCACCTGAAGAACGCAACCCCGCGTCCCTCGGCAAGAACAACACGGCGTACACTGCTCACATTCAACAATACAACTCCCTTCTGGCAGACTACGTGGCCAACTTCGCGAAGAAAAATCCGTCTGACAATGTCCTCACGTTCGACGCGCATACTTGGTTTAACAAGATCCTCGATGACGCGTCCGCATACGGGTTTACTAACACTACAGGGTCAGCATCCTTCCTTCCCGACGAATCTCTGTGCTGATCATTCAACTTGCGCAGATTTTGCGAGTGCAAGGACTCGTCGTACTTCTGGTGCGTATCATACTTCACTAACAGGTAATTGACGAATATTCACCATGACCCAGGTTCAACACCGGACATCCCACCGAACACGTCCATCGCCTACTCGCCCAAGCAATTGAGCAGCACCTTGAGGCGGCCTCCATAAAACGCACTAGTCTATCCGTGTAAAATAGAACGCATTGCTCCCCATTGACAGGCAACCGTAATGCGTACATGATATAGGATGAATATATTCATTGCAGTACGCATGAGCATTCTACGGGATGGATATCAGCGTGCATACCGGAACATGCCACCAGGCATGGGCCTTCTCTCCTTATTCTTCCACTCAATAAGATTATCAAGCTTGAAATATCTCTGTGGTTCTGAGGCACTTACATGAGCGTCCGGTATAATACTGTGCCGTAGTGGATGGGATCTGGACAACCGTGAGGCCGAGAGGGATTCTGGGCATACACTGTTCGATGCCACTAGGGAACTAGACCTCAGACGATCTATTTGCATTTGGAACATGGACATAACACGGCGCGATCTGATCAGACGATATTTCATTGAATTACTTGCCCAGACCGCCGGCTTCTCCGGCCACCCTGCTGCCCATGATCATGTGCGAGTCGGAGCACCGAGTGCCAGAGTGACTGCCTCGAGGTAGCGGAAGTCGTGATCACTTTCATCAGTGATAGCCTCGAACCCATCCTCGGTCCAATGGAGACCATTCTCCAAGAACAGTCCAAGAAGCCTCGCAACCTCGATGAGTTCTCTCTGCTCGTTCGTGACCTCCCCCATGGCCTGGTAAAACGTCTCCCAGAAGAGGTCCCGAAGTTCCTGCTGGTTGGGATGATAACGCCAGCTTTCTTCCACGGTTCGAATCCCTAGCATAGCCTCGAGCCCCCCGAGCGACATACCGAAAGGACTGATAACGGTGTCCTTCCAATCGCAAATACCCGTCAGGCGGCCGGTCTGCGTGCTCACGTGGATGTTGTTCTCCAGTAGGTCGGTGTGGTTGGGCACCAACGGCCAGTCTTTGGCCAGCAGCCTCGGAAGCATCGTGATGAGGTAGTCCAGGGTCGGGTGAAAGCGTACGGGCAGCCCTTGCCGGAGCAGCGAGAGCTTCGACGAGTACTCATTCAGTAGTGAGGAGCGACTTTGACATTGCATCGAGCTGGGCGTGTTGTGCCAGGCCGAGGCAAAAAAATCTGCGTAGACGAAGTTCTAATTGCGCTAACTCCTTTGCGCAGGCAAGCGTACCTGGCGAAGTCGGAAACCGCGTGACGAAGAAGGCTGAAGTCGTTCTCGTTCAATTTGTCCCGGGCAAGGTACATCGCGACCCCTCCTACATTGTTCATCGTATAGACGTAAAGTTGACCCAGATTGCCAACCAAACGGTGAGACGGCGTGAATCCAGCGTAGGCTTTCTCGACGCTATCGATAAGATCCGTGTCCAGAATGGCATCGCTGAGACGAAACTGAACGATACAGGTCTCGTCGTCGGACACGACCGTATAACTGGTTCCACCTTGCACAGGCGTCGGGTGGACAGACATGCCCGCAAGCTGTTCGGCCCGTTGGTTGCATTGCTGCTGCGTCGTACTAGGACTGTACTTCTCGAAGAACCTCGTGATTTGTAACTCGGAGAGAGCCGCAATGCTAGCCTCCATGACGGTCGGCATAATGAATTGGTTGTTGGGGGGGGGACCGGGGGGTCGAGGTGGCGATTAAAGTGAGCGGGAGATAGTGGTATGTAACTCGAGCCACCGCTATGGACAGCATGAGCCTACACGTGGACAGCGTGCCGGACAGCATTCGAAGTCTCCGACAGCATTTGTTGCGGTTCGACAGTATTTGTTAGGGCCTGTTCGGTAAGTAGCAGGCATACATACTTAGGTGCAATCAGCGCTGAACGCGCAGTGCAGCAGTGTGACAGTAAAAAACGTAAGCGAGTCGGGCGGAGAGGCTGGAAGCTGAGATTCTGTACGCTCTTGAGGAGGGGTTTAAATACTGCGATCCTTCAGTCGGACAGCAATTTGAACAGCAAGTCGGATAGCCGTCGAGCCAAGCCCCGGTGAAAGACGAGTGACTCGCAGAGTGTAATAGCCAGTAGCAGCATACGGACAGCCTCTCGGCATTGATTACGAGACCAATTCTGGGGTACTATATGACACCCTCACTTCGTCACTCCCGCCGAATCGTCAGAATTTGATATCTCAACATCTACCACACCGTTTCGCTTTGTTCTTGCTCTGGGAGCTTAGAGTACATATCTGAACATGTTCCACGCATTAGCAAGAGAATTAATCTGCTGAAACTCGAGCAATGCTACTTCGAGCAGAGTCACGCTGTGATGAGCTGCCGATGCGCGGCAGGACAATAGCCGAGCGGACTTCAAAAACCGCAAGCGCATTGACGCCCAGCCGCGCAACGCGCACCGACACGTTGACGGAACACAACGACAATCTCTATTTCATCTTTATCGATGTCTTTTTTTCTGATTAATGGGGTCTGCAAGGGATTAACAAAGTAGGGCGATGACCGGCGCGGGACGAGAAACGGCGCAACGAAGAGTCTGGCGGAGTTCGACATTTTGATGGCGGCAAGTGCTTCCGATGCGTTACCCGTCTGTGACTGACGATTCGGCGGGATTGACGAAGTGAGGGTGTCATATAGTACGTGGCTGTACTTCGCTCGTTTCCTCAGGTCGGTCTCTCGCCTGCATCAGGATGTCGCGGTACAGTCCTGGTCCCACACCGATCCCAGATCCGGTTCGCCACCCCTCTGATCTATACGCCTTTGACCCGCGTGCCCAAGCACGGACGCTCACGCCGTCCACCCACCCGTCGACGCCAAGCACACTCCCCTTCACCCCCTTCTCCGACGCCTTCCCGGACCAGAGCCAGAGCCAAAGCCAGCCACTCGCTCACGCTTCGTCCTCGCAGTTTCGCATCCGACGCGTACCCGTACCCGATGCCGACGACACCAACATCGACTCGGGCTACTACGACGTCGGCCGGCCAACCCCGCAGAGTCGCTCCGCCCGATCGCTGCCAATGCGTCCGGAGGAGGTCACGGATGTGGTCGAAGATGAGCTCGAACCAGAGCCGGTGATACCCACGGTAGCAGATCGGAGACAAGCGGGTCCTTCGTCTGCGCACGGTGGTCTGCTTACCAGATTGCGCAAGCTTGCGCTGGGCGGGACGAAAAAGCGCGACCGTGTAGCAGCGCCGTTCACGATGCCCGAGCCCGGGCATCCGATACCTATATCCCCACAGGAGAACGCACGCATCAGCCCCTCCATGTTCGCAACTACCCCTGCGCCCGATTATCCATACCTTGGAGGCCAGCCATACGACTCCCTCGTACTCGACGCCATTGATGCTGACCTTCCCCGCTCATCCCAACATCACCACTCAGAAGACGAGTACGAACCGGAGTACGCAGAGCTAGAAGGCACCACTCTCGCTCACGGCGCCACTACTCTCGGACACGACGGCACCACCACTCTCGGACATGACGGCACCACCACGCTCGTGCACGACGCCACGACCCTTCTTCCCCGACGCCCTGCCCGCTATCCATACAGGCTCACGCCTACTACCTCTCCGGGCCTCTCACTCCCCTCTCTTCCGCGCACCGACGACCCCGCCCCCCAAAATCCTGTAGAAAAAGCCGAATCTTTCCTCAGAGACGTCTGGGCCCTGCCATGGGGCTGGGCATCCGACGACCCCGTCTCGGCCGACTACATTCCCGCACGCTCCTCCCGCGCCAAGCTGCGCTGGCAGCACGCGACCGGTGAAGACTCGTGGTACCCGCGTCGGCAGCGTCAACTTGCGCTCACGCGCATGCTCGGGCTCGGCAAACGCGAGATCTCGGCCCCGGTGCTGCGGGAAGACCTGTACTACGACCCGCTCGACGAGAAGGATCGGGAGCCGCTGATGTCCATGTCGTTCGCAGAGGGCCAGAGCCGCGCGGGCGATGCGACGCCGCGACTTTACGGCGGCGCGCCGTCCGTCGACCATAGAAGCACGAGCGCTGGCACGCCTAGACGGAGTCGGAGCACCAGCGCGCCGATGTACGACGATGGACCCGCCACGCTTACGCGCTCTCGCAGCAGTGTTCGTGACCGAACAGGCTCTCGTAGTGCGTACACTGCAACCGCCAGCCCGGCGAGCGCCGCGAGCGCGCTCACGGACCGCACGATCCCTACGCTTTCGCACTCGCGCGCCGCGCCGCGCTCCCACCACTCGCGCTCCGCGTCGTATGCGAGCCCGCATTCCGCCGTCGGCTCCGCCTACGTCCCGAGCCACCTACTCGAGCCGACGGTCCGCAGCCACTCGTCGACGTACGTCCCCAGCCACAGGCTCGCGCCGACCCAGTCGCCCACCCCTTCGTCTACCTCGTCTCTTACCGCGTCCACCACGACGCCGAGGCCGGAGAAGCGCTCACCCTCGCACGCAAGGTCGCAATCACAATCACACTCGCACTCGCACTCGAACCACGACCGGAGCTTATATCGCTCCGTATCGGGCTTCACAGCCGGCACCGAGACGCGCCTCGACACGCCCTCCAGCGTGCGCGCCTACCTGCGCGACGAAGTGGATGAGAGCGCCTTCTCGAGCCCTCGGACGGATCGGACGATACCGACAGTATCCGGTACGCGCCGCTCGGTGCGGTCGTCGAAGCCTGCGCCCACGACTGGTCCTGTGAGGGTCGCAGAACAGTATCTATCGCCGCCTAGGCAGCGATATTGAGTGCTGCTGCACTAAGTCTTGTCACCGGTGCATCGTATCAGAAAGTTTTCATGGTCTTACAGAAACCGGTCCATCGCCACCGGTATGCAGGCCCGATATCTTTGAAAGCAGCGGGAACTTCCTACTGGGGAAGGATGCATGCTCGCACCTCCTGCCCATACCAATCCAAGGCTCGCACGAACATCGACTCAAGGCTGTCCATGTGTAGTTTCCCTCTCGTGATGGATGCACAGGTGGGTCAACCGCGTGCCACTGCTTTCGTGTATCATACTCGCCGTGCCCTCTCTTTCTCCGCACTACCTGGCTATGGCTAGGTCTCGTGCGCTTTTGCTAGGCCCCTTGTCATCCAGCCTCTCGGTCTTAAACGCTCCCGTGTGCGTACACGCTGCCATGTATATGTCAGTCCACTCCGTGATGACATTTTGCCCAATGCACATCATTGTACTTAGGAGGCGGGATGGTCATCGCCGGTTCTCGGCAAGCATGTAGCACTAGAACGTTCTTATTGATGACAGTGTAGATATATGCGCCTTGTGTACATGTATCGGCCACGCGTCCACTGAATTTAAACCGTTCTTGTAAACGAGTATGATTGACCCAAATATGGACCCACACCTCCTAATCTACCCTCCACCAAGCGAGGGCAAAATCGCGTCCTTGTGGGTGGCGTTTCCGTCCGCGGCCCACGGTGGGATAACATGGAAAGCGGTTCGCGAGCGCTACGTGTGCGAGCACGGTATGCGCATATGGCGTGCTCGTTCATATCCCCACTAATCCGCATGGTCCTCTCAGCACCTCTTGAAGGGAGGATCCTTGTCGTGAACCGATCGAACGAGCCAAATTGGCTGGGTTCCAAATCGTTCCAGCGCATGTCGTACTACAAAACCAAGTATCCTACACAGACGCCACTACAGTGAAGCGCCGTGTCCGGCAGGGCTCCTCGAATAATTGATATCCTTCCTACCAGCAGTCTCTGTGCACACGTCAATACATCATGCACTACTCGGTGAACTCGGAGCGAGTGAGAGCTGCGTTACGATCTCCAACTCTGCTTGACAGGCGTAGAGTTCTTCCGCCAGACCATATACCGCAAGCAGCGAAGAGGTCAGGATCGAATCTCGCAGGACGGGGTAGCATGTGAAAGGCCTTTGGGTTTCGGGAACGTTGGCGGGGGGCTGCGGCAAGAGAGACTGGTCCAATCCCTGACATGGATCCGTTACGACTGGATCATGACGCCGTCGGTCGGCCGCCCATCTTATCTGATGATTCATCCATGCGCGATCGGCGGTAACCGCTGCGGTCGCAGGGGCTCGTGACGGTAGTACGTGTGAGCACATATACCTGTCGAGCAAGCCTAGGATATCTTCCAACCTGCAGCGTATCTGAGTTCGCGCACATTCCAGCCGGGCACGGAACGCTTGCAGGCTGCAAGTGGACCTATAAACTCGAATTGATCGTGCTGCCCCTTGCGAACTCCAAAAACTACGGCCGACGGCCGTTACGAGGTGGTTAAGCTCTACCTCCGTCCATCTCCTACATGATCATGGCTCCGCCTGGCTCGCGGAAGGCGCGTTCTCTACATGTATCTACGTAGGCTCGATCCTCGCACGGATGGGTGCGGTAGCGGATGGGGTGCAAATACAGTTTACGTGTCCGGGAAGGTCGGTTAACTGTGGGAGCCGCGAAGGAGGCAGGAGGATGGTGGGACTCGGGAGAGTCGGACTCCAGACCATCACCCGCAAACCATATCACTCCCCTTTTCGTCGCTCTCTTCAACCCCCGCCCCCGCAGACTGCGCGGTCCGTTTCCATTCTCTCTTCTCTCCCCCCCTCTCCCTCCTCATCCCCTCCGTCTGCTGTCGCGCCCAGCTCGCGCCGCCCGAGCAGCCGCACAACATGGCCCCTGCCTCCACCTCGGACCTCGTCATCCTCGGCCTCGGCGCCGTCCTCGCTGGCGTCTACCTCTTCAAGGACCAGATTTTCTCCAGTTCGAAACCGAAGACCGCCGTCCCGCTCCAGCAAAAGGGCGGCTCCAATGGCTTCTCCAACCCGAGGGACTTCATCGAGAAGATGAAGGCCGGTGTAAGTCCGCGCGTTTGCGTGCTGCCGGCGGCACAATCGTACGACGCATATACTGACGTGTCGTTCCTCGTCCGCGCAGAAAAAACGCCTGCTCATCTTGTACGGATCTCAGACGGGCACGGCGGAGGAGTATGCGATCCGCTTGGCCAAGGAGGCCAAGACGAAATTCGGCTTGACGTCGCTGGTATGCGACCCGGAGGAGTACGACTTTGAGAACCTCGACCTCGTCCCGGAAGACTGCTGCGTGTTCTTCGTCATGGCTACCTACGGAGAGGGAGAACCCACCGACAACGCTGTCCAGCTCTGCCAGAACCTTAGCGACGACTCGTTCACTTTCTCCAAGGGCGAGCACCGGCTCGACGGCCTCAAGTACGTCATCTTCGGCCTGGGCAACAAGACCTACGAGCACTACAACCTCATCGCGAGGAAAACGGACGAGCAGCTCGCCGCCATGGGTGCCGTCCGCATCGGAGAGCGTGGTGAGGGTGACGACGACAGGAGCATGGAGGAGGATTACCTGGAATGGAAGGACGGCATGTGGGAGGCTTTCGCCAAGGCGATGAACGTCGAGGAGGGCCAGGGCGGCGACACCCCCGACTTCACGGTCTCTGAGCTCACGGACCACCCTGAAGAGAAGGTCTATCTCGGTGAGCGCGATCCCTTGCCGGCTTTACGTCCTTCTCGCTGACCTTCGTTTCTCAGGTGAACTGTCGGCTCGCGCTCTTACCAAGACCCGCGGCATTCATGATGCGAAGAACCCGTACCCGGCGCCGATCAAAGTTGCGCGCGAGTTGTTCGCAGCCGGTGCTGACCGCAACTGCGTCCACATCGAGCTCGACATCGAAGGTTCCGGTATCTCGTACCAACACGGCGACCACGTCGGAGTCTGGCCGTCGAACGCTGAAGTCGAGGTTGAGCGTCTTCTCTGTGTCCTCGGCCTCCACGACAAGCGCGATACCGTCATCAACATTGAGTCACTCGACCCGGCCCTCGCCAAGGTTCCCTTCCCGGTTCCCACCACCTACGGCACCGTCCTCCGTCACTACGTCGACATCAGCGCCCTTGCCGGTCGTCAGATCCTCGGCACGTTCTCCAAGTTCGCCCCCACCCCGGAAGCGGAGGCGACCCTCAAGAAGCTCAACACCAACAAGGAGCACTACGCCGCGGTTGTGCACGACAGCTGCCTCAAGGTCGGAGAGGTTCTCCAGCTCGCCGCCGGAAACGACATCCACGCCGTCCCCAATCCGGAGAACACGACCGTCTGGAACATCCCCTTCGACATCATCGTTTCGTCCCTCAACCGCCTCCAGCCCCGGTACTACTCCATCTCCTCCAGCCCGAAGATGCACCCGAACGCGATCCACGTCACCGCCGTCGTCCTCAAGTGGCAGTCGTCCCACAACGAGCACGTCCCGGAGCGGTGGGTGTACGGCGTCGGCTCCAACTTCCTTCTCAACCTCAAGTACGCCGCGAATGGCGAGGACGCGCCGTTGCTCGCGGAGCCTGCGGACAAGCCCGAGCCTGGCGTCGTTATGCAGCCTCCGCGGTACAAGATCGAAGGCCCCCGTGGCGCTTACAAGACGGAGAACCTGTACAAGGTTCCTATCCACGTCCGCCGCTCGACTTTCCGTCTGCCCACCAACCCTCGCAGCCCGGTGATCATGGTTGGCCCTGGCACTGTAAGTCGTCTCTCGTTTCCCCGCAATCGTGCGAACTGAGTGGCTGATGTCCTGCATAGGGTGTTGCGCCTTTCCGTGGATTCATTCAGGAACGTGTTGCTCTCGCCCGTCGTACGCTTGAGAAGAACGGCCCGGACGCGCTCGCTGACTGGGGCCGCATCACGCTCTTCTACGGCTCGCGCAAGTCGACGGAGGACTTCCTGTACAAGGACGAGTGGCCGCAGTACATGGAGGAGCTCAAGGGCAAGTTCGTCATGCACAACGCCTTCTCCCGCGAGCCGCCGTACAAGCCCGACGGCAGCAAGATCTACGTCCAGGACTTGATCTGGGAGGACCGGGAGCACATCGCGGACGCGATCCTCAACGGCAAGGGCTACGTGTACATCTGCGGTGACGCCAAGAACATGAGCAAGTCCGTCGAGGACACGCTGTGCAGGATATTGGGCGAGAAGAAGGGCGGCACGGCCGAGGTCGAGGGCGCCGCCGAGCTGAAGCTGCTCAAGGAGCGGTCGAGGCTGATGTTGGATGTCTGGAGCTGAGTGATCCGCCGCCGGTCGCTGGCGGTTCTACTACATGTCTGCAACAAGCACTCACTCACGCGTGTTCTTCCTTGGATTCGTACATCGTCGCGGGAATGGAATACAACATAGATTCTTGCAATGCTACTCCAATCACCACACACATCGTTTATACGTAGATTATCCGCCATCTGTAAATAGGACTCGCAATGTTTTTCATGTTGCTCGAAGCGCGAGCGAGAGAACCGCTGAGCCGTTCATCGAGAGCGGCGTCTACGCGACTTGTCTCCTGCTTCTGCCGAGGTCTTCGAAGGCCGATATCCTCCTTGCGTTGGTATGCTACGGCTCGCTAGTTCATCTTCGACTAGGACATGCCGACGCTCATTCGCCTCTTCCTCTCGCCTGCGCATACCAGCCAAGCCAGATAACTCGGAGTCTCCATCACCAGGGACTGCGCCGCCCGCCCGCGATGACTCTGCACCGTCCAAGACGGCGACGCCTGGACCTGAACCAGTCGATGTTCGGGTGCTCAACATCTCCGAACGATTACGGGAGCTCTCGACGAATAGCGCGATCGCGATGAGGAAGCGGATGGACGAGTTTACCGCCTCCGCGATGGTCGCGTTCTCTCGCCTTGGAGGGCAGCTCAACCACGTTACTGGATACAATGAGATCGACGATTTGAAGAGGAGAGTAAGGGAACAAGGTATGCGTCGGATATACGTTCTCCGCTATGCTCTTGCGGGCTGACATACATAGTCAGAGGCGCGCATCGAGGAAACTCGCAAGGCTGCTCGTGAAGCGAAGGCGGCATACGACGACGCCGTCACGCGACGGGCGCAATCTCAGAAAGACGTCAACGACCTATTACAGAGGAAATCCTCCTGGAAGGACGACGACGTCGCACGGTTTACGACGCTCGTTAGGGCGGATCACCTACACGAGCAAGAGGAGATGCGGGCGAAGGAAAACCTGGATCGCGCGGACATGGCCGTCGAGCGCGAGTTCAGCATCCTCATGCGCGCGATCCTGGACCGGTACCACGAGGAGCAGGTGTGGTCCGACAAGATCCGGAGCGCGTCCACGTACGGATCGCTCGCGGCGCTCGGGCTCAACTTGTTCGTCTTCATCACGGCCATCATCATCGTCGAGCCGTGGAAGCGGCGGAGGCTTGCGCAGACGTTCGAGAAGAAGGTGGAGGAGATGGGTATGCAGACGCGCGCCATGTTCGTGAGCGGGATGAAGGAGCTCGAAGACCACCTGGAGGAGCAGGAGAAGCGGCTGGTGAAGGTCGCTGCAGCGGCGATTGCAACGTCGTCAGAGGGGCCTCTACCTGCGTCAGTCGCCCAGACGACTTCAACCCCCGGAGATGCCGAACCTGGTGCACTACCGCCACCATCACCACCTTTACCCCAACGTATACCATCTCCTCCTCTCGATATTGCTCTACTGGCGACCGGTTTCGTGGCCGCTGTCGTTGGTTGGACAGCACGTAGCTTCTGGCAACGCTAGTGGAATATCTTATCAGCATATATTTGCCTGCAATTGCCTATGATCTCCTCGTATATCGAGCTTAACCACAGCTTTCCGCTCCAGACAGGCCAGCTGTCCTGCCAATGAATGCATGTCTGTGACCTCAAGCGATCCGATTTTGAGCAAAGATTTCGTCCAGCAAATCCGACCGCACAGTGTTGCGTGTCTTGCCAAGTTATCCCCAGCGTTTCAGTCAAAACATGGCAGACGAGGATATCCTCATGGGATCGAACAGCGACACTTAAAGTGCCCACATTGAACCCCCACGTGCACTTTCACCCTCATGGCGTCGTCTCCTGCGCTCCGAGTCTCAGTCTTAGCCTCCTACATTCATATTCATGATGTCTCGCTCTCCACAGAAGCGCAGTTCGCCACGAAAAACGGACCAGTCGCGTGCAGAAGCAGCGGTAGATACGCCAAGGAGAAAAACAAATCGCCAAGTTATTCCTGTACACACTCCCGGATACTCTGAGGACGAAAGCAGCAGCGAAGTCACGTCCGAAGACGAAGACGGTGAGGATGTCGTGTCTGCAGTAGCATCCTCCTCGCGCACTTTGCTTGATGGCTCTCAATCGGGGCTTGTCTCTCAGACGTCTTTCGACGCGTATTTCATCAACACCTCCAAACCGTCGCGTACTTCGTCCAATGTCTTCTCCTCTATACTTGAGCCACTCAGCGCCGAGGAGTACGCAAAGGCGATGACAAACGCGTCCAACAGGCTCAATGTGCTTGACCTCACGCCACTGGACTCTTTCCATCAAGCAAACTTTCCTCGGTATCTGCGTGAACTGCACGAAGGCTTCAATCTACTGTTCTACGGTTTTGGATCCAAACGTTCTCTCATCAATAAGTTCGCAATCATCCAATGCGCCAAACACGGTCATCTCGTGGTGGCTAACGCCTTCTCTCCGAACTTCACTCTGAGGGACTTTTTGGGATCCATAGAGAGCGTGCCCGGGCTCACCGACCTTCCCGCAGCCGCGGGTCAAGACGGCCAGGCGCATCGCATCATCACATTCTTTGCCAACACTTTGAACAAGCCGCTTTATCTCATCGTACATAACGTCGATGCTCCTGCCTTGCGATCTACCAAGGCGAAAAACTTTCTGTCCTCCATCGGCTTGCATCCACGCATCCACATCGTCGCTACCGTAGACCACGTCAACGCCCCGCTTCTATGGTCGTCATCCGAAATGTATGCTCGCAAGGTCCCGATCAAGACCGACGTGCCGGAGAGACGCGGGACCACTCTACGTCGTGGCTACGCCTGGTTATGGCATGACTTGACCACCCTTCTGCCTTACGACTTCGAACTCTCGTTCGTGGACCGGTCATCCATATCCGGAGCGTCCGCCTCCGCTGCAGGTCGAGGGCAGCAAGATACTGCCAGTGGAAAAACTCTGATCTCTGAGACCGCCGCGGAGCACATCCTTGCATCGGTCACGGAGAAAGCCAAAAAACTCTTCGTCATGATGGGAACCAAGCAACTCGAGCTCATCGCGGAGGAGCAGTCGACAGCTCCGTTGACTGCTCAGGACCTGCAGAAATATGCGATCAGTTATGACTCCCTCTTCAACGCGGCAAGGGACCAGTTTATCGCTACGAGCGACGGAGCTCTCAGAGCATTATTGGGCGAATTCAGGGACCACGGATTGGTCGTATCTGCAAACCTCGGCGGCGCCGGGTCGAGAGAGGTTCTATGGATACCGATGAGGAAGGAACGACTTGCGAGAATCATCACTTCGCTGAAAGGAGCGGCATAGGGATACTCCCTACACCTCCCATCGCGAGGGAGCAGCTACGAACCTGCCCTGCAACCGGTCATGCTGCGAGGTATAACTCATGTCGCGGGTTCGGAACTTCATCGCGCAATCCACCTAGGGTTTCCCCATGCTCTACCTTGACTGGACCGAAAGGATGTGTAACCACTCTCGTCTACATCATCGATGCGCTGATCAATATACTGCCGCCATACATCCTTACAAATGTCGATCACCATTCCGATACGATGCAGGGAGGCATTGCACCATCCTGCGGAACATCGACCATGCGTCGTGGTTGAACACAGTTATCGCATTGCGGATCTTTTCGCGCAGTCAACCAGTGACCGCGACAGTATGCACAAGCTCCATCGAGCAATATACGGAAGTGCAGCGAGAGCACTTTCGCCTACGACCGCAGCAGTATGACATTAGGCACCTCCGTAACGAGCTACATGATCGGTTTGCAGGATTCGGATATATTATACGCCTTCTGTAGCGTAACAAAGACGTCTAGAACACGAATATTCCGGATGCGAAAGCAGCAGTAAGAGTCGTCATCATCACGATGGACGCCTGACCGGGCCTGCACATGCCCTCCAGCCCAGAAGAACTCTTGAAATTCTTGTATCCCTCCTGTTTGAGCTTGAAATTGACAACATCCGCGGTGCTGTTGAACGAACTTGCGGGCGACGCGGCTGCGAGCCCCACTCTGGCGTTGTCGACATCGAACACGGAAGTCCATGACTTGAGGAAGGAGTCGCCCATCTGCAGGAAGCGTTAGCACCGTTAACGGAAAGCACGGGAGCAACTGACAATCATCAGAGGCGCCGTTTCGTTCACCTCGGTAGATTGCTGACCACCAACGAAGGGCAGCAAACACGCCGTGGTACCCTGCGCGAAGCCATACTTGTCCGAGAGTTGCTGAGAGTTGATCTCGATGGCATCGAGTACCAGGTCCTCGGTCGCGATGCTGTAGTCCTTCCCGCCAATCCTCAAAGCGACAACGGGTAATGATGTGCAGTTGCGCACAAGCAGGTTCCCGGGACCAGGTTTCGCGCCAATGGCAGTAGCGAGTGCCTGCCAAGTTGCATTCGGCATTACGATCAAGGATGTGCCTGTATCCATCTACCCGTGCAATAAGTACGCCATAAGTCAATGTAACAGCAAACGCACCATCGCTTGGACCCCGGTCGTCCCCGGTACGACTTGAGAATTCACTGACATGCCATCCGCCTGAACGACCCAATGCGCCTTCTGGACGATCGGGAAGTAATCAATGTCGCCTGTATACTGGATAACGATGAGATCGTCAAGCTCCTGGACCGAATCATGACAACGAACTGTAGAAGAAACTGTGCCGCCGATTGCGAGGGTGCCGGCATTGAGGGTCCCGTTACCTCGACCCTGCCCTGGGCTGAGCTTGTCCACACCTCTTCCCAGGTAGAAACTGAACACGTTGCTCTGCAGCGAGCTCGTCTGCATCAGCTGCTCGACAAATGTGGGCATCTTCGACCGCGACAATCCCTGCCAGCCGAAGCCCATGATACCAGACATCTTCCTGAATTCGAACGCGCTAGAGTCGACAACCCCGGACTCAACCACCGCATTTTTAACGGTTAAGCCGGCCACTGATACGGTGTCGGTGCCAAGCGTGCCATTAAATTGGCCTTTCCCGTAGCTGTAAGTTCTTGAGATGTAAATCGAGCGACATGGCAAGTTGGACTCACGTTATGTGTATAGGGGTAGACAGATTCTTGTAGGTCGATGACGAAGTCGGGTCGAAAGTAACAGGCATACCGAGACTGCCAGGCGCACCAAGCCAGAAATCCGCACTGCCCGTATCGGCAACGACAGTAAATGTTTGGGGCGGCGTGCCTACGTCTACCTACAGAAAATCTGTTGAGTGTTCCTTGCTGAGACGGTCCGGGAAGTCTCACAGATGTGTAATACGCGGTATCCACAAAGTCTCCCCAGACTACCGGGAGAGGTTGGTTATGAGCACGCAAAAAGCGCGGAGGATAGCTCACATTCCACGAGATTCTGCATGCCAAAAGCAAATGTATCCTCACGAGCGTTCAGGTGGACGTCGCGAGTACGTAAATACGAATCCCCCTGGGCGTGCCAGTTGTTCGCAGCGGCGCGTAGTTTGCTTTGTACGCGTGCGACTTGGTGCTGGGCCCATTCAGCCGTACGATCTCTTGGTATGGATCTCCTTGTGGAGATTGGCAGCGTCATCAAGGGAGACCCGAGAACGGCTTCGGCATAAAAGAGCAAAGCATAACAGGCAATGATCCAGTTGGAAGACATGTCCACTGCCGCGATAGATTATAACAATGAGGCGCCGGCACCGGGAGAAGCATAAATAAGTAGGGATGAGTATCGTTCAGGAGCGACAGCGCTCGGGTTTAAAGCAAGCTCGTATCCATATGAAACCCGGTGGCACCGGAGCAATTGGATCCGTTCACATCGTGATGGCGAAGAGAGACGGCACTGATGAGCTCGTGGCAGTAAAATGCAGTATGAAAATTCACTGCTAGTCGGTGCCCATCACTGCTACGCACTGCCAGCAGAACGTGAACCTGCTTCTTTGCATTCCTGTTGCATTCAAAACGACGTGGCGGAACAGCAAAGGCTGCGCTGCCGCAAGGGCTCTCCCTCCACGGAAGGGACGCCGTTAACTATTCACTCCGTTCGAGAAGATATCCGGCCGTTGAATATCGACGGCGAAATGTTCAAAATCATCAGCAGGCTTTTCGTTAACACTTTTTGACCAGTCATATGGGTCGTCGACGAACGAATGATGTCGCCGATGCATAAAGTCAAGAGCACGGATTTGAGAGGGCTTTCGATGTCTCCTGTAACAATGATGTATGGTTTCCAGGATAATGAGCTATGAGCAACGGAGGGTGCAAGAGACAATGATTCCACACGCAGGCCCATCTGGCACAAGGCGACGCTTGACACGTCCCCCGGTACACCACCTTCCGAAGGAGCGATTTGTAAAGCAAGAAAGCTAGGTATACAGAGATCAAATAGAGTAAAGTTATGCAATCAACAGATAGTCCTCAGATATCGTCCCTAGATCGTCCGGGTCGAGGTATAAGATAGCTTCCCTTGCCTTTACTCTCCGATAGCAAGCGCCTGCCGAAGGGAGGCTCAGAATAGTTGATCATGCCTGAGGTTCTCGTAGCGATCTCCTGGCACGTCCCTCTTCTGTTCCTTTTCGACCTCTCCTACGTACTCGAACGCCTGCTTGAGGCCAACCTGTTCATCAAGGGATACGTGAGTTGTTAAGGATTTCGCTGATACGGACAGCAGTAACCAACCTGTTGGAAGAAGTCCTTGATGGTCTTGCCTTCGCACGCCTTCAAGTCGCTTCCTTCGTTCTGGATCGGGATTGGTGAGAACAACACGACGAACGCTGTCCGGCGGAATACTTGCCTTTAACATGCCATAGCTGCGCTGCAAGGCGAGCATGGCAGGCACAAATCCAGTGCAAGGATACATCACGGAGGCAAAGCCGAGATCAGTGCATTCCTGCGTCGTCAGGTTCCCTGTGAGACCCTACGTTGCTTGTGAGAGCTGTGATCCGCGCTTATTCGTCAAGTAACTCACGTCCGGAAGCACATTGATCATGACCGGTTTACCCTCGAGTGCCTTGACCAATCGTGCGCACTCCTCCCTTCCACGCGGGGACTCCATGAACGCCATGTCCGCACCTGCGCAGGCATGACGTCAGCTCAGAATATCAGAACGAAATGGTAGGTAGTAAGACGGACCGGCATCCAGAGCAGCTTTCAGACGCTTGACGCCCTCTTCGAATGCGTGCTCGCCTGCGTCGGGACCGCCGAATTGGATGGCGTTGCGCGCGTCCGTTCTGGCGATGATAAGGAAGTCCGGGTTGCGCCTGGCTTTGACAGCAGCGATTATACGTTCCACGTAGGTGTCAATGTCAGCGACATCTTTCCCCTGAGATGCAGATGAAGTTCAGCCAATGATGCTCGCGTCTATGGTAGCTGGATACTCTTACATCAAGTTGGCCACATCGTTTGGGGAATGTCTGGTCCTCAATATGACATCCGGCAATACCGGCAGCTTCGTACATAGCAATCGTACGCGAAATGTTCAACGGGCCCCCGAAACCGGTGTCCGCGTCCGCGATCACCGGCGTTCCCTCGCATGCCTGGACGACCATGCGCCCGACCTCAGCCATTTCGGTGTTGGTGATAACACTGAGGTCAGGTTCACCGCAGTAGCTGCCTGAGGTTCCGGAGCCTGCGAGGTAGATCCAGTCGAATCCTATGGAGTTGGCAACGTGTGCTGAGATGCCGTCGAATACTCCAGGTCTATCAGCTTCTCGTCAGCCTACGTTTCGAAATGTTCCAAGCGATAGTTCACTGACCCAACCAGACAACGGCCAGCTGTGAATGCGTCGCACGATGAGCATCACGATCACATATCCTATGGGATACCTAGCGTACCGCGCTTCCCATCAGGTCCGAGCGTTCGCGCATTATCTCTCAAGAGCTGGCGTAGGCGTGCTGGTCCGCCGTACTGCGCGACTGCTGGAGGTTGTACTACGGGTCCGGGCATGGTAGGGTGTAACAATTCGTAAGAGGATATTCAGTCTCCATATGCATATTCCTGAGGATATATAGTGCAGTATACATAGCGTCGAGTGATGTCAAAAGATGAGGTCACCAAAGGATGAGGTCACCAAGATAAGTACTTAGCGGTGGAGGAGACTGAGAGCCTGGAGAGAGAGAGAGCGCGCCAGACCTATTTTTAGCCTCCGATACTGCGACGGTGCGTTCCTGCTCGTCATCCGCCGCAGCCTGTGGCTACCAGGTTACTGAGCTATGTTTGTAACTCCAGCGCAACGATGACTTGCATGCGAAATACAAGAAGCTATTAGTATAGGAACATAAGGTGATCAAGCTAGCGAGCGGGCTCCCAGGGCGGAGAACGAAATCCTCTCAAGATCTGTTTATATATGCGGCTGCCCCGCTGCTCTACACATTACTCGCTAGGTGCAACACACTTCGCCTGGGTCGGGCAGTTGGTCTGGGCCTGGTTCTGAAGGACACCATCCTGCGGTTAAAGTAGTGAGCTAATGGTAACGCTACTGGCTGTGCGGTACGCACGAAGTCCCAAGTGCACGCTCCGCCGGCATACGCGCACTGGTAGCCGGTGAACTCGTTGATGAGGACGCCATCATCGCCGTTGTTGTCGGTGGGGCAGACGCATCCGGACGAAGGGCACGCTTCGGAGGTCGGGCAGTTCGTCTGTCCGGGGTTCTGCAACGCACCATCCTGCGACCGACCGGAATGAGTTAGACCGTCATCACAGTAATGTGATGGAATGGCGCACCTTATCACCCCAGGTGCAAGCACCCCCCGGGTAGGCGCACTGGTAGCCGGGGTAGTAGTTGATCAGCACGCCGCTGTCACCGTTGAGGTCGGTCGGGCAAGCGCACGGGGCGCTGTCCGAGGGTTGTTGGTAGCAGGCGACCGCGACCTGCTGCGTGGTGCGGCGATGAAGGCTGGAGAACACCGACACGGGAGAGCTGGCGCCCATGACAGCGGTCGCGGAGAGCGCAAGAGTAAGAGCGATAGTGAAGGCAACCATTGCAATTGTGGAGTGCAGATTTGAGCTTCGAAGGCGGAGGGTGCTTGCAGGAGCGTTGAGGTGCTGGTGCTGGATCATTCGCTCAACAGTCGACGCCTTTTATTCACGAAGGCGTCGCTGGCGAATTACGCCGGCAGCGGGGAGGATGCCTGGGCGCACGAGCGCCAGATTGTGCCTGAGGATGAGCTGTCATGGTATGTGCCACATCCCGACTGCTCAGGGATACAACACGCGGTCTATGACTCCTTGCGGTTTGGCCTGCACAGAAGGCTATGTATCAATACAGAGGCCTAGAAATGCGTACGGAATCGCCGGGGACCAGTACGTACCGACAACAGACGTGCATCAGCACATTAACAGCGGGCCTGCTCATCTCCGATGCGAAAGCAGGCGGGCTGATTGTCAATGCCGCGGCCAGTCGCGTAACATAAGGATCACAGCAGCCAAGGGGCACCACAGCACATAGCGGAGTCGCGGCGTCCTTCCAGAGGGAGTCCATATAGTCTTGGCGTATCGTCTCGCAGTAAGCGCGTGGTGAAAAGATGTTGAAGCCCGATTTGATGTCGGAACCTCGGGTGGTGGACGAGCGTCGCTCGGAAATATGTGCGATGGCAAAGTCCGGTGCCTGAGTGCCATTGAGTGTCATCGTCCATCCCTGGCGCCAGCGCATCAGGTACGCCGGTCGATAGGATCGCAAAGCAGGTATGCATTGATGCAGCGCCATGTTCCAGCCCGTTACGGAAGGACGGAAACAAAGTGTACACCGAACCGGAATGGTTGCGCGGCCCGGGAACGAAGCCACCACCAACCGTTGAAGGGCTTAATGTGCCCGCATGGTCCCTGTGATCAGCACGAGGCGAGGATACCACAGCCGAAACTTGGTGAGAATGTTGCATTCTGCTGATACGAGGATCGCTCGCAAGCTCCTTGGTTCGTCCACAGCCCGGAGTGGAATCCTCAAACCTCGACCGCTCCGCTGGCGGCATGAAGCTGGACCTTCACGGGGTAGTCACACGCACGAGAGCCATTAAAATCGCGGCGCCACAGCTGCTGTCGGTGAGTAACGGCATGCGTACGCAGTGGAGGTCGACAACGAATGTGGAGGTGCGGTGTAACACTGACAGGAGGACCGTGTCAGTCGCTAAATCTGGTTCACGTGGCGCCGGGCGGAATATGGACATCGTTGCCTGTGACAGTGTAGCCCGTTGGTGGACTGTAAGGTGTTTGCAAGCATTCATTTGTAGCTCTATACATACTCATCATGTCCATCTGCGGTCATCGCCCGTACTACATACCGGATGAGCCTGAGCCGGCAGTTATCATATTCGCACAGAGCGTATATACTTACGAGAAGGGAAAATCGGTAAAGGGGATCGCAACGAAATCATCGGACAAGGAACACTTGGATCTGAGAACGTATCGCGTTGATGAATCTATTGCATGACAAACTCAGAGGAAGACTACTGTAGCACATTGATGAAGCCACCACAGGGCATCCCATGGCCATTCATTGACAGCTCGTCGATTGCGTACTGAAAGCCGACGGGGCTAGAGGCCCCTGGCCGTGCGGCCTACGGCTTTCCGTCTTGACGACACCGAGTGATTAATGCAGAAGCTGAGACGTATCGAGATGCTACCAGCATTCATTCCTCGAGAGGTTGAGATTTATTCTTCTCGTCGCACTAACGTCATATGTACCTAGAAGAAGAATTACACGACGTTGCTGGAGTAAATGTGAAGCAGAACGATACCTGAACATGTTCGACTTGACGCCTCGCTTCATGGCGACCGGCACCCCGTCCTCGAGCTCTGAACCGGATGCGCCGCCTTCCCCACTATGTTCTTCGAGACGAGCCATCAGATCGGCGTCCATCTCTGCCGTAGTCCGCTTGCGCTGTGCCGGCTCGGATGAAGCAGCATTTCGGGAGGGGGAAGGGGATGCTTGGTGTTCCGATGATGTTCGGTCGGAGGTCTTGGGGTCGCGAGTAAAGGATATCGTGGTGTCTGTAGCCTGAGTGGCAGTAGAGCGGCTAGCATCGGCCGTCCTCCAGCATAACAGAGGCCGTAAAGTTCGTGATGAAGTTCGTGCAATCATGATCGTGATGGACATGAAGCTGGTGCGAGTTATGAGCGCCGTGGACTCCTGGTGCACACTGGGTGGAGCCTATGACAGGCTAGACGGGCGCCAAAGCGGCATCACCTGTACCCGGGTTCTACAATGCCGCTGGGCCTGCCACGCTCCAAGTGAACAGGTCATCGTATGCTGTAGGCCTCACGACAGTCGGATCTGGTGGAGGATAGATGTTGCATGGCCTCGACAAATGAAACGTCGATGGCATTGACAGAACGTTCCACCGCAGCTTTTTCAGCGTCAGGAACACGTGCATTTGGCCCAACGCTGTAGGAGAGCTATGTGGGAACGTTGCAGAAATCAGCCATCGGTATGGAGAGCAGACACGATGATATGGAGAGCGGTAAGGGGGTCGGAGAAAAACAAGTCCAAAGCGCCTGCGCGATTCAACTTCAACGTCGACGCCGACCACGATCAGAGTGGGCGATGTCTCGTACCATCGATATCGCGATCATGGCCAGATCATGCACTGAATCATCTTTACGGGGACGTGCGGCGGGCGTCTGTTGCTTTGTACGACCGTGTTCCAGAAGGTTCGCCACGAGAACGCCTGCAAGCCGACGCTGTGTACTCTGTGCAAAGAGCAGCACCTACAGCCATCCACAACCAGCGGACGGATAGATCGCACCCTTGTACTCTCCTCGAAGCTTGAAGCTTGACCTCCTGCACCCATCACCTAACATCGAGCCCCTGGTATCATATTGTGACGTCCAATTGTGATGCCTCTCAACTACAAGAAGTGGGACGCACTAGAGGTAAAGATGCGTTTCCAATACGATCGAAGCACCCAGAGCATTGACCGGGGCCGACAGCTCTCAGACGATTCGGATATCGAAGGACACCCGAATGTCGACCACAAGTCGCTAGTGAGGTCAGCTCGCTGCCTTGCCCAATCCAAGCACCTCTTATTGACACGACTGCAGGTGGAGGCAGCGCGACATCCACGAGAAGCGGCAAGCGCGCAATCATCGCATCGCCGAGCTCGAAGTCGAGATCCCGGCCAACACCATCCTGCTCGATCGCCTGAAGGGCTTCAGTGACGCGTTGCAAGGCGCCTCGGACGCGCCATCCTTCTTCTCGCACACCGTCGAGCGCCTGCAGACGCAACCCTCGCCCGAAGGTCCCAAGACGAACGCGGCTGACAAGGTCACTTACGACGGCATGCTCCTCGCCGTGCTGAACAAGGCGAGCGAGGACGCGAAGGCGAAGAAAGAGGAGAGCAAGAGCGATCCCGATCTTGGCGAGTTGCTCATAGACGAGATCAAGATGCATGTCATGAAGCTCGGGGAGGCGATCGAAAACTGGCAGAAGGAGCTCGAGGAACTCCAGAAGGAGAAGACGAAGAAGATCACCACCGAAGACATGCACGATGGCTGGGATTCGAAGGTAAATCCACCATTCTCCGTCACCGACTCCACTCGTTGAAATCCTTCTCTCTCTAGTACGTGCCACCCAAGCCAGCGCCGCCCCCTGTACCCGGCGCCGACAAGAAGACGAAGAAGGTGACCACCACCGAATTCGAAGTCCTCAACCCTGGAACCTCCTCATCCGAGCCCTCCACATCCGCGGCTCCTTCGACGTCGTCCCCTGCCACAACACCCAGTTCAGTGGACGACTACGACGAGCTCCCCGAGATGACACCCAGCCTCGAGGAGTTCTCACGGATTCCGATGGGCGCATACGACAAATCGTTCGAGTACATCCAGACCCACCGCGAGGTCGTCGTCCCCGGTGCGTCGGACGCGCTGCTCATCGCGGCGTTCAACGCGCAACACAGCGACAACCCCAAATACGCGAAGCAGTGTGTGAACCAGAGCTTGTTGCTACAATACTGCGACAAGCTTGGGCCGGACGGCGTTCGGCTCTTCTTCCGAAAGTGCGTCCCTCCCTGCACCCCCCTTCGCTGTGCTTAGGCCGAACGGCTGACTGTCGACGCCCACAGGATGATGAGCAACGACAAGCGCGCCGAAGTTGTGTTTGTCAAAGACGTCGAGGACACGTACGCGCACCTCGTCGAGCGCGTGCGTATTTCGAAGGAGGAAGAAGCGAGCCAGAACGGCGTGGAGCAGATTCAGCTCGTCGCGGAGAACCCGGACACGCAGATCACGTTCAACGTCCCGGACGGCCCACCGCCGGACAACCTCGTGCTCGAGGGCCCGGGCACGGAGGACATGGACGTCGAGGACGTCCGGCGCGCGCTGCAGATGCGGTGGGACGTGTTCCAGGCGTTCGACGACAACATGAAGAAGGCGCTCCGGAGCGGCAAGCTCGAGGCCGTGAACAAGATCTTGGCCGGGATGAAGGTCGAGGACGCAGAGCAAGTCGTGCAAGCGCTGGACATGGCGGGAATTCTGAACTTTGCGGAGGGCGGCATCAGGGACGAGACCAATAACGACGCAGGGGTCGGAGATGCGGAAGGCGTGGAGTGAAGAGACCCGGCACGGAATGTATCGGTTACGGAGCTCGGTTGCTGTACTGCTATCCAACTTGCTTTCGGATATGATGATTATGTGTGTAGCATATTGGTAAATGCAATGTAGTAGGGTATCGTTACACGAGTGTACAGGTTAGGTATCCAATGAGGTAACAGTAATGATTCAAGAGCCTCAAGATTTGGTCCAAGGATACTTGGGCTCGGGGCTGACATGCTCGTGATCCGAGGGGGTGCCAGAAGGAAGTTTGTGGTAGGTGGTCGCAACTCCTTCGACGTGCTCGCCGCGCAAGGCTTTCTTGACACTTTCGGATGCACCATGGATGAGCTTCATGCACTTCTGTGCACTACTTGGCCCGTAGAAGTTGCGAATAATCTCAACCTCCACCTATAGGGGTAATACACTGAGTACATTGTCACGGCAGTCGTACGGCTCCAACATACATCGTCTCCGGGACCTTTACGTCGTTCGATGATCCTATGGCAGCCCTCCCGCCATTCCATGACTTCTTCTGTACCATCCGGGGGCATGTCCTTGTCGCTCCTGGGACAGAGGCCATCCTCGTGGTCGGAGTGATCCGAGCTCGAGCTCGCCGCCTCGCCCTTGCTCTGGGGACTGGCGCGAAGACGGAGGTTCATGCGTTTTCTCTCTTGAGAAGGAGGAGTGATAGTAATGTTGTTCTGGCTGTGCGAGAGCTAGTCGTTTCCAGCTATTCTCTTTATAACCTCCGAAGCGTTGTGCATGTTGTGGTGCATGATCACGGAGCTATGGTCCGGCAAGCACTGCGGCGATCTAAAAATACGTCGAAGCCACTTGCGTCAGCTGAGCTGGGCCTAAACTTGGAATGGCGCGCCAAAGCACCACGCCATTTCAGCGCGTAGGTGTGCTTAGTACAATATTACCTCACATCTCCGCCTGGATGTTGACAGATGTGTAGAGAAGTTGTCATATAGACAGACCAACTGTGCCCGTTCGATCGCTCCCTTGCGAAATGAAACAAGTCGAGCTACTCACTTAAGGTGATCTGGGAGCGCCATGTACGCGATCTTAGTATTAGGGCTCCAAGTTCCAAAGCCTTGCTTCATCTTCCATCCCGCATATCGCCACGAACCGGACAGTGAAGGTTCAAAGAACAACTGCGGGTCAGACCGTAGTATTGAATTGGAGGCCTTGAGGAAGGAAAACATGAGTTCTCCATTCATCAACTCCATATTCCTGCGAGCCACGGGGGCGTGGTCACTGCACACAGATATCATCAAAAAGGTATGGCGAAGCCTGGAGTGAGGCCTAGAAGGGACGCCCTCAAACGTGCGAAGCAACGACTCCATCATAGCTAGTTCTCCATTCAATAATCTCCAGTCCGGCGCGGCTTGGAAAGGGGTGTCAGCTGTGTCTGCTGGTACGGTCTTTGACGATCGAGACTTCGAAGGTCAGCTATCCGGTCCGGAGGCCGCATTTCGATGCTGCCGTGCTCATCGGAGGCACGAGTCTGAAAACAAACATGAAAGCATCGGACAAGCACTCGCTTACGTACGGAGACTGCCCGTCGTCCGCGTCGGAAGCTGAACGCAAGAGGCACATAGTCGTTGGACCACGCGGCATCAGGCCTCTTGCCGAATGGTTACATCGCATATACAGCGCTAATGTCAATAAGAGAAATCGCCTGCGCAATTTTGTCAAACACAAAGTCGTGGTTACCACGTGCAAACCCTGGACAGTACCTTCCACTATCCACACCGTTCACTGACCGCAAACTCGCCAGTAGTCTTCAGGAACTCCTCAACGTCCTTCCTCACCTCGTGGGTGGAGAACGCCACCTCGACGCTGTACGTCCCGATCGCCGCCCCGCCATCGTCGCCCACCTCCACTTTCGTGAGGCCGTCCCACTCCGCAACGTGTTTCCCGTCCTTCGTCCATTTCACTTCGTACTTCTCCGCATTCTCGACAGCGTGCTTCTTTCCTGCTTCGCCCACCCTGAACTGAGCCAACGGGACGAGATTGAGCTCGATCGTGCGCTTCCACTTGTTAGAGTACTTCGTGCACGAGGTAGTGATATCATCGACGAACTCGACGCGCCGTGCGAGCGCGAGCCAGAGGCCTTCCGTGCAGACGCTGCAGAAGTCCGGCGTGGTTACCTGACGCATGAGGCAATCCTCGTTGGTGGGGCGGTACGAAGTCTCATTTTTATCCGAGAAACTGTATGTTCGTCAGTTACGATACAGCGAGTTCCGAGGAGTTGGCGGCTTACGTGGGGAATACACCATAGTATCCGGGTTTAGACACAAATCTGCAGCGGGGGTGAACGACGAAGAACGAACTAAGATATGAGGTTGACATACTCGCTTTCATCGCCGAACTCGAGGATCTCGACGTTGCACAGTTGAGCAGTGTTCGCCTTCTCGCGTTCCTTGCTGTTGAGGATAAACGTGACAATGTGCTCTCCTGCCTTCAGACTGGTGTCGTTGTAGACATCATAGTGGTATCTGATCGACATGAGTCTAGCCTGAGTACAGAAAGTCACGTTGACCCCGAGAGATCGAACACTGACCTGTCAACACCAATGTTCTCCTTTGGCTCCCAGTTGAGGTCCCTTCCGTCAAACAGGACAGTCAACTCCTCCGCCGAGGGAACACCTGAGATGGAGAACCGGACAAGGTATCGCGAGTACGTCCCGGAGGATGTGAAAGTAGCGGACCAGGGCGTGGAGGTGTTCAGCATCGCCCAGGCATAGTCCTGGAGCGGCATCACCGAGCGTTCCACGCGCACCGGTCGCGAAGCGGAGGGCGGATCAGTGAGCCAATGAGACCAGCTCGGGCCGTGCTTGAGATCGCGGTCGTGGTTGGCATTGACGCCGAAGTAAGCGTACCCGCCGTCATATTCCTCGCCGACCGGGATGACAGAATGACCAAGCTCGTGTCTACGCGCGATCGGTCAGTCACTGAGAGTTAGAACACGGAAACACGTTTCACCTCAAAATGAGAGCTCCGTTTGCCTCAGATGGCGTGATAACCCTGAAGGAGCAAATGTATCTGTTTGTGCGTTCATAACCAACAGTACCGCAGCTCACGTAAACTGCCCTCCAAGTCCTGGATGATCACCAAGACATCAGGAGCAGATAGGAGGCCGACTACTTCAGACGCACCACCGTAAAGCGGGTCATTGCCTAGAGTCCATGGCATTGAACAACAAGAGCTGGTCTGTATCACAAAGTAAATGACCTAGCAGAATGGGGTAGTCGCATCTTGAGCTTTGGGAAAGGCAGGCTGCGCGAGCTTGATCTGGCTTGCTGTAGAGAACGCCGCGAAGCTCTGTACCAGGACGGTAGAGTCCAAAAGGGGTGCTATTGTGGGATATAAGCCGTTTGCCTCGTCAAAAAGCAAGCTGCTCACTCCTTGGGCTTCCCGAACGTGCCGATTCCGTGCTATATCATGCCAACGAATCAGTAATGTTAGGAGCGTTGCGCAGGATTGGGAGTAGTTACCTCGTTGCTGGGTGAGAACGCAGCCCAGAAGTTCAGGAGAGGTTGAACGGTATCGAATGTCTGGTTTGCGGATATTTCGAGTGCCAGCTTGGTGGCATCGTCGAGGAACTTCTGTTTTTCAGAGGCAAGGTCTACATAGCTGGAGTGGATATGGCAATAAAGATGGATATGTAGACTCACATCCGTCCGAAAAGAACATTAGGTCGACGCGGTTCGTCGACGGCCCGGACTGCACAATTTTGTGCACTTCCAGAGGAGGATACTGCAACTCTGCTCCGATCGCGAGCTTGGGCGACGTAAACACGGTCTGTTGCTGTGCATCAAACCGAGCAGCGGTCGATGTATGGGAGTCGACGAGCACGGGGAAGTCCCACTCGCTCGGATCTCCACAAAGCTTGCGAGCTTCAGTCCAGAGAGCATCTGCGTCATGAGAGTATGCACGAATCCTTGGGGGCTCCGAGGTGAGGTTCTCTATATGCACACCCCCTGGAATCGACGAGAGGCCCTTGTACGTCCCAAACTCGCGTAACTGGACGGTGCCGCACGCGCCAGAGCTCGCAGCAGGGTCTCGATACACGATCAGCTCGAAGGCATGCTCGAGGGTGGTCAAGCGCGTATTGACCGACGCGCAGACCGAGGCCGCCGACAGCGCGACGACCGCCAGAGTCACAAAGCTGGCTGCTCTGAACATAGCTAGAGGTCAAAGCCTAGTGTGATGCACGCACTATGATATAAGTACCGCGGTCCGCAGAGGGCCGCATAAGTTCAGGAAGCCACGCGGTGGGAGATAAGTTGGCAAGGAACATGGAAGGACGGCTCTCCGCCCGTCGCCGCGACCACGCGTCGCGTTCACCTCGAGCTCGGCGACATACCCGGCGCAAGTAATGACTACCGTATTACGACAACTCGCGAGATAGATAACGGTCCAAAATGCCCGGGCTTGATGAGGGGCGGTAGATAATGCCGAGGGCTTGATATACAGCAAGGGAGTGACATCTACACATTAATCCTGTGGACGATTAAATACCGTAATACCTAATCAAAGCAACACATTCAACTTGCAACCTCTGGAGGTTCTGCAGATTCGTGTTACGGTAGCAGAGTGAACCTGGCACAGCTATGACTCCATAGCGTTTGGATCCGTTTCTGTGGTATCCTCGTTATGAACCAGAATCCGCTTCCGGTCCTCGTCTCTGATGGAATGTATGCGTTAGTGAAGGTTTACCGTAGAATTCACCTGGACGAACCTCATCTCCCCTTCTTCGTCATCCTCCGAGCGTTTCCTCCGCGAGACGGTACGTTCCATCTGCTGCGGATATGAGGCTAGAGTCGCATTCGCTTTGTATATTGATTCGTATTCCTATCCAAGTTCCTTGGCATAAGACTGCGTGCGATGGGGCCAGTGATAGAGCAAACCGAGAACATACCTTGATCTGTGTCATGAATCCACTGTTGGGAGCGATACAGTATCGCCTGTTCTGGACCATGTGCAAGGCATCTTCCCAGGACAACTGAAAATGTTCCATAACGAACATGATTACAAACGAAGGAGACAGGCTGATGCCGCCTATGTAACATATAATCAAGATCAGGGATCTACGCAAAGTCAAGCAAAGGTTTTTACCGTTGCAGTGGACTAGTACGCGGCCCCCTCGGGCGATCGCGTCGTCAATGAATTTCTTTGCTCTGTAATGTGTACGGCCAATCATTATGCCGTTGCATCTTCAATGAGGGTTAAGAACGAACCCCGGGAATAGGCGGATAAGATTCTGGTCTTCCGTGTCTTGTACATCCAGAGTCATGTAGATGAAATGTTCCGGGAACCGCGGCTTCACTGAGAATGCCTCCTTCGCGTCTCGAATGCACAGACTGTCGAACATCTGCCGTAAGTCGAACCCGAGCCGCAACACAAGTCCGCGAATGATGATGCATACACATGAGTGATGCCCAGAGATTGCAGCGTTTCCAGTGACTTCGAAATCAGGAATGGACCAAGAAGTAATCCCGGTATGATCTCTTGACATTCTCGTCGCATCTCATACCTGCGATAGAGTGGCGCAAGGTTAGATCGTGATGATATTAAGAGGAGAGAGCGCGCCAGTGCCCGCGCACAGGAAGACAAGTTGTTAGTGTACGAACTTCCACTCGCTGTCACCAGGTCCTTGCACCATGTCCCGTAGTTCATCTGCAGAGAGTTGCGCAGGTCCAGGAGGTCGCGCCGGGGTCATTATCGTGAAGTACACTGGTTCTGGAAAGGGGAGAAAAGAAGCTGGGAAACCCAGAGGGCGGAACGTGTGCGTTGACCGTACAGTTGCAGGCTCGGGGTATAGCAAGAGTCCCAGATACTGGTATTATCTGAGTGCCGTGGAGGGCGAGAGGCACACGCGTATATGCCTTAAGGCACGGGATTAGTAACGGAAGTAGTGGTTTGTTGTGGGGTTTCGTATAGCTTCATAGCTTCATTGTCGACCATGTCTTCGCTCACACCGGACGCTGACTCGCCGTGGGACGACGACGATCTGTCGACTGCTCGCCCGTCTGAAAGCGCTGTCGCCGACGCGGATTGGGCCCGCCTCGAGTCCAACTTCGTCAACGTACGCAGCCATCGCGTCCATCTGCGATGCCCATCTCATCCGGCTTAGGCTGGCTACCGCGAGGGCATCACCGCCGGAAAAGAATCGGCCCTGCAAGAAGGCTTTGACGCTGGATTCGCGCAGGTCGGCGTGCCTCTTGGCCGTCAGGTCGGCCTCTTACGAGGACGTGCGGCGGCGCTGCTGAGCTTTCTGAGCGTGTCTGGGACCTCGGATAGCGAACATCTGCACGCGGCGCGCGACATCGCGAACAAGCTCGGGAGCATCCGCTTTTCGGATATTGCGCCGCGTGATCTCGAGGCGGAGCAGCACGCGAAGGAACATCTCGATTCTTACAAGGGAAGCGCGGACGCGGATACGGACCTCGGGGAGAATGAAGAGCTGGCGGATAAGCGGGCGATGGAAGGGTTGGAGGACCTGATGGCGAACATGTCCTCGGCAAGGCCTGCAGCCAGCTCTGGTCGTCCCAGCCTCGAAGACCTCCCCCAATTGGAGAAACAATTGGACGACCTGTGTTTGCATCTCGGAATCCCTCCTAGGAGTTGAAGTCCGTTTTGAACCTCGTGGTGCTACTGGAGCACGTCCGTTTCAAGCTGCCTTCAAGCCCAAAGCAGCTTGTTCAGGTAAGCACTTCAGCCCTTGTGGCACGACCCCACTCATACGCAATACCAGATTCGCCCATGAGCAACTTGCTATTCACGTTGAAAGAATGCGTCACAAAGAGGGCGATGGTCGTGGGCGTACGTTCCATGAAGTGGTTATGACCGGCGGCTCTGTTGACCAATGTCTTCAGATTCCCGCACATCACTGCACATCATTGCAACAGTGCAGAAAACCCGATGGCGGCCTCTGGCAACGGTTGCTGGAAACACCATCCGTATGCTAGGTCAGGCGTACCATTTGTCCGCGATGTCCTACATGGATACATCATACGTATACAGAGTTTGTGGTTTCCAGCTCTCGCCGAACTTAAAGGTACTCGTGTTTGCCCACCTTCAATACCATTTTCGTCACGGTTTCATGGACGGCTTCCTCGACAAGCTAGCTATGGCGAGGCGGCGTGTAACGACGAAAGGGACAATACATAGTGAGTAAACCGTGCGAAAGAGATAACGAAGATGTGGGAGAGAGCCGCCGCGCGGGTGGGCACGTCCAACCACGCGCGGCGAACCTGCGCACCGTTTTTGGAAAAGAACATTCAGTAACACTGAATCAAACGGTGCGAACGCCGTAGGGCGGGAAGGGTGGGAGACACAAAAAAGACGCGGGAGGCGAGAAAGGATGAGCAGCTGCGCGACGCGCGTGCGGGCTCAGCCTTTCTCGCCCAGGCTAGCTTGTCCTCTGATAGGCCAGAGCTCGTACCTCGCTCGTGCCCTATCTCCCATCAGTTCAGATACAGTACTGCCATTATCATCGCGGTTTCAGTGGGCATCAGTGGGCATCAGTGAGCATCACATGTACAGAAGATGACATGAACAGCAATCACAAGCACCGGTGAGGTCACGTGTTAACAAAATATGCAGGGGTCCGAAATGTCTAGCGGCGATGCCATTGGCTGGGAACTGCCGAGCTCTGACTGAGCGCTTTGCTGAGCAAGTCAATTTACGTGGTCATCGTGGTCTAAAATGGGCCGAGTTAGACAATTTCGGGGCGTTTCGATCAGCGTCAACATATTGGCGGTTCGGACCTGACATTAGCCATGATATATGTATGTTCTCGGTAGACCTGCCTCTTGTGCCACTTGAAGACCAGCAACGGTTCGGCCAACGTCATAACAGTCCCTGCGATATGTCGTCGCGCAGCCCCAGCCTCGGGAAGGGACCGCGTTCGCCCTTTCACGAAGGTGTTCACTTTGGGAGACTACATGAGCTGCTATTCATCATTGTCATAAGCTGTGAGTACGCTTCGAGAAGCTGCTTCTCAGTTACAGGTCTGACCGATTTCCAGGCGGACAACTAGTAAGACATCAAACTACGTTGTGATAGACATCGACCCTGAACTATGTTATAGTTCACGCAAGCCAGCCTAGGCCAGGTCGTTGTACCACTGGAGATCATTGCCAAGTCCTTGGGAACGTCTGACCCCGCTCAAGAGTCATGGACGATCGCCGCCTATTCCCTCACCGTGGGGACGTTCGTTCTGCCCGCAGGCAGATTGGGCGACATGTACGGCCACAGGAGGATATTACTCGCGGCGTACATGTGGTTTGCGCTCTGGTCTCTCATATCTGGGTTCTCCGTGTACGCGCGGTCGGTGATCATGTTTGATGTCTGTCGGGCCATGCAGGGCATCGCACCGGCAGCAGTTCTCGTCAACAGTGTCGCTATCCTGGGACGTACATACCTACCAGGACCCCGTAAAAACTACGCGTTCGCCATCTTCGCCGCTGCGGCACCCAACGGCTTTCTAGTTGGATGTGAGTTCATCGCCGAAATACATGGCGCACCACGATTAACTTTCTCCCAGCGGTGTTCTCGAGCCTATTCGCACAGTTCCTGTGGTGGCCGTGGGCGTTTTGGTCCGAGGCGATCGCGTGCCTCGTAATGGTACCCGCCGTGTACTTCGTCATCCCTGCAGACGTTGTTCTGGACGCACCCGATCCAGAAACAGATGTAGCAGCGTCGTCTGCATCTTCTGTTTCTTCGGAAATCACTGCAGGACCTCGGTTTGACTGGTTGGGCACTGTGCTCGGCATCAGCGGCCTCGTTCTCGTCAACTTCGCCTGGAATCAGGCGCCAGTCGTAGGCTGGCCGACGCCGTACACATATGCGCTTCTCATCGTGGGCATCATCCTCGTTTGCGCGTTCCTGGTGGTCGAAAGTCGCGTTCACGGCGCTCTCGTACCAACAAAAATATGGAATCGACGTATCAGCATGATGCTGGCTTGCATGTGAGTCGCGTTGTTGTGACCATTCGGAACAGCAGATCTGATTACTCTCTTTGATATCAGTGTCTTAGGATGGTCCACCTTCGTGAGTTGGTCGTTCATCTCCATGGTACTCGCGTTCCTGATAGTTCCGTCCTGTAGGGCATCTGGAATTTCTACGGCATTCGCTTCTTGATCCAGATGCGAGAGAACACGCCACTGGGGGCCGTCGCGGACTTCGTCCCATCTGGTGTTGCGGGTGCGATCGCGACGGTACTGACTGGCTTTCTCTTGCCAATGTGCGTACACTGACCTTCTATTGATCACTGTTCACCGTACCAACCGATTATTTTATAGTATCGGCCCGTCCTTTGTCATGGTTCTTGCACTCTGCGCCTTTTGTGTTGCGACCATCCTGTTCGCAACCGCCCCGATACATCAAACGTACTGGGCTCAGACGTTCGTGAGCATCATCATCGCTCCGTAAGCCTTCACCTCGCCTCACGCCAATTAAACACTGATCTGTTTCATCCCTTCTTACCCTCCCATATGGATTAGATTCGGCATGGATATGAGGCAAGTATCGCGGGAAAATGGACTTTGGCTGCTATTTAACTAGATTACCTCGTAGCTTTCCAGCAGCATCTCTCGTCGCCAGCAATTCTGTTCAACGTCATCAACGTGAGTAACTCCGTTGTTATGTGAAGATACGTGTTCACAGAATGGTAAAAACTCATTAGAGGGAATGTATGTGTTCATCCATTAAAGTCCTGAGAAGCATTGCTCATTGAACCCTTGAGTACAGTGCTGCCAGCCTTGTCAACACTTTCGTCAACTATTCTGTGTCCTTGGGACTTGGCTTCGCCGGCACCGTAGAGACGCAGCTTAACCGAGGAGGTAAGACGAAAGCCGACGTCCTGCGCGGCTATCGCTCCGCCTTCTACTTGGGTATCGGGTTTTCGTCCCTAGGCATCGGTGTCGCCCTGCTCAACGTGGCGCTGGATCATCGCGCCAATCGGAGGGTGAAAGCGAACCCGGAACTAGTAGAAAAGCACGCACAAAGCTCGCAGCATGGCGATGGACCCGAGACACGGTCTCACGCATAGAGCAGACTCTGGTAGCATCCGCCAGTAGAAGCAACGAGTCTGGGGCTGAGTCTCGCAATCATATCAGAACATATCTAGTATTTCATAGAGCACATAGTCCAATATTTTACCCTGTATTACATTGCATTTGATACGCGGTTATTTTCGTTTATATCGAGGCAACTAACTTGCCACCGTTCAATACCCTGTCTACCATTCTCTCCGATGAACCTAGGTAACGACCAGGATCGCACAGCTTCTGAAGCTGCTCCGCGGATAACCGATGATTGACATATACCTATGTTGCTCAGTCTATCGAGGATGCTTTTCCCCAACCACTTTTTTCCCACTGGGTTTTAGTGGGGGGGTTTTTAGTGCGCCGACATGGATCGACTATAGCGCAGGTAGGGGCCTGAAGAGGTCAGGACTCTGGGGTAGAACAGATAGTACGATACACCTGGAGTAGGGTATACAGTACGATACACATTCATGTAATTATGCACACTCTGGTCGAAGCGGTGTGTTGGCTCATAGAGCGGACGGGAACCGTGTAGACCAGGGTGTCCCGGCTCGCCACTAGTGCGAGGCCCTGGGGCCCGGCTGTTCCGGTATTGGGACCGCGCCGGTTAATACTACCTACCTACTACCTACCTACCACTATTCAAAACCTTCTGGTCTTCAAGAAGCAGCTCGTACAGCGGCCGCCCCTCGGTGGCCGATCGATGACACAGGTCATACACAAGATCGTGTGCGACCTGTCTTCCCAGAAAAGGGCCCAATCCCATCATGACAGCCTCGCTACAGATTGCGCCACGAGTGAGATCCAGGTTCCGCCGCATCGCATCCTCGTGCACCTCTAGGCCGTCGAGGACGTCTCGCGTTTGAATGAGGCAAGCATGGGCGAGAGTGCAAATCTGCGGCAACACGATCCATTCGATTTCCCATGGTCCCGTCGAGCGTTCGTGGTCCTCCACCATAGCGTCATACAACGCAGCGCTTAGCTGTCGGACGGTGCTCGCCATAGCGGTGATGTACACGCTTGATATAGGATTCCTCTTCTGCGGCATGGTTGACGACGAGCCTCGATGGGGGACGTACGGCTCGCTGGCCTCGCCGACCTCGTTTTGCATCAGGAGCTTGAGGTCCGTCGCGAACTTGGCGCAGGTCCCAGTCACAAGGGCAAAGAACCCGCCGCATTCGGCGATGCGGTCTCGTTCCGTGTGCCATGCGATCTCCGGCACACCCAGGCCCAGTTCAACGGCGACCTCATGCTGGCACCGCAGCGCGATGTCGCTTTCTCCCGAAGGGCTTAATGTAGCGAGCGTACCGGCGGCCCCAGAGAAGTCCAGTACCAGCAGTCGCGGAAGAAGCTCGGCCAGCCGCGTACGGTGGCGTTCGAATGTCGCGAGCAGCCTCGCAAGCTTGAAGCCAAATGAAATGGGGACGGCTTGCTGCAGATTCGATCGCCCTGCCATCGGGGTGGATCTGTATTTTGCGCAGAGAACACGCAAGCTGGAAGTAATTTGATCGAGCGAAGCGGAGACGAGTTCCATGGTGTCACGAAGTTGGAGGACGGTAGCAGTATCGGTCACGTCCTGAGATCATCGAGGGAGGTTACAACACAGACGCCGCGAAATATGGCAATTGTGCTTACCTGGGTTGTTGCGCCCCAGTGAGCCCATTCACCTAGCCCATCTTCAATCTCATTGACGGAAGTAACTAACTGCTTGACCACAGGTAGGACGGGGTAGCCAATAAGCTTCGTCTGCCTAAAATCGGTGAGAAGACTTATTAGCAAGTCCCTATTTTGGAGTTTAGGGTGCATAGTGTCAGTGCGAGAGCACTAGATGTGCTAGATTATCCATGTACTCCTGATCAAAGGTTCGGAGTGCGGCAACCATTCCAGGATTCGACCATCAGAGAGTACCAGGGGGTAGCACGTCCATCGCAGCTTGCAGCTGGGGGAAAGGCATCCTACTCACTCCTCCAGCTTGACCCAATCGATAAGTTCCAGAGAACACCTTTCAGATATAGCTTGCGCTGCATGTTTTGGTATGATTTCCAAGCGTGCCTGCGCTCGTGCCAAAGCAGCTATGTCGTAGGTTGGCATGAACTCTTGTAGGATAAGCCCATGCCTTCGATACCTTCGAAGTTCAAGTAATATTGCGTTCTGCGCTTGTCATTCCATATCTGTGCGCTCTCCGGTGTAGAGAATATGGTCCTGAAGATGACAGAGTCGGCCACAGAGGTCATAACGAGCTGCTGCCTTCCGACGACGAGAAGGGAAAATGTGTGAAAACAGAAAACGGGCCGCTCCGGATCCGTGCTAAGTTCAGCTCGCTCATCCTTGGCTCAGCTGGTCTCGAAACAGGCCTCAGGTTACACTTGCACTTCAACATCACTGCGCACCGATGTTCTGGACATCCGCCATAGCCCCAGCGAAAATAATTCATTCGGAGTACAGTTGCCGTGCTACCCTACTAGATCTGGACAACTCATTCTGTACGGTACGAATCGCCAGAGAAACAGGATGGCATGCTCGAAAACACTAACATGTCATCACATCGGAACATCGAGACACCGTAACAAGCAGGACAGAACCAGTCAGGCGCGACCAGCCCGGCAGCTAGTAAACGAACTGTTGCGTGCAGGTCAGAATCTGACGCGCCTAGCTCAGATGCTAAGTAAAGTCTGCTTCTGAGTCCGATTCCCTATGTCGCCTGCGGTCTGTCTCTCGCACTTTCACGTCGACATGGGTGGTGATAGCGATGTTCTGACAATATCGTTCGTATTGTTCGCCACAACGAACATCCGGCACTCACCCTAGTAAGGTCCGTAGACCTACCAAGTCCTGGAAATTCTCGAGCTGACCAAATCCTGAACACGTCTCCGTAGCATTCTGCTAGAACCGGGATGGCCTCGAGTCCCAACGCCTGAGCTCGAACATGGCACATTCGGTATCTCAGACAAAATCTTCCTTCTGCCTTCACAGAAATATCCTAGCGCGAGGAGACACGGTGAGCTCGTCTTCTAGCAGTAGCATAGTACATCCGCACCGGAAATGGGAACACAATGCGTTTCTTTCCCTGATACTCGATCTTGACGGCTTCCACGAAATGGTTACCTGACAGATCCGAGGTTCGCAGTGCCTGGCGATGAATGGGATAGTTGTTGGTCAATGCGAGAGCGTCTCCAGGTTCGGCAATGGTCAGCTCTCCAGGAACGTCTTGCATGTCGGATTCGGAGCCATCAGCTTCAATGGCGGCAATGGGAGGAAGACTGATGTCCTCACCCTCAACCACCGTTGTCGGCACCGCAAATAGGTCTACGTAACATACCATGCCCTCGGTTGGAATGTCACTGAAATGAAAATTAGTGGGTGAGCACGTTGATCCTGTGGTAGAGAACATACTCCAGCTGTTGAATCTCTTCCTCCGCGGCATCAGGCTCTTTATTGTCCCGAACATGGAAGAAAGTGGCAGACGCTACGGGCGGAGGATCGATCTGTCCACTATTTGGTCACAGTGAAAAGGTCGAACAATGTGAGGACAGACTGGTCGACGATCTACCCATACCGACAATGTTAAGCCATTGTGTAACCCATAGGATGGCGACGACAGTACCATTGGCACCGCACTTGCGGCCATGCTCTGCCTTCTGCAGCTCTCGCAGCTCGGTGCGAATAGTGTGATGGGCGAAAGGGCCCGTAGAGAAAGTCACCGATCTGCCTATGACGGCCATGTAGCTGGTGCAGTTCTTACGGCTTCGTGGTGTTGCACCCCCGGCTTATATGGCGAAAAAACAAGTGATGCACGCCACAAGCTCCGCAAACATGATGAGTGCATGAGTACGGGCAATTTGGCACGTTTGAACTCTCGAAGCTACCATCCGAGGACACGGAACCGAAACAAGGTACGTTTATCAGGAATGTGACAGGACGTTGCGGGAGATACACAGGAATATATCCGCGTTCGCAGTAGCCGTCATTATTTGCGTGCTTGTTTCAGGGTCAGGGTATAGATACATCGGTGCTAATGGACAGGTCGAGTGCTTTGACGTCCGCGCGCCTATTTCAGTCGCATCGCGTTGTTGTAGATTGAATGATTCGGTACTTCTGATGGGCAGGAGCGATAGGTTGAGCCAACTTGCCGCATACGCAGCAGGACCGCAGGAATACGAGGCAGGCAGGCGGTATGCCGTACGCGCACCGGTCAACAACTGAATGCAAGGATGGTCGTTACGTCCCCTAGGGAGTTCAGACGCGAAATGCAGCTATAGTCAGGTACTCATCAAACGCGATAAGCTCCTCATCTTCTTCGGCATCGTTGCGTAGACAAGGTCGAGGAATCGACGATCTCCCTTACCTCACTCTGAACCTGAACTGTGATCCGCTCTCCTTCGTGGCGTCTAAGAAGGGTGCGCTTCCCCAACTCCCCGGAACTTTGGAAGGTACCGAGAACACAAGGCGAGACGTCAGGGCCTTGCCCCTGATCCGGACCTGGCCGCGTCGATGTGCATTTCCTATGTGCAAACTTTGTTTTCGACATACGTTCGTGGAAATGTGTTGAATCTTTCGTGGAGGGGCTCGTTGTAGAAAATCTCTCTGCATGTATACCAAGTTTTCCAACGATATCGCGCGCAAGAAATCGGCGATGGGATGAAGTGCAGCGGAGGCAACTTGTATGATGACATGACCGATCGAGAATAAGTCGAGAGCGACGATGATAAGGGAGCTTGAGTTCCCAGATATATATCGTGTATATCATTGCCACGTTCCGCAGGGTTTCCCAACTTAACGCAAATTACGGTGGTTGTGCGGGCATGAGTCGCGGAGATATGCATCACTGATGCTCTATGGATGGAGCGCCCCTTTTACTGCAGCCCCCGAAACTCGGGAGAGGATCGAGCTGAATGAGCTGGGGTAACCTGCACCGGGTGGCGGTGTGCTGACGATGCGTTTAATCTCCGGCCGGGGTCGTCCATGGCATTTGCGTTGCAGCTAGGCTGTCCTAGCCTGCGCGGGCTTGGTAGGCATTGCCGGGCGTTCGTGTGCGGCCATAGGTCCGGGTTCTGCTACCAGTGGTGCGGCGCTCCGTCGGGTAGTGAAAAAACCAGCGAGCCGTACGCATTGGCGTTTGATGTAACCTGGCGCTCGGACCAGGACCTTGAAAGATTGATGGACGATCCACACGATGTAGTTCAGTCCCATCACCAGGCCGAAGAAGAACAACATGGTCAGCGTTGCGCTGGACCACATCTCGTATGCCACGCATACGAGGAAGAACATCAATGAGCTTGCTGAGATGATCAAGCATAGCGCAGGCACGCGGCTCGTCAGGCAGAAGAAGAAATAAGTGCCGTACGAGTCTAGGGCCAGTTGCTGTAATGCAGATCATGAGCACGCATAGAGAGATATTAGGTGAGCACGTACCCGGAAGCGCTCCGCATCGACACCATGGTATCGTACGATGTAGAGGGCATCTATGCACAGCCCCACGCCCGATGAAACGCTCGCTGCGGCGACCGCACGCTTGGAGAACGAGTCCATTGGGGATATTGAATCTGGAGAGAACCCGAAAACGGTCACGGCCAGGGTCGCAAGTGCGATAAGAAACATTCCGGATGCAGACCACTCGGTCCGCAGACGCCCGAGCACACGTTCCACAGCTTCATCTGCTTCCGGACTTGTAAGCTCCGTACCGCGAAGCTCCGTGTAGAAAGAGAAGGATGACACTGTCGACTGCGCAAGGGAGAGTGAACTAGAGGCGATCGAGTCCGCAAATGAAGCAGAAGATTGGACGCTGAACTGATCCGTGGAGTATTGAGGTAGTATACGAGCTGCGATGAACGACACGACACTGTACGGCGGTGGATGTAATGCCTTCTCTTCCAGGAGGTCAGATTCGGTCGCTTCGTCCTCATCGTAGCCAGGGAGGTCATTGCCTTCCTGGATGCCCATGGAGCTCTCGCCGTCGGTATCCAAGCACGATTCGTCAGAGGTGAAGATTTTGTAACCTCGAGGCTTCCTTCGACGTCGACGAATTTGTGCTTCCGGCTCCGCGTGAGTTTCAGAATATCCGTGATCTGTTTGGCTGCAATCGTCCGCGGGTTCAACTGAGTGGGGGTTAAGTCAGGAAGGCCAGCCCAAAGTGTGAACACATGATGGTTACCTGAGGCATCGGTACAATCAATTTTGTCTGAAAAGCCACCATCAAACCCATCTGATTCCTCGCACAGCGTCGTATCCTCCGTTGTCGACTGAGCCGTTGATATATGGGAGGTGGACGGTAGCAGAAGCTTCAATGTTATGGATGCACTTGTGGGGTGTTGACCTTTTCTCGGAACATTTGTCCCCGAACGGCACGAGCTGAGGCGGACATCGAGCCCTTTCCCTATCAAAACCGGTCGGTGATTTGGATTTTATGAACCGAGGGGCGGACATACTGGGATGCTGCCGATTCACTAACTCCTTCAGAGTGACCGACGTGGACGCGACGAGGACCGTTTTCCGCTTCTTCTTGCTCGGCGGTTTGTGCCAAACTCGGACCTCCAGCTTCGAATCCAACTTCGTCGGTTTCCTGGAGATGCACCTTCGTCACAGGTAACCCAGAACAAGACGAATGGCTTACAAAGGGAGGTATGCCTTCTGGTTGGGGTTCTCCCCATTACATCCAAGGCAGATCTCGTACTGCGGATGCTGGTCGAAATCAATCGTGACGATGGGTCTCCACGCCTTCTCCGGGCGAAGGAACGACAATCCTCGAGCACGGGAGACTTGAGAGACAATAGTCAGTCACTATCATTCCAAGAGGGCGCTGATTTTATACGCACCTATCAGAGAAAGAGATCTAAACATTGAGTAAGATGTCAGAGTGCTACGACAGTCATGAGACGACTCGGACGAAGACGTACTCATGATTCGCCTCCGACTCCATCCAGTATGACCTCGGCATCGTCAGCCGGTAAGGACTAGGGCTTTTGGGTATCGTTAGAAAAGAAAAAAGTAATGGGTATCGCGAGGCAGCAAGAGCGTAAAGTGGAGAGGTACTTGAAGCGTATTATAAGTAATTGAATCATGGCGATGCGGGTGCGCGCTATGCAGTGCTATCGCGGAGCCTGAGAAACGCAGCCTCTTTCCTCGTACCACGTCAAACCACGCCCTTGGCCTTCAACGCTGCGACATCTTGTATTCTAGAATGTACACATCAATATACACCCAGAAACCAATACTCTCCGAATCAACCGAGTGACATCCATTTTCAATGAGCGCCAGCACGTTACATACATCAGTGATATTCATCCCAAACACATCACTACCCCGTCGCTTACGTTAGCCACGTGGTCCGGCATCCCGAAGTTGCGTCTTACCTCGGCAACCTCAAAGTCACAATTCCTAGGTTGCGCTCCTACCATGTCTTCGGGGGAAGGGGATCTTCAACCAGCATCCGTGCCCAAAGCCAAGCGAGTCAAGGCTGCCAAAGCATGCGATCTCTGTAGACAGAAGAAAAGTAAGGATATCAGTTTTGCCGTTTGGGGCTAGTCCTGATATAAGTTACCCACAGTTCGATGTGAGAACTGCATTAGAACTCGGCACAATCCCTCCAAGCTAACTGCCCGGAATTGAAGGTGATGCCCAAGAAGGCTCCGGGTCTCGATGTTCTTACTGTGTAACGCATGGTTCGGAGTGTACCTTCGGATCTGAGAGAAAGGTGCGCATCGACCATTATCTCCATGTATCAGTTGTCTGAAATCCACCCAGCGTCCAGGGCGTCCCAACAAATATGTTGAAAGCCTGCAGAAACGCTTGAAACATCTGGAAGACGTTGTGCATAACGTAGGCAGAAACGTGCTAGCCATTGTATCATCTAATCATTTGCTCCTAGCTTCGACCTGACATAGACCTTGCGCAGGAGCTGGACGCTCTTACTCTTGACTCCGACTCGGATGAGGCCCACTCGATTTTACCACATGTAGACTCGCAGACCAGCACAAAGCACACATCTTTTATCATGTCACCAACACTTCCCAATCATGCTTCGCCCACCGATACCCACCTTCCGGATTCCAGCGATGATGAGGAGTTGGACCAGCGGGCTATTCGTCAACTTGTTAACCAGGCACATCATCGGCCTGGGGATACTTTCTTGGGCAAGTCGAGCGCGGTGCATTTCGTACACAACATTTACAAGAAGAAGTACGATGTCAAACCCGACGATGCCACTTTTCCCCAGACATATCAGAACTTCAGGGAGCGGTTTCGTGGAAGGGAGGAATTCTGGAGCCACCACCCAGTGCGTGCTCATTCACGAGTCCGCCGGACAGCCTCTGACCTCCTTGCACAGTATATGATGCATGCCTTCAACGAAGACAGGCCCATACATTCCTTCCCTGTCCCACCTTTGATCACGCATTTAGTGGACATCTACTTCAACCGTATCAACCCCTTCCTACCTCTTCTCCATCGACCTACCTTCGAACGCGCTTTGGCAGACAATCTACATTTCAATGACTCCGGATTTGGATCGGTCCTCCTGCTTGTTTGCGCCAATGCAGCCCGGTACTCTGATGATCCTCGGGCTTTCGACCCAAAGCAACCTGAAGCCAGTGGTTGGGTGTGGTTTAACCAGGTCACGATTGCGAAGCATGTGGTAACGGGTGCTGCTCGATTACATGATTTGCAAATTTATGCGGTATGTCACGACCCATAGTCGCTCGTTCTTCGGTCCATTCACCCAATCTCCAGCTCGCTGTGACGTTCTTGAAGGTTTCCGTGCAGCCTCAAGCGTGCTGGGGAATGGTAGGGCTCGGGATTCGTCTTGCTGTAGACGCCGGTGTCCATCGTCGGAAGACCTACAAACTGGGGAACACCCCCGAGGGCGAACTGTGGAAACGCGCATTTTGGCACGTTGCCTCCCACCACAACGTGCATGCAGGCTAAAGCTGACATAATACGCTAACCAGGATCCTGGTCCTCATCGATCGTCAGATTAGTTGCGCTATGGGCAGACCCTTCAGCATACAGGAAGAGGAGTGAGTCATGTTTGCAGTTGTACGTCTTCATGCCACCTCATAATACTCTCAGTATGGACGTTGATTACCCAGTCGAATGCGACGACGAGTACTGGGATGTTCCAGGACACGAGTTCGAACAGCCTCCGGGAAAACCCTCCTATGTATCGGCATTCATCCAAAACATGAAGCTGACCCATATTCTGGCGTTCGCGATGAGAACAATCGTGAGTGCGCAAGGGAAGTACCCTGAACAAACATGCTGAGGCAGCAAACCAGTATTCAATTGGCAAATCAAAGGCTCTCCTAGGTCTTGTGGGTGACGATTGGCAGGAGCGTACGATGGCTCAGCTCGACTCGGCATTGAACAGCTGGAAGAACTCATTGCCAACTCACTGTGAGCATTCAATCTTTTGCTACGCGTGCGCAAGGTCACGAGTTTGCCAATAGTGCAGTGGCATCCCAATATCGAGGAGCCTCTCGCTCTGGAACAATCCGCCTATCTTTATACCTCTTACTATCTGCTCCAAATCATCATCCATAGGCCATTCATCACACCGTCAAGTCGCTCCTCGCCGCTTTTCTTCCCTTCGCTTGCCATCTGCACTAGCTCTGCCCGTTCTTCCGCCCATCTCTATCAGGCGATGCAAAGACGGGGCTTCCAACCGTTTCCACAATCTGTGGTGCGTAACCTTCGCGCTGAACAACATCACATCGCCTCACGGCTTTCGTTGAGAATAGGCTTGCTTATGGATGAGTGGTATCGTCCTTTTCTTGAATTTATTAGGCTCCAGAAGATCAGGCAGAACCAAAGAGGCAGCGGAAACCAGAAAAGATGCACAGATTTGCCTGGATATCCTTGACGAGATGAAGGACAGGTTCGTCTATCCCGAAACCCGCTCTAACTCGTTGAATTTCGAGCTAAGGAATGAACGTAGATGGCCTATCTGCAAGGGAATGATGTCAGTTTCTGCATTGAAGCGTCTACACCCATGATTGATTTACCAACGCTGTAGATTATCGCTAGAAGAACTGGCCAATACCGCCGACAATGTGCAACCTGTTCCGTCGGCAGCCGTTCCGCAGTCGAGTACGCAGAGTTCACCGTCGGAATCATCAAACTCCGACGATTCTCCTTTGTCCACGGTAGCAACGCCGGAGATGTCAACGCACTATTATGCGGACCCAATCCAGTTGGCCGAACCAGAGTTATCACTGGGGCATGACCTTTACGATCCACAGTCCTACTGCGGTGCCGTTCCGCAACAGGCCGTTGCGTTTCCTCCGGATGGCAACCTGGCTAGCTCGCTCGCAGCTTCATACCTTTCGATGCCGACGAAGAACGAGGAGATCAATCTTCAACCTGACCCAATGTTTACGAATTTCTACACCCACGAAAACACTTTGCGCTACAATCTCGACGCATCGTATTATCAAGTTACAGACGGGATAGGTAATTTGGCGTCAACATCGATGAGCACTTTCAACCCTATGCAAATCTATGGATGTGAAGATGCAAGTGACCTTACTTTATCCTTCGACGACGCTGTCGCGCTGTGGTCGTCTGTGCCAAACACTGTCGAGTAAGTAACAATCACCAGGGTTGTATGAGACGCTGACATGGGCACAGTATGAATTCTTGGGCAACATACAACCCGCCTACGTCCAACGAACAATAATCGCACCTACACTTGCAAGCATGTGGCTTTGCGTAACTCAACGTGCGCCTGCCTTTTGCCATTATTGTGCTTGCTTAAATGTCCTGCCGATTGTATCTCGTATAAGACCTGTATTCCTATGACCTAATTCATACCCCCATTCCGGACTTCGTACTGCATCTCACCGTGTCGCTTTCGTTACATTGCTTGGAATAGAACGCGAGATGCATCACCCCTCACCTCCTTGCCATTGCCATGCGATCATTACATACAAACGATGATGGTGTCCATGGTGTTTCGTGTGGACGGACGACAAGCTTCATTCCGCTTACCTGCCCCTTTTGGAGGAGCTCTAAGCCTGCCTCAACCCCTGCCAGACCCTTCGGCAAAACGCGCACGCGGTTGGGCTGTCGAGGCGTCGCTATGAGCGCCTGTGCATCGACAGGAAGCAGAAGAACAGCGAACCTTAACAGAGCCATCTTCGAGGTGTCGAGGACAGTGCTGAGCAACGCCACGACAAAGCGCTTGATTGCCTGGAAGGGTGAAGCTCCCGAAGACGTGCGCGATGTGCTTATTCCCTCGGTTGTCGCGCACTTCTTGAGAGGGAGGTCCGAGAAGAATGATAGTCCCGTGCGGGGCGAGGATGTCCAGCCCCGTTCTCTGCGCTTCCGGGACGCTGGTGGCATCAAAGACGACCTCAATGGGTGCAGTCGCAATCTTGGCGACCTCCGACGCGAAAGACGATAGAAGAAGCGAGCGCGGGATGACGTGCTTCGCACCTAAAGAAAGAAGATGATCGGTGTTGTGCGGCGAGGCTGTGACGATGATGGGTGAAAAGCCGGAGAGCCGGGAAAATTGAATTGCTGGAGGACGGGGCTTGAGCAAGCTACGAGCGCTAGAGAAGATAATTATTCACCGTATTGGCCCATGCTTGTAGCACCGCCAAACAATATGAAAGGTTTTCACATCTTACCTACATTGCACGAACTTCTGTACAAGCTGTTCGAGCGCGTAACCGCAAGGTCATACAGAGCATGAGATATATCTGCCACTGTGAACACAAGCTTTGGGTACACAAAGTCCAGACTGGAAGGCATTGACGGAACACCAGATGCCGTGCCGGAGTAATCCATTAAAAGCATTCCGTGGCCATAGTTCAAGTAGTTGTTTCAGACAAGGATGCACCACAAAAGCACGCGATGGGTCCAGGAGAGATGATATCTTCTTGATGGGCCATGATGGACGCCAGCTCGTCGTGCCCATACCGACTCAGACGTTCACCGAGTCTCCAGAGAGAGACATGCCGATATCTTCGTAACACCGAGTAGTATCGGGAGAATCCATCTAGTAGTGTATAAGTACAAAGTGCACGACGACAGCCTGAGTGGCTGTGCAACACGCATTGTCGCCAGCGTCTTTAGCATTCGCTGGTCCATAGTGCTCTCCACGCGACCATACTTGGTGCTTTGCTCAACTCTCCGCGTTGTGATTTGCTCTCGTTCAACAATCTACCGCCACGGACGCTTCATTGCCCGCGGGTCGGGTTAGTCTTGCCACCTACCAAACCGCTCGCATTGGTCCTGCAACTATAATCGAGCTGGCAAGATAACATGTTCGTATCCCGCACATCCGCGATGTCTCTGAAACTCATCTCATGCAAATTACAGTGCTTGGCTCCAAGACTTGTGCTGTTTAGAAAGTTGAAGACAGGGATGGCACATATTACGGAGGAGACCACATCCAGAGAACCGTCCCCCGAGGTTGGGTCGTCAGAGGATTCAAAGGAGATACCAGTCATACTAGAGCATCCGTCTCAACACGAAGAGAAAGGATGGCCATTGGAGAGCGTTGTTGCATTTGTTGCAGCGGTTTGCCTTGCTCACTTCCTCATTGTCACTGGCGGATGGACGAACAAGGTGGTAGGATGGTTGGAAGGGCTTGGGATCCGGCAAGGCTAACAGTTTAGTATGTTTGTATTCGGTGCTTGTATACAATGGGTAGATCACGAATGGAGATTACAGGGTCTGTGTCATTATGGCGAGATTTGACACCAAGAATCACGTTCGCGAACAGCGTTGAGCGACTGGTTCCGAATGCAGAACTGTTCAACAACGGGCGTATGTAGATGCTTCCTTGAAGTCGAGATGTCCTTGATTAAATGTACGGCCCCTGCGGCGCAGAAGAAGAGCTGGCGTGTTTGCTAGGTCCGGTGAATCTGCCGACTAAGTCGCAGAGTCCCCGGAGAGGACAAAGAGCGGTCCGCAGTCCTGATGCTTCGACCCTGCCAGTACGAGGCTGCAACGGCGACACGCTGCGCTGCGAATTGGGTTCGCCAGGGTGTGGCTTGGTATCACCCGGATACTTCGGGGGTGGATGTTCCGTCTTCAAGCTCAACGGCTGCTTTACGACCACCTCAATTATCTCAAATCTTTCCAGCGCGGAAACGACTGCTTCATAGGTCAGTACGTTCCTGTAGGCATGACCGGCACACCCTCTCACCCGTGCCCCAAGCATTCGGTGCTATTTTGACTTTGCTAGGAGTACCCTGCACGATAACCCCGACCTCGAAACAAATCTGTTCACTGGGGGTGGATCCTAGGCATCGTGGATATGCAGATTTTGCAAAGTCCACCGCTTGCTGTACGCCTGAATAAGTATCTACGTGTGCAGGTAGCCACGCCGATTGTACTAACTTCGTAATTCAACGCAGGGGTAACGTATACCAACTCGTCTTCGTGACGGTAAGTCACCAGGTCGACGGGTTGCCGAGCTGAAGAGACAGGGATATTGGCCAATGAAGGAGAGGTGTAAGGGCAATTGAAGGCCATCATCAGCGTCTTGGACGTCTGTCCTGAGGATGTGGTCTTGGAATGCACAATCCTTACATTATATACTGTACATGTCTATAAGCTGTAGTGGTAGCGGCTTAATCCATGCTAGGAGCGGTGGTAGATCGTAGTTTTGGCGCTTGACATGGATCGAATTTAGCGGCAGTCAGGCTGTAAATGAATGATATTTGGACGGGCCGAGGCTATGCGCACTGGCTCCTGAAACGCGAGTTAGCAGCGACAAATCTGGCGTTCCAATGGCACGCTGTCGACTGCACGAGTGGCGTACGTGCAGCGCAGCAACCGGCTGTTCCGCTACCGGGACCTCGTCGGCAATCTACCTACCTACCTACCTACCTACCTACCTACCAACACGGACACAGCAACATGCTATTTAAACCTGTGCCAGTAGGGCATCAACGGCCACCGACGTAGTAATTATTCTGCTGTTGCGCTATCGTCTGCAGAGGCATGTGCGGGGCAGAGTCATCTAGAGATCTATACTTCTCCCGCTTGGACGCCAGCGGCAGGATGGCGTTCGCCCTAGGCTTGGTTTGACCACCTCGCCTCTTGCAGCAGCATTTCCAAACGATGAGTCCTACACTGGCGAGGAAGATAACCAGCGCGCCGAGAAAAATGTAGGGCCAGTTTCGCAGAACCTCGCCCTTTAAGTGCTGCTCTTTCTCAGCCTTGGACTCCGGAGAGGACTGCGCCTCGCTCTCAGGCAGGAGCTGGTGCGCAGAGTCACCGGTGGTATCGACCCCGCCGAGCCGGACCTTGACAAAGTCGGAGTGTGCCTCGGATGGATCTGTGAGGGGAAGTAGTTGCACGAAGGGATCACCGCGGTCGCTGGATGCGTCTTCGATGAAATCACCGTAGTCGAGCAACGTGTAGGCGTTTCGCACTGCGGCACATTGGGCAATTGTCAGGAAGAGACAAGATGAGACGTTAGTTACTCACGGAATGCCATGCCTACAGCACAAGCATGCATCAGTCGCCAGAACTACCATGCATAGCACTCTTCATACCAAGGATCATATCGTACTCTCCCAGTAAACTGAATGCAGAAGTGATGGGTTGGAACTGCCGACGTCACTCAGTAGAAGGGAGGCAGAGAGACATAGTCGCTCACAGTGCCTACGCAGGCCGTAGAACCGTTGGCGAAAGTTGCGCCAAAGTCATCGCTACTGGTATCGAGCGGGTGCACAGGAAACGGCAAACCGCCCAACTTGATGGTCAGGTTCACTGCGTCCACGTTACGTCAGCGGCTGTTGAACACGCCCTTTTGGCGAGGCCTCACCTTCTTGGTTGCATGGAAGCAGCCATAGCTCGGATGAGGAGGAATATTCGGCGCCTTGGATACGACCATAGATAGCATCAGCAACCTTTCGAGGAACTTGCGGGCTATATATGCGGGGTAAGCATTTCGGCGTGATATATAAAGGCGCTTCAAGGCGTACAAAGTGAAACCGGAGTCGATGACTGCCACAAGCTGTCCATCGGGAACACCATGTACGATAGAGTCGTGTTCAATAACATTCCCATCCGGTCCAATGACGCCTTCCTTGTCAATTAGAACAGACCAATGTTGATCCTGCTTCGTCAACCTTCTGACAGTCTCGACGTCCATCTTCTCCATGTCGCTGATCTTCTCGAACCCTGGGATGATCTCGGAGATCGTCAATTGACCGGTGAATGAAGATGTCGGATCGTCCTGCCGATCCAATAGAAATGATATAAAGTTGGAAGAGGTTTCATTCTGTTGGAAGATTCTGTTCACGACATTGTTGCCCGCCGCGCTGTCGAGCTTGTCGCGAATGACGGATCCTGAGTTCGGCCCTAGACCAATCAGGCCCTCGTAGCCCTCGGATGCGATGTTGGCCGAAAAGCTCGACGTGTCAGTTACGAGAACTATCCCGATGTGAGCCCTCGTGCTTCGCCGCAACGAAGGTACGTACGATACGCCTGGTTCTCCACCGTATAATCGTCGAAGGTCAAGGTCGCTGTGTTGATACTGCCTTTCTAAAGTGATGAATACATGCGCGTCTATGACTTCAATCCGAAATACCTTTGGCTGCACCCACAGCATAGGACAACGTCAACGACTTCCCGGTATCCACGGTGCCCGGAACGTCCCCAGTAACCCACAGGTCGGAGCTGACGCGGCGTCAGTTGCATTCCCATGTGGTTAACACGAGCGGAATGCAGACCTTCCCGTGTCCAGCATAACCGGCTTGGTGACGCCTCCGAGCGTTATATTGCTGATATAGAACGCATTCCGGGTATTCGCCACCGGTATGGAGCTGTTGCCCGAGGTGTTGGAGGATCCGGTCACAGTAGTCCTCCGCGAAAGCGAGTGAGAACCGTGGTTGTGTTTGACGTGAAATGGTATCTTAACAGCTTGTACAGCTGCGACGAAAAGGTATAAGAGAGAGAGGGGTATAACTGAATTTCCCATGCGGAGAGGATGCGTCGAAACACGACAGCTTGAAAAGAGCGACTGGGGGCAAATAATGCAGACTATCTGGACTAGTAGAGACAGGAAAGCCGAAGCAAGGTATCCAGAGTTGAGGTGGTGGTGGTTAATTATAGGGCGCGTCTCCGGAGTGGCGGTCACACTTCGCCGCTGCACGCATCACCGCCGCTGCAAGCACAACTAAGTCACGGTAAATTCGTTGACAAGTTCGATCGCTTAACGTGCGCGAAGGTCCGATCCCAACACATATTAGTTATGTTCAAACATCTACTAGTAGCATACAGTGTACGTTGGAAACGAGCGCATCATTCAACGAGCATCTTCGTACATTGGTATCATGCGAACAAATCAATGTCAACGGAACCGCTCAGGCAGTCGTCTTGCTTGGCCGCGTCGACGTGCTGGGGATGATACTGAACGCATCGCTGTGCCAGTCGTTGCCGGTCTTCGCCGCTTCAACGCGCTCGTTCGCGCGGTTCACGTAGCCGGATGGATGGCCGTGCTCAGGCAGGAGAAGATGCTCGCGGTCGGTGACGACTTGGAACTTGCCGGTCTTCTGGTCAACGTGCTGCGCCTTGCCTTTCGCCTCGCCCTTCTTGCTCTGGAAGAGCTGTTGAAGGACTTGCGTGCGACTAGCGTCATCCGCAGCCTTGGCCTCCGCCATGCGGTCACGAACGCCGACGAGCTGGCCGTCGATGTACTCGAAACCGGTGGTGATAGCATCGGAAATCGCCTTTTGGATCTGTTTCTTCACCAAACCAGTCGCGAGGGGCTTGAGCGTCTTGTACAGCAAGTCGTGTTTCGAATCACGGATACTGAACTTCAGCGTGTCGACCTTGACATGGACATTCTTGACTTTGAAGATGCTGCTCTGATCCTTGCCAGCGTCGGCAAGGTGAACAGTGACAGTCAAGCCTTCGCCGCCAAGGAGGACGTCAGCGAGACCGCTGTCCTCGAGCTTCGGGAACCCTGTCTTCTTGCGGAACCAGAAGGCAACGTCGCGCATGTCGCATTGCATCTGGGCGAAGGTGAACGTAAACCTGCGCAATAATGTGAACAATAGGATAATGGGCCACGTGGAAAAATACGTACTCATTGTGATGCTCATCCTTAATCGCATCGTACGCACTGAACTTCATGAAGTTGTGCGCCTCGACGGAAACGATGTTGGGGAATAAGTTACGGCCGCTGAGGGTAAGGTTCTCCACGACGAGATCGATATTATCGTCGGTGTACTCGATGCGCGGAATGGGAACATAGCCGACATTGTCGACGAGCGTGGGCAGAATGACCTTGCGGATGTCAAGCCACAACTCGGGCTTGTACTTAAGGTTCCCCTCGCTGTCGAAGAGCAGGTCTTTGGTGAGTCGAGCCCAGTCTTGTCCGAATCTCTGGTTCAAAGGATCGTCACCCATGGCCTTGAAGAAGCCGCCAATTGTACTGAAGAGGTTGTCGAAGTGACCCTTGTACTTCTCGTCGTAGAACTGACGGCCCGTGTCACGGATCTCGACAGCCTCGTTATTGCAAGCGGGTTCCAAAACAAATCCGGGTTCCAACAAACACTTCGAGGAGGAATTAGTCGATGGGAAAAAAATGGGTAGGCCTTAAGCATACCTTGCGCACGTACGCATCGACGCGCTTGAACCAGTCGCGAAGCCCGCTATCGTTGCGCGAGTCGGTAATGAGTTGGTCAACTGCGGCCCAGATCTCGTCGGTGCTACGGCCGTTCGCGAAACGCTCGATGAGAGTGCGGAACTCCTTGGACGCGACAGTGAATGAATCTTGCGAAGCCGACGTCTGGCCATGCTCCTTGGTGTTTTGGGCGGTGTTCTGAGCGTGTCCGGCGTACTCCTCCAGGTATCCGAGAAGCCAGCGAATCGACTCCTGATAATCGTCGTGCTTCTGACATTCAACGATGACCTTCTTCATGCGGAAGATGAATTGATCACGGCGCTCGGGAGGGAAATATTCGTCGGAGAAGAACTCCTTGGCGCGATCACGGTGTTCACGCGCACGCTCCTTGTGCTCGTCGGGAACGCGGTTGGTGACTTGATCCTTATAGAGAATGGTTAGCGCTACGGCCGAACAACCTGTGTGAAGGATCATACCCTAACACCACGGAGGCGATCCATAACCGTGCGCTTGCCCGCCCCCTTCTCTTCTTCATTCTCAGGGATACCGTTCGTTGTGTTGGCGATGTCGTTGGCGTTGGCTTGCGCCTCCTGAGTGGCACGATCCTTGGCTTGCTGTGCGGTGTCGTACGCCTGATCGCGCAGCTCTCCGCCGCGACGAACCTGACCGTCCTCAGTCTTAACAGCGGCACCTTCTCCAAGGGGCTCGTGAGGATGCTGGGCGACTCGGTGTCCCGTGCCGGGAACGCGAACCTCAGGTACAGGGGTGCCATCGTTCGGACCGATGGTACGGCCACCCTCGGTCACGAACTGATCACTGGGCGCGGTCTGGTCGACATTGCGAAGCTGTTCTTCGGACGGGCGAATGCCCTCCGCAGCTTTCGCTGCTCCACGGGCAAGCAAGTCACGGCCAATGACGGTGAAGTCCGAAACGAGTTTGCGGGCCTCGGAGTTGGTGAAAACGAGAGAAAGCAAAGTACGCAGATGCTTCACAGCTGCAAATGCCATGAGTATAACGAAACGCGACAATGAAATCACCATACCTTGTTGACTGTCCTGCTGCGCCTTCTGTTGATCAACAGTGGTCAACGCAGACGGGTCCTTCTTGAGACGGTCATAGTCGACGTCGCGTGTGTGCCAGACAAAGTTCTGGAAGACCTCGTCGCTGTTCTTCTCCAAAATCATCTCGCGCGCAGTCTCCACGATATCGCGGGTGTCCTCGATGAGCTTGCGGCCCTCAGGCGACAGCGAGTTCAGGTCCACGGGCGAATTGTCGAGAACGTAACGGAGCGTCTCGTCGATCTGGGCATTGGATGGCAGACGGCCATCGCGGAAGGCTTGGATGACGCCGTACAAACGAAGCTAAGTGGTAAGGCAGATTAGAATTTATCCGACGTCTACCCGGGAGATGGCGCTTACCTTGCGGTCGACATCGGCCTCTTTCTTCTCGCGGTTGATGGGGTCGACAACGGAACCCTTGGTGGGGTGGTCGCTGATATCCTTGGGGGCGATGGGCAAAGACATATTTGGTCGTTAAGTGGTCGTAACAGATATTAAGTCGTAATAGTACTAGGTAGTGGGAGACGATACGAAGCAGTTTGCGTCGGGAGGAGCGCGGTAAGGAACCTTTATGTACCGACGGATGGAAAGTATGACGCTCGGTGGTAGCAATGACTTCATCGTTGGAGTGCCTAGTGGCCGACGCGTATGACGCCTATCTCAGCCTGTTGTCTCTATATCGGAACCAGCAAGAACGCCCAAGTGGAGTAACATATGTATGCATCCAGCGCCACCGGCCTCCGAGTTCGCGTTCAGTTCGAATGACCTGCGCGCGACGTGTGCGAACCGAACAGGCAGGACAGTACGTATATGGCGGCGTATTTGTGGATGCGTACGCGACTCCTCGTGCTGCCTCCGTTTCGAGACGGCTAGCCTGGATCACATCGTCATACTGCGATCGAGGTAGCAGCTCGGTAAACCGTCATGGAAATGCTACAGGACTTGGAGCCAGAGAGGAGCGACGTTGGCGAAGGGGACAGCAAAGTGCACGCGACTTCTACGGGTCTTCCACATGGCGAGACGCGTGGCGTCATACCCTAGATCTGTACACAGCCACGTCTTCAGATAAGATGAGATGCGAGTCCAGTTGCGCTGTAAGTTACACCTATAGCACAGCAGGGTTGCGCACGATACCGTGCAGCTCACATCAGCCCCAGCTACTCTTAGTAAGATTAGCATCGATATATGTGAGCGCTGAACTCACATAGCACCAGAGATATACATATCTCGATGATACACCGCAACGAAGTGCAAAACACCATGCTGTACATGTGCTATTTTTCCAGTTATGTCGAAGTGCGGTAAGTAGTCAAATTAGCTATCCGATACTGTAATATGGCGACAGTAACGTAAAATCTCCGACCCTTGATACGTAGATAGGGGTAAATTTACGTTCTACTTATTGCGGACGAGTATATTGGGACGTAGTCCACTGTCATGTCACAAGGCCCAGTTTGAAAGCTACTTCTTTGTCACTTTGTTGTGAGCGGTCTAAATACTTACTGATTGAGAGATAAGGGTGCGACATCCGACAAGAGTTATCAGAATCGACAATAGCAGGCAGCCTCAAAAGCAATTTGAAGCTCTTATGTAACCGTTGAACACGAAAGTTAGATCTACCATGTAAAATAAATAGTCTACCCATTAACCATCGGAGCACAATGCGATACCAGTCGCATTTGTAACGGTTTTCAGTCCAATACTTATACTTATGGCTGTACTTACTAATATGCGACGTCGAGACAACTTGTGATAGTCCTCATTAATATACCCACTTTTGGCTGTGGAACGCTCACAGCTAGAACAGTGAATGAAAGTAACAGCATGTTGCCGCTATGTTCTGCTGCGAAACAGACAGTGCAGGCGGCGGGGTAAGTAGGCACGGGCGCTACCAATTTGGCGGGTGGCTGTATCGTTCATTTTGGGCGCTTACAGGGACCGCATCATAAACTCCGTCATATCCTCCGTCGGCACGGTTCAGTCCAAGGCCCAGGTTTCAAGTCTCGCTCCATTTTCTGCCTCTTCCAGCGTCCCCGAATCGGTATGTCATGGGCTTGGCGCATAGCTGCACAAAGCTTGACACATCGATTATCAGGACGGCGGACAAGAACTTCGCCGCACTCACTGCCAAGCTGTGGTTGGACCGCAGGTCTTCATTCACCACCCTGAAACGCGCGACTTCGTCGGATCTGCTTGTATAACGGGCTCGGAGCGATTGCCCACAACCATCTGGCGGTGCGGGCCGCGTTCATGGTCGAGCGCTAGGACGACAGCGCCTTCGTTTGTTCCGCCCTTGATCTTCGAACGACATTCTGGGCTGGCCGAGAGGTACCTCGTGACGGATTCAACATGGATGCAGCAGAATTGGCACGGTGGACGAGGTTCGCGGCGAAGGGCGGTATCGGCAAATGTACAGCGATTCAGGATTGCGTTGCGGAGCGGCCAGACGATCTGATGTTCCTGAAGGTACGCGAGCGTCAGGCTACTGGTAGTATGCGGGTTGAAACTCGCACCACAAGGGTGACGAAATCATTGTTCTGATGCAAATCCCCGATGATGACCAAGTCTATCTCGTGCGTATGCTTGTCAAGGATTTGCGCATCTCCATGGCCACTTAAAACTCGTTTAGGGATTTTGCGAAGATATCGTTGGTCGATTTCGAGGCCAGGATGTTCATTTCCATTCCAAGCTAAAGAAACCGGTCATGACGAAACGTACTCCCTCTGCTTCTGCGGCGTCTGCCTCATCCTCGCGTACGTCCTCGGCTTCGGCGTCCAAGAGTCCATCCCCGATCGTCACCTCAAGCTCGTTTCCGTCTCCCCCCAATGGGTTGCCTCGCGACCTTTCCAGAATGAGCATGATTGCTGCCTCTCCTCCCCCCAGTTCAGTCCAGAGTCCCGCATCTCCCGCTTTCGACCAACCGCCCACCTCTCCGGCGCAGGTGCTTTCGATCCCACCTTCCTCTCCGCCCGCAGCTCCTCATTCCCCGTCTTATGTCGGCACATCACCTCACGCCCAAGACTCCCCGAGACGCCTTAGATTTCCGCCCAGACCTCTGGTCGTAATGAACCCCGACGACTCATCCTCGTCCCAGGAGCCTTCTCCGGCTGACGGAAAGTCATCTCTGGCCGACCTACCGCCGGAGACTAGTGCCAACACGGCCAGACGCCCGTCCCGCGCGCAGTCAGACGAGCTTACGCCAATGGAAGACCCTCTTCGGACCGCCCGTCCCGGCGGGCGGTTCGACCTCGATGGTTCACAGACGTCAGAGAACATGTCCCTGGATGATCAAGCTATCACGGACTCTGTCAAGGTATATAGCATCTCTCAATGCTGAAAATCGGACCATGACTGATCTGCCAAATTCTAGTTGGCGGGTTCAGCCCACGATGTATCCGGCGAAAGCGATATGTCAATGGCCTCGGCGCTCGCGCCACGCCTCGATTCCATGCACACACCGCAGCATGATCTCACAGATGCGGAAGTGTCAGGGCTCTCCGAGTCAGGCTTGCGAATCTCGACGGTGCCATCCGTAGGCGATGGTGCGGTTGGCATTGGTCTGACCCTGCTGCAAAATATGATCGATGATGGCGCTTCCAGCGAAGCAAGCGGGAGTATACGAGAAAGGGGTTCCACTATGAGCACGTCATCATCAACCTACTCTGCCACTGACAGGACGGGCGACATCGACCGAAGGAGCGATAGTCGCGGTGAACACAACGTTTCTGGACCAAAGGACAACGAGTCTGCGCCTCGTTCTCGTGCCGCCTCTGTTGCATTGTCAATCGTCACCTCGTCATCCGTTCGTGATCTCCCATCCCGAGCATCCGGATCAACGCACAACTCCAGAGCACGTTCGGACGCTGATGACTACTGGGACGGCGCATCGATCTACGACCAATACACCTATCGGCACTCAGTGGCGTCCAAGATGTCTCGTTTTTCTCAAGCGTCTATGTATGCGCCGTCCGGTATAAGCGGCGGCGAAGCACCACCGATGCCACGGCCATCTGCCAGCAGGCAGAACTCGACAGATGTCCTTTCGAACCGTTCGGGCATATCACCTTCTCCTTCGTTGTCTCCCAATTCGAACAACTTCGTAGATGCTTCAACATCGCTGGACACGGCTGGATCGAACGCTGTTCTCGGCCGTAAGGACCGGCCTGCACCTCTGGACTTGAATCCGTCCCCTCTTCTGCACACAACGTTTGGCTCTCCGATGATGTCGCCCGGACAGGATTCCGGAAGCCCGGGACTTTTGTCGCCTTCTTCAATTAATTTTGGCTCAGGTGGTGCGGCCTCAGCTCTCAGGACGCGTTTGGAAGGCCAGAGAGGTCCCAGCCCGAGCACTTCGATTCCTCAGGGAGATACTCTGGCATCCCCTTCAGAAGGATCGCAATACAGTGAACAAGAACGACGAGATATCGTTGTTGAAGACGACGAACAACCCGTCGTGTTGGACGACGGCGCGTACTCCTCAGTGCCGCCCTCCCCTATGGTACCTGGATTACCTAGTCCCATGAATTCGTCGACCGGCGGCTCCGGTACCTCGGAGTCGCCGCCCATCAGCGCCCTCTCTCCCAATTTCCTTCCATCCTTCAGCACACCGCCCTCACCGGACGATGCATCACCCGCTGCACCGGCACCGTATGTCGGCTATTCGCGGAACAGCATATTCCTCCCGCATCCCAGCGCACCGAAGCCCTCGCCCAGTCCGGCCGGGCCTATGTACGGCAGGCTGCAGGGTCAGCCACAATTGGCACCTCCTGCTTTGAAAGAGGGCTCGGTGCACCATGCCATGGGTCTTGCACGTATCCCATCTTTCCATCCCAATGGCGTTCCAAAGCAGACCACGTTCTACGGTAAGCTCGACGCGGACATGGCGACGGCCACTGGCCCGGTTCCTATATCCTTCACATTGGAACCACCCATGGCTATCCCGGCGCTCAGGATGCATACCGTTGCACCGCCACTCCCCACGGATGCTCGTGGACAGGCGAGGTCCGATAATCAACCTTCCGGTCAACAATCTGGAGCCGGTGCAGATACGGCGGCAGATCCTCGTGGCTCACAGACACCTCAACCCAATTTCTTCCCTAAGCCAAAGGCGCCCCGTCCGAGATCCCAGTCCTTCTCTGGATTCGACAAGCCATACGCGGAGATCGAGCTGCTCGATGGGTCGAGGTAAAGATTTATCCAATTGCAGGGGGGAATATGCTGATATCACAGTAGAAAATCGAATAGTCGGCCAGCTGTAACTCCATCAGTCGCAACTCCGCCAACGCAAAGCAATGGCCCAATCAGTCGTAGTCAATCTGCGCGACCTCTGAACCATGGGCAATCCCCACTATCCTTGCCACAAAACAACATCGTGCCAAGCCAAACGGATCCAGTTCCTTCAAACGTCAACCCCCCCGAGTCCTCCTCTTGGTCCTCCCCGCGAAAGCTAGGGCTTAGACAAGTGGCATCTAGCATACAACTGCGCGGACAGCAAGCCCCCTCTCTGGCAGCCGGACCATCGATGCCCCGACCACCGACCAATCGTAGCAACTCCCTGAATGCCCCTCTTCAGGCGTCCGAGGCGGCGATCGCGGCTCAGTATCCACCATCACCCACTGCTCCGTCGTCGACTTCGCCGTCGCCGGCGCAAGCGCATTTCCCGTCGATAGCGAAGTCGAGCACTCAGCCAAGGTCTTCCATTTCCCAAAGACCGTCAGCTGAAGCTGACCCCAGCGATACGAGATCCGTGAGATCCGTGCTAACTCCACCTCCTCTGCTTCGAGGATCGAATTCTTCAAGCTCTCAAGGGCACAGTCGCGAGTCATCCCTGCGCTCAAAATTGTCCATGTCGGCCTTGCGTTCCAACACGTCTGGACCCGTCACTCCTGTGGATGACAAACGGTTCGAGATAGAGACGGTTCACGTGAAGGACACCGACTTCCAGTTGATCAAGCCCATTCCACCTGTGGCGAATAGCAACAGCGACGACTCGCTGGCAAACTCGGCCCGCGACTCTAAGAACGACTCCCGCTTCCTACGCACAGACAGTCCATCGGTGTCCATGCTGTCTGGTGGGACGTCGGTCGGAACGTCTTCTCCTTTGGCTGAACAATTTGATGCACACCCTGCTTCCCCGGTGGTAGAGTCTCCGACGGCTGCCGAAGCGCATCGTCAGCGCGAACTACGGTGGATATCGCTCATGACATCGACACCGGCCGGACAAGCAAGGAAGAGCAAGAAGGTCAGGAAGCTTCTGCTCGAGGGTGTGCCTGCGTCCGTTCGACATTTGGTGTGGGCAAACCTGGCCAATAGTGCGGGCAAGCGTATGGACGGTCTGTATGCCAAACTCAGCCAGCGTGGTCGTGTACCCGCGTCCAATGACATCGAGAGAGATGTGCGGAGATATTTCAACAACCAGCCTTTACTCCAGGACACCAACAGCCCGGTGACCACGCTCTTGCAAGCGTACTTGACAATGGTCCCCGATATCCGTTATAACACAGGTACACATCATTCCGCATCCTCAGGCGAACATAGCATTAACGTTTTCATCAGGCCTGTGCTTGATCACTGGGCATCTACTGCAACAAGCCCCTGAAGAGGAAGCGTTCTGGATCTTTGTCTCGATCATGGACACGCATCTCCGTTCCTACTTTTCGCCACTGAACGTTCAGGCCGAGGTTGATGGCAGTCTGTTGCTAAAAGCAATCGAAGCTAACGAACCTGCCATCGCCAAGAAGCTCAGCGATACCGGTATCACAGCAGGGACCGCGTGTCGACACTGGTGAATGCGCCCCTTTTTCATCGTCTCCCACCGTAATCTGACCAACTACAGGTTCTGCTCCCTCTTCGTGACTACTTTGCCCACAAGCCATGTCTCTCGTGTGTGGGATATTTTCCTGTGTGAAGGTGCGCACACCGCAGTATCTTCGGTCCAAAGCTCTGATACTGATGCATAAATCTAGGCATGCCCTTCCTCTTCCGCGTCGCCTTGGCAATACTGTCCTCATGTCGCCGGTTGCTTCTTGACGCACGCTCCCCTGAAAGACTCACCGAACTTCTCTTCCAACCGCCGCCCGACATGCTTCCTCCGACCCCTGACGCCCTAATCTCTCTCGCGCACTCAATGAAGCTCAAGGACGACGACCTCATGAAAACCCGTCAGAAATTGGAAACGCAGCTGAAGCGACAAAATCAGGGCCGGGCCCTTCGTTCGACGATCACCACCAACGGCAGCGCCCCGCCCTCGATTTCATTACCTCGGGCATGAGTCTAACTCCAAGCTATTGCACCCTAATAGTATATTTACTCGCATTCTTATTAACCCCCCCTTTTTTCTTGCATCAACTTTCCGCAATCATGTCCGTCCCACCGCAGTTCATATATACACCTCCTTATACCCACACTGGACTCGAACCACGAACACTATGATCCGTCTATAGCTATGGCATATTTGTTTCTCTCTTTCGGGCACTGCGTACTTGTCCGCTTCATCCCTGTCGAGCATTGCTTTCGAAGTCATTGTAGAGTAACAATACATCGCATTTCTTTATACGTATCCTACACACATCAGTTGTATTCAAACGTGGTTCTTGTCTGCGCCGCCAATACATTCCGACGGTCTGGGCCTTGACGGTATGTTGGAGCCGCGAAGCCCGCCAGCGGTTCCTATAATTACTTTCTGATCGTTCAGAAGACGCCACCGATGGAAACAACGTGCTTTCGAGGGTGCAATGTCAAGCTTGTTCTTGATAGTCAATTTCGTATTCGTATTTGGACATGTGCCTCCTCGGAGCGCGCCTTCAAGGAAACTTGTAACCCGCGGTAATACGCATACCTATCACCGTCGGCAAAACTTGGCGACGTGACTACAAATACAGAGATCTTCCCCGGTGATACATTATGCAAAAACCCGTGTAACATACGCATCGGACACATCGGACGGATAGCTGGTACAAATATACGATCGAGAAAGCGATCAGAACACCGCAAGCAAGAAAAGACAGACCGCGGCTGCTATAGACGAAACAAACATTAAGGGCCATCACGGTATATACCTCTACTTCAAGATCACCATATCGTTGGGGTCTACCGCGTAATCGAGGGTTTCAACCGCCTGTCGAACCTCGTCGGTGGTATATTCCGCGTTGTCGCCAGATCCAGGCATCGTAGCATTGAGGTATTGTGTCAGGCGGCCGACGGTGATGCCATGCGAGCGGTACGTGGTGGCCTGCAGGTAACATAGAGAGCGGGCAACCCAATTGTGCCTACGCCCCGATCAAAGCCCGTAATCATCAGCTGATTGCCTCGTTTACGTTATACATGTCAGAGGGGAGGAACCTTACCGTCCGTGGGACGAGGTGAGGTCAACGGCCTGCTCCTCTTCTGTGCATCCCGCTGCCTCTTCGCCGCCCGCTGCGCATGCAGCGCCCTGTGCGGGATCCCCAGATCGTTGCTGGACTGCCGCTAGCCTGCGTCGACTGCGTTCGAGACATTTCTCGCGGTGCTGCGTCCACGGTAAAGTGCAATAGGCCGCGTCCTGACGGAGCTGTATCCAGCGGTCGCAGATCGCACACAGCACACTGTGCTCGGGGCGGCGCATGAGTGGATCGCACGATATACTCCGGAGAACAGCAACGTACCGGTGAGCCTCCACCTCTCGTAAATGTGGATCGCCTCGGAGGTCCGCCGCGCGTTCGTCGAGAGACCGCCGGCGGGCTCTGCCGGTGTCGCCTTCCTGAGCTGCAGTGACCGCGTCCAACGAAGAACCCCGAGCACTGCGCGAGTGGAGGGAGGGCGAACGAGTTCCCGAGGAAGAGTCATCCGGCGACGTGCGACTCGAGTCATTTCCTTGCAGACCGGACTGAGCGTCCCCTTGCCTTGAATCGCCGGCGCCGATAGAAGCGGACGCGCAAGTTAATGGAGGAGGAACCGCGTTTGGGAGTCGATGACTACTGTTGTGTTTTTTTCGTGTTGTAAAGTACCCGGTCAGTGCGGGATCATGATGATGTGATGTTTCAAGAACGGGGTTGGGAATTCGACATACCGATTGGGCATACCCTCGTCGTCCGCCGTGTCGACGTCGCCGCCCCCGGAGCGATCAGACCGAGACTCGTCGGGCAACTCGTCTTCCTCTTCGCGGTTGTCCGGTTTAGTGAGCGGCGTGGACGTGAACGGGCTGGGGTTGACGCCCTCCCTTCGGCCTTCCCTCCGACTAGTGATTATCCCCGCGGTCAGTGTCCGGCCAAACCAACGGCGCGAATAAGCACAGTACCTTCGCTTCTTATTTTCCTTATTGACGCAGCTCGAGCGATGAGCGTCCCAGGGTATGGAGCAGTAGGTCGAGTTGGACCGCAACCGGATCCATTTGTTGCATCTGGAATATATGCGTGAGCTCAGGAGGGAGCCTCGAATATTTTGTGGGACGCACTTCTTGCACAATACCCTGGAATGCTATGATTAGTATTCCGTGAGCGGGTTTTTAGGGCGAACCGACTAACCTGTACGGCTCGACCTGTGCTACCAACGGGTCATCATGGAACTCTTGGATCCGTTCCTGTTCGGACCGCTTCGTCCGCCGCCTCCGTTTATTCCTAGTCGGTCCCTGGTCCAGCAGTCCGACCTGCCAGCTGTGTTGCGAGGGCCCGGCGCTCAGTTCGTACTCGACCGATCCAGAAGGGGTAGGTGAGTAGCCGTCCGACCTCGACGCTACTTCGGTAGTTACGTTACGACGCCGCGCAACAAAGTGAGCCGAGGCCGCGGTCTCTCGCAGGTACACGAGACGCTTACCACTGGGTGAACGCGCCGACGTTAACGCCGACAAGGAGGGGTGGATGGTGGCGGGAGGTCTGCCTAACGGAGGGCTGAGTCTGGGCAGTCGACTCTGGTCGCCGTGCTTGCGCTTTTGACTGATGAAATCGGGCTGCAGTGTGGCCTCTGAGGGCACATCTGCACGCAGGAGTGTCTTGCGGCTAAGAATGAGGAATGTCAATAATTCAAATCAAATAACGCAGAGGGCGATCTCGTCTCACCAATTCTGCTTGTGGAGGTCCCAGTGCTTGGTGGTGAATTTGTCCGTGATATCGTCGCGGAAGGAGACGTTAGTCCCACAGTCGTCGCATTTTACGCGTCCCGACTCGTATTCTGAGCTCGGTGACGACTGCTCGTTTGGAGACGATCGAGGTGGAGTCTTCTCCGGGACGCTCGCTGGCATGTGGCGTACGGTCTGGTCATCGACGAGCAGGTGAGAGAGCCTGCGAACAACACAATGATGCGCGGGCGCGTGATAAAAAGGAAAGTATATTTCAGGTTCTGCGCTAAAACGATATAAGAGGGAAAAAGAAACATACGACGCTTTTTGCGTGGCCATGGCTCAACGAACACGGCGCCGAGCGGAAGTCGATCGCGGAGGCGCGGTGGGGCGAGCCGGAAGGGGGACGGGCACCTCGGCTTTTAATACGAAGATTGAGGAAGAAAGTTTGACTCCGGGCCCCCAGCGCCAAAGGGAAATTGTCGCCGGGGATGGGCGTTTCCGACATAGATCTTCGACCGTCAGGGCAGCAGGGGCGGTGAAGTCGACCTACTGGAATCGATGGAATTTGTCACGGAACCGATTCATTGCCGGATCCCGGGACCTGCAAAGGGACGACATTTGATGCGGAATGTTGGGATCGCGACCGCATGACAATGGGATGTTCTGACATATGCGCTCCGGCAAGCACGTCGCTCCCGGCTTTCTGGTCGCTTTGGCACATTCGTTCGCCAAAACGGGCCCGGACGTCAGTGGCAACCCCGGTCTCCCTGCTTCCGCGCCCAATCAGCATCCGGGGGTATGGCCACGTGACCCGTTTCGCGTCCTTGCTTTTCGCGATCGCCCCCGTCCGCGCACACACGATCCGCTGCGCACGAAGGAGTCAGATCTGGAGGACGGAGACGAAACGACGCGCGCGTTCGCATCGCCGACAGGAATCCGATCGGTATATGCACTCCGCGAAGCAGCAGACACGCACCCATCGTCACACCCCGGCTGGGCAGTCCGCACCCCCCCTGCGCTAGTTCCTTGCGGCTTCGCCAGATCATCCACCAGATCCACGATATTCCGCGACACGCCTCTGCACGAACCTCGTTACCGCCTCCTGTTCCTCCGACACATGCACCCATGCAGCACCTCGCCGTCGACCGCAGTCTAGACGCTCTCGGCGACATTGCATCAACACGCCATCTCTCACGCACTCCCGACTGCCTTTTTTCTGCAAACCGGGCTGATGGAAAACCCGTGTCGACTCGGTCGGCGGAGCTCCCTCAAACTGCTTGTTCAACACGCCGACTCGGTGGTGCATCGCTACTTCCTCATCTGCTCGGACGTCGTCGCCTTCCAGCAACATGGGTCTTGCGCTGTAACCGGCGGCAACGCCAGATCGTCTCAGAACGCCGGTCCACCTTCCTTTACCTTATGAATCTCTCTCAGCGAATCCAGCACACCACGCTGAAACAATTTCTCGAACAGAAACTTTCCTGTCGTCTTTTTTTTTCTCTGATGATGTTTGCGCGCGCACGCATATGCTGTGAATAGCACACATGGGCAGCTAATTCTGTGTCATGTTGATGCCCTTCATGGGAAGCCACGCGTTACTTCAGTCGCCCATGGGACTCAACAATCCGATCGCCTGGCTTCCAAACGCGCTCTTGCACTGGCAGGGTCTATTTGATCGAGGATCTCCCTCACGGACAGTGCTTCTGCGCTAATTATCGCTGCCGGAGCTAAACATCTCGGCCCTAGCCCTTGCCCAAACCCCGAGATCTCCTTCGCCGGTTGCCTACGATGGACGTCACCGGCGGTAATATATTTCTCCAGTTCGCCGCCGCTCGCCCATGCCGCTCTCGAAGTGTGGCGCGTGTGGCGAAGGCGCGAAAGACACGGGCCCATGATCAAGCCCGAACAGTGCCTTTCCGGTTATCTTCTGTCCAAGACGGATAACATGCGAGTGCCGTGCCGGAAGCTCCCTTCGTTCTTTTCCCTTCGTCGCATTCCTGTCTGCTGACCGGTGGCGGCTTACGAGGCACGACAGGACAGATAACAAGCAAACTCTCATCGTACGAAAGGCCCCGTTCGAAGCCAAACTTTCCTTCATTTCCTGTGTTTCGCCAGTCATATGAATGGAAGGAAGAGGGCGCTCTGGACTATAGCTTGAGGGCCGTTTTGCGTTCCGTTGCCGACACGAGTTCCACATTTGTTTAACCCGATTCAGGACCTTCCGGTGCGCGCGATGCAGGAACATACGTGGCGCTCACACAATAACTCAGATGCGAATCACATCAAGATTCGAGAACTTTGAGCCCTCTCGCGGGCGCCACGTCGATTGCTGGCATTCCACTGCATCCCCGTATGGACAACCCGACACCTCGATTCGTAGATGCGAATGGCGCAGGCTGTTTTTCCTTCCGCTTCCTTGTCCGGCGGCTTCGGACGTTGATGAACATATCCGCGGTGTTTCCTTGCTAAACTGGCCAAGGTCAAACAATCAATAAAACGTTTAGCAGCACAGGCCGCGAAGTTTCAGCGAAAATGGCACGGCCGCTGGTCGGCTCTTTTACCGACGTACTCATATGCATGGCCGGATGAGAAGGATGTGGCGTACCCCCCGACGATTCGGCCATTTGATTTACTGACGAATATGGTCAACGTCCTTCTACTAGTCGACAGAACTATAATACAGCCTTGGCCACATTGCTTTTTTCGTCCGAGAAACGGAGCGATACACATGCGTGTCCTGCAAAACAAGCACGGCGAATCCATTGCCACTGTGATGGTGGGGACTAGCGCGTGATTTCTTTGCACGCGCTCCGGCGAGTCGCGTAACCGTGGACGCGTCAGCGCGACGCGTGACGTCACAACATATCGCAGTTCGTCATTGCCGTCATCGCCCTCAAGTTGAAGGCGAACGTCGAGCCTTTGCGTGCGGCGTGGCCTTACTATGGACGTATGTGCGAGCTCCCTAGATCATGATATCCATATGGCCTGTCTCGATCAGCTCGAAGGTCGCGCGACGTCACTCCCTCTCCCTCACGACCGGCATACGAACACGAAAGTATTATGAGCGAGGTCAGCAGATGTCGGTTCTGTCCGCACAAACGCACGCATTGAATCCACCCCGTCTCTTTAGACGTTTGCACGATTTAGGTCCGCCTTCGTATCAGATCGGCCGTATAGGCGTGGTTGCTGACGTACGCGTTGGGTTCATTTCCGACGTGCAGATTAACGGCATACAGTGCGTGGATCTAGCCCGCTCTGCGAATCATATATGCTGAGCTGTTTCTCTCCGGCAGTTATCTTCTTCTTACTATCAGTAGCAGTTCTAGGGTTAGCTGCGAATTTTGCGAGCGAGTTTCTCCCACACCTACATTGTAAGCCTCCGCTTGCGATTCGACGTATATACTCACGGACATGTCACAGCCGACTTCATCACATTCTCCCTCGTCGTCTCCGTTGCCTCGATCGTATGCTTGATACTTCTGTGCGTTATTTCCGCGTGCTTCATTTGCGCAAGCGTCGTTCTGACAGAACAGTAGGCTCTCATGGAGTCAGCCCAGAACAGAGATCATCTTCGTCGTTATTGTCGGCATTTTGTGGTTATGTACGTGCACGCAGTCGGACGCAATCTGCTGATCTAACGCGATGTGATATACAGCTGAGGCTTCATGGGCACAGTACGTCGCATACGGGATCTGTGCGGAGTGTCGTACGATAACACTTATTGCACAGAGATATTATCGGACATGTCCAATGCTCCGATGTACCAAGCTCCGACACAATACCGACAAAGAGCGGGACCAGTGAGTCGCTGGACATGACCCTTTGCATATGTTGGCCTGATATGAAGCACCGGCTAGCGTCTTCACGAGGCTATTGCCGACAAATGAAGGTTATTGAGGCATTTTCGTGGATGCTCTTCGGCTTATGTACGCACCTCGGCCCTCCCATTATCCACCCTTTGTCTCATGGCTTTCATAGTTTTCATATCGTTCTGGATCATCATCGCGCTTGCGTCTCGCGCAGTCACCCAAGGCAACGAATACGTAAGCCGATCTCCAGAGAATATTAAGCATTGACCGTATTCAAACTGAAATTCTGCTCTAGGCTTGGCGACAACCCATCCCTGAGCTCCCATGGTTTGGCGAATCCGTGGGGTACTACGGCATGGAAGAGGGACTCAGAGGCGGAGGCTATCCCGGGCAGCCGTACCCTTCTCCTTACCCGCAAGCGCTGCCTGGGCAGCCTCTACCTATGACACGCGCAGGGAGCCATGGTATGATGGCTCAAGCGGCTCCCGGCCCCCGCGTCGGTCATCAACAACCTGGACAGTCCCTATTGGTCCATCCAGGGCAGGGTGGTACTGGGGTGACCCAAGTTCCTGGATACGTGCAAAGCGTCGTATGATGCCGTAGCACGATTGTTTACAGACACCTAGAAGTATCATTATACATGCGGACCCAGCCGCTTGTGCCCGCGCACAATAAACTCATGACCCGAACTTTCTTGCAATGTCAATCACTAGACGCATATGTACTGTCGCTGTTGTTGTTTGTATGATGAACAGTGCGGATCCAGAGAGATGCTGTCGTTGCCAGCGCCGGTCTCTAGTTAATTGTACAGTCGTAAGCAGAAGAGCATGTTTCGAATGTGATGGTACTGATACAGGAATCAGAGGTGGATCGCAAGACTACAATCTTGGGTCTCGGCAAGTCAAAGTTCAACAGCTGCCGCGTTCCATGCGGCGTCCGCGCGGCGTGTCGTAGCTTTTTTTGCAGCCGCCGATTTCGCTTCCGTATATTTGACGTGCATATGAGCCCAGTAAGCGAAAGCGACCAGCATGTAAAGTCCCAATCCGACTGGCAAAACCACATCATATGAGCAACAACAGGCGAACAGGGGAGCGAATCTCAGTTGACGCACTCAGTATGAATATAATCGCAGCGATATTGCCTCCAAGAGGATCGGACCATTTGTGGTTGCAGTCTATTGATGAGAGTATACGCACAGTCAGTGTTTCTCTATCAGATTAGGTGAAGGTCGAACATTTGTTACTGTCGACCATAACGAGGCCTTGTTTGAGGAACGAATCCTGATACGATATCCAAAAGCCCGAGGCGGTCTCGTTATTGGCAACGCGGGCGAGACATTCGTCAATGAAGAACGCCTTTGAGGCAATCATTGGCCAAGTGTGAACCAGCATCTAGCAGTATGCACCCACCTTGTTGTTGTGACCGACGATCATCGTCAATATCCACATAGCGACGACGAGGACAGAGGCGGAGAGCGACAAACAGAGGTGAACGAAAAGGATCCCGTGTTTGAGAAGCTGTATGATCTACGCTCAGCATAGGAAGACGTACAGCACGATGAGGCCACTGACCAGAGGGAGAGGAAAACACAGCAAGAATATACAGAGCAACGCGTATGCGGCTACTGCTGCGATCCCGTAATCCATGAAAGCGATTGCTCTTGTAAGAGGAGCCAAGTGTGGGACGTCTAAAGTCAATGCAACCATGACTATATCGGATGCAGATAGCGACAAACACACTCGCGTTGATGTTCGAACGCAGCGGTACTATGTGCCGTTGACTGCACGGTAGTTCAGGCGACATTGGCGGAGGAGAGTCGTACGAAGACATACTTACGGCACTGGTACGAACAAACATCAGATGAGGGTCTTTCCGATGGAACGATGGGATGCCTACTCAGCTAAGCCAAATCCCAGCGCGAAGCAGGCACCTGACGATACATTATCCGTCACAGTCAGTCAAGACTCCCGATAGACCGTGCATATGCCGATGACTTCATTCACCTATTACGATGAACATGGCGAAGCCGGGCTCGGGATCGCTTTCCTTCTTGTTGTTAGTCGGGTTGGCGGTAGCATTAGTGTTCGCATTGGCATTGGCGTTGGCGTTGGCGTTAACGGTGGCGTTAGCATTCAAGTTAGCGGCGGCATTGTTGTTGTTGGTCGCCATTGATTTCAAGGCGAGAGAACGTGCACGGGTTCATGGAAGAGGAGACGCGGGCGTTGGAAGAGGACCTTAAGAGGCCTGGAGCTGCTGAAGCTGCTGAAGCTGCTGACGCTGCACCATCAAGGAACGTTGTCTGAGCGTCATGTAAATGTATAGCTTTGGCAGTATCGTGCGTGTTATTGATATCATGCATGAGAATGTTGTGCCCCGTGAGTGAACCAACCGAAGTCCGACGTCGCGGGAGGCACGGAGAGTCACTAGTCACTCCGAAACGGCTGTTGTCTGCATAGTTGCTATCGTCCATCAGCGTCCGTGACCTGTCTTCAGCAGATGACAGGCTCTGCCAGCACTTTCCAAATTAGAGAACAGAGCACCTGTCTATAATATACATTGTCCCAAAGCACTACCCTGGGCTCGGAAGTCAGAGAGTTCAACGGCTGCTGCAACCCATGCGTTGTTCGCGCGGCTTGTTGTAGCATTTGTCGCCGCCGCTTTCATCTCAAGATGCTCGGTGCATATGTATCCCCAGAGAGTGATGGCCAACACCATGTAGGCTCCCAGTCCGACTAGTATACCTTCTGCCGTCGACCCGCAAACACTCATCTGTGGGTGCTGTCAATCTAATCCCGACACGAATGGAAACAACTAACGAACCCACAGGATTAGCTCTGGCTGGGATTTGAACCCACAGGGACGGGGGGGGGGGGGGGGTTGCCGCAACATGACGAATTCCGTAGCTGATCCCACAACGAAGAGCTCATCAGAATAGGATTTGAACCCACATGTACTTGCTTGCTTTGTTATGATAAGACTGGGTCTTGACCCCGCAGTGAAGATGCGAACCGGCTGGGATCTGAAACCCTCGAAACAGCACGACAACGAAGGAATTCAAATCGGCAGAAAAGAAACTGACAACGACAGGATCGTAACAGGAGGAAAAAGATGACAAGAGTGGGATTTGAACCCACGCCAGAATACTCTGATGAGAACCCTAACCCGCAGAACGGGCAAGCTTTCGCTTGAGTCACACGCCTTGGACCGCTCGGCCATCTTGCCGCAGGGTTACTCTGGCGCACAAAGCCATTGAATCATGCTACGGCACATGGGCTGATTCACCATCGCTTTGACCCACGCGTTTCGTCATTGCGAACAAACATTGGAAGACCGGCCGATCGGTTTTCGTGTTTCTTTTGCGTATGCGCAGCCTGCGATTACCGACTCGGACGCGTTAGCTCGCAACAAGGTACAGCACCGGGGGCAACATGAAGATCGTGTCAACGTTCCATCCGCCATCCTCAGTTATCGACTGCGTGAAATGCAAGTTGACCTCCGCACCGGACATCGAGCATCTCGTTGTAGCAAAGCCGGACAAGCTCGAGGTCTTCTCTCTTCAGCCGGAGGGCCTCCGTCTCGAAACGAGTACGGAGATATGGGGCAGGATCTTGCGCATCAGAGAGCTCCCTGTACAGGTATGTCACTGTTATGCGAGTTATCGTGCAACGTTCGCTGAGAATGCTGTCCAGGGCGAGAGACGGAGCAACTTGCTTGTCTTGACCGATCACCCAGACCCGAAGCTGATTGCTCTGGAACTTGAGGACGAAGGGGATACGCCTCGACTCGTCGAGATAAAGACAAGCTCGGGCACCAAGTCGATCTCACTCCATGACAAGAACTCCCGTCAGGCCGAATTCCTAACAGACGTCTGGGTGCATCCCAGCGGTTCCGTCATACTCGTCAGCTGCTATGCCGGGAGGCTTACAGTCGTACGCGTCAGAGATGGCGTTCTGCAGCAAGAGTTCCCCGTCTCGTGAGCGCCGATAGTTGTCGGCACGACCTATTGAGCTCATCCACAGTCCACAGCCTCCAGGAGATCAACTTACTTGCTCTATGCTTCCTTCCGTCCCCTGTAGGAGATGACGAAGATCCTGAGACAGAGGTGATCTCCATCGGCATCGTCTACCTCGACCATCAGTCCCGCGTTCAGCTGCTCGCGCGCGATTTAGAGGCGTTTGAATTGTCCGTTCAGCCCTCTCCAGCACTCCCGCCGACACCCCTACCCATATCCGCAGATGATTTAAGTTTGAACGGGACCTCGCTTTCCCTCGTACCCATTCCAACCACCCTCGCAGACATCGACGCTAACTTCAGGGGCGGAGTGCTGGTGCTGGGCGGTCGCAAGGTTATGCTGTTCGAGCTTGCGTCGGAAGAGCACCGAAAGAAGTGGATGAAGAAGAACAAACAGACCATGAAGCAGAAGAAGGAAGAGAGATATAAGGAGAAACTAAGAGAGAAGGAGCGCGAACGCGAAGGTCGCAGACGGAAAGCCCGCTCAACTGTGGAGTGGCCGTGGTCAGAGATCACTGCGTATGTCCTCTACTGTACCTGAACCGGCGTACACTAATAATCATCTCATCGACGACCAGATGGTGTCCAGTAACACGTACATGTCGCGGATTGTTGATCGGTGACGCGTACGGAAGAATGTCCATGCTGAGCATCGATCCAATCAGGGGAAATGGCCTCACGCTTCTACCTCTGGGAGAGGTCAGTGACGCATCGTTAGTCAAGGTAGCTCTCGTCTCACCGTGTATATGAGTCTAGACATCACCACCGACGTCGATTGCATACCTCACTTCGCAAGTCTTCTATCTAGGATCCCACATGGGTGATTCGCAGCTCCTGCGCATCAGTCCGACACCGCACTCGCTGATCGACAAACCGACGTTGCCCATCGACCCGCGGATATCGACCGTTTTGCCGTCACAGCTTTCTTCCTATAATGCAGGCGAGTCTGTCAAAGGGAAGGGGAAACGGAGAGCGGATCTAGACAGCGACATTGACGTGGATCCGGATGCCCAGAGCGGTCGGAAGGGCAAGGTCGTCCGGTCAGATGGCTCGTACCTGGAGGTGCTGGCGACCTACCAAAATCTTGCGCCGGTCACTGATGCACTGCTCATGAACGCTGACGGAAGCGGCCAGGTACGCCCATAAGAGATCCGACTGCGCAAATGGTCTGAATAGTCGGATATGCAGCCCCAAATTGTAACGTGTTCGGGAGGGGCCAACGCGGGCAGCCTGAAGGTTGTTAGGAAGGGTGCCGACTTCAAGACGGCAGCTGTTGTGGAAAGTCTGCCTGGCACTGTTAGCGTATGGCCCGTGCGTAAACGCTATTACGACAAGTAGGTGCAAATCGCACATTCACCGACGTATCTTAATCCTTTCGTAGTACGGACTCGTACATCGTTGCGTCAACTTTGCGGTGCACGCAAGTTCTTTTATTGGAAGAACATGACACTGTCAACCCCTTAGTAGCTGCGTCAACCGATTTCGCCACTAGCGGGCCTACTATTTCCGTCGCAAACATTTTGCGGCGAAGGTTAGTAAACGGCAAATCGGAATACGAAGACTCCTCGCTGGTCGTTCAAGTTACACCTTCCAAAATGAGACTACTCGAGCACGACATGATTGGCCCCGTGGAATTTAGGCTCGTCGATACTTGGAAACCTAGCGGGCCAGGACCCCAGGAGATCGTCACAGCCAGCATCAACCCAACTCAGATCGCCCTCGGCTTGAGGGGTGGGAGGCTGTGCGTGTTTCGGTTGGCACCGAATGATCACTTCGATCTGCGATTGTATGTCGCTCTTCAGTCATCGGCTAGATGCGCACCACTGACGTTCCTCAAAAACGCGCAGCACTCAGCATTTCTCCAACGATATCTCAGCGGTGTCGTGTCTACCCTTAAACCCGGGCAACCTGATCTCAGCGTTCATCGCCGTTGGATTCTGGGGTTCTAATAACGTTATGATCCTCTGCCAAAAAGGCAACATTTTGGAGCTCGAATTACAAACTGATCCGCTCCCAGCCCTTCCCAGGTCTCTCCTGCTGTACAACTTTGGCACAAGCTTTGGAAAGAAGGATCCTAATTACCACGCTCACCTCTTGATCGGACTTGCCGACGGTTCTTTGGTTTCGTACGCGTACGCGAGAAAAGAGCTCAAAGACAAGAAGGTCGTTCCTCTGGGTGCATCCCCTGTCAGCCTCGTACCATGCGAAGCGAACGGCAAGAAGGCTATTTTCTGTTGCGGCACCAGGGCCGCTGTCGTCTATTGGGACCGGGACCGGCTGCAAAATGCCCCGGCACTGCTCAAAGTACAGTATCAACACCATCACCCTTTGACCAATACTGATTTACCCCGTAGAACGTTGTTACCGCGTGCCCTCTGAATTCCACCAGTTTCGAACAATCCACTATTCTTGTCACCGGTTCCGGCTTCACAATCGGTCACTTCGGCAATGTGGCGGGCCTACACGTTCGCTCGGTACGTACAGACATATTATAGTTCCAACTTTGCTTACCAATTTCCTCAGGTGCCTCTGGGCGTGGATGTTCCCAAGAGGATAACATACAATAACGAATCCCACCTCTTAGGAGTGGCATGTATCCGGAAGGAACCACACAGGATCGGGGATGACGAAGGGACTATTCGTAGCTCTTTCAGACTGCTGGATGACACCAGTTTCGGAGGTATCCCATTCGTGGTCATCCTTAGAACTGATGCTGACGCCAGGGCAGAGCTTGACAGATTCGATCTTGAAGCAGATGAGGATATCACCTCCGCTGTTGTGCTCTCTCTTGGGACGGCCGAAGCATATACTTCGCACTTTTGCATAGGTACTGCGGACTTCACTAGTGATGACCAGTTGGAAGTTAGCAAGGGCAGACTTGTGGTCTTCGACCCGTCCACAAAAGTGCTTTCTCCCGTGGCAACTCTTGATGTAAACGGGTGTGTGTACGCTCTAGCCAGTATACAAGGCCTGGTTGCGGCAGCCGTGAACAGCGCGGTAGGTCGCATACAATCATCGTGCAAGACATGCTCCTGACGTCCAACAAGGTCATTGTCTATCGATTAGAAACCGACGGACCCACATTCTCGAGCAAGCGACTAGTGCAACTTGCGAACTGGAATCACAACTACTTCGTGACGAACCTCGTCACTCGTGGCAGCCGGATTTTTGTTGGGGATGCTATCAGTTCGGTTTCGATACTGGAGCTCACTGGACAAGCGCTGCAAACGGTCGCCAGGGACTACGGGCCTCTATGGCCTGTCGCGATCGAGTCGACGGGCCCGGATAGCGTGATTGGCGCGGATGTGGGCATCTCAGCAGATACGCGTATAGATTGTCTCTGACCATTCGCCTCAGGGAGAGTTTAACCTGTTCACATTCAAGCTGTCGGAAGGCAAGCTTGAACGAGACGGAAGCTACCACCTCGGCGAGCAAGTCAACAAATTTGTTCCCGGTGCGTTAGCACCATGTTTTCGGTGCTATATGGCATCTGAGCACATACACCAGGCGGGCTGCTTGCTGCAGACCCTGCTCATACGACCCAGACCACTTGCAAACCGATTCAAACACTCTTCACATCTTCAGGCCGTATTGCCATCGTCATTGACGTTTTGGACCCCGAAGTGTCACTACACCTCACCAACCTTCACAGAAACATGTCGAAGGTTATCACGGGCTTGACCGGTATACAGAACGAAACGTATGTACGGGAGCGCTCGGCTGTGATCACGCTGCTCATCAATCTCATAGCTGGCGATCTCCTGCGACCAGTCGCGGTCGGACCGACGCCGAAACATCGAGAGGATTCCTCGACGGAGACTTCCTGGAGGCATTCCTTGACGTACCACGAACATCGCCAAGCCTCGCAGAGATCCTTGAAGGCGAGAACGTAGCCGAGAGGTTGACTTTAGGGTATGAGCGTTACCATCAACTGTTGGAGTCTGTCCAAGCATTGCATTAGGAGGGCCTGCGCTTTAGGTTGTCCTGTGAACTTGTGTATACTAGAGCCTCAATCCTGTTGTATATCATTCAATGCATTGTGCTTCGCCATCTATCGACTACTTCGACAGTCAAAGGATGATAAGGTCTCTTCTCATTCCGCACCAGGATCCGGTATATTTACAATGAGTGCGTCGCAAAAGCGGGAGAGTTGTCCATCGCATAAACATTGAAACGTGGTCGACAGGAAGTCCGCGCGGCATCGAGCCTCAGCCAGCGAACAACCAAGCGAAAATGAGCTTCGTCTGCTGGACTACGTTTGCAGAGGGTTGCCCGAACGAACGTAGCCCATTGTCTAGCTCATCTGGACGGTATGGAGCAAAAAAGAATCCGACAACAAGCACCAAATAACTACGAAAATGTTAGCCAGAATTCTGCCCAAGCATACGTATGCCCACCTTAATATGAGCATACTTCCGCGGTGGTAGTTGCTCCTCGCTTCGATGTAAGTGTAGGTCATCAAGAAGACCGCCAGTACGATGACGATCACATCCCAGCGAGGGAATAGTAGGCTGCAAGACGAACGTGCTATGAGTATAACATCGAGATATTGACCATGAGAAAACTCACGGGAAGGTATCGGCGACACTACCCATCTTGTCCGGTACGAATATAGCGGAGAAGGCAAGCATGGCTGGTATCTGTAGAAGGCAAACTTGCAGAGCATATGCAGAACCGATTTCCATACTTTGATCGCATTTTTAGAAGCAAACATAGTGTGGTTGGAAATGAAGACCCACCTCAGGGCTATGTTGCCGTTGAGTGCGAATGCCATCGCATTCATGAATTCGGTCGTGTTAGGGACGAGAGCGAAGAGAGTGACACCAAGGAACTTTTCATCAATACCAGATCCTTCCAGCACAACATCAACTACGTCAACAAGGATTTCTGCGCGTATCGTCAGTCGGGTGGGAGGGAAGCGAACATGAAAACATACCCGCGATAATCGCATAGAGCGCTGTGCATGCAAGTAGCACGCTAGCGCTTGTTGCACGACTCCACGAAGGCGCATCGTGCCCTCCATGTCCACCTGCTTCCTCTGCTTCCGCCCCGGACACACGGGCCCTTGCGCCGGGTAGCGTGTGGTGCTGATCCCTCAGGGCACTGACAGTGGCAACTGCAATAGCCCGCGTGAAGTCGTCCGTGGTCATATGCGGCGGGAGTTCCATAGGCTGCATTGCCGTATCCTTGATGGCATGATTGACGCTCTCGAGCAGGGGCGTATAACCCACAGCTGGCTGTGTGGCTGGTGGGACCGCATACGAGACTCTCCTCTGTGCGCCAGGCGTTGTGGGAGGAACGGTTGACGAGTGTGGATTTGCCGCCATAGCATCCGCAGGCTGCAGACCATCATGGTTTCGCGGTACGGGAGTTTCGCTACGCGAGATGCCGTTGGCGCTGAGATTGCTGGGCTTCCGCCGCAAGGAGCCTCCTGCAGGTCGTGGCGGGAGGAGCTTATGGTACAACGAGAGGCGATTAGACGGGATGTCCAAGGGATGCAACAATTGCTGGGGGTTCTGCCAGATTTGTGAAGCATGTGTTCGAAGGGAGAACCACAGGCCAATCAGATACGACTGAAGTGGGGATCAGCTAAGACCTGGGTGACAATGGCGGGGAACTCACAAGAAGGAGCACAATGGCACAGAAATACGTGAAGCTTTTGACTGTGTCACGATAGAAGGGATCGTTGATGGGTTCCGGGTGCTCATAGTAGCAGTGGTCGCATTGCCATGGTTTGCTCAAGGCAGAAAGGCCTGTGAGATCATCCGGGCATCCCTCGCAAACCAGCTGGAACTAAGTCAAAATCAGAAGGATGGCGTTCGTTGGAGCATACGCCTCGCTCACGTTTCCGTAAGTTTGATAGAACATTGTAGGCGCCAAGGCTCCAATTATTGCTGTGATCAGCAAGGTACTGGTAACCCCGGCGCTCTTGGCGTTGAACCTTTGCTCCTTTCGTCGCACAGCGCTGCTGCACATACTGGCACCTGGCATGAGCAACACGCCTGCAAGCAAGCTACCGATGATAGATCCCTCTACCAAGCGTCCCTTGTGGTCTTTGAGAGCGATGCCATAGAGAATAATTTCGATGATCGAACCGAATGTTGCGTTGATGACCGCGCCCATGCCGATGGAAGACTGGGCGGATATAGATGCGACTGCCATTCCTATAAAGTATGACAGCGGGATGACACTCAGCAAGCTGAGCAGGAACACGAGAGCTTGGGAGGCCAAAAACGCAAGGATGGCTGGAACATGCTCTCCGCGCTCTTCTTTTCGCTCCGCAAGTGGTAACAAAACCAATCCGTCAAAGATTGTAAAAAACACCAGTGGCATCAAGTTCACAAACATGATGTTGACGCCACCAATCGTGTATTTGTAGTATTGCCAACCGACGGCCTCGTAGATGCACAACAGCACCGTCGACGTCGACTCTCCGGATGGCACTTCTTGTCCGGCGGAAAGACGGCGATGACGGAGGGAGAATTGCGGTTGCTGAACCGGGGTCGACGTACTATCCCCTTCATCCTCCTCCTGGATGGTGTCCTCCGGCGGAGTGGGGACGACTACAGCAGGAGGTGCTCCGTAGAAACGGATTGACGTGGGATGCCGGAACAAATGCTCGATGAGCGCCCAGTTAAGCTTAGCCATCGGAACAGTAATAACGGCTCCCCAGCAGACGAGGCATACGAACAAGAGCAAGGGAGCGATGATGCAAATGAGCGCGAACCAGAAGCACAAAGTGCCCAACCATTCATCCGTGCTGCTGACTCCGACGGCCTCCGACGAAGCAGGGGACGTATGAATGGTGCCGTACCACTTGGCTTGGCCAACGGGAATCTGCAGACTTCCGCGTAAGAGGGAAGTCTGTTCGTCTGGAATAGGCAAAGGATTCCAAGACACGGATTGCTGATGAGCCAAGGCGTGGCGTGGTCTGATGGTGGAGTATTTCGAGGGCGTATTGCTGTCGTTGGCCGAACCAGGTACTTCGGTGCCCTGTGATTCAGCACCACTGGTGTTGCCTTCCTCGTCGCCATCCGGACTCCGCGGGTTGCCCTCTTCATCCTGAACCCGATCCTTGACGTCGCCCGCAACGTACTTGCCAAACGGCCAAACGATGTACCAACCCAAGCCGAAGACGAGGTTGGAGTAGCTTCTGCCACCCTTGGGGACGACATAAAGCACTGCCGACACAACGATGCATACCATCGCCAACCACCATCCGAACAGTACCGCCCACATCACATTCCCGGGTAGTAGGCGACTCGCTTGGCCGGTCGGAATGGAGTGTACTGCTTGATCCGCGTTACGAGTAACCGATCGACTCTTCTTGTACAACGCAGGCTTCCAAATGGGCAAACCGAACGGATGCTCGACGTTGATAAGCGACTGCCGGTCCCTCAGCGTGATCGGGTCCTCTTCGCGCTCGGCACTATCATCTTCGTCGTCAGCATCGCCTGTGCGCTCATCTTCGACAGACACGCGTCGCCTTGAAGAGCCTGCACGGTCGGCTTCGTCGTCCTCCTCCGCCTCGCTGAGCAAACCACTCTCGTCGTGACGCAGCTTCGTGACGCTGGCGCTCCTGGGCAATCCGCGTCGAGTGGAACTATGCGATGCGCTCCTAGGAAACGATGGTTGGCCGACACGGCGGGGCGTCGGCGAGTGCGTGCGGGATGCCTGCGGTGGGAAGTACGAGGTGCCGTAGTTATGGTGCTGAGGAGTGTTATCCTGCATGGACCAGGTTGAGCTCCTCGATACGCTCCGCTGGAGGTTGGCGCGAGGGTTGATCGCGCTCGACGACGTGGCGGGCTGTCCAGCGTCTTCGAACTGGCGCTCGGTGGGTGAAAGCCCCGACATCGTTGACGGTGTCGACAGAGAGCAACCGCCGGGCTCGGAAGCCAGAGGTGGCTGAACGGAGAGTGACGGACTGACGCGCGTCACGCAGTACGTCGGGATGCCGCCGGCAGTCTCACCCTGAGTCGCGCGGGATCTCATTCCGAGTCAGAGTGCAGAGATATATACTATAAAGTGTGGGGTATCAAAAGCCATGAAGCCATGAACTACTGTAATCCTCGTCTCAGCAGATCTAACAATAATCATAAGAAATCATGAAAGTGGTAAAGACTGGCTATTTCCTCAAAAGCTTCTCGTGCATCTCCGCGCTTTTCAGCTTCGCCCTCAAGAACTCTAATCGTGTTTCATATCTTGCAGTGACCTCCGCGCGACGCTTTCGGATGTCTGACATCTCTGCTTCCAGAGCAGCGTACTCGTCCGGGTCTTCTCTAGTGCCTGGAACTGGAATTGAAGGTAAAGGACGGACGGCGGCACGTCGGGTACGCCGGTCGGGAGTACCGTCGCCTTCCATAACCGTGGCCAGCGGGAGATGGCCACTGCTTCTACCCAGGTTGACGGTGGAAGAGCTGGCCATCGCTAGTCGGCCAAGGGCTGAGGTTGGGACGTCCAGCTTTGAGAGCGCCTGCTTCCCCCGTGACGACATGGACGAAAGGGATGTCTTCCTTGAAAGGGTGATTGGTTGTGACACCAGTGGTGAACCACTGGATGGCGTTACCACGCGCGGTCTCGAAGGCAAAAGTCGAGACCTCGACGACACATCCGTTCGTCCAGACTTTCCCGAATGGGTGGATACCGCATCTTGGTCCATGTTGAAGCCCAAACCACGAGGTGACCTGCGACCGGACGCGGGGCTTCGACTGCGCCCTGGCACCAGCGTGTGCGTCGACCCTAATGGATCCCGATAACTGGCCCCGGACGATAGTTTCGCAGAAAGCGGCGGATGTTGCTTCTTCGTCAGAGTGCTGAGTTCCAAGCCGTTGAATGCGTCTAAGAGTCTCCGACCTTCAGCTTCCACCAACTCGAGTTCCGCACGGATGTCCTTTGCCGTCTTCAGTCGCTCGTCGTCGGCATATGTGGTCAATTCCGCGGGGTCATCGTGAGGGTCTGCCGTCGAGACCCGATACATCGAGGAAGGACCTCTAGTCGACGTGCGCAAAATGCCTCTTCGGGAACTACTTTGTGCTCGGGCTGCTGCATTGCCTTCGGAAGATATGACCGTTTCGGCACGACTTGTCCGCCGAGAACTGTTATTCTGGGTACCATACGGGGAGCCATCCGATGCGAGAGAGATCTCGCTGCTCTTCTTGCTCAACGCCCTCGGAAGTGTTCGACGGAGGAGGCTCGACGCTCGCGAAGCGCCAGAGAATACGCTACTCTGATCAGTGTGACTGTGCTCCTGAGACGACGCTGCTCGGCGGCCAGTCGCTCTCCTAAGAAGTCCAGAAACGCCGCTCGTGATGCTGCCACTAGCGGACGTCCTTGACTGTATCGAAGGTGCACGTGGTGTCTTCATGGATGAAGGTGGATGAGGACGAGAAGAGGATATAGAGTCTGCGCATGAAGCATCAACGGGCTGTAGTACGATATGGGCACAGGACATACATCGGCCATTCGATGGTGAACTGGTTGGGCCTAAACGCACGACAGGTTCTTCAGTTGGGGCTGCAGAACCCGACGCAAACCTCTCGAAGAGGTTCTGTCGCAGAAGACGGTATTCGTCGTCACTGTGAATCATAGGATGGTCCTGTCGCTCAGTCATCTACAAGCAGCCGAGAACGGCAGCGCATATACTCACTCTAAGAGACCCTCGGCATTCGCGGTAGCCAATTCGCTCAGACGTTGAGCAAGCGTTAGACTGTGGAGTTGTTCATCAACGCCAGCTTGATTGCCGAACATAGAACTGACGTTATGGGGTCCGCGGACATCCTATGCTGCTCGTTAGATTCATACTCTGAACCTGGTCTCGAAGAACCTGGGCTTGGATGTTGAGGGTTTCTCGCTGCGCGCGCGTTGAAGCTCGACGGAGGGGGGCGGGGTGCTATGGGAGGGGTAACAGCGGGCGGTGTGGGCGCTCGCACGCGCTCCTTCTCCTTGACCTTATTCCTACCATACTGCCACCCCCAGGTCCAAGTTTAGCCCCGGGACAAGCCGCGCTTCTGGAGAGAGAGTACGCACGAATCTTGAGCGTATGACGCGTGCGCCGTTTATGCTCTCGTCCTGAAGGTCGTCTCTGCGCGACGAGAAGAAGCCCATTTCATTCCGGAGAGAATCACGTTAGTGAGCCAACAGCTTGACTAGGATCAACGTGTAGCGATGCTCATGCAGGTGCACCAGGCTCGGGGCTCCGATGAGCGCGATGTACGGGCGCACAAGCCCCCAAGCGTGACAGACGAAAAAAACGGAGGGTGTTCAGGAAGGAGAATATTGCCTCGGACGGTTGGTCGACGCAAGGCCTCGCGCAACTCACGTTTACTCACGTGTCCTTGGCAGCGCGATAGCATTTTAGGCGTCGTTCATACCGGTACCGGATGATTGCACTTCTACTCCTCTAATAGTTGCTAGTATCACATATAGCAACCTATTGGTCGTTTGCCTGCATCGCGATCTCGGTGCCAGCCAAATGGATTCAGAGCCAAACTCAGACACCTTCACTCCCATTGCTGCTAATATCCGTTGTCATTCCAGTACAAGCTACCTGGAACGCGTGTCCATGCTGACATCGAATAGATATATCCCACCACTCCTAGAATATACATGACCATGATCGCTGTGCAGCTGCTGATCAGAGATACCCAAGAAAGATCGCCGAACAGTGCCGCTCACAATGTCTTTTCGTCGGAAAGCACTTCATTTCCCAACTTATCTGCGGAAGTCCCATGATGTTGCAGAACACATGGGCCACGATAGGCGGCCAAATGGATGATGTGCGGAGAAATAGATACCCAGCATGAAATCCAAAGAGTGTTGTGTAGCCGAACTGGAAAACTGCGAGGCGACTCAACAACGAGCGCGAGAGTGCAAGTAGAAGTACCCACGACTGGAAACCAGCGCTGTCTTCAGAGCCTGAGGTGTTTGACCAAGTCGCTGGTACGTTTCAAGAGCATGATGTACGTGGGCTTTCGTGGATCGCAGGGAGTCAGCTCATTGGTGTTGAGGGTATTTCATGCCTGAGGCCTCACCTAAGCCGAACCAAAGCGGGGTAACGAAGATCATGAAGCGCTTCGAAGCACCCGCGAGGTGATATGCCGCAAGGATACACGAACGAAACACCAGTTCTTCGGTGATAGGACCCTTGTTGCACCATTCAAACAGGTTCTCACAGAACGAGAAGCTTAGACATGCTCACGAATACGAAGTTCCGCAAACCCGTCCACGTGTTGAACAACGGCAGTAAGGACCCCCGCACAGTCCATCGGCTCTGCCCGGGTAATTTCAGGAATAGATATTGCGCGTACAGCGAGCCAGCGAAGAGCATTGGGGTGACTAAATACGCCAACCACCGGCTGGATAGATCCAGTTGGAGCCCCAAGCGCAAGATCGCCGATCGGAAAGTGGTCATCCACAACTCCCAGTCAGCACTATCCGTGCGGGATCTGTCCTCAACACATTGGAGCAGGATTACAAAACCGAACAGCGAGGTGAAGGTGCTGAAGGAGACCGCCACAAGTCGTGCTCGGATTATTGCTGGATCGTCCCGTGTCCCCCGCAGCGGGGTCGCGTCCGTGCGATCATGTTTGTTACTCAAACGAGCTCCTTTTGAGGCGTATAAGATACCGACGTAACTGGCTGTCACGAAGAAGGCGCAAGCATGTGCCACTGCAAGAGAGAGTGGTGGTTCGGGATATGTGAACAGGGTCCACCCCATCGATTTGCGAACGAACAGCTGTGTCTCGAACCGTCGTGTGATGGTCCCGGTCGATGGTCAAGAACAGACCCAAGGGCCAAGTGCGTCCTGCGCGCGCGTTGCCCGGCGCTCATCGCCACAAAGCTATTTTTACACTCGCGCGTTTGGACGCTGAGAGCCTGAGACTGCTGGCTTTGGACTCAACTCCATCTTTATATATTACTAACTCAAGAAGCCAACATTCAACGACATTTGTCATGAGAAATCACTGATGCCACAGGTGCTATCACCCTGAGCGTCTCCGATCCATCTTACTTCCCATGCCTCGGTTTTCTGCCAACTTCTAGGCCAATATTCTATATAACTTTCCTCATCTTTGCCCGGAGTAAGGACGCGCATCTTCAGCAGTGATCGATATGATTCCATGCTCGCTGCCAACCCGTTGTACCATGTGATCCTGTCGTCGTTACGAAGTCCAGCTAATTCCGCCCGAGAACCAGGCTGAAGCCGTTTTACGACGAATGTCTTGTTGCCCAAAACATCCAGGTCGAAACCTAGATCGAAATCGTACTGGTCCGCGCGGTCGACGGAGAAGCATGGTCCAAAGGTGTCTTGAGGCAGCCTAATCAGCCATTTACCTGATTTCATCGCGGCGAAGGAGGTGTGCGCCACCGGCCCGATCTGCGCCTCAAGTATCTCTTGCCACTGCTCGATTCCGAAGGGAGTCCCAGGAGTCCTCCGAAGACGTATGAGTCCGCGCACACTATCGTCGATGGACTGTTTCCCTCGAGTCGCTCGAGTGATTTGGGCTCGAAGGTAGAAGAGATAGGTAGCGCCGCGATAGTAAGGCAAACGCTGGGCATGCGTGTTCTGCCAAGCCAAACGGGCTGCCTCTGCCTCGGGAAAGTGACGCGCAGGAGAAGTGTAATATTGGGAGAGAATGTTGTTCAGAGCTGTGGTAAACTGCGACTCATTGTACAAGCCAAAGTCGTACGGAAGCGTGGCGGCGTAGTAGGTCGCCATCCCTAGCAGAGGCCATCAGCGATGCGGACACTTTAAGTCATCAGTTCCTTACCTTCCACATACCAAGCACTGTCCGGATCTTCTGTGCCGCTTTCAACCTCCTTCTGTTCCATGATGGGCCAGTTGTGTGCCATCGCGTGGACTATGAGATCGAAGAGAAAAGCCTCGTCTTCGATGACGGTACCATCGTAATACTCGAGAATGAAACTCCACTGTTGGGCCGATCCGCCGAAGGACGGTGATACACTTTTGCGCACGAATATGCGGAATGCTTCGCCGGGGTCATCAAAGAATGATCCCATCCGTTCGTACACTCGTTCGAGAAGGGGCGCCATCTGCGTTGCGTTGAATATATGTGGTTCTCCAAACCAATACATCCCGAAGTTCGACGCAGCATTTGTATAACTATGGAACGGGCCAACAGCGAGGTATGTGCCGAGTACGTCAAGCAGCGTCCCACGCCTGTATACGGTGGCGCCATCTCCCCAGGTCCATGCAGCGGATGTGCCCGGGGGAGCACTATCCATGTTCCAAGTGAATGTAATGTCGCATAGTTGGTCTTGGTCAGGAGGAAGGGGAAGGAATGACACGGGGCTTCCGATGAGGCCTCCTTGGTCTGTACGCAGGTCTACTCTGGGGCCGGGACGGGTAGTAGGCGTGACTGCACGAGGCATTGCAGTGAAGCTGAGTTGAACAGTACCGCGAACATCTCGCGACACTAGCCAGTCACGCTTGTTGACGTCTTCATGGTCCTGACTACGGAGCCCGATTGACCCCTCCTCGTCGGCCGCTCGGAGCGAATGGTCACCCGAGTAATCGTTCGCGGGTACGTTACCAAACTTGAGCGGCAGTGTCACGAGGGTATCACCAGCGCGCAAAGACAGCGAGTTAAGGCTGAGTATAGTTGATAAAGCAATCGCATCTCCGGAAGTCGTATTGAAGAGGGGTGTGATGGTCAGGTTAATGGCTAACGGTGGCGACGAAGGCGAAAAGGTTCCGACAGTCAACAACGCCGCTTGACTCAGTCGCTTCAGCGTTGACCACATCCTTTCGTGTGGTACGGCTGGCTGCAACGCCGAGGAGAGAATGTGGGCGGGGAGGCCCAACTATGAGCGACATCATGGTCGATTATTGCACATGCACATGCTGTGCCGCAGTAATTATGACCAGCCGCATTCAGCCTCCGAATCCAGTACGGCCCATCTCCCCTACTAAGGTAGCTGTCATGCAAATCTTGACCGATGTTACATGATATGATCGACTGCTTGAAGGCCCTTCTCCTCCTGCAGATCAAGCACGATCACCAATGCGCGACCTATATTGTCTAGATACAGTTCATTAGTAGGTAGGTAGGTAGGTAGGTATATTATCATAGGTTACGACTCCGACGAAAGAGTAAAACTGCAAGAGCAGATGAAATTTGAAGCCATTTTGGCAGCCACGTGATATCGGTCAGGATTTGCATGGCAGCTACCTTACAAAACCTTCATCTTCAATCGACACAGTAATAATGTTTCCAGATTTCTCGGTTCCTCGTTACTGCTTTGGTGCAACCCGCACGGGCTTGCTTTTTAGACCCCCTCCCCACATCGGCCATGCTATGTTATGCTGTCGTTCTCTGCGGCTCCCAGTCATTAAGCCATGCAGTCACGAACCGAATCATCCTGAAACAATCAGTTATTCATGATCATTGTGTATCGTCGATGAGCAAGCTTACTCGCGATGTATCTTGAGGATTTCAGCCGGTTCTTCTTCAATGTTGCGAAGGCCGAATTCATCGTAATGATGGACGCCTTGAGATGCGGTTTCAGTACACAGTTCGCGGCATGTTCGGAGATTACAGCCAGGACGCACCGCCAGGTATCAGCTTGAAAGGGCGCTCAATTGTGTCTTCCCTCTCGGCGGCGTAGCGGCTATGTGGGGTGGCAGGTCTCCACGGGTCAACCTCGCCATCAATGATAGCCAGCTTATCAGCCGCGATATCGAATGAACCAAGATCGTTGACAGCCGTTATGTTAGGCAACGGCGGCACGATGAAGTGTTTTCCGGGAGGGAACGCCTATGACCTGGCTCAATTACTCAGTACTCCCTGGTGCACCGGATTACTAACCTGACGACAGATCTTGGACTGGTACTCCAAAGTATGGAGTTTTGATACGATCCTCGGGTAGTCAGGATCCGGCGGCGCAGTCTATCGAAGTGTGAAGGCATGTAGTACTCTTATTGGACGATACACTTACGAAGAAATAACCCCTGTAGAAGGTATACGTCAGGATAACGTCTTCGTCTCATTTTTCAAGGTACCCACCATTCGGTGCACACCTGGAAGAGCCATTTGCGCCAGTTCTGATCCAGGGACGTATCTTGATACTTTGTATCGTCGGAAGTGCCGAAGCACTAAGATTGTGCGATCAGCAACAACAAACAGTGCCGCATTTCCCTGGCGCACCTCCTCTACCGTCATGTCCTTGGGGCAACGACTCACAACATGCTAGAGAGCAAGGCTTCAGCCGAAAACCTACCTCTGCAGCAAAGCTGGTTACCTTTTTAATATAATTAGCGTAGTTGACGATAGTATAATCGACGGTCAACGCTCCAGTGACCTCGATGGACCTCTTGTTGTCATCGTACGGCAGCATTTCATGCTCTGAAGGCAGCGGCCAGAATGGCTTGTTGAGAGCCGCGCAGAACTCGTCAAAGACAGTGCTCCCGACTTCCGGATCCCAGTTCTTTGCTTGCCACGAACCCAGTGGTTGCTACGAAACCGAGGACCCGCTGATTAGATTGCGGTGGTGAAAGGAATCTGCCATGAGTACGAACCGAAAGGATACTAGCAAAGTCTTCGTCGTGTTCCAACTCTCCTAAGCCAAAAAGCGATTTCAGGGCTCGGCGTAGTATGCGCCCGGTAGGGCCTGGGTGTGTGAGTATGTTATCAATGGAAGCAATCGCGGATTGCAGGTTGCTTGAGCAAGTCGGGTCCATCGCAACCCGAATGATGTCCATGTATTCCCAGATGGTGAGTGCAGCATGGGTAACGCCTATCAATTGAATGAATTGAGCAAATCAGGAGCTATTCTCGTTAAAGGTGCATACCACTGGATGCGATGGCACCAAAGACAAGCTCTGGGTATAGAACCTTCATGTGGGCAGCACGAGCACCGGCATATGATCCCTGAACGAATGGCGTCAATTACTTCCTTAGAATCTGCATTAATGTTGGGCATACCCCGTAATAGATCCACGGGGCATGTGGAGCGGTCAAGTCTTCCTCGATGCCTTCAAACTTGACATGTGACATGAAACGGGCAGAGTCAGCAGCACTCTGAGCGTTGTCCAGGAAGCGTAGAGCATCCGTGGATAGGTTATCTACGGGAATGGAACGGCCTAAGATGTTCCGGAATGAAACGGTGTCCAGTATTGATCAAGCAGGATTTTCTGACCATAGTAACGGTGTTCGAGTACCACTCCCACTCCGCCGGTCGCCTTCGCAAGAATCTCGACGATACCTGGCAGGACAAGAAATGAACCCATGCATGGTGTGACGAGACCCATGTGAGTCGCTTCGCACCTGTATCGAGGAATGGCAAACGGTTTGCCCCACTCGTCTCGCCTCCGTCGAGGACTATCACTGGAGCACTGCTGTTGGGCTTGTAGTGGCGCGTGTTGATCCAATAGCGTTGGCGCCAGGTCTGCGTGTCCTCCCTCGCGAAGTGATCCAGAGGTTGCTCGAACCAGTAGGCCTCGAACGAAGGCAGCGCGGAACTTGGATCCAAGTCATAATCGGGAACAACGGTATCCCCTGAAGCGTCGAAAGGCGTTTGAGCATGCGCAGGAACACCAAACTGGGTCGCTCCTTGCTGAGAAAGCGCCTGCAGCCTCTGGAGGTTGATCGACTGCGTGTCTACCGGGCGAAGTCCGCCGGCGGCGGCCGTCGCCACGAGCGAACACAGGGCCAACTTGAGGCCGAGCATAGGATGGAATGCGTTCAGGAGCATCCTGGTCATTGGACGAGGAGGTCGAAGGCCGTGCATATCACTGGGAGCATTTCCAGCCTGCGTAGCATGTGGTCGCGATCGGAGCCGTCGGCGAGGGACCGTCTTTCTCATGGGCGCTTCGATATGTGGTCTGCGCCACTTTGCTGAATATCGGTTCTGGTATGGCCCGGTTTGAGCCCGGTCGATCGTTCAAGGATGCGCTCTAGCCTCTCCTCCTCACAGCGTCCGTAACAATGTTTACATACACCGCGCCAGGGTTCACAGAATGCTCCGAACTGGAGTTAATCTCCAAGCTGCATGCTGCGATAGTTGAGCGTCGTCAATTATCAACGTTGCCCTTTGCGCATGCCAGGCGATCACTCCTGCCTAGAAAATGTTCATTGAGTTTCCTTGGGACGTGAAGAATAATGACGGTCGGACCTCCATTCTCGCGACGCAGTTTCGCTCGGACGAATCCCAGCGGGCGGTCTGCTACCCCGTCCACATTGTGCGGCACATACTTGGTGCGTTGTGACCCTATGCTCCATTGATCAGGTTTCCGCAGTGAATCTTCGGCAAAGATGCGGATCCAACTCGACAGCTGCGAACGCCGTCGACTATCGATATTCCACTCGCTCGGAACCCTCCTGAACTTCCACCAAAACCGTTTGCTAAGCTGCCTTTCCGACACCATGGACAATCTCGGTGTATAATCATGAGGCGATGATGGAAAAAAGTCGCGGCTGAACGCTGAGCGAGCCGTATCGTGGTATCTTATTTCGGGCTGGTGACCGTGTGTCATGTCGTCGGTCGCTGACCTCCCGGAGCGTCTACAGCTCAGACAGGTGTCTCTACTCAGGTCCTGTTTGTGATAACACGGGTAGGTTCGAAGCCACGAGCTGCCATGCAGCTCTCCAATTGTGCTCGCTTCGCGGCCTGCAGGATTCCGCCTAACTCCCGGGCTATGGCTCTGTATTGAATCTCTCGGCCCTAAAGGCCAGCAATCGGATCATTGTGGCAGCTATCGCGCCACTTTCCTCATGTCTCGCATAGGCCAGCCGATACATTTTTTGGCCGGTGGTTTTGCTGGCTTGACCATTCGAACCGAGCTGCAGGAGATACAAAGGGCGGAATTAGGTCGCAAGGCTGGAATCAAGGGTAAAATGCTCAGTGATTTCGCGAGACGCGATCTAATGGACGAGATAATTAGACAGACGTCCGGTTTGCACCCTTTTATGGCTGTCTACCGTGGTCATGACCGTCCCCCTGGACATTTAGCTCGATCCTCCACCGGTGGCCTCAGCTAGCTTTTTCCGGGTCCATGCAGGCGGCGCAGGCGTGACGACCGAAACCGAGATTGAGAGCCCGGAGTGCGTCATTCTGCAGTGCCGTCTCGTTGCGTAAGCTGACTTCCAGTAGCAAAATCAGGATCGAAGGCTTCGTCTGCAACGTAGATTTGTTTCCCGTACCGACAAACTGGCATGAACGAGGCGGGCCGTCGACTGCCTCATCCTCATCCTCATCCTCGCACGCTGTTAATCACCCCACCACTGTAACACCGGCCTCTTACGCACAGAAAGCTACGCACCCGGATATACTGGCCTACGTAGGAGAACATCCGTTGCGTGAAAGCTCAATGTGTAGCGGGGACCTCGCCGGTGGTCGCTTTGTCGAGGCAATCCGGCTCGACTACGGCGGGAAGAATCGTACATTATTCCCCTTTCCTGTTCGTATTCAACGCAATTACTGCGTATACACTAATGACGAAGACCATTCCGTGATGCAGGACCTCTCTGTCAAGACTGAAGGATTTTTCTGCCTTCGGTATCGAATCTTCGACATTCTGGCGGCCGCCGAAGGCAAGGGTTCGATACCTGTGTTAGCGGAATGTTTCGGAGGCGTCTTCAGAATATACGGTTCGAAGGGATTTCCGGGGTTGAAAGTCTCCACAGAACTAACGAAGGTGTGTTGAGTAACGCTGCTTGCCTGGACAGCGCGCTCATGTTTTGGGTTGTACAGCTGATTGCCATTCACGGGCATCCCAACGTCAAGGTCCGACAAACGGAGCGCAAAAGGCGCAAATTATCGGATCCGGGGCCATCACGCCCTGCGCCTTGAACTTCTGTCTTGTGTACGGGCATGACTAGTCCCTTCTATTTCCCCCTTAGGTTCAAGGGTTATATCCTTTGATAAGGTTGATTGCTGATACAGGAAGCACCGGTTACATACGAATCACAGTTCACCGCCTGCGATGTCTGTTATTCATCCCCCGGTTAATATGATGTCATTACAACGATTCTACCCTTAGTATTGAGACGCCCGGTCGTCTGACCAAATGGATCCAATATCGTCTAGAAATCGAAGCGATCACGTTGACGAAAGGACGCCGGCTCAATCTGATGATGCCGGTCATTACATTACAGATAGTCGAACAGAAAGTAGACGACTCTAAGTTCAACGTACCAATGGTGTTGATGTCGATTGGTCCTCGATGTGTTTGGATTTACAATATAGCGGCGAGTGCAGCATTCTCTGTTACACTGCAGTGTAACGCAAGATGGACACTGAAAGGAGGCACCGGTCATGTGATGCAGTCGACGTGACAGTGCGTGACAATGTGCTGCAATGATCTTGTCCTGCTCCTTGCGTTTTCCGTCCCGCGACGTTCATCAGATCCAGGTCTGAAAAACCACTACCTCTACCAGCCGTCTCACTTGCATATATTATCTTTCATGCTAACCCTATTGTATCTATCCCATTGAGGGATGGACCAACTCAGCGAGGCAGCTCACGATTGCTGTGAGTCTCCTTTCACCCTGTCATTATTGTCGTCCTCATCTCTCCACTCAGTCGGATATGCTGTCCAGCGCTGACTGTGTATGTTGCCTGTGCGTTACATCCACCCGGTACGAGATTGTAGAGCCTGCCGCCGACGTGGCTCGTTCATGCAACGGAGTACGTACGAGGTCCTGTCTGGGAACAGCGATCAAAGCCCATCCTGGGTGACGGATGGAATGGATTGATGATGCTGTCCGCGTGGGTGAGTATCCGTTTGACCTTCTGATCAGGACCTGGTCACTAGATGGTCGTTGACAGCGCTTGGTACTGTGCTCAGAGATCGTCATGCATGACCGGATCCCGCGAAGCTGCTCCATACAGTTTTGACATTGACTCCCGCTCATGCAGAAGGTGCTGCAAGTCGCAGGTCCGTGGTTTGCACATCAAACGATGGTTTATGGCTCTAACTCCTCTTTGCGCTATGAACTTCTAGCCTGCCTCAGTCTTTCGTGGTGCACATCGTGTTTTCTACCCAACAGACTACCGTAGTGTACGATTCGTAGTTTAGTAGCACAGGGCGCAGGCGAGCCACGGAAGGCCACCGCGGCTTGCCTGATCGGGCGTGACCTCCGGTAGCCGCCGGAAAGTCACAGGGTAGTTATTTCTCGGGCCGGAGTTTTTCGGTCCAATTACCCGACGCATTACCACCCCGACTAGGCCCGCCGCCGCCGCCGCCCACGACGCGCCCCGCCAATTTCCCCCTCCCATTTTCGAACGGCGAGCCTCTGCTGCACTCCATGTCATGCCCCGCAATCATAACACAGGAGCCTCTACTCTCCGCAACCGCAATCGCATCACCAATAAGACCCGGTTGCGAATCCTCGAAGGCAGCATCGATGCCGATCCGCTCGTGCTCGAGGAGGATGAAGAGAAGGCCCGGGTTGTGTCTACAGCTGGTGTGGACGCTGAGGACGCCAATGTGAGCCCATTTTCTGCCCGTTTGCTGGATGTGTCGTCCCTTGTTGAGTGGCAGGGGTGTGGCGAGCTCTGATTGGCTGGGAATCGTGTGAACTCGTTCCGCGGAATGCTGACTAAGCAACCATAGGAACACCACCTGCAGGCTGTCTTGTCGGCGGCGTCTAAGCGTCACCAGGCCTTTGGAGGACATACGATCAGAAGTGCTACGGACAAGGCCGAGGCGCCTGTCAAGGAGGCCTACATCCCAGTTCCCGATTCTACAGGGGTCGCTGATAACTACGAAGAACTCTACCCTCCTGGACGTTGGACAGATCCATCCAGCTATGTGCGCACTTCAGAGACTGTCGAGGAGGGTATCGACAGTGCCCTGGTTGACGATTTCACGTACTTCATGGATGAACGGGACAAGGAGTGGCTCGACAAGAATAATGAGGAAGCTCGCGGGGAAGGGACCAGTGTTCAGGGTGCCCTCGCTTCCGGCACCACGACGCGATCTGGTTCGTCTCAGCGGAGCGCGAAGGCGAAAGGCAAGGAACCCGATGTACCGCAGCCGGTCCCTATAACCGAGGACGAGTTTGAGTTGGTTATGGGTGTCTTCGAGAAAGTAACGCACGAGAAGACCGAGTTTCTCCACCATGTCAGTATCTTCTACTATATATTAATCATGAGCAACACGACTCACTGTGTTTGCAGAGTCTACAAACTGGCATGGCATTCCCTGCGTTCACGGAGTATCAGGAGACATTCTCCACCGAATTGCGACCTGCTATGTTCGCGTCTTTCACTGTGCCTACATGGGCTCCACGTCACCCGCGGCTTCTGAGTATTGCTACAGCGGTATACCCGCATTGGCGAGAGCGACGGCTTGAACGCGAAGGCCGGAGGATCATTCCCGTGCTCAATGTAAGCTCATCGGTCCTTTTTTGGTGGTCAGTATGTTGATCGGCCATTCAGTTCGACGAGCAAGACGTCAAAAACGAGTCCTACATCTGCTTCCGACGCCGCGAAGTCAAACAAACCCGCAAGACTCGTGCTCAGCAGATATCGTTTTCCGATAAGCTGTTCCGCCTCCAAGAAGAAATGGGCAGTGCTTTCGACCTGGCCAACCATATCCTAGTTCGGGAGAACCAGAAGAGAGACCTGGCTCGGCATGGTCAAGCTCTATGGGACATGCGTGCTGCGTTCGTTGACCTGAAGCGAAAGTTCCCCACACTCGGCACCAAGGACGATGACGAACTCCTCGTGGACAAGGAACGGCCTCCTAAGCGGCCTAAGCAAACTGACACGGCGTACGCTACGATAGTCCTTGTACTTCGTTCCTTCGTGCTGACAGACGTCTGCAGACGTATTCGATTCCGCGCTCAAGCTGCGGACTCTGGTTCGCCTGCAACTCCGCACGAGATCCAGATGAGACCGAAGGAACGGTATGGTCAGATTATGAACTTCATCGAATCTGCATTGGCGCGACAGAAGGAGAGGGACTCTTCTTGGGAAGATGGAATCGACGTGAGCTCTGCATGCTCCCACTTCACTTGGGTTCAAGCTCACTGGCGTCCGCGCAGAATCCGTATCAGAGAGTACCAGTCACCGTATCACAGCGCGCTTTCAAGTGGTTCCCTGTTCCTGAATACGACCCCGCCTCTAATCAGCCACCTTCGACTCGTCGTCACATCGCTCTTCGTGCGCGCATGGGACGGGGTGGCCGACAGCACATCGACCGGCGCTTGCATTTGCGACCATCCCTCAGGCCAGGTGCCAGCTTTCTTAGTCAGCCACAGCGAGATGTCGACAGAGATAACGCCGACGAAGAGGAACGCACATGGCGAATGCGTGAACGATGGATGAACGATGGCGACGATTATCCTGGCATTGGATCCGAAGGGCCGGACGAGCAAGACCGCACTCTCGTGGACGACTATCAGCATTCGTAAGTCGGGTAACACACAAGGAGGCGCTTGAACTGATAGCTCCCTTAGGCATCTCCTCTACTCTATGACCCTTCTCTACGATCAAGACCACAACACTTTGTCGACAGATGCGACCATCCCCATCACATTGCCAGACGGTCGTCAGCACGCTGCTACGCCGTTCAAGTTGGGTCCCCAACCCCCCATCATGCGCGGCGGTGTGATTCAGAGACCTCCTCCGACACTACCCGCATCTCTATCCTCGCATGTTGCTACAATACAAGCGCAGAATCCCATGAAGAGGCTACCACCCGCCGCTCTCGCGCATACCCGCATATCTTCAAATGGCGGCATGCGACCTCCTGCTGCTACCAATTCTCTTGGCAACGTAGCAACGTCGCCTCCTGCGTCGAATGGCGTCATTGCGGCAGAGATCAATCCGAGGACAGCAGGATCGCCGGCTAAACCCTCTGCCATGCTTGATGTTGAAGAGCTATCTGTTAACGGCAGTAACCCTGCGTCTCGCTCAGCTTCTCCGGTTCGACCGAAGTCCACCAGTCAGCATCTCGGGGTAGCCAACGTCAACGGGTTCAATATGCCAGTCGCCAATGGCTATCCCATCACAACGAACAACGGGAATGCCTATATCCCTCAAACAAATGGCCCATCTGGTTTGAGCCCTCAACAAGTACAGGGGCTTAAATCTGCTTTTGCGATGCCAGTCAGTCAGGACCTCGCTATGCGGTCAGGATTTCCGGCACAGGGTATTGCTACTGCGACTAGCAACGCTTCTGTGACGCATGGTCCATTGAACCTGAAACTTCCGCAGTCGCGTCAAATGCAACAGATGCAATGGCTTGCTGGCAATCATCGCCAACCGAGTGGGGAGTTGAACGGGACCAACGGTCTGCCTTCTCGAAGTCCAACCCTCTCCCACGCCGTAGCGAATGGGGTCATATCGCATGCTCCCGCTGGAGGGTTGCGAAGTACTCCTACGATGGCGCATGTAATGGCTGCCGGTCAAGGTCGTGCGTCACCAGGCAATAGCCATGCGTCTATGTCTCCCCACATGCAGAACGCGTCGCCTGTGCCAGTGATCGCCTCGTACTCGTCTCCTCAGTCATCATCTCCACCGCGACCGCCTTCTCAGGCACCTCTCGCTCTATCACCCTCGATGCAGCATCAACTCGCCTCTCCCTTGCCCCAACAACACATGGTCGCGCAAGGTGTACAGGGGACAGGCTACTGACGGCTGTGTAGTTCGTTTTCGTATTTGACGCGTCTTTATCCACCCCTCTTCGGTCTTGTTTATCGTTTCCTCCGTACCGCCTTGCCTAACTGTATTATGCATTTTAGTACATCATATACCTGCTGAACCCTCCAGTACCTTGGGCATCTCCTGTACGCGTATGGCCGCTCAAAGATGCCGCATACAAAATGGCCCACATTAGCGCCGATTTGGCCAGCCCACTCAATATGAGGTTGCAACATGATTACATTGTCGTCAGCGATGCATCAAGCTGGAGATTGACTCGGTACAAGCTCTACAATGACGGGAAACCGGCTTAAGAGGGTCATGACAGTCCAGAACCTGCCAGTAAGGCCGTGAGCGCAACGAGGACAGAGACTTGCGCTGTCACTGCGCGTTTGGCAGCGGACGATTTCGCGCTGGATGTACTGACGCTTGGGGCCGGGCTGCCAACGGTGATTGAGGTAACGGCTGTTGAGTTATTGGATTCGCCCTCGCACTGCAGCTTGAAGCTGATGAGATCCGACAAGGAAGAGAAGCGCGAGGCAGGCGCCAGACCGATTTGTTTATTTCCAATGTCATAAACCGAGGTCCAAGACTTCAGAACTGTGTCTCCGAACTACTCCAGGAAGTAATCAGTCATATGTACCAAAAACTGACAATGCCAAAGGGGGTGTCATATCCAGCCGTAAATGCTAGGCTGCCCTGCTTGACCCCGAAAGACTGCGCGATGTCGGTGGAGTTGATCGGAACCGCCACCACGACAAGTCCTCGATAGAAAGATTATAATCCGTTCCGTTGACGCGTAGCCCAATAGCAGGTAGTTTCGAGGAACAATCGATAGCTACTATGCTCCCTGCACCCGCAGTTCCACCTAACTCGGCAAGGAGGGTTTGGTATGTTGCATTCGGTAACGTCACGACGGTTGAGCCAGTGTCCATCTAGAATGAAAAAGAATACAAGCATATTCATGAACTGGAGATGAATTATTTGCATTACCACAGCTTCGAAATTTGAAGAGCCCTGCAGGAGTTGCTATCAACAGATAGCCCTTCGGCATGAACCGACCAGATGTTCTCCGCCACAATCGGATAATAGGTGATATCGCCGCTGAACTGAAGCACGTATGTGAGCAGCTTTGGTTGGCGTCACGTTTCATCTTACTGTCGTATTGTCCACGCCGCCGATTGTGAGAGACCCGACGTTCACCGTGCCATTCGTATTGCCCACGACTGTCTGATAGTCGAGAGCGTCGAGTCCTCTGGCAAAATAGCAGCTAAAGATATTCTCTTCGAGCGCTGTTGTATTGGCCAGCTGTTCCACGAAACCCGGGAGCCCTGATCTTGCAAGCGAGCTCCAGGCAAAGCCCATCAGGCCTGAGATGCCTTCGAACCCTAGGCCATGAGCGTTTTTAGGAGAAATAAGCCCAGGTTCCACAACCACGTTTTCCAGAGTGAAGCCTGCAACCGTCACGACGTCTGTACGGACCTCAGGGCTGATTTGACTGCCGTCACCATATCTGTTCGTAACGTACACCTGAGAGAAAGGGAACGAGTACCCGGGCACACACGCACGTAAGATTAATGGACCTTCCTAAGTCGTGATATGTCGAGGAAGTAGAAGGGTCGAAGGTGGCTGGAACCCCGACACTTCCGGGGGTAGCGAGCCAAAAGTCCGCGCTTCCAGTGTCCGCCTGGACCATGAACGTTCGAGGCGGTGTCCCGACTTGCACCTGAGATGACACTTTTATAAATGCCATTATACTCCGCGTAAATGCATCGGCTTACGTTTATGATGTAAAGAAGATCTTCGTTGGTCCAAACTGGAATGCTCGTATGAGTAGCACATAATAAGAAGCACGAATATTGGTACTAACAGTCCATTACCTGCGTTGATCCTTGAGGTCCGACCTGATGCGAGACGATCGGTGGCTCAAGGACGACGTCGGTCACAACGTGCGTCGAAGAATCTTGTTCGCGCTTCGAAACTGCTTTGGCAGCGCATAGCTTGTTGAGAGCGCGAGCACCAGCGCGCTGTAGCGATTGGACCTGTTCTACACCATGAGTGGCTCTTGTTTGGTGCAGTGGAAGAGTAATAGGGGACGCAGAGATGTCGGTTGACCCATAAAATATAAAAAAGGCGATAAAGAAGAACAGTGAAGAACGGACCATATCGTGTCGAATGGCGTAAGAGGGAATGCCAGGTGGCCCACCGCAAGTTAGGCTTTATACTGCCCGAGAGAACTCGTTGCTCCTATAGCGCAGGAGTGCTAATGCAGACACCGACTCGGATCTTTACAGCATCCCATGCAATCCCCGACAACTGTCGGCATTGAAGATTTCGTTGGTACCAGAATCTTGGGATGGTTCAGTGCAGTTGACGGGGTAATGAAGTGGATGCAGTAAGGGCGCATGATCGCGTCCATATTGAAAGACCCAACATATATATGGTGGAGAGAGCCTGCATCAATGAACGTCAAGTTAAGGTACGCGACGAGCTGAGTACAATACTCAGTTGCGTTGAACACATCTTATGGTTGGGAAGCAGGGGGGCAATACGCGCCCGCGCTCCGTTACACCGGCTAGGATGAGGCACTTGTCACCCACGGTTCCAGAGATTGGTACAAAAGAGCTGACTCACAAAGCAGTGATAAAGAGTGACATCTTCGATCGCATTAAACATAGCCGTACGGAGGTCGGTACCGCCCTGCGTGAAAAATGTCCCATGTTGGATGGATAACGGGAATATTTACCATAAACCGCTGCAATGCTCATAGAGAATGAGCAAATTGCTGAATGGTGTCCATGCACGGTATTTCGCCTCCTTAGCGCACTTATGTTGTGCAGCAACCTCATACATATTTGCCCTCAACGCACGTGTCTTTTATCGAGATCGCAATAATGTCATCTCAGAAGTACGCTCGATCGAAGGAACAGGTGCTCACGCATAAAAATACATAACAAGAGGTGCAGTTGTAGCAACAAATCATTCGTCCTCTGGCCAAGCAACGTCCCCTGCGGACCATCTGTCGCCCCATATCACGCGTTTGTGGTAGACCTTCCGAAGCTCTTTAAAATCCTTGACGAAGTCGTCGATGTCGCGCCCACTCAGCGTAGACGAGTCCGCGGGTCCGTCCGAAGACGAACCAATCAATGTGGACGCGCGTGCCTCCGAAATATCATCCTGTTCGGTTGTAGCATGCCGCAATCGCATCAGCAGAAATTGAGGCGTAAATCGCTGTAGGCGTGCATGAGCATGGTGCAATGAGATAACGCGTTCATCGAACCTGATATAGTTCCTTCTGCTCTTTCTCGAGTTCCTTCCATCGGGACTCCAAGGCTTTCGCTTCGTCAAATGCAGCCTGAGTTTCTGCACGGATTCGGTACAGATCGTCCTGCTGCGCCAAATTGTTTCCTGTAATTAAACGAGAATACTCTCAATGGGATAAGGTTATAATACTGGAAACTGACATACTGGCGATCGTCTCATTCGCCATCCCCAATTCTGCTTGCGCTTGATATAAGGACTTTACTTGCTCGAGCGAGTGGAATATAGCTTGGAAGTACGTCTGATCGGACATCATGTCCTCTAGATCTTCTCGTCTAGGGCGGCGTGTCGGTGGCTAGGTGCACTGAAGGCAGCGCTGCGCACGCACGATAAAGTGGAGAGTTCTGGGAAGTCGTTGAGCAGCGGCGTCTGAGGTTGCTTAGAAGTCATATTCGCAGTTGACACGAGAAGGCACAGCCCCGCTCGGCGTTGTATTCAAGGGTACACCTGAACAACGCGATCTGGGACGGGCGCAAGCAGTTAGCAGTAAGCAAGCTTGGATCTGGCAGGGTCATAGAGCTGGGGTCACACACCCGGAACTCCTGACATCTGACATCGCCTTTCAGTCCTGACCATGACCGCCACTGTATTGCCCGGCGAGCACGTCCCTGCTCAACATGTAAACCTCAAACTGGGGCCTGGGTTACTGCAGCAAACGAGCGCGGACGGCTCGGAATACATTATGTCTACCCGTGCTGGTGCTCTGAATCATTCGTCGAATGGCGCGAAATGGTGGATCGACAGCAACTCGCGACGGGTACGTCCTATACTACTAGTAGCCGACGAACAGCATCATAATGATGAAATGGCCTCAAAATATAGTATGTTCCAGCACCTCAGGAATCGGTTGTAGGTGTGGTGATCGCGCGAAGCGGCGAAAACTGGCGCGTCGACATCGGATCCGCGCATATGGCGACGTTGGATGGCCTTGCGTTTGAGGGTGCTACAAAACGTAACAGGCCGAATCTTAAGGTATGTCCGCAGTACTGTTGGAATCTAGATGCCTCACGAAAAATCGTGACAAGGTCGGATCCCTTGTATATGCTCGCGTGTCACTGGCGCATAAGGACATGGAGCCCGAGCTGGAATGTTTTGATGCACAGACGCGTAAAGCGGAAGGTTTCGGTGAGCTAAAGGGCGGATTCCTGGTCAAATGCAGCTTGAAGATGGCACGATTGTGGGTCATCAATCGTATATTGGATCCGCGAGCTGTCAAGGCTGACGCAGTTCAGTATAGGTTACTGGATCCGTCACATTTCCTTCTGCCATTTCTGGGACAGCGCTTCCCGTTGGAGGTTGCCACAGGCGTGAACGGCAGAGTATGGATCAACGCAAAGGACGTGAAGCAGACCATCGCTGTGTCGCGTTGTATCGAAGCCGTCGATCCAGACGGCGGCGGCCTGGATGCGCCAGGCCTAAAAAAGTTCTTCGAAACCCTCGACGTTTGATTGGGTTCTTGAGCAGTGGCTGTCCACCTGCCCCATGCAGATCGTACGGCCCTCCGTCCTCCGCGACCGGTGACTCCGCTTGTATTAGACGCCCCATGTTGTGTACCTTCGCTTACACTGAGATGCGACGTGGTAAGTACGTTCGATCTCGCCATGTGTTATGTCAGCCCGAGGCCTTCGTCTGACTCGATATCCACAGTTAAAATACCGAGCAGGCACGGCTAAAACTGTAATAGATAACCATTTCCTCCCACGCATCGTTGTGTCATCACCACGATCGATGTCTAACAACACCTATCCCGAGCATCCCCGCAGTAAGGTCAAGCGTCTCGCTAACCGAGGTGCCAAGCACATGTTCTCGTGGCAATACCAGCATAGTTGACGTTGTTTGTCCAAGGTGCTTACGACTACGCAACCATTCATAGCATCATCGCGTCCTGTCCCGTGCTCCACGTATCCTTCACCCCGGACGGCACAGATCCATTTCCAACAATCCTCCCTATGATCGGGGCATTGGGATCGTTTAGGTCGCCATCCACGCCTCTATCGGATGGCCCTCTGGATCTCTATCTTCATGGCTGGGTTTCAGCCCGCCTCATGCACCTCGCGGGCTCTCCCGAGGAGGAAGACGGACTCCCTATCTGCGTTGCCGGCACGCAGGTTGACGGATATGTCCTTGCGCTCTCTCCCTTCCACCACAGCCTCAACTACAGGTCAGCCGTCATCCATGGCTACCTGACAGTGGTCACCGACCCACAGGAGAAGATTTACGGGATGGAGCTCATTACCAACCATATCGTGCCAGACCGCTGGGCGAACTCGCGCGGCCCACCAACAAACGGCGAGCTGCATAGTACGGCTGTGCTCAGGGTGCGCATAGAAAGCGCGAGCGCGAAAGTTAGGACTGGCGGTCCGAGCGAGGACCGCAATGATGAGGCGGACGAAGCTGTAAGGGGTGCATTCTGGACTGGGGTGATACCGACGTGGCAGGCGCTAGGTGAACCACTTCCAGCGGCAGAGAACAGAGTCGATGTCCCGCCGCATGTACGGGATTTTGTCGAGAGAACAAACGTCGGGGGGCCGAGACTGGCGAAAGAGTCGGTTTCGAAGACAGTGGCTAAGAAAGCCTAAGCTAGATGGGTTCTGTACTTCGCAGATACTTGCTCGAGACGACGAATATAAAACGACAAGCTCGTGTATGCTTGCCACATGGGTAGACACGCGACCGGTATGAAGTCAAGTCGCTGTGATCCACGCCGCATCCAAACGGCTACGATGATCAACCGATAAGGCTTCGGAACCTCTTGCCGGTGAGCCTTGCGCTTAGCTTGCGTTCGTGCAAGGTGTAACGGTTTTGTCAGGCGTTGCCTTATCTCTAGCGTGGCAAGACCGCCTAGGGCAGAGTTCGGTGTATGCGGATAGGTGTTAGACATGAGTGGATGGCTGGGGTGTCGTATCGCCTCCCTGGCCTTTATACGCGCCCAACCAACAGGCAATGTTCATGATGCGAATTCTGGTTGACATGATGTCATAGCTTTCTTGGTGGCTAAAGGATGATAGGATTGATTATGTTGATGGTTGTGGCACGTACTACACCCGTGAGGAAGGTCTCCTGTAGTTTCGGAGGTCTGCCATCTTGCTGTTTCCTGGGCTCGCTAAGCCTTTGACTGGAAGGGTGAAAGGAGTGGAATAAACGCAGTACAAGCATAGACTCATAGGAATCGGTCAATGAAGCTCTGAACAGTTCTAGCCGCTTCCGTCTCCCATGGTTTGCTGTACTGGAGCCGCGGCCGTGACGCACTTCATGTCTCCTTGTTGAGCGTCTGCGTTTCGGAGCAGGTCAGCAACCTATGTCGCGGTGAAGTAGCTAGATAAACGTACCTGTAACCGCACCGATGCATAATAGTCGCCCTTCTTCGCTATCAATTGGTCATGCGTGCCATACTCGCTCACTGCGCCATCCTTGACGAAGTAACTGTTTATTCGTCAGGGTCGATGAATAGTCGGGAGAACAGGGAGATTCACATGCAGTCCGCGTTCTGGATAGTGGACAGCCTATGGGCTATCGCAATGGTCGTCCGCCCCTTCGCGGCCTGGTCAAGCGCCGCTTGCACCACCTTCTCAGACTGCGAGTCAAGCGCCGACGTGGCCTCGTCTAAAAGTAGCACCTTCGGATTGCGAAGCAGGGCACGAGCGATCGCGATACGTTCTGTCAAAAACGCGTCAAATTTAACTCGCTCATCACGGCACAGCCAAGGTCCACTCACGTTTCTGACCACCGGACAATTGGGAGCCCTTGCCTCCGACCTCGGTATCAAAGCCGTCCGGCAGGGACTGGATGAAGTCCAGAATGTTCGCGTTCCGGCACACCTCTTCAATATCCTCTTGAGTGACTTCCTCGTGGGGCTTGGTAGCTCCGAGGAGGATATTAAACCGCACGGTTCCGGCATACAACGTCGGTTCTTGGGACACGAGGGCGATGTGCTTCCGGTACTCCTGGACGTTGAGCTCGGCGATGTCCTGCCCGTCTAGGTAGATGTGACCTGCGAGAGGATCGTAGAACCTCTCGACGAGCTGGATCGTCGTCGACTTGCCACATCCAGAAGCGCCGACAAGGGCGACGTATGTGCCGGGATCAACGGTGAGATTGAGGCCGCGGAGGACACGTACCGCAGGGCGGGTCGGGTAACGAAAGTGAATATCTTCGAGGCGGATTTGGCCCTTCACGTCCTTCGGGACTTTGCCCACAGTCGATTCGGCGTCGATCTCCGGCACGGAGTCTAGAAGTCTGATGATGTCCGAGCCAGCACCCTTGGCGGAAGACTAGGGGTTCGAAGAGTCGGTGAAAGATGTCGACATGAGGGCCCAAATCGGTGGACTTACCATATCCGGCACGTAGGAGAAGACGTTGCCAGCCTGAATGGAACCGAAGACCGTGCCCTGTGATCGGCATCGCATGAAGAACGATTCTTGTTAGATGAGAATATAAGACGTACCATCAAGCCGATGAAGAAGTCTGTCGTTGAGAGCTCTCGGTCCGAAACGAGACGAGAGCCGTACCAGAAGATGAGGGCAATGATGTAAAACGACATGGATTGGGACAACGCGAAGAGCAGGTTGCTCCGGATGGCGCTCCTGTTTGACTCCTGAAGGGCCCCCTCTAAGCTTTGGTTGTAAAGGTCCGTGCAATCATGCTCTCGGGTGAGCGATGCCACGGTCCGGATGGCGCCAGCGGCTTCACAGGCAAGCTGAACGGAATCCTCGTGCGCGCGCTTGTTCTTCTGGTCCTTGAGCACAACGACGCGGAGGCGGATGTAACCAGCGGAAACCAAGAGCGGCATGCAAGCGAGACCGACGAGACCAAGCTTCCAGGCAAAGACCAAGCCAAGGACAAGACCGACAACGAGGGTGGCGAAAGACTGCACGATGACGCCGAGTGTCACCCCAGCGAGGTCGTTGACCTTCTGGGGATTGTCGCTGAGGGACGAGGTCACTGCTCCGGTGTTATTCTCGTCCTCGTCGAAGAACTCGATGTCCTGCCTGAGAATGGCCTTGAAGCTCAGGGACCGCAGCTTCGCCGTCAACGACGCTGCAGTTGAGGCGAACAAGTAGTTTTGTATACCAAGGGAAAAAGTAGAGAGGATGGCGATGACGAAAAACCATAGCGCATCCCGGTCGCCCCTTTCCCTGCGAACGTGCGGGTCCGGCTTGGAGAAGTTGTTTATGGAATGAGCTAAGACGATACCTGCGAGGGATCGCAGACCGTCAGCACGATGACACAAATGCTGAATATCACACTGACCGAAAGACGGATATACAGCGCCGGAACAGCAAGCCGCGACAACGGCGATCCCGTACCATTTCCAATTCTCACGGTTAATGATACCCATGCGCTTCAACAGGTACAGGAGGGAGTAATCGTCCTTGTGGTCCGGGCCAGCCTTCTTTCTCTGGTGCTGTTCGCCGATCTGGCTGCCGAGAGACTGCCCGCTCTGCTTGCGTCCAAGAGGAATATCCTCGGCAGCCTGCTGCTCCATCGTCTTCTCCTGAGCTCTCTCGACGGTCGACGGGTCGCCTCCACCGGTCACATCAAATACACCCTCACGAGCTTCACGGAGTTTCTGCCCCGCGACAAGGCGAGAATATGCGCCATCCTCGTTCTTGAGCAACTCCTGGTGCGTGCCCTTCTCGAGCACCACGCCGCCACCCATGACGTAAATGCAGTCGGCGTCCTTGATGGTGGAGAGACGGTGAGCAATCGTTATTGTGGTACGACCTGGAGCGGGGTTAGTTTTCTCGGACAAAAACCAGCAGTGCTTGCGTACCTTCCGCAGCCTTGTCAAGAGCGTTCTGGACGATGCCTTCGGACTGAGTGTCAAGAGCACTAGTAGCCTCGTCCAAGAGCAGGATCTTGGGGTCGGAGACAATCGCGCGAGCAATCGCAATACGCTGCTTCTGACCACCAGACAACAGGAAACCGCGTTCACCAACCATCGTGTCGTATCCGAGCGGGAGCTTAGCGATGAAACCGTCCGCGTTCGCTTTGATGCAGGCCTCCTTGATTAGCTGGTCCTTCTCTTCCTGCGAAGCGTGCTCATGCTTCGTGCCAATAAGACCGTGCGCGACATTGCCCTTGATCGTGGTTGCGAATAACGTGGGTTCCTGGGAAACCAGGCCGATCTGCGAACGAAGCCACTTGAGATTTAACTCCTTGATGTCGACGCCATCAAACTTGACGACACCGGACAGCGGGTCGTAAAACCGCTCGATGAGTCCGATGCAGGTGGATTTGCCACTCCCGGAGGCGCCGACGAGCGCGCAAGTCTTGCCAGCGGGGAAAGTAAGGTTCAAGTCCTTCACGACAGGGACGTTCGGACGCGACGGGTAGTTGAAGTAGACGTGCTCGAGTGCTATCTCGCCGACAACCTTCTCAAGTTTCGTGCCTCCGGGGTCGGCTGAGTCGATCGAAGGAATGCGGTCAATCGTTGCATGAAGCTTAGCGGCTGCGCTCTGGGCGTAGCTGATAGCTGTCCACAAATAAATTAGTCCACTAGACTGGAACTGTTCAACACGGATTGCTTGCCTTGCATATCAGGCATAAGCATAGCCAAGGAGAATGAACCGATGAGGATGGCAAAGGAGACATTAACGACTTGTCCAGCGTTCGCATGATGTTCATTAATGAGAGTGGTACCAAAATCAAAGGCTGGTATGTAGGGTGATTTAGTGTCCGGTATTGGAATGTTGTGATATGGAATGGCATACCAAGAGCATATGAACTATATATAATGAAGAAGAACACGGCCACCCCTCCACCTTGCCATGCGGCATCTTTCAATTCCACCTTGTTGGCATTGTTCACGTGTTCACCGTAGATACTGCTGAGAATGGGTTGTGTTCCAAAGGCCTGGGCGGTGCGAATGTTAGAGATGACTTCTTCGGCCAATGTACCGCCCTCAGCAATGTGCTTAAGCGAAATTCTGTGAGGATACTCGTGAGAGGGTATGACGATGAAAAGCGGTGTGTACACACTGCATATATTTGGACATGAAAGCGTTCATGACCCCGCCCGCGATCGAGATGCATGGGATAATGCTTGTCAACGCGAGGGCGAGACGCCAGTTACGAACGTAAGCGAGGATGAAACCGGTGATGAACGCTGAGATGGACACGACGATGAGTGCCACTTTCTCAGAAATGCCTTCCTGTACAAGATCTTTCGATTGATGAGTCCTATGTAACTCCTTCCGCTCATCAAGCATAAACACGTACGGGTATCCGTCTGTATACGGGTAGCAACTTCACCGGCGCCGAGGTTGTCGAAGTAGGCAATGTCTTGACGAAGAACAGCCCGAAGGTAACGCTCCCGTAGCCGTTTGGCATTGACCTCCCCTGTGTACACCCAGACCACCATGTACACATAGGTCGCGACAAACATGGCAACGCCTGTCGGCGGAGGTCAGCAGATAACCCCATGTTGACACTAGTAGGTCTTGCCAATGTAGACAAGGAAGGACGCGTCGTTTGCCGCTGTGTGCCGGAAATGCGATCTAACGGCAGGGAATTCGGCCGCGGCGGTGGTATTACCACTGTTCGCCGCAGCGAGAACGGTCGCAAAGTGGACGAAGTCCTCGGTAAGATTCCCAAAGAATAAACTCATCAACGGCTACATTGTCAAGTTAACCTCATGTAAAAAATGCACCAAACGGCGAAGATGAGATATACCTGAGCCGCTCCGGCCCCCATCGCACAGACCAATCCGATCAGATTAAGGGTCAGCTCCGTCTTGGTATGTAACCGGAAAAGATCTGTAAATGAGACGGGCTTGGCGTCCTCGACCTTGGGTTCGACATCTTCCTGGGGGACCTCAACATTCGCTGGCTTCTCGTCTTCAGGCTGAGAGGACCGTCGTCCGAGGAAATCTCCTTTCTTGCCCGACGACGGCCGCGCCTGATTCTCGAGCGGTCTGTTCGTGGACGACATGGCACCGACGGCAGACAGCTGCCTTGGGTATCGAGGGTGGGCAGGAGCGAGTTAATAATTTTCGCACGGACAAGAGCTCCGGGATATATGGACGCCACCCAGTGGCCAGCTTCTTCGTCCTGTTTACCCCGCCGCTGTACGCAATTTAGACGGCAAGACGGTGACTGGTTGCGCGGATGTGGCGGTGCCCGTAGTTTCGCGCCGAACATCCTACGCGTTGGCCGGCAAGTTAGATTTCTGAAGGTGGCGTGACTCTGTTTTTCGCTTTGTGGTGTCAATCTGGGATGGCCGGGCGGATACGCATCGTGTTACCGTGCAAACTGCCGGTGCGGTTAAAATCTGCAACTAGGTGTAAGGTAGTCCGTAGAGTATTTGATAGCCAACAAACATGGCGGCATGCAGCACCCTTCGTGATGAGCGCGGTGCAGTTCTACTAATGCATCAGCGGTGAGGTCTTCTGGGGAGCATGGCCATACCCAACCTGCAACTCCAAGCAAATGCACACAACACGTGAGGAGAGCCCGAGCATTCACTGGTCACCCCACTAGTCCGTGGTTTTTGCCTCAGGTAAGGATGTGCACGTCGTGAGGGCACCAAGACGTTCATCCCGAGATTGACGAGCCTTTGGCTGTCGCAGGACCCTCTGAGCGGCGAGGTGGCGGGATCAACGCGTATTCAGCATTCACAGGAAGGTTGTAGCGATCAGCCTAAAGTCTCTAGTCTCTCTACCATTTGCGCCCAAAACCGAACTATACTTCTGGCCGGACAATTCAATCAATCTACAATTGCAGGGACATAGGAACACACTCACGCGGCCCCATTAACGATGGAACGTTTATGATCGGAGTGACTTGGTGCCCAGGGGTAGTACGCGTTCTTGCCCTCAACCATTCCAAGCGAGTAGGGAAAATGCGGTATCGCCACGACGTCGGAATGTTGGAGCGATGTGTCGGTTGTAGAGTAGCTTACGGGAACAGGAACTTTGCTTTGTGCGAAACTGCGCGTGTACATTGTGCAGGTAGCGACAAGCCGGTAGAGGTAAGTAAGTTAGGTTCGTAATGAATCGTAAACCGCGACCTTCCCATAAGGTGGACCAATCACCAGTGGAGGCTTGGTAAGCATGAACACTGATTCGCGCGGTTACTGTGATGCTGTACGACATGCGCCTTCGTCACCGATCGCCATTGTCGCTATGTATTTAACTTAGGTTATCTAACTTACTACCAGAACATTTGCGTGAACGTCGAAACCCACAGCAAGACTGTGACAGATTGGTGCTTCTCTCAAGCAATGCCCCAATCGGCATCAGAAAAGATCGTGTGGCAGACGTGCTCGTTGACTTCTCGTACATATGCAGGTCCAGACTGTCTGTTCTCAAGTATGATGTGAATGTAAACGCAGTAAAGTGCGACAACGCTGACAACAACGGCGCACGTCTGTATGAGGCTGGGGTATCTGGACATTACCCGACGCTGGCTTTGGGTTCGCCTGCTTGGTATGGCATCTTGATGGAATGCTTCGAGGGGGGTCTCCCGAACATTTATATACGTTCAGTAAAAGACACCGGAGTAAGCGAACGCAACGGTGCTCGCACGTTCGCGTCATGAACGCAGGTTCGATATCGTGTGGAGTAATGGGCGATTGGGTAGCATCAGCAATATTTGAGGCTTCCCGCCGCGTGGCCTACGAGCGTGCTAGTTCTTGACATCTCGCGCTCTGCCATGCGAAATAGCTGAGCACGCAGGCCGACGGAATGAGACCTGATATGAACCGCCTGCCCCGGGCCCCTGCGAACTGACCCATGAGCTGGAGCGCATGAGCAGGCTGAAGGATCCGCAGCGTTCTTGGAGTGGTCCCTCTTTGGCGGTTTGATGCGCCCTTCGGATAGAAGAGGTGGCGCTGCGAGTCGGCGCTGCAGCTTCCACAACGCTTGGTCGATTCGATCGCATGCAATAAAGCGGTTTGCCCTAATGAACAAGTGCAGGTTCCGTCTATGCGCATATAGGCAAATCATCCTAGCCGATTAGTCGTTCTTCAGCATCGAGCTTGTACGAGGGTCCAAGCTGTTGTTCAAATCGCTAACCGAAGATAGCATGCGCCAAAAGAAAAACAGCGAGAAGTAGCTCGAATGATACTTCAATGGTCTTATCAACGACATACGCCATACGCGCGGATTACAAACTTACCATATATTGCACAATTGCAACAGTCTACTCATCCTCCGCCAGTCGAGCTCGCTTCGTCGGCCGTTTGCTCGACATCGTCGACACGCTCTCGTCGTCGCTGTCCTGACCTGTTGCGCTCTTGCGGTTGCTCGCGCGTTTTCGCCTCTGGTATTCTCTATCCCTATTCTTCTTATGCTGCGCGGCAGACATCTCCGACTTTCCAGCGGGCGGAATGGGAACAACGACGGAATTTGACCCGGCCGTGAGCTTGCCGTCGTCGATGGTGGCGGTTGATTCCTCTCCATCGCCCATGAGTTCCAGAGACTGCGAGAGGGTGAGTATGGCCTGAAAGCCAGAGAAACATGTGCTGCGCGCGCCTTCTGGTAAGTCACGCTGCTATTGGAGAAGAAACGGTCGGCATCGCTGAGTTCCGTCTTGCGCCTGGCCGTGTTCTGGTTCTTGAGGTAGTTCTCGAAACCATGTATGATGTTTCCGCCACCGTCGCGCAGAGCTTCCGCCAAGTAATTTCCTTCCAAGTTGTATATCCCGAGCTCTGTCGCAGCCTGGCCAAAAGCAGTGGATGAACACGAAAGGTACAGTGTGATGGGACGAGTCGGTACAGACCAACTGCTTGTCCAGTTGGCGCTTCTTGGTCAGGGCCTGTACGAGTTCTTTCCGCAGGGAATCATATCGAGCTTTGTCCTCTGCCGAGGGCGCCGCGTCCGTCGACATGTGTAGCAGCTGCAGCCGGACTACCGCAAGTGCATCACGGAGCGCGTCTGAAATCCGCAGATGAGGATGAGCTTGACGCGCTCCGCCACCGAAGCGCAAGAGACGCGCGTCCAGCTGAGTGAGCGTAAACGCGACCTTCAACTTCATTCACGCTCCTGCTTTCCTCATCATCCTTCCTCTAGTTACTCGCCATGTCTTCCGCACCGCCGCCCGACCCAATCAACAACAACAACGAGAAGCAACCGGAGAAGCCGAGCTCGTCTACGCCGGCGCCTGAACCACAGGATGCGGAGATGGACACAACACCGGATAAGCCCGCCGAGGAGACCTGGGAGGACATACCGGAGGACATCATGTCCTTGAAGACGGATGAGATCCTCACAAGGATACGGCTCATTGAGAATGATATCAAGGTCAGTACGCCATGATTTCGCTTGGTCGTGTCTGCTGGGAAGCTTACCATACTCCACACAGGTCATGCGATCGGAAACGTTACGGTTACAACACGAGCAGAGCGTCATGAAGGAGAAGATACGGGACAATGGCGAGAAGGTTAAGCAGAATAAAGTTCTGCCTTATCTCGTCGGAAACGTCGTGGAGGTAACGCTTACAACTTGGGAAGCTACGCATAGCCGTCCACCCTGAACACACTCGGTAGATCCTTGACATAGACCCGGAAATTGAAGAAGAAGGTGCTTCCCGCGACCTCGATGCGATGCGCCGTGGCAAGTGCGCCGTCATCAAGACCTCCACCCGGCAGACCGTCTTCCTACCCATCATCGGCCTCGTCCCCGCCGAGAAGCTCAAGCCGGGTGACCTCGTCGGTGTGAACAAAGACTCGTACCTTGTGCTTGACACGCTTCCCGCGGAATTCGACTCACGCGTGAAGGCAATGGAGGTTGATGAGAAGCCGACGGAGGAGTACACCGACATCGGCGGGCTCGACAAGCAAATTGAAGAGCTGGTGGAGGCTATTGTATTGCCCATGGAGCAGGCGGACAAGTTCAAGACGCTGGGGATCAAGCCGCCTAAGGGATGTCTCATGTATGGCCCACCAGGTACCACTCGCCGTTGTATACATGCGCAGGACCGTAAAACTGAAATGAACGCCAGGTACCGGAAAGACGCTGCTTGCCCGAGCTTGCGCTGCACAAACAAACGCATGCTACCTCAAGCTCGCCGGCCCGTCTCTCGTACAAATGTTCATTGGCGACGGTGCCAAACTCGTGCGCGACGCCTTCGAGCTCGCGAAGGAGAAGGCGCCTGCGATTATCTTCATCGACGAACTCGACGCCATCGGCACGAAACGTTTCGACTCCGAGAAGAGCGGCGATCGTGAAGTGCAGCGGACCATGCTAGAACTCCTTAACCAGCTAGACGGCTTCAGCAGCGATGAACGTATTAAGGTATGCTCTGATTACGCCGCGTGACTTCACCATATGCAAATCATCCTGCAGGTCATCGCGGCGACCAACCGAATTGACATCCTCGACCCCGCTTTGCTCCGTTCAGGGCGTCTCGACCGCAAGATCGAGTTTCCGCTCCCGAACGAGATGGCCCGCGCGCGTATCCTTGAGATCCACTCGCGTAAGATGGCCGTCTCACCCGACGTCAACTTCGAGGAGCTTGCGCGGAGCACGGACGAATTCAACGGCGCGCAACTCAAGGCGGTGTGCGTGGAGGCCGGCATGATCGCGCTCCGAGAGGGCGCGACGAAACTCGGCCACGAGCACTTCTTGAGCGGTATCGCGGAGGGTGAGTGCGCTCGTGCTGATCTGCCGCTTCGGGAGCATCGGTTGCTGATACGCCCGGTTTCTAGTGCAGAGCAAGAAGAAGAACGATCTCATGTACTTTGCTTGATCTGCGCGCTCCTTGTGTACCTGTTTGGGATACTCACGCTATATATCGCTGTTTTACTTCCTCTGTCTTTCCGTAATACTGACTTCTATGAGATTCATGTACGCGTGCATGATGCCGCGATCCAAACGACAGCGGCGGAGATAGATGCCAAGCCATGGATTGAATTCGTACCCCGTACGCAATTAACACCCGGTGACCCGGAGATCATCTGCGTGCGTCGATAGCGGTGACTTCACAGCCCAATGCTGTCTGGAATGCACGTCTTTTCTCGGGTTGGGTTCAATGTCGGATCTTTGCACCACGCAGCACCGCTCTATATTGAGCGAAAGATACTAGCTAAGAGCAACATCGTGGGAGCGCAACGTGATACCGTTGTGTTGGCATCGATCTTACGGACGAACCTTGTCAGAAATAGCTCAGCTAAGTAATGAGATGCGCGAAGGAGGACTGGCACAAACGAGGGATTGGATGCAGGGGTATTATATTGCGTTTTATGACGCTTGAAATTACAGAGAAAGCATGGTAGTACAGATGCTCCCGGGTTTACAAGATACCTAGAAGTGGCGAGAAGAAGCAGGGCGAAGCAAATCATCCTTAGTATTTGCTGTACACTTCCGAGCCCTCCTCTGCGAAAGCAAGTCCGTGCGTCAGTATCGGACCTACTCAGAGATCGGCGAGAACAGAACATACCGTAGTGGCTGGTGAGGTCCATTGTCTCGTAAGGGACGATCTTGGTCCTGTAGAAGAGCTTCCATCCGACGTAGAGGATGAACATGAAGGGAATGTTGATGTAACTCGAGAAGAAGTCGGACGCATTCCAACCGCCGTTGAACGACGTCCAGCCGTTGAAGAACATGATGATCGTAAACGCGATGACCACGGCCCACGCGAAGTAGGGCTGGAACATGGTGTGGAAGGGCAGAACATCGCGGGACATGCCCTGGACCTTCATGCCTCTGTGGAACCGGAGGAAGGTGACGCCGATGCCCCACCAGGTGAGCATGGAACCGAGCGCGGTGATGTTCGAGAGCCAGTTGAACGCCTGGGCCGCGCCGCCCTTGCCGCAGTTGAGGAAGGCGAGGAGCGCGAAGGCGGCGGAAACGGCGACGGAGTAGACGGGCACGCCGTTGCCGTGCACCTTGGTGAAAATGCGCGGCGCCTTGCCCTCCTGTGCGAGCATGAAGAGCGCGCGGGAGGACGCGTACATGAACTCGTTGCCGGCGGAGAAGGCGGAGGTGAGGACAACGGCGTTGATGATGTGGTCCAGGACCTTGATACCGGACGTCTTGATGGCGATGACGAACGGCGCCTCCGCGGCGGTACCGCTGTCCTCCGAGTTGGCCTGGAGCAGGGCCGGGTCCTTGCGCGAGATGCACATGCCGACGAGCCAGAGGGATACAACGTAGAGGACGACGATACGGTAGAAGATGGCGCGGACGGCGGTCCGCATCGTCACTCGCGGGTTCTTGGCCTCGAGCGCGATGGATGCGAGCGTCTCCATACCACCGTACGAGAAGGCGGCTTGCGTGAGCACAGCCCAAAAGCCGAGGAAGCGCGCCTTCGACTTGGGCTTGATGCCAAGGTAATCATCGTTGAGGGGTGCATCCCTCCAGTAACGGAAGCCGCGGCGGTCGTGGTCAGGCGCTCCACCAAGGTCGATAACGAGCGCGACGAGGATCAAGCCGACGACGGTGAGGATCTTGAGGGCGGCGAACCAGAATTCGAACTCTCCGAAGTATTTCACGCCAACGATGTTGATGGTAACGACGCCGACGAGCAGGACAGCAACGTCTGCAACGAATGTCAGCCTCTGCGCATCCGAAAGGGGCAAGATAGATGCGCACAAATGCCCAAGTGATCATCGTTGGTATCCCAGTACTGAATCACGACAGAAGCGGCGACAATCTCAACAGGCGAGGACATGACGGTCTGATGGAAGTATATACATCAGCGCCGAAGCGTCCAACATTGCGCACATTCACTAACCTGGAACCAGTATTGCCATCCCATGGCGAAACCGAGCGCGGGATCCACATAACGCGCGCTGAATTCGATGAAACCTCCGGCACTGGGATCCCAGCACATCATCTGTAAGTCCATGATGAGCCGTCGCGCCTCCCACGGCATCCGGAGATAACGCACCTCGCCCAAAGAGTACATCATGGCACCGACGAGCAGACCGACGATGGTGTAGCCGATGACGGCGCCAACGGGGCCACCGTTCGCGATGGCTTTTCCGGAACCGCTGCATTCGGGGGGGGGGGATTCGCATGGGGTTTTTCAGGCGCATATACGGATCGCAAAAACTTACAGGAAAAGACCGGTTCCTGCGTATGTGCGTCAGCTCCGGCTCGTGCACGGTTCGGTCTGCATGGATAAACGCACCGAGCGTGCCAGCGATGGCAATCATGGAAATTTGCCTTCCCTTGAGGGCACGGTGCATGTGCCCGTTCCCGGCGGCGGGCGCGCCATTGTCAACGGAGCTCTCGCTGACCTTGGCGTCGGCGCTGAGGGATTTTTCGGAGCCCTTGCGCTCGAGATCGGCGGGATGGCTCATCGTCGAGGTCGTCGAAAGAAAGGGAAGGAAGGGGCGGGGAGAAGACGAGAAAAGCGTGGAATGGACCAGGACGGGGTTCTTAACCGGGGGGACTGGCGCCCGAGCCACATCAACAAATCTTCCGCGTGCGCATGGAGTTGATAGCACGGTTCGAAGGTGCCTGAACCGCGATTCACACTCGGACAACCGAGCGTCCTACCATCAAAGGCATCAATCTCCGGTGTCTCCGACCGCTGCGCACAACCCTTGAAAACGCTGCAGCTCTTGACAGACATACTGCGTCGAGCAAGAGCAACGCGCTACAGCTCTGGCCGCGGTCGGACGGAAAAGCTGCGTAGAGATAACGGGTGGGCTCGCACGACTGAACTCTGCCCAACGAACCCGGTATCCACCCCACCTCCGGACACCGCCATGGCCAGCCACCGATCAAAAAAGCCCCTCCTGCTAGCCGAGCAGGGAGGGAAACCATATGCGCTCTCCTGCCAAGTCAAAATCAACCCATGGACTCGTTTTGGTTCCGTCCGTGTGAGAGCTCTGTGCCATTATCCTGCACAAGGTTGAAGCCGCGCCTGGCACATGGAGCTGCGCATACAATGGACGGGCCGTGCAACCTATCCTTACTCCACAGTTAGCTTTCGCTCAGGAGGTCCGGCGCGAGTAGCCTGGACGTCGAGTTGCCTGAGAAGGCGAGCGATGCTTTCGGTCTTCACCGAGATTAGATCGTGCTATTTCCAACCCCGCGACTTATCTATCATGTCGATCGCGTTCTGGCTCAACCGTACCTCCAGAAAACTACTGTCTTCGATGGAGCGCTCTCCTTTTTTCCTGAACGAGGGGACACTTTGCAGTTTGCGAAATGGCCCGAAGCGCCACCTCGGGTAACGCGACGCGACGAACGCCACCATCCTTATCTCCCATGGTGAGCGGCGCAGTTCCCATACGATCATCACGATCACAGGCAACGTTGATGCCGCGGACGCTCTTCTCAGCCCTTCTCAACAGCTCTCCTCAGATCCTGTCTCACTGATACCCTCCGCCTGCGGCATGGTCCCACCCCAGAGGTGCCCCCCACGAACGCCACATCCGGTCTATGACTCGCAACTTCTCCGCCCGACCCAACGACGGATCCTCTAGGTCCCCCACGTCCTCCAGGAAACCCTCCCGGATCCGCGAGTTAGCAGGCAACGCCGTCTCCGCGTACTGCCGCAAGTGCGTGACCGACAGCAGAAGCAGGCCCGACGTTAAGGGCGGGATCGCGCCGTTACCGTTCGCAGAGGAACGCGGGGCGTGTCGACGATCGGCGGTGGGCTGTGCGATCAGCAGTCGTTCGATCCTCCTGTTTCGCATCCAGAACCCATCAGGGACGCGCTCTCCCCTGAATTGAGGGTCGGGAAAACGCACCTCATCGCCACCCACGCCCCAACCCTCCTCTTTCTTCCGCCGTATCGTCCCCGACCTTTGCCGCCCAACCAGAGCTGCCTGAGTGAGCCTCCGAGCACGTACACGATCGCCAAAGCGGGCGCGACGCCCACGAAGGCGAACGTCAGCTCCTGCGACTTTAGGAGCTTGTCGATTCCAGCAAGCGCTTGGTCGATGTCCACCTTTGAGCAACACGAGGCAGGCGCGTCAGCTTCTGAAAAGTCCTGCGTTCGGGACCGCACTTCCATGCGGGTAGAGGGCGTACCTTCGCCTTCTGTACCTGGATGAAGACCGACCGGAGAAGCGTCCCGGCGACGGCCGACTTCAGCGGGCTCTTGATGTCTTCTTCGTAGATTTCCAGAACGGGCGTGAGGTCCCCGACGCGGATCTGCGACGAGAGCGCGTCGAGCTGGGCGGCACCGTAGTGCAGCTTTTCCTTTGCAAGCGCCAGCGTCATACGCTCCAGAGACTGTCGAGCGAACAAAGATCAGCGTCAGGTCGGATGCAATCCCATTGAAGCCTCACCTTGACGTCTGCTTCGACGCCTTGGGCGCTCACGATGACCCCACCCTCGCCTCCCGCCCTGACGGTGCGTACCATCTCCCTCAGCGGCTCGAGGATCCATCCTCTCCAGAAACCGATGACGGTTTCTCTCGCGTCGCGCACCATCCCGGCAAGGCTGGAGCGATTGGTGTAGGCAAGCTTGATCGCGTACAGAGACAGCGGCGGGAGAAGCAATAGCCGTGGCCACGCCAACGTCAACCGAGAAGGCCGGCGAAGGTCGCTCAGACGGAGCGAGGTCGCGTGTATGGTGCCATGCTCGGGTAAGGTATTGAACGCCAGCGTCGAAAGCGTCGAAAGCACATCCTGCTCGCCTGACGCGTCGACCGCGGCGTCGGTTTCCGACCGTCCGTCACTGAGCTCCTCCAGTGTCCGTGCCAAAGCCAGCAACGATGCGTCCGCATCGGCGTTATCCCCGAGAGGAGAGGACACCGCCTTTTCCAACTCGCCGCGCATGTCGGCCAGCCGGCCAAGGACCTCCGCGCGCTCGTCCCGGATGCGCTGCAGCTTCTTGCGTTTCAGGCGGCATTCTTGCCTTACCAGCTCGAGCGGGAAGAGCAGCGTGGACGCGACGCCGGAAGCGGAGAGCAAGGATGCGGATTGCAACGCAACGTTGGACCGGATCGTCGGGAACAGCGCCGTGAGGAGTGCATTTGGACGCAGGCTGCTCGTGGATGGGAAGAGCCTCCGCAACGATGATGGAGTGAACGCGGATGGGCTGATCGGGATGTTCTGTCGCCGCAGCGCCTGCACGATGACCTTGGCAGCGTCGCGAAGTCGGATGGGTAGTGCTGTGAATATATAACGATCAGTGAATATGAACTTCGGACATGGCTGTCGATGATCGAAGAAGCGCGACGAGGTGGGGCGATGCTATGGATACGAGGTAGACAGCGCACGCACTCTGCAGCAGGAACTGAGCGGCGTTCAGCTGGGATCGCTCGACTTCGAACCACCAGTCGGCTTCTTCGTCCGCCTGACTCGCTTCGTCCAGGTGCAGCTGCAGCGCGTGCGCGTACAGCGCCACGGAGATCCGTCCGAGGACGGCGTGCTGGAGCGCCCGCGCCTCCTCATTATGCGCAGCGCCGGCGGCGTTCAGTTGAGTGGACCCGCGTTCCTTCAGTGCATCGATGGCACTCTGAGCCTGAGAGAGGGATATGGGCGGGGTGAGGGAGAGGAATAACGCGCCGAGCTCTTCGTTCGCGTCGGCGGGTGTGCCCGGTCGTGTGGGCGAGGCTGGGACGGCGGCTGCGATGAGCGCGTGCGTCTGGTGGGCAACAAAGGTGGACATTATTTCAGGACCTGCTCATCCTCTCGGCTCAGTACTTGTGTGGACGATAACCCTGGAGAAATGATTGCCACTGGGGGACGCGGACATTGACGTCACGCCTTTGCAAGACACGTGACCGCTCTACATATCCGCTCCTTTGGCCGCCAGTGGGCTCTTTCGGCATGGATGTCCTCGTCGTTTTCAACGCCAGTGCACAGACAATCCCAACATAACGCGCAGCCGTGTCTCTTGACACTCGACATGGGACGAGAAGGGCTCGGCACTCGCTGATATGCTCCTCGAACGTTGTTATCCCGCCGGGAGGTCTTGCTGCGCTCAACAATGACCCAAGAAAGACTGCGCGCTCCGTACCAGACGGACCTTAGCTGCTGTGGCGTTCTCAGTATTGGAATGAAGATGCGTACCCTTTACACGGGTGAAACTGCGCGTAGATGATGGCCGGAAGTTATGGTGCATCACACGACTATCCCGACGCTTCGGACGAGACGGCGGATCAGAACGTGTGCGAATACGTACGCAGCGTCGCTGAATTTTGACGGCGCACGACCGCAGTTCGCCTCACATCTTGCTGGAAGACCATTATAATCGACCGTATTCGCCGAACAAATCTGACGGTCAGTATCCAACAGTACGGCAACCATGTCCTCTCACTCGTGTTCATGATACAGAACGCGCAAAGGAGAACTTATGATGTACGACGTTGTCAAGGATTACACCCCAGCTTTGACGTCTCAGGACGAGGTGGACGCCGAGCTTGAAGGTCTATATGTCCGCATGCTATCTCTGCGCGCCCTTCGCAACCGTTTTGCGCACATTTCCCGGCTCCCGGACGAATTGCTCTGCTCGATCTTCCTACACACCCTCTCGGATATCAACATTCACAGGCCGATACATGAGGTGTCTGCGGCTAACGCGCGTCTCACACAAGTGTGCGGACATTGGCGAGCGGTCGCGTTGGCTTCTTCCGCGCTGTGGACAAGCATCCCTTGCTATTACCCTCGCATGACAGAAGAATACATCAGGAGGGCGGGAACCAGGCCAGTCGAGGTCGTGACAAATCAGCCCAATAGCGATGCGCTGGCTCTTGCCCTCGCTGCGATGGACCGCGTGCGCCACCTCGACGTCCGAACCCGTGCGGGTGCGATGGAAAGTAATTCACGGAGGCTTTCTATGCCCGCGCCGGTCCTCACCCGTTGCTCGCTGTCCGTCACCGACGCCGCGTTGTCGTGGCTCCCTGATGAACTCTTCGGAACTCACGCTCCTCAACTCCGCTCCCTAATCCTTCAGGGCATCGCCATCCGTTGGGAGGCTTTATCCACGAATCCCATTCTATGCAACCTCACGACTCTAGCTCTAGAAGCCGTGCCGAGCGCTCAGCGGCAAGAACCAGAGCAGGCATTGACCCTTCTTTCTCAAATCCCCTCTTTGAAGAGACTTCACCTCGTGGACGCCCTTAAGGGGGTCGACCACATCCCGTCGGACAAGTCAGGCCCTACCGTTTGGCTGCCTCAGCTCCTGGCGTTGCACATCGCCGCACCGACCACGTCCATATCTGCGATTCTCCACAGCCTTCGAATACACCCAAAGGCCAAAGTCAGCATATACTGCAGCACCGTTGGGGATTGCAGTGGCATCATGTCCTTCATTCGACGCTGCTCGAGAGATTGGGACGCCGTTCACTATGTCCGCGATGATTGCAACCGTGTCACATACCGTTTCCGCGCCTACCTATCGGCCAACGTGGATTCCGCGGGACGTGCGCTGCTTGATGTGACGTTCTGCACCAGCGACATCCGGGATCCCGATTTCTTCGAGGTCTACGACATTCTTGGATCGGACGAGGTTCGAAGGCTGGACATGAATGGCGATTACATCGGGGCGCGACTGGAGCACGTATTCCGTAGGTGCCGCAATGTCGTCACTCTTAGCTTGCAACGCGGCTGCGTCATCCTCCCCATTCTCCGATCCCTGATGCCGGTTCCGAGCAAGGACGGGCGTGACGGCGGCGTTACAGCTCCTTTGCCAGAACTACGGGAACTACGGATGTCCTCAGAGTTCTGGACCCCGGTGTCTGAAGAGTCGTATTTGCGGGCATTGGATGAGCTACTCGACAGACGGGGCGAGACACTCGGGGCGGTGCTCTCAGTATCGGTTGATGACGATGAAGGGGAACCAGCTTTCGGTCAGCACTCTCGACCATGCATACGTGGATTTGCACCACTCTAAACCCTCGCTTCACGACTGTGCAGCAAACATTTGTTGCTCCGAAGCATATGCATTGGGTCGAGCTACTTTTACGTCGCGGAGGACCTTCCTCGTAGATGATAAATAGTATCCGATGGTACTCAATGACATGCTTTTCCGTACTTCCTCAGACGCAGGTAGTTGTAAGGCAACGGCGCCAAGTATCCAGCACCGATGGAAACCGCCGCTGCCAGCCAAAATTTCGGATCTCCGAATGCAACCACACCACCCGTTAGATGATAATCGACCAAATTCTCCGCCACTTCCATGGCCAGCATCGAGACCATGCTCATGCCCATGGCGGTACGAGCAGCCATTGACCAGGAAAGCTGGTCGGCTCCGCGACGGAGCAGTATTGTCTCGAGAATGATCGAGGTCGTAATCCCCGAGGTCACTGCCAGCGGGTAGCACGCGTTAGCATAGCGAACATTGGGAATATAGAGTTGTCTTTGGCTCACTGGACATAGCCATGACGCTACTCATACCCAATCCGGGGTAGTAGCTCTGGAGGATCCAGAGCGCTGAAAAATCGCCAACCGTGCACCCTATCAAACAGCGGAGGGTGTTGACTCCGGCTCTTCTCCATGTGGATCTGCAGGTCCAAAACGGGAGACGAAGGGTAGACAGAGGCTTTGAGAGTGGCTGATGTTGAAACCTTGAGACCCTATGTTTTGTACCGCAAGCTTTTGCAGAAGGAACGACGCTGAAAAGGCGTACGGTGACCCCGTACCGACTCGGAAGAAGCGCATGGTTCAGAAGGACAAGCGACGGCATAAGTATGGATGTTCTTGTATATTCCTGTTGTCCAGGGTCAAGCTCTCATCGTTATCCGATAGACACCGCCCAAGTCGACTCGACATGCACGTGATGCGTGTGCCTGTGGCTGTGTCAATAAGGACTTCGCCGCTTCTCCAGTTCCCCGCACCGCGAGGCGGCGATCCTCATATCACGTACGCCCCGTCGTTCGGAAATTGCGGGACGATATGCGACAACTGCGAGCACTCTCGCCCTCGATGGCCTTTTTTGCGCTCCGTCACCTAACATGCCACCCGCACCCGACCACGCCCCTGCTCGCCGTCGCCGCCGCCGCAAACCGTGGAGCGCGAAGAAGAAGAACAAGCCAAAGCCTGTGCAGCGCAAGGGACGGGATCTGTACGAGGTGAAGGAGATTATAGACGAAACGGACGACGAGCAAGGGAGGTGGTACTTGGTGGAATGGGCCGGTACCGATCCGCGCACGGGTGGGCCATGGCCCCCTGACTGGATCCACCAAAGGGGCCTTTTCGCCTCCGAATGCCTTAAAAAATGGGAGGTAGAAAGGACCCGCCGGTTATACAACAAAGTTCATCCGCGTGGGTATCCGCTGAAGCCTGAAGCTCGGTTTGCCGACTGTGTTATGCTCAATCGTTACTGTAGGTTCTATCAGACTGAAGAGGAGGCAGCCAGCGCTATCATATGAAAACCCTTCTGCCTCAGCTAGTCTCGACGAAGGCCAGCGAGATGACGCCGGACGCCGCATCGACGACAACGCCTCCGTCTTTTACCAGGAATGCGACGGCCTGCCTCCAGACGAAGCTGTGGACGGTAACCAGCAGCCCCGTCTGGAAACGCTACTCGATCTCGAGCTGGACTGTGGCGACGACGCCAGATCTTGCCAAGGGTCAGAGCTCATGTACCCCCCGGATGAAGGTGAGATATTCATTTCCACAATTTATCAGGAGAACCATTCACGACTCCCGTTTCAGAATTCGGTATAGAGCTTTACCAGGGGTTACTGGACATGGACCTCGACGCTGACCCGACGTTATGCGGCGGGAACGTTCCATTTGGCATGAATCTCGATTTCGACGTGCCGACTCCGCTCACGCCGCTCACATACACGGATGAGCACCTTGCTCATCCTACGTATTCCGCTTGGCCGAGCCCACCGGACCACGCTGCGGTTATCTCAACACCATTATACGAGCCTTTGAGCGCGGGCCGTGGCGCATCAGTGGGCGTGCAGTACCCAGACGATACGCTCGCCATGCAGCCAGCCTTGAACATCTTAAGGAGTAGTCCCTCGCGTGGACCGCGCACCGTTAGCGAACTTGCGCGACGACGACTGTTTGTTGATCACGTCTGTATCGACGAGGACGAGGACGAAAGTGCCGACGAGGATTCGCTACCCCCTGACAATAGCGACCTGCCGATGCATCTGTCGGCTATGTCGCCGCATGCTACGAATATGTCGAACACAGCCAATCTCGACGATGCTGCAGGCTCCTGCGAGTACTACCCGACCGGTGATCGAGGATTACCAGCTCCTGATTTCTTTCTCCACCGGAAGGGTATAAAGTCAGAAGAGGGTACCGACGATACAGAGGGCACCGAGGCCCTTACATCGCCGACGCCAGCTACGCGTGCCAACGAGGACACCAGCGTTATGCTAACCGACCAACGCACGGGCAACACTCGTGCATCCAACGCCACTTCTCATGCCCACAACGTCCCCCTCACGGGCGGCGAATCCGGTACAGAAATTGAACAGGATGCCGTGCCTGGCCTGGCGTTGCCTTCGGAGATCCGTTTTGCAGAACGCCGCGTTGGATTCGCGTCTTCATCGTCGACTTCATCGCGCCGTGGCTTCAACAGCATCGGCAACACGGACGGAGACGCATGGGATATGGCTCCAGTGTTCACCTTCGGTGTCTCTTGACCCTGCTTGGTGTGAGGCGGTGAGATTCATGACTTGCGTCGGACGACGAAAGTGCAGAAAAGTACGATTTTGGGGACTCTCAGGGTGCTAAAAGGCAGAGGGCCTGGATAGGAATTCCAGGGCCTGGCTAGGTTGCAATTGATAGGACGCCCTATTGGAAGAGTCTCGTCACCACGCTTGTGTTTGAGCCTTTGAGGCAAGATGCCGTCGTAGCGTACAAACGCAGCATAACAAAGGATTGACCGTGAATTATGTAATGTCGATGAAAGACGTACTCAGAGGCCTTGCATGATCATCGATCATTGAGCTTCATGCACCCCGAACACGCGACGCACAAGTCCTCGGAGAAGATACGTTATGTACAGTCAACGTCGATATCGCTGAGGCGATCCGTTTTATGCCTTCCCTCTCCATCAAAGACGACGAAGGGACACATAAGTACGATTTGCGAGCTCTCAAAGCGCCAGAGGGCATGGCGTCTGTATAGGATTTCGACAATCTGGCTAGGCTGTAATTGATAGGAATCCCGATCGTAGCTATGCCATGCTCATTGAATCTAACGAAGGAAGGCTCGTAGCGAACACGAGACTACCGTCTGAAAAGCGTCGCTTGGACTTCAAATCCCTAGGCGTGATGTCGAGACCCAATCTCCCGGTGGACGCTGCGCCGGATCCGAAGTCGTACAGCCCAGCCGTGTCCGGGTTACGGAACTGCAGGGTGTGCGACGAGCCGATGGCCAATTCGAAGGATCGGGAAGGTACCTCCACGGAGGCACCGCTGCGATATATGCGATCCCGAGGCGAATGACGCGCGTTGAGCATGTGAAGCAGGGTGAGGAAGTAGAGCTTGGGCGTGAGGTGCTGGGATGCCATGAATGCGCCTTTTCTCGGCATACTGGCAAGGAGTGCGATGGTAAAGAGGTGGCATATTCTGGGGACAGCAGGTACTGATCAATTCCTTCGCTACGCGCAACATTTCGGGGTAAAACTGACATCAGAAGTAGGCATCGACCTGTGAGGTAATTGTTGAGGTTTTGGAGCGTCTTCCGGACTCCTCGTGTGCCCAGGACCATTTGCGGAGAAGACGGCGGCCAGAACGTGAACCCTATTGCAGCGCAGATATCACACAACACAGGAAAGGCAACCGATGCGATCCCTAGGGCCTAAGCAACGATTGGTTGGTGAGACAGCGGGGGTAGGTCAGGGCGAATGACCCACTTTTGCGCTCTTCTCTGTGAGAGAAGCGTAAGACGGGTTCAACCAGAGCAAGGCGCAACGACCTGCGGGCGTTGCCATGAATAATTCGGCCAGAATTCATGCATAATCGCGTACCTATACCCGTTCCTAGTCCCGCGAACATGAGAGCAAACTATGTGGTACGAGCTTGTCAAGCACAGCTGCTATCTGTTCGATGGCAGGACGCACCATTAAGAGTGCGATGAACGCTTGAAGCGACGAAACTCCTGCGACTATGAAGATCGATTCAGGACAACGCAATGTTTGCAGACAATAGTTGATACTGACGTTGCCACACACGATGAACGAAGTGTCTAGAGCGATCGATCGGATTGAACGCTTAGCTCACAACCACATAACAAACGGCGCAACTCACAGTTGTACGGAGAACACGGTGATGGCCGTGAATAATTCATAAATTATTATACTATTAGTTACGAGTGATAGAACCCCGGGATTATCGTAGCTTGTAATAAGGTAGAAGTAGAGGCTGTGAGCGGCTACAAATACGTAAGCATTAGCGTAGGAAGTACAGTGCTAGCACATACCGAGGGCAGTAATGACTGTCTGGATTATTCTGCGGCGGTTGCTTGTTAATAATACAACGCGAAACGTAGAAGATAGATGAGAGCCCACAGGGTGAATGCTACAAGGCTTTTGACGTATATGGAATCTCGGGGGAAACGCTTGTAATACGTGGCGGTCTGTCAAGTCTGCGTCAGCGCCTGGCAACGGCCAGGTCAACCTTGGAGAAAGCTCACCTGCGATAGGGACAGGCCATAGAGCACAGTAGCGACAGTGAAGCCTATGAGCAAGGCTCCCATAGTATCATCCAGATGAGTACTCGGGGCCGCCATGACCGAAGGCGAACGAGATGAGGAGTGAAGGAGATGGGAGACGAGGAACACACAGCCGTGGCCGAGTCCAAATCCTGGTTTTGATGTCCTGACCACTCCCCTATATCGTGTGCACGACGAGAAAATGTCAATCAGGATGTTCCGAAGAATATTCGCGGGCGCGAGGCAATCACTGGCGCTAATGCAGGGCCGTCTGCGACATACTATGCGCTGGCAGTGTCTAAGCCAGAAAGAGAAACATGCGTCGCGTTTCGAGATCGAGCGGATTCTGCAGCGGTTGGGAGTGTCCATAGCGAGTCAAAGCCTCATCAGGAAAGATATAACAAGCGTATACTCAGTATCCGTCGCAAAGGACACCAAATAGGTCCGTTCGCTGGATTCAACGAAGACAGCCGCCAGGCATGCTCGAACACATGGATCTCCTTCAGGATCGCAACCGTCAGCAGAAAGAGCAGCCTGAGTGAACGTTTCGATGGACCGGAAGCAATAAGCGAGGTGAGACCGACAGCGATCGTGGACACTTAAATGATCCGGGAACCGAAGCTCGCCGTCTGAGCGTTCGGTACGTGGCTGTGCATATGTACATACGAGAGTATGTGCCCATGACGTCATCGACTGTACGGTCTTGCCATCCTCTTCAAAGGTGGCTCACTCCATCGGACTCTCGGAGTCCATCCCCACTTTCTGCCGAGTTGACATCACCGAACCCGTGCGCTACATACTTACAACCATGCAACGTCAGCTCAATGAACGACTCAACTTGAACAACCTCGAGCTCTTTACATCGTACACTAGTAGTACTCAACGTAGGTAGCAATGGTGGACCAGAAAAATATTGTACGCATCCGGTACGTCTCAGCCTTATAAGCTTGAGCGCGCCAGCTAACGACGAACTGAAGCGGCTCAATCCAACAGTATGAGTGGGGCAAACCAGGCTCTTCGTCCCTTGCCGCAAAGTTCGCGGCAGAATCAGTGGGAAGTGACCAGTACATTGACGAGAACCAGACATACGCGGAGGTTAGCACACCATCTCTCGAACTGGCTCTTGCTTACCGAATATTCCTACCATTAGCTATGGATGGGCACGCATACCAACGGGCCAGCCGTTCTGTTCGACTCGCCTGACCAGACCCTGCATTCCCTCGTATCATCCGACCCGAAGCACTGTCTCGGCGCGGATCTCATCGCCAAATGGCCGGAAACGAACGACATACCCTTCCTGTTCAAGATTCTATCCATTCACAAGGCCCTCCCACTCCAAGCACACCCAGACAAATCGTTGGGAGCGCAGTTGAACAAGGCCGATCCGTCGCAGTTCGTCGACGCCAACCACAAGCCCGAAATCGCCGTGTCCCTAGGCGGCAAAGTGGACTCGTTCGGACGTGGGGACGACGTTGCGTTCACCGGGTTTTGTGGGTTCCGGCCCATTCAGGAAATTGCAAAGACGTGGAAAGCCATCCCGGAGCTCGCAATGCTGGTCGGCGACGCGTCGATCGCGATGGAATGGGAGCAGAAACCGAGTCAGGAGACTCTCAAACGTGTCTTTGCTGCGCTCCTGTTGAACGGGCAGCAAAATTACGCCGACGTCGCGCGACACGTCCAGACTCTGGCGGGGCGTATCGAGTCCGGAGAGCTGACATTCGGCTCCGGAGCAGCGGCAGATACCCAGGCTAAGCTATTCATCAAGCTCAACACACAATATCCTGGGGACATCGGCGTCGTCGTTGCCGTAGGTCACGCAATGAGCCAACAGGATCATACAAACTCACTTTCATCCGCAGACGCTCTTCATGAATCTCGTCACCTTGAAAAAGGGAGAAGCGATTTATATCGGGGCCGATGAGGTACACGCGTACCTCGAAGGCGACATCATCGAGTGCATGGCCATCTCGGACAACGTCGTCAATGCTGCCTTCTGCCCGCCGGAAGGGCGCGACGTCTCTACATTCCAGTCGATGCTTACCTACACCTCGCGCCCTGCATCGCACTGGGCGCTGCCGAGGAAGCCCAGCCAGCTCTCGGGCAAGGGTCGCACCAGCGCGTTTTGTCCTCCGCTCGAGGAGTTTGACGTGCTATGGACCGAGCTTTCTGGTGGAGTGAAGGATGAGTTTCTCAAGCCCTCCAAGGGGCCAACTATCGGCATCGTCTTGAAAGGAACGGTGAAATTCACCACGAAAGGAGAAAGCTTGACACTGCCCGAGGGCGGGATTGCGTTCATTGCCGCGAACAGCGAGGTGCATGTGGAATTGCTCAAAGGAGAACAGGCGGACGTGTGGTGGTCCACTTACTCCGGTTGAATCTGATATATGTACGATTAATGTAGCATTAACAAGATAGCGATCGTACTGTAATTGTACCTACTCATTGACAACTATCCTCATTTCGTACGACCGTCGGCGACACACCGCCGGAAGAATGGGGCTATGCCAAATCCAGCCTCTGTCCTTGGCCGTCACCGCGTTCGCCGTCGACGATGCATTCTAGGTGGAAGCAAGAGTGCGTGCAAACGTCGTACTGACAGCCTATATGGAGTTGTATTGATGCTTGACAACAGACTGCGCGTTGGCAGCCGCCTCGCGCTCGATGCGCTCATCCCAGAGCCGTCCAAGCGGACGCTCATCACCTTCGGCGTCTTACCTCAAATTGTCACTCACTTGCTCCCGCTACTGTTCATGGCTTACCTGGCTCGCAGGCCTGAAACGCGTCTGGTGCGAATACTGCTCCTCCCAGCGGTCCTCGTAACAATTATACGCGCAACATACTCCTTTAAATTCCCTACGGATTACGCGATGCATAACTGGATGATCGGGTGCGTCGGGCGTTCTCCGCGGTAGCCCGGAGCGAACCCTGATATTGCTTGCACCATATAGCCTGACAGGAATGCACATGGTTGCGTTGGCACTGGACTACGCCTTCATTAAGGACGGAATACTGAAGGTGAACGAAACCGTCCCTGGAACCAGCAAGGCCCAAGCAGCTGCGCCTCTGGAGAAACGTACATTGGGTGACGTACTACCCGCATCTCTCGGCGACGCGCTAGAGGTCTTGTGTTCGATGCGTGGCATAGGATTCCAGTTCGGCCAAGCAACCCGCATTCCCGCGCATGACAAGCCCCTGCACCGCAAACCATTTCTCCGCGCGACTGCCCTCTCGCTGCTCAAGAACGTGCTGCTCATCGATCTGCAGGAGTCACTACTGAAGCTCGTGCCAGGCGTCGGCAGCCCTCGCGGCGGGTCCATATTCCTGTCCTACTTGCCGCCGGCACAGCGATACGTAGTTTCGTCGTTGCTGACGGTCTGCACGGGGAGCGCCGTGCTCGCGTGCATACAAGCCGGGTACGACTTCTGCACTCTCGTCGCGGTGGGGTTGCTCGGGCAGAGCCCGTTGGCCTGGCCGCCGGTCATGGGTGATCCGTGGAAGGCCGATTCCGTGAGCGCCCTGTGGGGCAGGGAGTGGCACCAGTTACTTCTTCGAACGTTCCTCATCTTCGGTGGCATCCCAGGCCGCGTGCTTGCGGGCAAAGCGGGTATGGTTATCGGCGTATTCCTCGCGTCTGGTTTATATCACGAAGCCAGCATTTATACGCTTGGGAAGGGGTTCGACATCCGCATTGTGCAGTACTTCCTCCTGCAGGCGACTGCGGTGCTCTTAGAGCGCGTCTGGAAGAAGATGATAGGGAAACGAGTCGGTGGCGCGTTTGGCAAGATCTGGACGTATGTTGTCGTCCTCGGCGGAGGACAGATCGCAGGTGCGTTCCCATTTGAATCCTGATCTAGACCTTTTCCCGAGACTGTCGCTCCTTTGGTAGCCGATGCATGGCTGCGCCGGGGTATCGCCGCCAGCCCGTTCATCCCGGCTTCGTTCAGTCCGACCAGACGCATTGTCCTCCCAGCTCTTGGGAAGCTGTCGTAGTACACGCCCTCGAAGGTTGAGCGCATAACCCGCGCAAACCGTGTAACATGACAGATACGTAATACCAGGAGCGAATTTTAGATCCCCTCGCCCACTACACGAGGCGGTCCGAAGAGGAATCGCACAGTCCCATCATTCCGCCCAAAAGCCGCCCTATCCTCGTCCTTGTAGACGTCTTCGGGTGGAACGGAGCTCTCCTTGGGTCTTTGTGGCGCGTGCTCAGACTCACGCATGACGATCTTGAGACGCATGAGCTGGTCCGCATTATAGGGCACTGGAACTCCGGGACCCTGACCAGACATGTGGGGAAGGCGGACATGGGGAGCGGGGGAGGAGGGTGTGCTGGGTGATGTGTTCTGGGCCTGCGATTGAGCAGATTGTATCAGCAGGTCCAAGATTGCATGTGCTATTTCTGTATATGCATAATGGAGACAATCGCGGATCAGCTTACTAACAAATAGGAAAACGAGCACGTTGCTGACCATCGATGTCGTAGACATCCGCACGGAATTGATTCTGCCAGGGGCCAGCGCGATTGAGTGTGTTCACTATTCGCGTCGCCTCAGCGACGAAATCTGAGGGAGCCCGTTCGAACGATGACAACAGAGCTGCCGTGTAAAAGGAGCCCAACGCGATGACATGAGGCGGATAACGCAGTGGCATGAGCGTGCGATGGCTATACGTGATTCATTGGATCAGATGTCGTGAATATAGGAAGATCGGGGAATCTGTACCAGTCAACCGCCAGTCTCCATGTCAGCTTCGTGAGTTTCTTGGGCGCTATGAAGTCGCTATGAGGGTCTTATCCGCGCTTGTAGACTAGGAGAGAGGAACAAACCTCTGAGAACCTTGCCAATCTTGATGACGTATGGAAATGGCATCCTTGAGGTGAAATTGAAGCATATGGTCTCCAAGATGAGCCGTTCTACAGCCAGAAGTCGTTGCCGATCCGCCTCTACTGTCTATATGCAAAGGCATATCAAGCAACACGTATAGAAGATAGCACATCCATCGAACCTACCGCAGGATCCATGTCGAGCTCACCGGCTATAGACCGTGATTTGGCTGCGAGCTCGGGGAATCGAACAGCATATGAGACCATAAGGATCTCTCGCGGCTTCTTCAGGGTATCGTGCATCTTCGTCGAGACGTAGAGCGAGGCCAGAATCACGTCCTAAACCGATGGTTAGATAGAATGCGGCGGCATGGACACAATGCGATCGACTTGCATGATAATGGAAGTCTTTCCGAGGAAAGAAAAGGTGAAAGCGGTGGTACAGTGTCTGCGCCGTCGCTATCGTTTTTCTTGGACTAAAAGTCTGCGTGAGTGTCCTGGTGCAAGCAGATCAGAACGAAGCACCTACAATCCGACCCTTGCGCCTATGGCTTCGGCAAACGCACAAGCCTGTTGTCTTGCCTTCTCTTCTTGGGTCGCAGAGAGCTTCCCTCTCTGTTTCTCCGAGAGATATTCGATCTCCTCTGCGGTAAAGTACGGATGATGGTACTTTGAGTGTGAGGCCGGCGGATGGGATTGCTTTTCCATAAATACAGATTCTCCTGGTACAGTGAGATGAGTACTAGCAATACGCGACGTGACGCCGCCCTACACAGTTTCAATGGGTCAGATGACCGGAGCATGGGCGTTAGAGATTCAGAACACGCGATACAGTATGATATCCGATACACCCAGGTCATCTTGGCTGCCACCACAAACGCCACACGCCATTAAATTGCGCCAAAATTGCTGAATCGAACAGTGTCAGCATCGAATCTGCCGTATGTAGGGTCTTGGGTTGCGGTGATTTGCACGTTGACGGATCGCGTAGGGTTGCATGCTACCACCGCGGTATTGCGTGATCTTTCCTGACCGTCGACGGTGTACTTAAGCTCGGTCAGCTACATTTCGACGCCTTGCCGAGACTGCGTCGCTTCCCCTTGGGCAACTCGTTCTGAGCTCGACGGTCGTACCACTCGGCAGCAATCTCTCGTACAGCAGCACCTTTACATTATTCTCCTCATAACTTCAACTGGCCATCTAGCATGAGACTCCCGTATTCAGCGCGTGTCTGTTGCGACCCTCCGCCGACTCCAGCACCGGGTAGCATAACGCGAGCCATACCACACGAAAACGGTGGTTACGAACATGCCGACGATTGCAGCGCCTATGTATCCCGAATTATCGTCGGCCTGTCGAAAGTATCAGCGACCCGATTGGACATTCATGGGAGCCTAGCCTTCTTCACCTTCGCCCATGTCCTCCACCACCGGCCAGCCAAGTCCCCGCTGTGGGGATCGTGAGCAGCTTTGCGGCAGGAACGGCAGTTCTCTCCTATCAACGCCATTATGGTGATGATTGAAACACTTCACGGGATCGTTCAGACCATCAATAGACGTTGTCGGGCATGGTACGGCTCACCTAAACGCAACAATGATGCTCATCAGCGTCAAGATCAAGGACAGATTTGACATGGTTGTTTGCTGGATCACGGTGTTCCGCCTTTGGACCATGTTTTCGCCTTCGTCGCCTGGAATATCCTTTACTTCCGATTTGTAGTCCTCTAGCGGGAGCTCGCGCCCTTCTTCCCGTATAGAGGGCGGGGCTTGATCGCGCTCCGGGCTAGGCAACGTTGCTTCTTCGGGTACGACTCGTTCATCTATTTGGCGCACGTGCATCATCTTCGATTCCAGATCTCCGTTCATTTGGCTTTGTGAACGATCTCGAGCGAAAATGGTCCAAGATCGCTCAGGGAACCCGGTGTAGGAATACAACATCAAGATCGAGTCCAGAGAATCGATTAAAGACATTCCCGCGGTGAACAGGAGCTGCAAAGTTGTCACGCCCATGCTTGGAGTACGCTCGACTCCGCACTCACAGGAAAAATAACGACGTCTGCCGGAGATGTTGCAACCGCATCGGAAGATTTGTCCTTCGCGATGACGGAGATGGACAACAAGGCTATGGACGAAGCAGTATCGAAGCCTACGCTCGACCAGAATGAGATCGCTCGCCGGCAGGTCTGTCGACGTACCAAAACCAAAGAGGATCCCGACAATATACATCTAGAGCACGCGCGCGGAGATGAAGCAAAGTTAGGACCGGGTCGGCATGTGGCTCACCTTCCAAGGCGCGTTCACAAACTTGATAACAGGCCCCAGGATCTTGAGCATGATCGTATTATGGCTTCCCTCCTCGAGCGCCTCCCCGGTCTTCTTGAACTGCACAAAGGGTTGTGGAGTGCGAGATAAACGAAGATCCACACACTCACCTTTCTCCGTTTCTTCAGGATCTTCCATAGAATGATCTAGACAAGCTCAGAGATGGTAGTGCATCGTGTCAGGCAAGACAATGCACCGAATTCGCCAGTCCGACCAGAAACAGGAAGGAGCCGCTCACGGCCGCACCTGCAGGTCATTTATATCTATTTTCCAAAATCATACGAGGGTCCGCAAAACACACCTAGGATGCCTCCAACGCTACTGAGGTGATTGAAGCTACTGAAGTCGGTTCCCACGGCAATGGCTACGTTCTTCACAGGACCAATGAGTCAATTTAGGCAATGTGAGAACTCCGAAGAGATATACCACTACTATCACAATAGTAGAATGTCCTAACGAGAACCATAGGCCACACGTCACCGGCAATTTCCCAAGAGCGATGAGGCCCCGCGTTGCATTGTCTATGGCGCTGGACATAAGTTCAGCGAACGATAAGCGTTGTCCTGTTGAGTATAGATAAGATCGAAGATCCAACATCTTCAGAATTATCTACTCACCTTGCGGATCTCCGAAAAGCTCTACCTTATATGATCAGCATCCAGAGCTGCATGCCAAGGATGAGCCGAAGAGAACATGTCCCATGATATCGCGAATTGCTTGCCGTGTCTGAGGCCGACGGTCTAATACAAGACCGCATCAGCATGCATGATTTTGCTGTAGCCTGACGCCAAAAGCTCACCCAAGCAAGCAAAGCAAGACTCAGAGAGGGCTGTGTCTTCGAACTGCGTCCAAATATCAATCCTGCTGCGATCCAGCAGATCGCGTTCGCGAGGAGCTCGCCGACGACCAAGAACAGCGAACGGCCGAGCAAGGTTAACCGCGGCTGGTTGATCTTCATCGTCTTGGACATCATGGCCTGTAGGATACAAGGGACGCTCACGTGTTATATTTTTCTTGCATGCAGTATAGCTAAAGCAGATGAAGGCTCCGCCGCTGCCCGCAATTGCGACGGATCCGTCGCATGCCTAAGACTAAATACTCCGTTTCCAGATGAATCTAATTCACTAATTCACAACATGATTATGCAAAAATACAAGGTAATCCACTAGCTGACGAGCTTGCAGTGATCTACAGCCACGTTTTCAGGGTTTCCCCACCTGTAGATTTCGGGTCAGCGTCGAACAACCGCACTAGGGCAGAAACCACTCACCACGTGGGGAATGCGACAGCGTCACCACTAGCACCGAACACGGCGAAACTGAGAATGAACAGGATGACTTGGCTTCCACCATCCAAGGCGGCGGAGGTCAGGTAGTTGTACCTATCGCGGTTTCGTCGCATCAGGAGATCACGACGTAAGAAATCGGGACAACGTACTTTTTGAACCAGCCGGGCCTGTACTTGCGAGCCCACCATTGCGAAGCCATGCCGATGACGAAGCAGCTCCACCATTGGCCGTTGACAGAGTCTAAGTGATAGCGTCAGGTGGAAAGGACATCTCTGGACAGGAAGAGCCTTACATGGCAGGTATCCAATGTACTGCGCGATGATCGGGGTGTTAATGAACTTGGCCGTCTTCGCGACCCAGCCATCTTTCTTGGAGTATTTGTGTGCTGCCAGCAAGTTAGCCCCGAGTAGAGTACAATCCGGCGTTCTGTACTCACCCAGCCAGAAGGGAAGAGGGACGAAGAGCCCAACAATAACGCAGAAAGGTACGATCCAGTATGGTTTGCCAGCAGTGAACAACTCCTTTCCAAGAGCGCCCATGGCCACCGACGCCGAGTTGTAGCTTTGGATGATCCATCCGGACCAGACACGAGTTCCAGTGGGGTCACTGTCGAGACACAAGCGTGAGCCATGAATCGATATGTTTGATAGCCGGGTTTCACATACCGGAGCACTTCGCGATTAGCTGAGACAATCGACTGCATGATCGTGTAGTTGAAGATGCATCCGATGATAGAGCCAGACATTTGCGCGGCGAACGTGGCTTTCGGGGGAAGTTTGACATACTGCCCAAGCTTGAGATCTGCGCAAAGCGAAATGAGCGTCTGGGGCTCGGACAGAGGTAATGTGAATATTACCTTGAAGCATGTACATGGTCTGGAACGCCGTGCTGTTGCCGTACAGGTTAACGTACATGACAGTGCTAGATGAAGTCTTTAGCAAATGTTGCAGATGAGACGGCGACAAGGCAGGACTCACATGGGCTGTCCTGGGTGGATGAAAGCCGCGACGACTTGAATGATATACTTGATCGAGAGCGTGAAGCCGGTAGTTGCGTTGATGAAACCAATAGCCACGGCAAGGACAACGCTGATAGCGGTAAAGAGAATGATACTCCACCAGGGCATCAAGGGCTCCTTAGTCGAGTACTACCATGAAGGACGGTAAGAAGAAGGCAAGTGGCAGAATGAGAGATCGACGTACGCTGCAGCCGATACCAATGGCCAGGGAGAGGATGAACACGATCCCGTACCACCACTGAGGCGCCTCCGGGTACTTCTTCATCTCCTTGTAATGAGGATCGTCTATGTCCTGGTCCTTGGTGCTCTTAAGGAAGTTGAGACCGCCGAAGGCACGCTTCAGCTCGGGCATGTGCCACAACAGGATGTGTGTGATCGCAGCACCGAGCGAAAGGTTGTAGCAGAGCTGGCTGATAGCGTACGTCGTGGTGTAGCGGGGAAGGCCAACAGTCTCGAGCGCGGTCTTGTTGAGCTTGTTGTCCGATGTGAGGATGGCGGTTTGATTGTAGGTGGAGCCTGTTCACGATATGGTCAATCACAATATCACGTTTCGTGAACACTGTGGTTCTCACCATCCGAGGAGAAGAGACTGTTTGACATGAACAGCAAATCGCGGCCGTTGAATTGATTGGTGTAGTATGCGCCTGTCAAAACAATGTAGCCCAGCGCCATGCCGATGTAACTGTTGACCTCTGCGAATATCGCTCAATCGAACATACTGATGGGCGACACGGAAGAGAACTCACGAGTGCCGATAGGCCATACAAGAGGGTTGCCCTGGGTGATGAGAGTCCAGCTGGTGCCGAAGCTGAGCAAACCGATGCCCTCGTTGCTGTTACCCGCGCCGAATAAGTTGCGGACGAAATCGTGGCGGCCATTGTCGATCAAGCACACGATGGAGATAGCAGTGAGCCAAGGGAATGGGTACTGCGGGATCCACTCCCAGCCTGCACAAAATCGTCAGGACAGGTCGGTCTTACTTCATACTGATGCTTACAGAAGATGGCCGCGAAGACGATCCAGAAGTACCTGCGCTTCTTGTGGTTCAGCATACCACCGAAGTGAAGAGACTGCAGCAGGTTGACGACGGAGATGTAGGTAGGGTAGAAGGCGTATGTCGGGTACACGAGCAGAGTACGAAGCATACCTGAAAGATTCGTCAGTACTAGACTCAATCCGACGGAAATCATCGAGGTAGCTCACCCGCAATGCCGTAGCCCAACATTTGAGATGAGAACATCTGGAAGAGCGCAGCCGCGGCGTTGAGATGGATATCGTAGAACAAGTCCAAAGCCGCGATGACTTCCATCGCAACTGCGACTGATGATGCCGTGCTGGCCATCATCACAATTGCGGCGTGCTCCCTATGGTACGCATGGTGAGATAGGTGCACTAGATAAATGCGCTGGCGCTACGACGGACTTGATGTTAAAGGGGCCGGGGTTCAGGTACCGGAACCATCCCCGACTCGGGAGGAGAGCTGGTAGTATTTTTCAGTGGTTTGCAATCACTGCGTAGCAGAAGACTCACAATGCATGGCAGTACCGAGCACATAGGCAATAATCAGACAGAACAACTGCGAGACCGACGCGTTCTGTGGCGATCGTGATGAATGAAGCGCAATGAGTCGCATGCACGACGAAACATACCTGAGGTTTGAAAGTGTAGATTGTCGCGAGAACGGAACTGAACGCGCTGAGTCCAATACCCAAGAACACGGTGCGGAAGGTCAAGACGGGCAGGTCCGGGTCGTCGGAGGAGTCGATGACCTAGTGAAGACGAGACAATTGAGCGAAATGAGCGCCTACTACCGATACACGAACTCACCTCGACGGCGACATCCTCTGCTTTCTCGATAACATGGACATCCGAATCATCTTCTGCGACGGAGAAGGAGTCGATCTTCTCGGCGTCGATGTAAGGAGCCTTGTCCACGGAGCTGGAACTCTCTTCCCGTTTCAGCTCGGAGACGGCTGGAGAAGACATGGTGGTATGAATGGCGGCGTGGAGGAACTCTCAGCAGTCGCCTTTGCAGCTTCAACTCTTAAAATGCTCGGTGGAGGAGAGATAAGGTTCACAATGGCCGTATCGTCCATGAATTCGCAAGGTACGCAGAGATAAGCGAGTGGAAGCGACAAGCGAGCTATTTTGCGAGGGCAAGTGGTGGATAAACTTCCAAGCTCGGCCGCTGGCTCCGGACCGCCACGGGAGTGCCTATCGATACTTCGGCGTGACCGCGTGCCAGATATTCATGGGCGCCCGGTGAGAGATCAACACCATGAAACAGTTCCGTTCTCGAAGAGTGCGTGAGCTAATGCCAAAGCCATGTGCCGCCTTTGCCTTCTCATTCTCCGCGCTCTTCACGGTACCAGAGCAGAAAATGCGCTGCACTGAAGCAGCTTCATCGTGCAGACGAACGGAACATGGTGGCGAACTTTGCTGCCGCCAACGTGAAGAAGTGGCGATATGGAATTCGGAGCTGTGGCTACGCAAGTCCGAGGTGTTTCTGGCAGATAAGCCTAGGGGCTCTTCGAAGACACAGGCACCTGTAACGATGCTGGATATCCACATGCATTCCAAGCGTTTCTATCTTCGTTGCGGAGCGGTATCTCTGACATGTTGTCGATCGCTTGGTAAAAGGGAAGATGCGACTGGTTGGAGTTCGTACGAGGCGGACGCACTAAGGTTGGCAGCACTGTCGCTGTAACTGCGTGACTCACACTCGTCACAGCGTGATGCTCACGGCGTTTACCGAGGCTGAGGTCATGCATGACTTCCTCCTCCTCTCAGTCCTCTGTCGGTAACACGGACATCTATCCACTCCTAATCTCTTCCGTCAATGGCCACAGTCACGCATCACATTCACTCGCATTATAATCCAGAAGATCGACAACGGCTTGAGCGAGACACAGGGCAGGATGAACCGCAGCCTCTACCGACAGAAGACGCACTGGACACAGCTTGGCACACGGAATCCTCTCGTACCTTTCGCGTCCGCAGTCTTGCCCCTCCTCGATTTGTACCGGCCTCGGCAATCTCAGAATCCATTCACGACTATGATCGACCCAGGTCCCCTGTCCAGACTCAACCCCCGGAGGACGGACAGCAAGTATCTGCATCATCCTTCTACCGTTCACTGGTAGTCGGCGCCAGCACCACCCCCGCCCTAGCTTCTCGCACTCGCGTATCTCCGGCGCCTCAAGCTACACAACCCCCTCCTAAAGATCTTGCTCAGCCGGTATCGGGATCTGAACGTCGGACCCGACACAACTGGTTCATCCTGCGTGCCTTGGAAGCAAGTGCTCAGTCCGTTGCCGAAGGCTCCTGCCGCCCTCCGCCTCCGACTACTCCCACCTTGGCAGATATGATCTCGCGTGATCCACCGCCGTCACCTGGCGATAAGCCATTCACGCCCCCCGTATTCCTATCTCTCGGTCCGAGCAATCGCGGATGGACGATGCTCCAGAGGACGGGCTGGAGAGAGGGCGAAGCCGTCGGTCTTGCTTCCAGATCACACTCGGATCATGAACCTGCAGATCAGGCCCGGCGAGCTCGTAGGGATCAGAAAGAGGCCCAGGGCTTCGGCTGGGCAGTTGACACGAGGCAAAGGAAAAGGCTGCGAACACTCCAAGCGGAGCAGAGAGAAGTCCGGTGGGACGAGGACATCTCGGAGATTCGGAGGGACCAAATCATTGACCTCACCGTCTCCGATGACGATGACGAGGACGATAGCTCAGAGAGTTCTCCGCCGTCTTTCCCAGAGCCAGTAGTGAAAACGGAAGATGAGCCAGTGGTGAAAGAGGAAGACGGCGATACCGAGGCCTCAACAAGCGTGGAACGACACGACGATCGCCTCTGCGGATCGACGTCTTCGCCCCATGTTTATCGCGACCACACCGCCCTGCTCACTCCATTGCCCACCATTCTCAAAGCCGACCGACTTGGTATCGGGCTCAAAGCCAAAGCGCGAGCCAGCGCCACAGGCGGCTACCGTGTCCCCCAGAAACGGGTCACCCACAACGACCAAGCCCTCGCGGCGCATATGCGAGCTGCAGAGCGACTGCGTGCCCAGAAGGCGGAGACAGGCCGCGGCAGGCGCGGCTTCGACCGCGCGAGGAAGAAAGAGGAGAGCCATAGGAGGGATCTCATGGCCTACATGAATTCGTGAAGGCCTTCCACTATCCCCCGATCATATGGCTGGCTGTACCTCGTGCATCTCCGAGGGTTGAATCCACCCTCTGCGACTCCGGCGGCTGTAGCTCGTGTGCTCGTCGAGAATACACCGATGGAGAATTCTTTTTCAGCTCCTCGTGCCACCAGACGTGGCGCGCCATGGCGCATCATCCTCCCGCCCTCGGACATGAAACAAAGCCAAAATGGGCTCAAACCTCATTCCCGCTTGCGTTGCACCCGCCCCTCGGGCCAATCGCCGCGGCTTCCGCACGTTGCAGCTGCCAGCAGGAGATGACGCCTGCTTCATCATCGTGTCCCGACACGCAGGGTAACCGCGCCGGGTATCCGATCCGGGCAGTGGCAAGCCTCGTTCTCGGCCTCGCTGCCATGGCAGGCAAATTGGCAATATCCTCGATGGTCTGCGGAAGACGTTGTCGGACTGCTCGTCCCTAGTGTAAATAACCTTGCTGCTTCCTCGTGCGACGGCGGTCATGTTTGATTACCGATCAGCTCCGCGGGTCGTTCTGTTGAATTCACGAGCAGGTGTCATCGGGGTTCGGCTTTCATGTCGGAGTCGCGAAAGGCCTGGCCATCCATGAAGGCAGAACGCCATGTGTGGAAAACATAGTTCATTTTAGTAGATAAAATACAATCTGCAGAGCCCACCGGCTAAGTCGGAACCAAGACGTCGAATAAGAATAATGATGAACAGTGTGTGGATAGTGAAGGACCGGAGACAATTGCGAGGATGAGGGAACATCAAGGGTCTAAAAGTTGCACGGATTCTTGGTCAGCGGTCATGAGGGGGATGTCGTGAAAGCGCAAAGGTATGCCACATAGAAAGCAAGCAAAAGGATATATTGGATTCGACGGGTCGTTCTTGAGCGACGGAAGATGCATGGCGACAGCCACGATACCATCATTAGAGACGGCGATCCCACCCTCCAAAGGCGGGGACCATTGTCATGGGAAACGAGCGCGGATTAAGATCTTGCTCGAAGGTGCTTCGAGGCGGGCACGAGGCATCGTGTCAATCATGCCAAAGCTTCGCCCCATACGCCTCTGGGCTTGTCGAATTTGACGTCAGGGATGCGGATGCGTAGCCACTGGATCATCTCTTTGCTGATCTGATGACAGCGAGAGAGATCGATCGACTTCAACCGCTTCGGCCAACCCAGTGCCATCGGATCGCATGGAGGCGCTGAAAGAGACCGGGACGACATCCTTTGAAGTGCCTGGATCGAAGCCGAAGATGTGCCGACCGAGGGCGTAGAAGGGGGCAGGGCCTGGATCTGGCGCGCATAGGACCGGACGTGTGCGGGGACACGGGATTCCACGAGAACGCGGAGGGCATCCCATTCAACGGTTGAGCAAGCTTCGAGATTGAGGACTTCGAGATGAGGGCAAACCCATGACTGTGCCGGTGGAGGCGCAGACAAGCCCTGAGGCGATAGCCCAATTAGCGGATGTCCCTTCCCGCCAATTGTTAAACATACCTTGAGGAACTCGGAAGAGATATCCTCCACATCGACCATCTCGAGAACAGTCAAGGATGACAGTTTCCGAAGGAGCCTCAGGAGCGTGAGTTCGCTGAAGTAGGTAGACTCTATACGGAGATGCTTCAAGGGAAGCGATGCCAGGGCTTGCCGCTGCAAGAACTTGAATACGCTCGAGGCGTTGTGCATATAGCACAGTTCCATAGACTCCAAAGCGGGAAACACCAACTGCCCCATGATGGCCCGGACGCGAAACATCCCGGCGCAATGGAACGCCATCTTCCTTAGATGCGTGAGGTGGACCGGATGGGCAGGCAAAGGGGGTATGTAGTCATCCGGGTACTCCGTCTGCCGTAACCTGTTGTAGTCGTAAGGTACACAGGTATCGGGGTCTACATCTGACATGTTGCGGAGGGAGAACTCCTCGAGGCCGGGACAAGCGCGCAAGATGTCCAGCACGACGACGACGGATGGGGAAGATGCGTTCCAGTACCCGTCAAGCTTCAAAGTCCGCAATGCACTGACTATACGTAGATCCCATGCGAAGTTGAATGATACGAATGAGCAGCAATGCAGTCGCGGAGTGTGCCCGTTGAACAAGGGCAGGTTGACCAAGAAGTGTTCCTCCTGTAAAGAGTTCCCTATATGGATGGACAGATGCTCCAGAAGCGGCGCATCCTCTTGACACCGACCGAGTGCAGCATGAGCCTGTGGCCTGGTTGGTACATGAAGCCTGACATACGCCTCGTGTTAAACCTTATACTTTGCATTGGTGACCATGCATGCGCTTACCTGAACGACTTCCATCGATAAATGGACGGTTTCAAGATGTCCATAGCGTGCACCACGGTCTGAGTGGTAGACCCTCCCTGCTCCAACTGAGGATCGAAGTCGATGCAAACGTGAATGGGCGCGGACTTGGACCTGGACAACTTTCGTCGTGCAGACTCCAGCGAGTTGTGATTGCTGATCACCACTCTGGACCAGAGAACAGGCGTTTTGATCGCGACTTCGCGAAACCGCTTGCTCACCAGCATGACCGTAGAAAGCATTAAAGGGTCTTCTTCTTCCACGTCAAACACTGCGACAGTGAAGATCTGCGCCAGGAGTTCGTCGGGTATACGATGTATGGGAGATTGAAGCCGAGCGGCCTGTGCCAACCTAGACACGAGCAAGTTGCGTTCGCTCATGAGATTCGCCATCTTCGACTCTATGTGACTGATCTTGTCACGAAGGTTCGAGATCGAGGCATTTGAGTACGGAGGTGCGTTGTCAACCAGAGCAATGGCGGCGGCTGGGGCAAGGGGTTCGCGACCGCGACCGGAGAGATGCGTTGCCGGAGGAGATTTGCGTGGAGGAGCAAAGACACTGGGCGGCACTCTCGGCGTCGAGCTGGAGTGGACACTACGTATCACATGCAGAGAGCCAGACTTGCGCCCTAGGGAGTATGAGTCCTTCGCAGAGCTCCCGGAGGAAGACTTCATGGGGTGGGTACTGTCGAGCGCGAGGTGAAGAGAAGAAGGGAGGGCAGACGTAACGGATGCCATGTCGGATGGACCTAAGAAGTTTCCGCCTTCGGTGGCCCAAGAGTTCGACTGCGAACGGCTGTGTTGGATAATGGACCGCCTAGCCGGGAATGGTGGCGACGACCGATCGGAGGACCTGTGGCCAACAGCGCACGCTCAACGACGCCGACTCGACTTCGGACTGTCGGAAGCAATGCTCACCCCGAGGCTCAGCGACCGTGAAGGCGCATCGTGTTCGCTGCGCGGCGATTACGGGGAGGGCGGCGGAGGACGCCAGAGTCTTATACGAAGGCCGGATTGCCCGCCGATAAAGACTGTTCTTTGCTATGGCCCGGTTGGGATTCGGAAACGCACGAGGCCGGGGGCATGGTTCGTTCAGAGCGGTCAGACGTACAAATTCGCTTGATGAGTGGACGAAACGTGGAATGGCCAGTGTGCATCCGATGACACGAGGAGGTAAAACGATGCAACGAGGCAGGCGCAAGACAAGCATCCGCTCTCACCGCCCACACCACCTGCCACCGTCGTAATCCTGTTCTTATCTGGGCTCATTTCAATCCCATTTGGCGGGCACGCCCCCTTTCTGATTTCAGCTTCATTCGACTATTACGGAAGGCGACAATTCTATGCAAACTTCCCCCCGAAGCTACTGCCGTCATATTCACGTTTCGGCGCGCACACTCGCTTGCTCTGTCGAACGGTAGTAGTAAAATTGGCCCAGGACCTGCGTAGCCAATCTCGATCAGCAATATCCTCCATATGTTGATGAGCACTCACGAAGACGTCCAGGAAAACAGTCAGCCCACTCCCTGGCAGTCCAGTACCATTCAGTGCAGGTAGTCAATGACGACGATTTACGTACGTACCCGCAAGCCAGCTGGCGTTCGCGATCAGATACCGCGGCTCAACCGAGGCCGCGATGATAGACAACGCATATGTGGTGTTCCCAGAGATCGAGAACATGAACAGTCCCGGCGAGAGTCCTTCGCACTTTGTGACAAAGTTCTTCCCTGGGGCATCGTTAGACAGCTTCGACGTTGACATGCAGTGGATAAACTCGCTGATCTGTGGAAGCCGGGCTCCAACTTGGAGCATTTCATTCAGGTCAGCTATATCGGGTCCGGCATCGTCAAACCGGGCACCCACGGTAAAGGACGGCGCTGATCCAGCCCATGACCTGACTACGCCACTCGAGTACTTCTCCGGGTTTCGTGCTCGGCTTGCCTGTGTTAATGCGCGTGCTCACCCACCATGCGGCGGCCCCAGAGGCGTAGACGATTAGGAGCGCAGCTCCGTACTTCGCGCATGTTTGGAGCGCGGGCGAGGGTTTGTTCTCGACTTCGTGTGCATGTTCAGGCGGCAGCAAGGGGGCTTCTTCGTTTGTTCTTTCGGACAAACCCGCGACTCTGGCCGGGTCGGATCTCTCAAATCTCGCGGTGCCCTTCCAGCGATAGTAGTAAATCTGGAAGAGCAAGACGACGTCGCAGATAGAATACTATAGGGGCAATCGCCGTCAGATGCCCAGTAGGATCTCACCATAGAGTTATAGGACTCACATATAACGCGAGGATGATAATTGTGGGGATGAGCCTTGCGAGCAAAGCACCCCCTAGGCTGAACAAGTCTCCAAGAAGCCAGATAATAACAAATCCGATGCTGATGCCTTCCCCAGATTGGAGACGGTAATTTTCGATGATCTGCGGTGAGTAGACCACGATCCTGGTAGTGAATGGCATTTAGCACTTCGTGACGCGAGTCGGTTAAAGCAACGAGCCTACCAACAGGCGATGGAAATGTAGCCGAGCTTTTGGAGATATAGTCAATGGAACTGCGTATCTATCTTCTGTGAATGTTTGAGCGGCTGACCAGGCTGCTCAACGTCTCACTCATGGTAGAAAGTTAAAAGCCTACGGAGAGTGGTCGGGAAATTGCCGAAGCAGTGGGAAGCCACACGTGACCTCACTTTCGCAGAGAGCGCTGCCGTGCCGGAGAGCCTTCGCGGCTGACGGCGTCGAGTTCACTGGTACTACTGGCAACATGAACGACCCCCAGCAGGCTTTCCGGAGGTTCGCGCAACAATTGCAGAAGTCAGGAGGTGGCGGAGGTGGGCGGCCTCCTCCAGGCCTCCTCGGCGGAACGGGTCTCCTCGTCGCTCTCGTTGGCGGCGGCCTTTTGCTGAACGCTAGTTTGTTCAATGGTGCGTCGGTTGTCGGGAATTATGAAGTTAGTTGCTCATTGCAAGCGTAGTTGATGGTGGTCATCGAGCGATCAAGTACACTCGGTATGACGCTCTCTTGATGACGCGCACAGTCATTCACATTCTATGCCAGGCTGCACGGTGTCAAGCCTGATGTCTATCCCGAAGGAACCCACCTCATGGTGAGCCTTTACCCTAGCAACACGCGAGTCCGAGGTTGAATGCAAAGTTCCAGCTTCCATGGTTCGAGACGCCAATCATCTATGATATCCGCGCGAAGCCACGGAATATCGCCAGTCTAACCGGCACAAAAGACCTGCAAATGGTCAACATCACTTGCCGTGTACTCTCGCGACCAGATGCTCGTGCACTCCCTACCATCTTCCGAGAGCTCGGCACTGATTACGACGAGCGGGTTCTGCCGTCCATCGTCAACGAAGTGCTGAAGAGCGTCGTTGCACAGTTCAACGCGAGTCAGTTGATCACTCAGCGTGAACAGGTCAGTCTTGCCTTGGGCCTCGATTCAACACTCTTGTTGAACCATATTCTCGATAGGTGTCGAGGCTTGTGAGGGACAACCTCACCGCACGAGGGCTCAAGTTCAACATTGTGCTCGATGACGTCTCTATCACCCACGTCGCTTTCTCCCCCGAATTCACGCGGGCTGTCGAAGCCAAGCAGGTGGCCCAGCAGACTGCGTTGCGTGCGGCTTTCTTGGTTGACCAGGCCATCCAAGAGAAGCAGGTGCGTTGCGTCACCTCTGACGTTGCTGAGCTGCGTCCATTAGTCTGACTTCAACCTCTTAGTCGATCATCGTACGCGCTGAGGGTGAGGCACAATCTGCAGAACTCATCGGCGATGCGGTGCGCAAAAACAAGGGTTTCCTCGAGTTGCGTCGGCTCGAGGCAGCTCGCGAAATCGCGGACCAGCTTGCTCAGTCGGGCAACAAGGTTATGCTCGACTCGAGCAGCTTGCTTTTGGATGGTAAGCCTTACTTCCACTTTTATCTCATCTACCAAGCTTTGACACTCCGCCGTTAAAGTAACCAGCGACGTGAGGAACACAAGGAAGGAGTAATCAATACTGTCTACCTACCACCCGTATGATCGTTTCAGTAATCGCATCTCCACTCCGTATATGGTGGGCTTTCACATCAATCAAAAGCATCAAAATGGAAGCAGTGATGTCAATCGACACGCGTAAGTACAGTGTATTCCCATGTTCCAAAGCAGAAAAGTAGCGAGCGACAGACGGCAGACAATGCAACGACAGGTTAGTTGTAAACCAATTATAGGTAAGCTTTGGGAAAGAGGTATTATACGATATATCTAGCGGGCTACGGCAATTTCTCAGGCAGCGAAATTGGATGCACTGTACGAGAAACCTGCAAGGCACGTTAGTTTATGTCATCAAAAGGTGGATATGAAGACGAACCTGCGAACTGGGCTTGTACGGTGGACGAGAGCTGACTTCCCTCCACATAGCTGTCCATAGGGGCCTCGGATGTAAACTCGGTGTCGAAGTTGGACACATCCACGGGGCTGGCAACGCTCGGCTTGAATGGCGGATGAATCTTCTTTTCCAGCAGGAGCTTGAAGTCAATATGCTTGGCGAAGAAGGGATGCTTCTTGATCTCGTCGGCCCCATTGACGCCGAGTCGTTGCGTCGGGTCGCGGGTAATGAGACCGGTCAAGACGCTGCGAGCCTCGGCGCCAATTTCGTCCCCGAAAAGGAGTGGGTTACGCAGGATCTTCTCGTACATCTTGTCGGTGACCTCTGGTTGACGATGAGACCTCAGTGAGCAAGGTGATCGCTGAGACGAATTTGGCTGAACGAACCATCGTAAAACGGTGGCAGCCCTGAGAGCATCTCGTATAGCAAGACACCCAATGTCCACCAATCAATTGTTTTGTCTAAGAGGAGTTTAAACACGACTGACAGAGCTGACGATGTTGGATACTCACTGTATCCTTGTCCGTTTAGGATCTCCGGTGCAAGATACTCCGGAGTGCCGCAGAATGTGTTGGTCGTGTCTTCGTCCTTCATGTTGAGTTTGCACAGGCCGAAGTCGCAGAGCGCGATGTGGCCAGTATAGTCAAGGAGAATGTTCTCCGGCTTCAGGTCGCTGTAAACGGTGTGTTAGGTCGGGCCGGCGGAATCTCTTCGAATATGTTTTACCGATAAACCACGTTGAGCTCATGCAAGTGCTCGAGCGCCAGGAGAAGCTCTGCACTGTAGAACCGACTCCGGACTTCGCTGAAGCGTTGCTCCTGTTGCAGGTGATGGAACAGCTCTCCGCCATTTACAAACGCGAGAACGAGGTAGAGTTTTTGTTCAGATTGGAAACTGAACTTCAGCGGCACGATGAAGGGATTGTTAATCCGGGCGAGCACCAAGCGTTCTGCAAGCGTGTGCGTGATCTCGTTTCTGTCGACGATGTGCGCCTTGCGAATCGTCTTCAGCGCGTAGATACGGCCGGTGTCGCGCTTGCGAACTTGCATAACCTGAATATTAATCATGAGAGTAGTTCACGAGGTTGTGTGAGGTACACACCTTGCCGAAACTACCCTTGCCGATGACAGTGATGAGCTCGAAATCATCGATACTTATGGGCTGCCCTGAGCTCGGTTGATACGCGACACCAATTTGGATCCGACCTTTGCCACCTTGAACATCGTACCACTTATCCTGAGATCCGTGGTTGTCGAAGTCCGGGGTGAACACGACGCTGCCCAGGAAGATATCGTTCTTTCCCATGTCATCGGCCATACCATCGCTTCCACGCTTGGGCTCTTCCTTGCGGAGATAGCATTGGATAGATATCTCGGAGTTGCGGGATACATCGCTAGAAAGAAGAAGTTGAGAAGCAACCACGAATACTGAATCGCGACCTACAAGTGGGCAGGGTACATGTAGACGGGCTTGGCCAGTGTGCCTCCAAGCGGGTGAATAAGGATTTGGTTGACCTCGAACTCCATCACAAGGTAGGGAAGCCACCAGCCTACGGAAGAGGTAAATTGCGAGAGCGCGATAAAGCACCCAGAAGCACTCACATTGTGTCCTCTGCACGCTGCTGTTCCCGCCCCTAGACTTGTGTCCAAGACGTTGCTGCGTCACGCTGGAAGGTGAGATGCCCTCGGCGACCTTTGCCTTCGACGACGCAAGAGCCGATGCGACATCCGACGGAACGGATGTCCCCGCAGGAAGTTCGAGCCCGTCGGCGTCTGGACGGCAGAAATAAGCTTCGTGAGCTGGGTAGCGTGGAAGGAAGAAGACCCACCGAGGACCCGGATGGTAAGCATTCCATTCCGGGGCTTGACTTGAGGGGCTCCCCGAGAGTTACCCGGGGTCGGCGTCGCAGAACGCGAGTCAGGCTGTTCTGCGTTCAAGGTTGCCGAGGACGCCTTGGACTTGCTCTTGCCTAATCTCCAAGACATGGCGAGCACAGGTTGCACGTCGACAAGCGATGGGGACTATTACGGTCTTGAATGGCCTTGAAGCAGATGCTCGAGCTCGACAAAGACCTGCTTTGCCTTGCCAACGGAGTGCGGACACGTAGAGAGGAGGAAAAGCTGTAGTTACGTTAGAATCGGGTCTCAAAACGCGCCGTTCGTGATCTTGTCGCTGAACTTGACTTTTTGAAGCTCCGCCTCAAATCCCTTCCGAGCCGTCGGCGCTATGTCACTGTCAGGCTAAGTAACAGATCACTTCACTTTGCCGTGAGCGTTCTGCGTATACATCTTGACGCGTGCGCTAAATCTTGCATCCTCCGATTCACCCATAGACCCACTATTCCAAACTATCCTACGCTCCCGGCCGGACGCGTCCGACTACTCGTGGATCCGGATCACATATCCTACTTCCGCTGTCAGCGCTTGACCTCCCTCGCATTGAGCGATATCAGTGGACCTCGACATGATACTCAAGTTTATGTTGGGACATCTTCCTACGACGGCGCCTGTGGAAGCTATCAAAGATCATGCGCATTGATCTCGGACTGTATGCGGCAGGCCATATCCATGGCGTACGCCAGGGCGCTAAGTAGCTACGCGCCTGAATGCAGCATGCAAATACGGTGCTTCCATGTCTCTAGTGCGCGGTCTGCATGGCCTGCCATTATCGCTGAAAACTATGCTATATTGTTATCTTGATCTTTTACCACCGCAAGCATGCGAGAAATGCCACTGGCGTGGTGCGTCGAGGGTGTAAATCAACGGAACCGCGGCCTGGAACTGTCAATTGTGCAGGTGTTTCCGGATGCTCGTCCAGTGCAAGGATACCTGGATTCGCGCGGGGGATTTTAACTGGCACATGCACCCATGCTAGATCCTTTTGAAGGTGCAGTACATGTTCATCTTGGGTATAAACGGGAGCCTGGTCCTCTCAACATGCACAAGGTTGACAGTGACGTGATAAGATACCACGGGCACTTGCTGTTCCCTTCCACACTAAACCAGGTGAGACGATGGACGTGTTACGAAGTTGCCGAACTTGATTTGCCGCAATCGCAAGCGAACCTCGCCGTTCATTATCATATGCTATCCGTTCTGTTACGGCAACTTTGTGTGCCATCTCTTTACTCAGGGACGTATCATATGCCATACTCTGTTATGCCAGCTTTGTGTGCTATCTCTCTCATGCAATGACACAACGCACCTGCAGCTATCCGCAAGCTTTATATGGGCTAGGTGGATCAGGAAGAGCTTCCAATTATTGTTAGGCCATGGCTCCTCCTATAGTCCCGTCCAAAAATGGGGCACGCAGTATCATGGTCTAGACGATCATCCGATGGACGAGTTACGAGGCGATAGCATCGGTCTGCTCTCCTCCCGTAACACCTACTTACTGGTATATATATGTCACAGTAACCTGTTGCCCTTGGAGAGGTTGGGTGCTTCGCCCTCCAGTCGTCGGTACGCCAGGCCGTGGTATCCGCTCATGCAGAGAATCGTCGGCAGAGCCATACCCTGCGTAGTTCCTGTAAACATGCACCAGTGTCCGTAAATGTTCCCATCGGTATGTGATCGCGTCGGAACGTGTGCCAATGCTCCTGCAACGCCGGCCATCACTGATGCGCGCGGCAGGAAGTACATCTGCCTCGAATGTGGCGTAGACGTTCGAGAACCTATAGCTACCTGGGGACATGCCTCCGTGCCGTCTGGCCGCGCAAGCAGGTTCACATATGCCGGTGCTTCTTGCCATTGTATGTAGGCGTGGCTGCGCCTCATGTTCGCAGAGGCAGGATATGAATCGGTTTGTCAGATCAAGGCTCGATTCTGTGAGGAAGTCGATCCAGAGAAAGATAGTACAGGCGCAGATATTGATGCCACAGTGGGATGAGTCGACGCTCTCAGCATCTTACCGAAACCCGGGCACATCGGGATGATCGCCAGAATGTCGTTCGTAACGCCTTTGCCGAGGATGCAAGGCGAATCCGTAGCTAGTGACCGACGGCGGGCAGCGTCGCCCGTACAGTCATTGAAACTGGACCGCAATCAGAAGGGCGAGAGGTACAGGGCGATCTCGAAATTGCCATTTTTGAGGCAGCAGTCCTGATCAGCGTTGGCTATCGACGCCAGACTACATACGCACCCGCGCGTTTTCGATACCGTATTTCCGAGTATACTGGATAGCTAGTAGCCTTTCTATAACGTCGCGACGACAGCGCACCACACGGGAGTCATACGTAGCCCGAGTCACTCGTTGACGTTCTCCGAGCTTCGACAGTTAGAGTAGCTTTAGCGGTGATGTCAATTGCCGAGAGCCTGATTGGCCCAAGATTAGCCTATGCATGATGGCGTGATCATGAACATATTCTCAGGTGCTTTGCTTCCCGCGTTCGACAGATGCAGGCAGGCAGGTTCTGAAAGTGTCGCGATCTTCTAAATGGGATGTTGAGGGAGGGCCGAGCGTACGCGTATCGTTCGTACGCGTATCGTTCTGGTCGTTTCCAGGGACGCTCCTTCACAAACCATTTCCCCGGCCCGGAGCAAGCCCGGAGGCCAAAAATCATCAGATGCTCCGAATTTGTCGGGAAAGATGGGATCTCCCGATAGGCCACGGATGCGAACCGGCTGAAAGGCCACCGCGTGGGCATTCTGAGACCTTGGCTGGAGTGCTGCGGGTGGCTGCGGCTGGATAATGACCGCGATTCAGAGTGGTCTTGACTCCTGCGCGAAGCGGGGGCGTCGGAGGTTCTGTGTAGCCTGCGGACGGTCGTGCCGTCGTTATATTCGTGCTGAGGGAGCGCCCGCCGAGGGGACGAGTCGATTCGCTCGGCTCGGACGGGTAAAAGAGTCCGTCAAAGCACCGCCACATCCGCCCACCACCCAGGCACGCAGACGGGGTACATAAGCAAGTTGACTAAGCCGGGCCTGGGGTGACGACAAGGAGGTATATCCGTCCTCACGTCCATCCGTGGCGAATCCCATCTGTTCTACTCCTTCCCTCGAACATCGATACCCAGGACAACCCAGCGGACCGCCGTCGCTGTGCCCATGTCCTCCACGAACGGATCGCTCGAAAAGCAGGCGGCCCCGTCGTCGGGCAAGAAAAAGGGGTTCTTTGCACGACGGCCCAAGCCCGAGCCTCAGCCTGAAAACGAGAAGCAAGCGGACGTCGAGGTCCCCGCTGAGGATGCCAAACCCAAGGTCGAGGACATCAAACCGGTTTCGTTCACCGACCTCTTCCGGTTGCACACCAGGACGGAGCTCGTCCTCAACTTGATTGGTCTCGTCTGTGCGGCAGGAGCGGGAGCGGCTCAGGTACGTGTCCCTGTTCCTTCTCTTGGGAAAGATGCTGACCCGATGGTGCAGCCGTTGATGAGTCTGCTCTTCGGTAACCTCACCCAGGATTTCGTCAGCTTCGAGACCATCCTCGCCGAGGCCAACAGCGGTAATGCCACGGCTAAGGCAGCGTTCCCCGCAGCGCGGTCACATTTCCGGCATACGGCGGCAAACGATGCGTCTTACTTGGTCTACATTGGTGAGTGCATCAAACAAAAAAACCGAATTCCGCTCACCTTCACCGATAGGTGTTGCTATGTTCGTCGCAACTTATGTGTACATGGTCGTTTGGGTCTACACCGGGGAGGTCAACGCCAAGCGGATACGCGAGCGCTACCTCCAGGCCGTTCTGCGTCAAGACATCGCCTATTTCGACAACGTCGGCGCCGGCGAAGTCGCCACCCGTATTCAGACGGATACCCGTACGTGCTCTGACAACGACCGGTGGTTCATTAGCTGATTCACTCGCAGATCTGGTGCAACAAGGCATCTCTGAGAAGGTCGCACTCGTCATTATGTTCATCGCGGCGTTTTTCACCGGTTTCATACTCGCCTATGTCCGTAACTGGCGTCTCGCCCTCGCCTTGACAAGTATCATTCCGTGCATCGCCATCATGGGAGGCACCATGAACCGTTTCGTATCCAAATACATGCAGTATGTTGGCATACATGCTCTTCGCGTTATTTCTGCTCACGAACCTCCTTCCAGGCTTTCGCTCAAGCATGTCGCTGAAGGCGGCACAGTGGCCGAGGAAGTCATCTCTACTGTCCGCACAGCCCAGGCTTTCGGAACGCAATCCATACTCAGCGGTATATACGACAAACACGTTGACAATGCCAGGACCGTGGACATGAAGGCCGCCGGATGGCAGGGTGGAGGGTTGGCTGTTTTCTTCTTCATTATATATAGTTCATATGCCCTTGGTGAGTGTCCGCCCACAACGATAATCTCAGGTCTGCTAACGCTACTTGCTATCTCAGCCTTTGACTTTGGTACTACACTCATTAATGAACACCACGCGAACGCTGGCCAGGTCGTCAATGTCTTCTTCGCCATCCTCATCGGTTCATTCTCCTTGGCTTTGCTTGCTCCCGAGATGCAAGGTAAGCATATGGTGACAATTCTTTTTGAAGGCAGACTGCTAACGCAATCCGTGACAGCTATCACTCACGCAAGGGGTGCGGCCGCTAAGCTCTACGCCACGATTGACCGCATTCCTCCCATCGATTCGGCCGATCCCGGAGGCCTCAAGCCCGAGAACGTAGTTGGTGAGATAGTACTCGAGCACGTTTACTTCAATTACCCGTCGCGCCCGAACGTTCCCATCGTCAAGGACTTGAACCTTACTTTCCCCGCCGGCAAGACTTGCGCGCTCGTCGGCGCTTCCGGAAGTGGCAAATCCACCTGCATCGGACTCATCGAGCGTTTCTACGATCCGCTATCCGGTTTTGTCAAGCTTGACGGCGTCGACCTCAAGGAGCTGAACCTCAAGTGGCTTCGCTCGCAGATCGGCCTGGTCTCTCAGGAACCGACATTGTTCGCAACCACGATCAAGGGCAATGTCGCACACGGTCTTATTGGCACGAAACATGAGCACGCCTCGCAGGAGGAGAAGGATCAGTTGATCAAGGAAGCGTGCATCAAGGCGAACGCGGACGGCTTCATCACTAAGCTGCCACTCGGATACGACACCATGGTCGGCGAACGCGGTTTCCTGTTGTCTGGTGGTCAGAAGCAGCGTATCGCGATTGCTCGCGCGATCGTCTCCGACCCCAAGATCCTGCTCTTGGACGAGGCTACTAGTGCTCTTGACACTCAGTCCGAGGGCATCGTCCAGAACGCTCTTGACAAGGCTGCGGAAGGTACGCAAGCACTGCTGGTCTTTGTCCGAGAAAACTAATACCGCTCCAGGTCGTACCACAATAACGATTGCTCACCGTCTCTCCACCATCAAGGACGCCGACTGCATTTACGTCATGGGTGGCGGCGTGGTGCTCGAGAAGGGCACGCACCAGGAGTTGCTCAAGAACGAGGATGGCGCATACTCTCGCCTTGTCGCGGCGCAGAAACTCCGTGAAGCTCGGGAGGCCGAAAAGGATGTCACTGGTGACGGCGAGTCGTCGACAATCGAGGGAGACAAGGAGAAGACAATGGAGCAACAAGCTGCTGAGGAGATTCCTCTTGGACGCAAGCAGAGCGGGCGGTCTCTTGGTAGCGAGTTGATTGAGCAGCGCCAGAAGGAGAAGGCTGGTTCGGAGCACAAGGATGATTACTCCCTCCCGTACCTGTTCAAGCGCATGGGTATCATCAACCGCGAAGGCTGGAAGTGGTACGGTCTCGGATTCATCGCCGCTTGCTGTACCGGCGCCGTTTACCCAGCTTTCGGTCCGTGTCCTGTTCGGATCCTTACTTCCGTCTCGCTCACGGTTTGTCGTTTACCGCAGGTATTGTCTTTGCTCAGGCGATCAGCAACTTCTCGAACCCGAACCCGCATATTCGTAGGGAAAGAGGTGACCGTGACGCTCTGTGGTTCTTCGTCATCGCCATCTTGTCGACTTTCGCCGTCGGCTTCCAAAACTATCTGTTCGCCTCAACTGCTGCGTCGTTGACCGCGAAGTTGCGCTCTCTGAGCTTCAAGGCCATTCTCAGGCAGGACATCGAGTTCTTCGACAAGGACGAGAACAGCACCGGCGCCTTGACCTCGTCCCTCAGCGACAACCCGCAAAAGGTCAACGGTCTCGCCGGCGTGACGCTCGGTGCCATCGTACAGGCGTTCGCAACCCTTGTAGTTGGTCTCATCCTCGGTTTGATCTTCGCTTGGAAGCTTGGCCTCGTTGGTCTCGCTTGCATGCCGCTCCTGGTGTCCGCCGGTTACATTCGTCTTCGCGTCGTTGTGCTCAAGGATCAGAAGAACAAGCGAGCGCACGAGGATTCCGCTCAGCTTGCTTGCGAAGCTGCCGGCGCCATCCGGACGGTCGCGTCGCTCACCCGCGAGCAGGATTGCACGGACCTTTACAGCCAGAGTTTGCAGGGACCCCTCGAGGAGTCGAACAGGAGCGCCATCTGGAGCAACTTGCTGTTCGCGTTGTCGCAGTCTATGTCGTTCTATGTCATCGCGCTCACCTTCTGGTATGGCTCGCGTCTCGTCTCGGAACTTGAGTTCTCGACGACCGACTTCTTCATCGGCTTGACGGTACGTCTTATGTTTCCATCTGATAAGTACCCTTCTTGATGCGATGTCGACTACAGAGCACGGTCTTCGGTGCCATTCAGGCTGGCAATGTATTCTCCTTCGTGCCGGATATGGTAAGCCCTCCTCCGATGTACTGATGTCGAGATTCTCAACCGGTTCTTCGAACCCTTAGTCTTCCGCCAAGGGTGCTGGTTCGGACATCATCAGACTTCTGGATTCGCGACCGGAAATTGACGCCGAGTCGACCGAGGGCAATGTCCCCAAAGATGTGCAGGGCCGGATCCGCTTTGAGGACATTCACTTCCGTTACCCGACCCGCCCCGGAGTACGTGTCCTCCGCGGCCTGAATCTCACCGTCGAGCCCGGCACATACGTCGCCCTTGTCGGCGCTTCTGGATGTGGCAAGTCGACGACGATCCAGCTCGTCGAGCGGTTCTACGATCCTCTCGCCGGTCACGTCTACCTAGACGGGCAGGACATCGCCGAGCTCAACGTCCAGGAGTACCGGAAGCACATCGCCCTCGTGTCCCAGGAGCCGACATTGTATGCCGGAACCGTGCGGTTCAACATCCTCCTCGGAGCTACCAAGCCCCACGCGGAAGTCACTCAAGAGGAGATTGAACAGGCGTGCCGGAATGCGAACATCCTGGATTTCATCCAGTCCCTGCCGGACGGCTTTGATACCGAGGTCGGAGGCAAGGGCTCGCAATTGTCCGGGGGTCAGAAACGTGAGTGGACTCCGGCGGTGCTGAGATGAAAGATGTGGAATGACACGTTTTGATAGAACGTATTGCGATCGCTCGTGCGCTGCTTCGCAACCCGAAGGTGCTGCTTTTGGACGAGGCCACGTCTGCGCTTGACTCGCAGTCCGAGAAGGTTGTGCAAGCGGCGCTCGACCAGGCGGCGAAGGGGCGGACGACCATTGCGATAGCCCATAGGTTGTCCACCATCCAGAACGCGGACTGCATGTGAGTTCTCCTGCTTTACGGCTATGACGAGTCTGGACCTGACGGCGTTCACCCAGTTACTTCATCAAGGAAGGTACGGTGAGCGAGTATGGCACGCACGACCAGTTATTAGCGAAGAAGGGCGACTACTATGAATACGTCCAGTTACAGGTACGTCTGTTGCCACCATCTCGAAACACTGATCGCTGACCGGCTCCGACGCACAGACTCTCAGCAAGGCCGCATGATGATAGACACGACGTGATCTGGCAATTGTAATATATTAATGCAGCTGGGCATGGATGGAGGTGTTATCGGTCTCGTTATTAGTAGTTTACGCTCCCCACTTGTCTGTTTGGGCTCTATACCTCCCCTACAACCCGTGTCATACGTCGGATAGGGTAATGATACGCCTGTTCACGGTCGTTACATGAACGAGCGGGAGTGGAGGGTGGTGGCGAGTTTCCGGATCGGGCAGGTGAGCACCACGAGGCAACGTCACCTCGCGCGAGCCGGAGCCCAGCGCGAGGTTGGTCTGCGCACCCGCCATCATCACTGCGACCACAAAACTCGTGGCGAGCCGTAATCTCCTTGCTCCCCCTCCCGCCCCTCCTCTCCTCTCCTTCGTACAACCATGTCTGTCACTCTGCAGCCCTCGACGACCCTGGGCTTCAACCGTGCGTGCCGTTCTCTCCGTTCACCGTAGCTCGTTTGTGCTTCCGGATGATGCGGGGCTCCATGGCTTGAAGGCGCCCGTTTGGCGACATATGTCATTTGCAATTCACGTTTGCTTACACCTATTATAGGCCCCCTAACGCAGACCGTGAAGCGCAACCTGACCGTCATCAACCACAATGACCAGCCCATCGCCTTCAAGGTTAAAACGACTGCTCCGAAAGTACGTTGCACGTGCCCGGTCGCAGTGGACGAACTGACTGCGCTCCTAGCTGTACTCCGTGCGACCCAATTCTGGCCGGATAGAACCCGGAGAGAGCCTGGATGTACAGGGTATGTCCCTGCGCTGACGGCCCTGTCGTGACGTGGTCGACTTACGAGTTATCAACAGTCATGCTGCAGGCTATGAAGGAAGAGCCTCCATTATCCGCCAAATGCAAGGACAAGTTCCTCATTCAGAGCACGTTCATCACCCCCGATAAAGAGACCCTGCCGCTACAAGAAATCGTAAACCCCTCCGTAAATCCATCTCAGGAAGCGTAGCTGACCCCGTTCTGCTCCAGTGGAACTCGACGGACGACAGCAGCGAAGCTACCAAGGTTCACCAACACAAAATCAAAGTCGTGTACCTACCCCCAGAAGGGCAGGCCCTCGAGGAGGAGGACGAGACTAACATGGGCTCAGTCTTGAGCGGCGGCGAAGATTCAGTGGGTCACAGTGCAAGCTACGATCAGGTTCCCTCTGACAGTAGCTTACAGCGTCAATATACCACTGTTCGCCAACCTTCATTGAACGGCCGCACGCAAGGCATCCCCGACTTCAGTATCGAACACGAGCACATAGATGATGTGATTGCGCGTTCCAAGACCCCGGCGGAGGACGAGCACGAGACCCGCCACCCCGAGCCGCCGTCGCCTATCATCCAGGTTACGCACGCCGACGCCGCCCCTGTGCAGCCGCCATCGCCTGTCAAGCCGCCGATGCCTATCCAGTCCTCGGTCAGCAGTCCCTCGGAAGAAGCGTACAAGGAGCTCCTCCAGAAGTATAGCGAAGCGCAGCAGGAGCTGCAGCGTATGCGTGCGCTGCTCGCCTCGATGCCGGACACGAGCGTCGCTCCCACGAGCGAGGCGCCGACGCTACGCCGGAGGACGCGCCGGCCTTCGGACGCGATGACGAGCACCACCATGGCAGGCACGTACACCGGCGAGACCGAGACGGGTTATGGTGGCACCGAATACACGCGCACGGATTACCCCGAGACCGAGACGGGTTACGCGCCGACGACCACCGGGACGGACGTCGAGACCGTGTTCTCGCAGTCGGAGGGCGTGCCGCTCCAGGTTGTCGTCGCCATCGCAATCGGCGTGTTCTTGACGACCTACATGTTCTTTTGACGAACGTTTGCGGGAATGAAATCTCATCGGCACCTGGCACGGTGCTTTGTATATCCTGTGGACTCCTAGGTATTCTTCAGCGTTTTTTCTCGCTTCCCCCGTGTCGAATAGGGTATCTATCTATATTCACGCGATACCGCCAACTATATCCGCGCGCTCAGCGCTGCACGTACGACCGAACTTGTCGTCCCTGTACATAGCTTAAATACTCGTTTTCTGCGTTGATTCGCCCTTCCGGCTACGCAACTCCTTGCTTTCAATGTTAAAGCTGTACACTCAGCATCGATGACAGAGTACAATGATATAAGTGAGAACCGTAGTGCTATGATTGCCAGTTCGGGCCAGGAGAGGGATGATGCAACTTAGATACCGATTCAATTGTCCGTGCTACGAATACCAGACAGCATTACACAATAGGGAACCAGAGTAATTCAACGTGCCGCCAGCCAAAAGAGACAATTGATTAGTAGATATAGGGGATGATTCTGTAAGGAACCAGCTGCTTGTACTTGTGCCAGTCCTTGCCGTACCTACCAAGGCAGGAGCATGAGCGAACGCGTCGAAGACAAAAAATGACGGGCGACGTACTTTTTCTCGCAGTTCTCGTCGTCGCGCAACTGGCGGTGCATGAGCAGCACCGCGAAGTAGCTCACGTAGAAATACGTGATGGGTGCTATCGAAGGGAGTCAACACGTGGCGGTCTGTGAACTGACTTCAAAGGAAAGGCGTACTATTGAAGCCGGTCGGCAATGACCACGCGAGCGCCATCAACAGGTCGCCGAAGTAGTTCGGATGCCTGGATAAACCCCACCATCCGGAGGTGAGGAGCTTCGAGCCGCTTTCGGTGGTGAAGTACTTCAGATCTATGCATCACGAGTTCGTCAACAATAGGAGCGTGGATGCGACGAGGATACCACATACTCTTCGGATTCCTGCCGTTTCGGAAGTCGTTCTTTTCGCCGTTCGCGTCTCGGAAGATGTAGTATCCCAATGCGTTCACGAAGAAGATCGCGGCAGTCCAGATAGGACCGAGCTCGATGGGGTTGAACGCAAGGTAACGAGCTTGAAGCGAGTACACAAACGGCACCCAAAGCAAATCGCCGACTACGTAGTGTTTCCGTCAGCCAAACGCCGGCCTGCGCCGGAAGCCATTAGGAGATGACTGACCGGACAACATGAAGCCGAAGCCGTCCGTGGTGATGTCCATAGTGGTGAAGATCGCAGGCTATCCAGGTTATCAGGACCAGTGTTCTCCTTCCTGAGCTACGGAATATACCTCGTTGTAGAGACCATCCGCAACGTAGCCGATCTGGAACAGCAGCACGAGCCACATCGAGTCCGTAATCCTGCCTCCGTTCCTTACAGCCTGTTCGCAAGCCATGCTGATATCGATGAGGACCCATAGGATCAAACCCGGGCGTAACTCGTTGAAGGACTTGATGTCGAAGGAACCGATGGATGGGTTCAGTTCCCGGCCAATGAAGAACTATCGGCATCGTGTAAGGTTTCAAAAGACGACGTGGACTGTGGCTCGTAACGTACGTCGTAAATCACGTTTCCCGTGTTTCCCCCTAGCGCCAGCAGCTTGCCTGACCGGAAGGACGCGAGGTAAACGTAGACAGCTTGAATGGCTGAGTTCAGGAGAGCGGCAGTGCAGAAGCCAATCCAGCGTTCGTAGAAGAAGGTGAATGAGCCAGCTCCGAATCGCCAAATTATACCGGCGGTGATGCCCATCGCGAACAGGAAGGTCGAGAATGCTGACAACGCTCTATGAATCACACTGGATAGTACTAGATATTGTGAGAGGCCAACACACCGTTGATTTTGTACTTCTTCTTCTCCCCGTTCCGCATCGTCACGCCCTCAACCCAGTCCCCGGGTATGATCGCCCAGGCGAGCACGCAGAATGCATACCAGCCAAAGTAGATAGCCGCAGCCTTCGTATCCCATAGGCTCTTCCAGAACTCGACGTCGCCTACCGCGTCCAAGAAACGCAAGGGTAGCAGAGAGAGCGGCGGAGGGCAGCCGCCGGAGGTCTCGGAACAGGTGTAGTACAGACCGTAGGTCGTGAGCGGCACGCTGAGTGTGACGAACAGCGCGCCTGGGGGCCCGAAGAATTCGTAGCCACGAGTTTTCGGGTTCAGCTCGGAGGTGTCTTGTTTCGCGACAGCCATGTTGGGGACGAATGCAAGGTCCAAGCTTAGGCTGTGAGCCTCAGCTATATCGTCGTTTGCGAAGACCAGTCGTACGACCAGGTTTGCTGCGCAGGTAGTTAGTTACCCGCAGTCGATCCCGGAGGTCGTGAGTGTATGTGCAAGCCTGTGCAAGCTGAATGGCTGAGGGAGGCAGAGGCGTGTCAACAAAAGACTACCTACCGACGACGCGTCTCACGCGCGCCGCCGCCGGGAGGTCATCTGCTGCTTGCGGTACTCGTACGATCATCTCGAGAAAATAGCCCATTCACGCTCTGCATCGCTCCAGAAAACGATATCATGCTGGTCGCCCCGAGGCTGACAACAAAGATACAGTCACGCTAAATACGCAACACGAAAACCGCGCTGCGATTCCATTGCAAGGCGGTTAAGTCTATTATAGCACTGATATTGATGACGAACGTAACGCGCGAGGGGCCTGCTGGCGGAACGGAAATGCTATATCTCGCTCTAGGCAAGCTGGCTGTGGATGACAGCTCTGGATGAGACACGAGGTAATGCAGATTGTTACGAGGAGAACGCGGTTCGGAAACGCGAAGAGCTTCTGCAGGAACCATCGTCGTTCTTGGTCAATTGGATACAACGGGTCTGTAAGGGTCTTCGGATTGACAAGGTTGCGAGATGACCGCCGTGCTGGCGTGTAGGACAGTGGGCGCACATCTAACCAAGCTCGGCAACAATCAGACTCAGAGAGCTGAAAGTGATCGTGTCGCAGAGATCCGTGCAGCGATGTCCATCAACTTGCCACGCCGGGGAGCATAACGTGGCGCATTTCAGGTTGGGCCTAGATAAGCTCCGTGAACTGGCCGCCTAGGTGGTGCGAGGGAGAAGCCACTGATATGAGATGGTGGATGGCGTCTAGAGGTGAGCAATGCCGCGGGCCCTTCGATAGTCGCGATCCTAACAAGTCAGGGCCAGTATTGTAGACAGTGAGCGTGAAAACACGAGCGGCCGCACTATGGAGGTGTAGCTATGACGGATTCGGACGGATGGCGACGAGAAACCTCATGAAATCGAGCGCGTTCCATGGCCGCTGCCACTACTGAGAGAGCTGCTCGGGAGTGGCATAATATTGGCATACTGAAAGTGGCGGCCGCTTGTTTGCTTTCGTCGAAACAGGCCCGCGTGGTGATCGCCAGTGGCCATATCCGAATGGAAACCGTAGCCATGTCTTCCTCTGCTACTTAGAGACGGCGTGTCTGTATCGACTCGGTTCAGACATCTCACTGGATCGCAACGGGTCCAGATAGTCAGATGGCGAGAGTTTGGAGGGGTCCGAATCGAGCATGGCGCCCCAGATACATGTTTGGACACAGATGCAGACGGGATGGCAATGGAAAAGGTGATTTTTGTGATCGCGCGAAGGAGGTCACGGAAAGGTGGCTAAAGGTACACACATCGCCACAGCGGGCGGTGGCAACGCGTAGGACCGAGGTCGACCAGTGACCGCGTACTTATGCGCAGCCGTGGGCCCGTCCCATTGCATTCTATGGGGCGCTGCCTACAATGTAGCCGACGTCAGGACTGAGTACTGAGTACCAAGCAGTACGAGGCATGAACACCGCCGCACACACCTACGTCTCGGCCCCAGATACCGTTGATCATGATACACCCATCATGATGGAACGTCGGCGCCGTGTCGATCCGTCGTGCTCGAAATCTGCAAAGTCCCTCGAGTTCTCGGGTCCAGGACAACCCGCCCTTATCCTTTCCCGCCGTTGCCCTTCCCTGACTTCAGGTCCTGGTTGACTTCATTCTTGACCGCCCTGGCTCGGTGATCCATCGCTGCTTTTTGTGTTCGTGCGGCAGGACTCGCTAGAATCTTTCGTTTTCACGGTTCGAAAACACCCCACCTTTGCCTTGGAAACTTCGCGATAATCGGATCCGGAAATCATGACTGTCGTCAAACGAGCGAACGCCCAAGAACTCGGGGCCAGTGCCACGACTTGGCTGGACATCTATCTGTTTCGTGCGCAACATGCGACGCGTCCGTGTATATGACGAGGATTCACGTCGTCCACAGTGCAGATCCTCCCGGGCCATTTCCTCCTGCCGCTATTGGCAGGGACGTTCCTCTTCTCGAAGACGGCTGTCCGACATGCGACGCTCATAAATGTCGTGATCATCTTCATCTTCACTGACATTGTCAGCTGCTTCTTGTGGGTGCTGCTTCTTCAATATTGCCGAAGCGCTGCTGAAGTCTCGGTAGGCTATATGCTGGGAAGACGACGGGGCCCCAGCCCAGCCAAACCCTTTGCATCGCCCAATTATCACTCCTCAACGGCCTCACAGCGGCGTACGTATAATTTCTATGATTATCACTGCCCAAACCCTCATCATTGTACAGATGGGCGGTCTCGATCTCGATGCTCGTCTTGAACATCTGGTTCACGTTCAAGAGACTGGGCAAAGTTCCTACTACGCCGGCCCTGAAGTACGCCGTACGTATATACTGTTGCCTATGATCTGAGCCGCGTTCAAGCGTCCGCGTTAGATGGTTGCGGCACCCTACTTCGCCATGACCGTCTTCACGATAGCCGCAGGGGCTGTGAGTAACGCTTCAATCCGAGGAATCACGATCAGCTGAGTCGTCTATACAGCTCTCAGTCCACATGCCCGATCGGGTAAGCCGCGACCGCCGCTTCTTCTACTGCTCCATCGAATTCGACCCGTTGTACGCATCTCTCTCCTCCCTTACGTTGAGGATACAGCCATAACCGGACTTCTTGTATATCAGCTCGAGCTCCCTTGAAGGTTTCCAGGCTTTGGTTTGCTTGATTACGCTGGGCTTTGAAAGTACGCTGCATCACGCCATTCATCCCAGAGTTGAACACTGACAAAGAGCTCTAGTACATCTTGGCGTGACTCTCTGGCGCAACTGGCAAGCGTTGAAGCGCGCCGGCATGTCTTCGGGGTTGGACTATTACTTCCTCCTCCGTGTTTTCGTCTTCGGAGTATACGTCCTCCTCGGCATGATGTCAGTGATCGGTTTTCTTATATTGAGAATACTCACTGACGTTACCTTGCCACAGCGTGAGCGCAGTGATGATATTCAGCCCCCAAAGCGTTTTCCCCGACATGTACGCTGCTTCGAGTAGGTCCTGTTGTATTCGTCGGTCTGCCCGTGGCTCATCAACCGCCACTCTTCCAGTCGGGCTCGTCGTGTTCCTTGTCTTTGGCACGCAACGAGACGTTATGCACGTTTGGTGCTTCTGGTCGAAGCCCAAGAACTCGCAAGAGCAAGACAAGTGGTCAGATTCTAGCAGCATCCCGGAAAAGCCGGTGGTCATCGTTTAACTTATTCGTTCATCGCTGTACAATCCTTCTTTGTTATCCTTCCTTTCTATTCGTCCACCGGACGTTCCTGCTTGCAGGATCCTATTACTTATTCTCATGGCAGCTTGACTATAACATTACCTCCTGTAGCTGTAGAGTTCGTCACAACGAGCTAAACATTAATCAACTCTGCAACGGGCGTGGCTCACACAACATGCGCATGCATTGTAGCTGGTGAAAACATATAGATACAACACATCTTCCCTCTGTGAGGATCAGCAAGAAGGCGACTGATCACGCCCCGGGGGCAACATATCGCAGCTCCTCCAGCCGCTGAATCTTCTGGTCGCCTTGGGACATCCATTTCCTCAACGTCTGGCCAAACATCCCCATGACCCCCGCCGTACACCACCAAATCACCGTCGCCCAATCCCTGCCTGCCAGAAAGCTGAGGGACGGTATAATTGCGCTGCATATGAGCAATCTGCGATATGACAACGACATTGGAAGAGGTATCACGCCTCGCTCGGTCAGCCACTCCTCCTCGTGTCTGGTGAGGAATAGAAGGCCGAAGCCGGCGTGGAGCGTGACCTGGAAGAGAACAAACACGGCGATGGAGGGCTTGGACCATTGCGTTCGAGACGGATCGGACGATAGGAAAGGCGCTAACGGACTGTCCGTATTGGGAGAGAAGAGGTAGACCAAATGCCTAGCATGAGATGATATCGAAATAAGCGCATATCAAAGCAAGTGTAATCAGCAACACGCACAAGAAGCCTGACAGGCCCAGCGTGAGCTGGTACATCAACGTATACTGATCGTTTCTCCGGCTGTTTTCAGTCTGGATGCTGTTTATCACCTCCTCCTGCTCTGTGGAAATATGTATCCGTGGAGACAGCACTGCGACGCGAGAGCCGGACCTTGTTCGTCGAGAATGGGATCTTCATCCTGGTCATCCGTCTTGAACCGAAACGGGAGCCTTTTGCGGAGTGTTTCCGAGCCCGTAACAATAGTTGATGCCATTATATCGTCTCAGGAGAGTCGGCAACCTTCGAACTAGACACCCAAAGAGCAAGCTAGATTATAGGAATGTGATGGAAGTTCCGGTCAACATGCGGTCGTGCCACGACTACGAGCGGATTACGCAGGGTTAAGGTTATGTACTTATGCCAGCGTTTCTCAGCGTTCATCATGAATCCTCGAAGGCAGTCCGCGAATTGGTCTATCTACATGGGAAGCGATTGACAATCTGGATCTCTGCGGCCTGAACATCCCATGTTCTTTTCCGCACCCGTTGCTTGATATCGCGGTTCACAAGTCGCTGGAGCTCGCATTCACCCCCGGTAAACACAGGGACCGAGGGACCGATGTCCAACGAGATTATCTTCTACGACATAACTGCCCAAAGGTTGACGGCGGAAGAGCGTGCATGGAGTCCTAATACATGGAAAATAAGGTGCGTGGACAAGACTCGACGGCATCGATGGTCAATATGTTGTTCCTGATACACTAACCGTAGGTATGCGCTCGCGTTCAAGGGTCTCCCATTCAAGACCATATGGGTTGAATTCCCTGACATCGCCGACGTCTGCAAAAAAATCGGCGCACCGCCGACAGGAATCAGGGATGGTTCGCCGTCGTACACCCTACCCGTTATACAAGACCCATTGACAGGGAAGGTCATCTCGGATTCGTGGGCTATCGCCGAATACCTCGACGATACCTACCCCGTTCGACCCCCGCTTTTCCCTCCGGGAACTCGCGGCCTGCAATGGGCGTTCACAGATACGGTGAAAGAGGTGGCTATTGGCGAGCTCATCGACAACATGATGTTCCCTACGTATCAACTACTCCGCCCGCGCAGTCAAGAATACTTCCGGCCTACCCGCGAGAAGGTATACGGATGCAGATTGGAAGAGATTTCGACAGCCGAGACGCGCACCGAGCAATGGGCTAAGGTTGAAGCCGGGTTCACGAGGATCGCGGACGTGATCAAGAAAAACGGACAGGGAAGCCAGCATGTCATGGGTATCACGGCCAGTTTTTCGGACTTGTTCCTCGCGGCTTGGTTGGTGTGGATCAGGCAGGCCCTCGGCGGCGAGGAATGGGAGAATGTTCGATGCTGGAACGGTGGATTCTGGGGTAAGTTCATGGACGCGCTCAATGAGTATGCAGTCTTCGATGAGGGTTCAGAGTACGCTTCGTGATGTGAACGTGATTGATACGTATCATGTGTTCTACCTTCCGTGAAAAAAGCCCAGGCCTTTGCTCTGCAGCACCGACATTGCTACATATGCCCTTCGGGTGTCCTACAGAGAAAGTAAAGGATACAGACTCTGATATACCGAGCTCAAGGCTATTGTTGTCTTCACGATGCAAACAATCCACACAGGAGCATGTGCAGAAATTATGTTCCTATTACATAGTATTATTCGACATCGATGTTGATAATTTTGATGTCCTCGTAGGGTTTGTCTAGTTTGTTGGTCTTAACGTTCTCAATGGCATGAACGGTCTCCATACCGGAGAGCACGCGTCCGAATATTGTATGCTTCCTGTCCAACCAAGGCGTGGCGTTCGTAGTGATGAAGAACTGTGATCCATTCGTCCCTGGACCCGCGTTGGCCATACTAACTGCGTAAGGTCTGTACGATATCAGCAGATTGTCTAGAATGACAAGGCAACAACACAGACCTGTCATGCTTGAGATCGTCAGAAAATTCGTCCTCGAACTCGTGTCCCCATATACTCGTTCCACCTGTACCATCTCCAAGCGGGTCGCCAGTCTGAATCATGAATTTGGGTATCACACGATGGAAGATGACGCCTTCGAAATAGCCACTCCTGGAGTGTCCGACGAAGTTCTCCACCGCTTTTGGCGCTTGTTGTGGGAACAAACGAATGTGGATATCACCGAGAGTTGTGTGGATGGTGGCACTGTTCGCCAGGGGCGAAGGTCCGTTGCGAGCAGCAGGAGCGTTGGAAGCGATAGTGAGCTCGTCTCTGGTGGGCTTCTCGTTAAAGACGTCACGATCGTCCGACTTCTCATCCCTGATGTGGTTTGTGGTCAACGCAAAGGACCGCCTCCAGTCACCAGTACTCACTCAGGCTCTGATCGGCTGAAGATATAGAATCTCTGGCGCTTGTAGCCAGTGCAGAACAAGGTAGGGTCACGAACTCCTTTCTCTGCAAGGAGTGGGTTGGCAGAGGCAGCCATCGCCTGCGAGCATCATCAGGAACGTCTAAACAAGAGCCGAGGGTGCATACCGTTGTCGTGAGACCTTTCTTTGCGGGTGCACCTTGATACAATGCGAGATTCATCCATCGCACAGTCTCATCCTTGCCTAGCAGGCGTACTACACGATTTGTCACTGTGTTGACCACTGATGTCACTCGTCAGTCTCTGTCATTGTTGTCATATCACACATTGCATACCTTTGATTCCGAGCAACGTCGGGTACAGCAGCATTGCACCACTTTCGTCCCATACGACGTTGATCCATCTCCCAGGGATCTTGCCATCGGGGCCCGGTAAGTCCAGTTCCTTCTCGACTGCCAACCTCCGTCCAAACTCCATGTCTTCCACCTTGTAAACCGCCGTCCCTGCTTGCTGCATCTCTTGGATAGCTGTCAGAGACTCATCGTATTTGCGTGTGAGCTTGCCCGACAGGAAGGAGAATATCCTAATTTGACGGTCTGGTAGGGAGAAAGTGGCAAACGAGTTCATGTCCGGGGAAAGTGTGATACAAGTAGGAGTTGACTTGGACTAAAAGGGTTCGATCACGTCAGTGTGGCTGGGTTTGTCTGACAGGCTAGGAATTACCTTCTTGAACTCGTAGAGATCGGTAGAGCTTTTGAAAGACCAGAGTCCGGGAACGCTCTTGGGAGGCTCAAAGGGTTCAGACGGCCTCCAGTATTCGACGAAACCTTCCTCATCTGCTGAGATGACCGTGTCATATCGGTCGTTGTACTACAGTGCATCAGCTTGCGTATTCAGGTCGAGAGAAGCCTACCCACAGTCATCACATGAACGGGGAAGCGGTGCAGTTTATCCAGGGTCTCGAGGGGCGTTCCGTCGCCTCTGCCATCGTATATACGGACAATGCCTGAGTTCTGTTCAGATCTGCACAATCATTAACAGGAACTGAGCACGAGGTTATCCAATGAACGTACACTGCTAGCAGACCTTGAGCTTGGCCACGTCGATGCACCCAGCAGCACGCATGCGGGATGTAGGGCAGATTTATCATGTTGATCATGTCTACGCATTGTCAGATGATGCTGCCTGCATTGTATTGCGAAGGCCAGCGCACCGAAGTTCCCCACGTCGAAAACTTTCACGCTACCATCGTCGGCTGCGCTCGCAAAGAGCTGACCATCCACACTGGCAGACACGGCCACGATCTGCGTAAGGTGGGCGCGGTAGTGCTTTACGAACTCGATTCCCGACTCTTGCTTCTTCCAAAACTTCAAATGCCCGTCCACGGAGGTCGTAATGAGGAATTCGGTTCTGTGCATTCGTCAGCGCTTGTTGTGACACACCGCGACTACATAGGCTTACTTCGTCATTACACAGAAGTTTATGACCTCTCTGTGCATGAAACTTTTATAGTATCTGTCTGCGCTAGGGAGGTGTTCCAAGTATAACTTCTCGTGCGGAAGTACTGAGGGAATATAAGCCATGGGCAACATCAATGCATATCGGAAAAACACACCCTTGCGTTTCTTCTTTACCGCGCCGTCTCCCGCAGGCTGGGGCATAGGTCCGACGTCGTCGTCGTCGTCCGACTCGTCCTTGACGGGAACGTCGCGTTGCGGGCTAGTCTCTTCCTCTTCGCGAGCGCGTTTTCCGAGGGTAGCGCCATCTTGTTCGTCGTTGGACATGGCAATAGAATTAGGACGAGACGTCAAACAGTTGAAGCGGGGGCAACGCGAGAGGCAATGTCCAGCTATGCCAGTCGCGTGGCTGGTGGTGGCAGTGAACGAGTTGGAGGCAGTCCTGATTTTCTCTCCTCAGGCTTTGCCCTTCCGAAGTATCACTGAAACTTGCTGTTGAACTTGGATGACCTCTAATTTATCATGGTCTTGGACGATCTACATGCAGTGAACATATTTATACAGCAAGAATCGCAAAAGATTCCTAGGCTTCGTCGTATGAAACAGGTCCAATGTATGAGATTCAGCACGGACGTAGCTCTGGTGGTACTCGGAATACGGTATTATCGCGACGTATTATATACGACCGGGCCATGTTTATGTTGACTGCGAGATCACTTGTATAGGGCCGCGTATCTCGTCGATGTGCTGCCCACTCAAGAGCCTGAACGTAATGCCATCGACGACCTCCTTAACCGTATAAAGCAGGTTAGTGCCGAGTACTGTACTGCCGTTTCCCATCCTGAGCTGTGCTATAGCATCTCTGCTTTGCATGTTGCATTGGGCATATATTCCACGATGACCTCGAACAGTCATTTGTCGTGAACACGAAACTAGCAGCAGAGATTCTCTCCCGCCAAAATCCGCCTTATTCTCCCGCCACTGAAGCCAACATGAGCACCTCATTGTGGCCCTTTTTCATCTCCCTGAAGGACCCTCCAATAATCGTACGAGATCATTACCATGTTCCACGGTACGCAATAGGAGTTCTGGAACTGATTTATGGTCATGCAGATCCCGCCGCCGCATGATGTGCTGCATGCGCTTCGATCAGTCATCTCTACGCTCAACGACGGTGACTGCGATCCACGCAACTCAATCAACGTACAGGCGATCTTGCACAACGGGACACAGACACTCATTCCTCTCGCCGGACTACTCCTGGAGTACCCGGTGTCTTACGTTCCGCAGTCTCCCGACCAGGCTACTTTCCTGTCATGCGTCCCATTAGACGTCTATCAGGTGTTACTATGCTTGGACTCTCACTACTCCCCGCATCGATGTCACCCACCGGACGACGGACTTGTGGGGACAGAATTTGACTCTCCCCCTAATCCGCATATATTGCTCCAGTTTTCTTGCCCGTGTTCCATCGGGGGCGATCCTAACAATACTGATCTCGCCCCGTCTGTACTACGTGACAGACTGATTGCTCACTTCGCTCACCGGCTCGAGGACGGATTGGCACTTGATCATGCGGAAATAACAAGCCGTTTAATTGTCACCCACAGGACCAAATTACTCGACCGAGTTGCTCTATAGAAGTCCCGATAATGCCCAGTAGGGACCAATCATCGCATTTCTCGTCGGGCGCACTAGGATTTTTGCCTTGGTCCTCATGTATATTTTGACTGCCTGCTTCCATTCGCACTGTTCGGGCCCGCATCTTGATACGTATCGGTTCCATAACCACGCACGGGCTATTAATGATCGCGATTGACATTGGCAATGCGATAACGTGGCCAATCACTTGTTTCAACGCAATCATATGGCTTTCTTACTAGGTCAGCTTTCTCAATCTGGCCAGAACACAGACTGCTCACCCAAAATTCAGACTGTAGATCGATGTTCCTCACTGCACACTCCGCCTTCATGATCGGAGACTCGCCGTCAGAGACCGTGACCACGCGCAGGTGCGGCAGGCGTCTGATGATCTCCAACCAAAGATCCAGGTTCTCCTTGTTCATCTGCAACGCGTCTACTGCCAAATGCTGCAGCGTTTCTGGCAGGGAGAGCAGAGAAGGTCCTTGGCTTGCGGCTGAATAATCCCATACATTATTGAGGATAAGCTCCTTGAGCCGCGGGTATTTTTTTTTTCTACCAGCTCTGGGGAGGGAATGCCGTTGGATTCATCACGAACAAACGGAGGGACTCGAGGTAATTTCTGTGCTGGCGGAGCAACCTCCCTACCGGAACCTTCGGCCCTCGTATTTCAAGGGACTTTAGATGGCCGACGGAGCTCGCGAGAATAAGAGGCGTGACGGTGTGCCAGCCTGCTAAGCGTGTTTTCATCCAAGTAAACTCCTTGAGCCGGAGCTGGGGAAGCGGTGATCCGTCGTAGTCCGGTATGCGACCCCCGCCGATGAGTGCGAGGCCGTGAATCGTAGATGCAAATATGGGGAGGAGCTGCCAAGGTGTGCGGTCTCCATCATCTGCCCATGTAGCAATGGTGAGATATTCAATGACAGGGGGCGCAGTGAGCTGCATCAACACCTCCTCATCAAGGGAGAACAAAGCTATCCCTTGAGAGTTGTCCTGCCCTTTCATCGATTTTACACAGAGGTGGTAAAGGTGGCGAGGGCATGACTGCAAGGTTTCCACAAGGTCTCTCGTGTTGGGACGCCTAGACAAGTCATCTGGTGAACTGACTTCGTCTCCGACGTCCGCGTTGGTCCGCATTTCCGACGAAGTTCGCTCGTTGCCAACGTGGATTGTCATTCTGCAAACAGGTCCTCTGAGCCATCTCCCGCGCTCCGTCAAATTCGTTACAGTCGCTTGAAAGCGACGGACTTGTTTCCTTGTGGACAAAACGACGTGGCGGAAGAGTAGACTGTAGAGGCTGCCAGTGCCGCCCACAGCCGGCAAACTTCGCTGAAGGCTCGCAGCGGGCGGAGGTCTAGAACAGGATCGCCGTTGTATCCATGCATCATATTTGGGCTGCCGATGGGCGACACTGCATCTTGTAGTTCGAAGTCAAGATGTCCGAGTATCATGAAGAGAAGGTCCTCCGGCCATCGTTTACTCATGACGACAGGCGAGAGGCCAAAGGTGCGCAGAACGATGATGCTCGCCCTATCGCAATGGCTCATATACTATCGGGCAAGTTCACATGCGGACTCATGTATGTCCGAGCACACCGGGAATTAACGCCCTCACCCCCGCCGGACCAATCCTTTGAAATGATCAATACTGCTTTCCCGTTACTGATGACACAGGTATGTGTCATTGGGGGCTGCGCTCGGTACACTGTGCACACAGACCAGACATCTGGTGACTTGAAGGAAGGGCCCCACGACCCAACGATACGATGCGAGTAGAGGGACAACTGCAAAAGACATGTTCGAGACCGAGGCAATCTTCGCTGAACTTGTGTCGAACCATGTGTACCGCCGATGTGTGATATCTTTGTAACGCCGCTCCCACTCATCTACGGGGCCCAATCTAAGGGTGCCTCAACTCGAAACGGTGAGGGAGTACCGTTCCACAGGTATACATGCCGATTCGAGCTCGAAATTGCTAATGATCGCGGCTGATATTCACCATGCGAAATCGAGGATACACGCCCGATCCCAAGCAATCGTATGGCTGAGTAACATGGAAGCAGCGAGTGTGTTTAGCGACAGCATCGTGCAGATGATACCAAGTTCACTGACCCAGTACGCAGTTCGGACCTCGATACCACGTCTTGTACACTCAACCGCTATGATACGAGCGTCCTTTTCCGTGACCGTAACTGCGCGTAAATTGGGCAGGCGTCGTACGACCGCCAAAAAAACCCCCAAATTTTCCTTGCTCTCCTCGAAACCTTGCAGCCCGTCCACTGCCAAATGCTGTAATGTCGTCGGAAGGGATAGCAATGACCTCCCCTGACCGGAGGCAGAATAATCCGAGACCTTCTCTAAGATCAACTCCTTAAGCCTAGGAAACTCCGACCAGATTTGGGCAGGGAACTTGGAGGCACTCAAGCGACTCAAACGGAGCGACTCGAGGTCCGTTCGGTGCTGCCGGACAACTTCGCCAACGTGAACCTTCCGCCCGTGTATCTCGAGTGACTTCAAATGGCCGATAGAATTGGAGAGCAGACGAGGAACGAAGTTCCAACCACCGGGGTCCGGTTTCGTCCAGATGAACTCGGTCAGGCGAAGTTCTGAAAGCGCCGGCCCATTGTAGTCCGGTAGGCGCCCTGTTCCGATGAGAGCCAGCGACCGGACCGTAGGTGCGAACAAGGGGAGCAGCTCCCAGGGGGTGAGATCGGGTTTCTCCGAACATGAGTGAAGCGTAAGGCAGGTAACAGACAGCGCCTTTTTGATTCTCTTCATTTCGTTTTTGTCAAGCCCGAATGTATCCCGCTGTGCCTCGATCGTAGAGAGGGGCGATCCAGGCTTTCCCTTGACGGACAACACGCAGAGTTGGTATAGGCTCGACGGAGGCCACGACCGCAGTAGTTTGCTGAATTCTCTTGAGTTGGGACGTTCCGTCAAATACTTCTGCTGAAGATAACCCATGCCGTATAGTTCCGCGCGGAAGGATGTTTCGGAGCCAAGGTAGATCGTGATTCTGCATACTGCTGCCCTCAGTTGCCTGCCGCGTTTCGTCGAGCTCTTGGTCGCAGCAAGAAACCTATAAACCTGTCTTGCCCTGTGCAATACGACGTGGCGGAACAGCAAAGGCTGTGCCAGGGATGCCCACAATTTGCACACCTCGCTAAACGCTCGCAAACTATGCGAATCCAGAGCTGAATGACTATTATGGGCGTGCATGTCGTTCATGAGGGTGGGCGACGGGGAGAGTTTGAAGTCGAGACGTTCGAGAACCATGAGCAGGACATCTGTTGGCAACGGCATGACCGTATGAGCGGAAGTCATAGCGAGCACTGTTGTCCATCTTTCAATATTTGAGTAGGTTTGCGCGGCGGCATGAGTAGCTTCGTTTGATGACGGCCCCGAGAAGATATAAAGCACGAGGGACGACAGATGCGACGCCTTGATCATCAATCATATGTGATAGCGGGCCTGACTGCTTTTCCCACTTGCGAGCGTTGTCAGTTCCCCAATCATCATTGTAAGGTGTTTGTGCGCCTAGTGTGCACCCAACGTGGTGGCAGGAAGGACGATCAACGAGGACCTGCTTTACTCCCGCGGTCAAATATTAATGCTTACGCGTCTGAGCTGACATTCATTCATATGGCTCCTTTCATGATCCACTACTTATACTGAGCATACTCGCATTAACATGGGCTTCACCATACCGGAATCCACTGCGCCTGCCGAAGCTGCACGCGCGCTCATGGCACGAAAGGACGGTATCGAAGCAGAAATCGAGGCGCAACTGTCCATCCTCGCAGCCAACGGCAACGCGACCATGAACACGCCTCTCGTCGATCGCGAAGGCTTTCCTCGCGCTGATCTAGATGTCTGGGCCGTGCGGCAAGCCCGTGTACGGATTATAGAGCTGAGAAACGACCTTCGAGACATCATGGACGACATCGCGAAGGCGCTAGCGGTGGTGTATGCAAAAGCACCCCCCGCGCCGGAACCTGCTGAAGTCGCGGCTGATGCGTCAGCGAGTGCAGGTCCGGAGCTACAACCGTTCGCGCGGGTGGATGGTGTCGCACCGGGTTCTCCGGCTGCTGCAGCCGTGCGTTTGCTTCATGGTAATGTGTGGGTTCTTTGCTGAAGATGAGGTGACAAAGGGCTTGCAACGAGATGACCTCGTACTCAAGTTTGGGACCTTGACCAAGTCGTCGTTCACCACTTCGTCGTTGCAGCCGCTGGCTCAAGTCGTGCAAGCCAATGAGAATGTGAGTAGAATTCGACACCCATATTCAGATAGCCGCATCACTCACCTTCCACGCAGCGTGCACTGATGATCAAAGTGTTAAGACAGGAAACAACGCTTGTACTCAGTTTCACTCCGAGACAAGGTTGGGGTGGACGTGGCATGCTCGGGTCAGTTTCAGACAGTTTTTCGTCTGCATTCAAAATCTGAATGTCGCTGTAGTTGCCACATCGTCCCTTATTCATTATAGTAACCCAATTCAGCGTCATTCTATATTTTTTTCTGCAAGATTGCTTTGTAATTTCAACCAGGATCAGATCATCACAGTTCTGAAGATGTATCCATACGATATGTGTACATGACGAATATATGCGAAGCACCAGGGAATCGATCAGTTCACGGTCGAGAACTGGGTATATCCGACGCTGGCCCGCTAGTAGCGTAATCGACACTGGCGGCCCTGAACTGTGGCCTACGCCTACCTTGAGCGAAGCCCAAGCTCTGCGTCCGCGCTCCGGTGACATGCCTCCCGATTCCGCTCCCGAAGGCAGATCCGTTCGCCTTGCTGGTAGACACCGCGCTGTCTGACTTGTCGTCGAGCTTCTTGTCGAGCCCGGATTTCCGCGTGCCAAGGCCACCCATGGCCCAAGAGACTTCGACGCCACGCTTGATGCTCCATAACCAAGTTAAGCCGAAGATGGGTGTTGAGAGAAGGACGTTCAGCACCGGGAAGAGGTCCGGGTACCGAGCAGGAGGCGTCACCAATAGTTCCAGAGCATGTAAAATGACGGCGCCAGAGTAGATGACCTGTGTTTTCATTAATAATGGTCAACCTACGAAAGTCGTCATAGGGACTGACCAGGGATAAGTAATGAAACAGTGATTGCGGTTTACGGAAGGGATTGTTGCCGATGAGTCGATTCCAAAAGACAAGGAGCGCAACGTATTGCACCGCGAGCCCATCTCGTCTCAGCAGTGGCCACATACTATGTAGGAGATGAATATCGCCGATCCCCGTGGCGTATAATCATGACGTACCTGAATACAGCAACATTGTTCACTAACGCTCCGATCTCGTAGGTAGCGGAGTCTGGCGTCGAGCCGGACAGAAGGAGCGTAAGCGGCATAAGAGGTAGTAAGATAGTCTTCTCGTGAACCTGAAATGAGAATAGAAAGAATGACATGGAAGACGTCAACAGCGCGTAAGGCAGCAGCTGTAGCGTCGGCGACTTCGCACGCGTCCCATCTCCGCGTCCGAGCCCGCTCATCACCCACCCGCCATATATCAGGCCTATGACGGCCGGCGCGAAGCCGATGGCGGTCAATCCGGCAGATAATCTGACCAGCGTTTCCTTGGACACCCACCGGCGCCACTTCAGGACGACGTCGGACGCGCACCAGAAGTTGGCGACTTTATCTTCGAACAGACCACGATTGAATGGGAAGATGCGGGTGACAGGGTCCGCGATGGAGAAGAGCGAGGCGAAGGGCGGTAGCCAGGGAGAGAAAAGGACCAAGAATGAGAGTGTAGTGACAACCGCGAGGCGCACAAACAGGGAGAACCTAAGGCGGTCACCAAATCAGGCAAGGTTATTCAGAGCAGGTACTGCCATTTGACTGACCCTTGACTAAGACCGAGGTAAAGGCATTTGCTAAGCAAGTATGCGCCGATGGCAGGCGCGTAGTACAGAGCCATTTGCTTGAATCCCAGGGACAAGACGAAGCATATAGCACCAAGCAAATCATGGCCTGTCACGAAGAAGTTCATTGCAAATACAGCGAAACCTGAGGCGGGGTTAGGCCGGTCTGTTTCGATGCAACACACGGACTGCAGACTGACCAAGCATTACCGAGTTGTACTGAAAGTGCCCGAAATCGACCAGGAGCAACGCAGGATGGAACAACAGTACCAGTAGCGCGAGATTCTATCACGTGCGCCGTTCAGACTTGAGACGCAAGAGTTATGAGCGCCTTACCTGTGTACGGGTGGACCGTTGGGCGTGCCATGTCCGAATGAGCATGACCAAAGAAGGAACATAGATGAGCGTATCCGCTATCAGCACGGAAACTCTCATGAACAACTTGCTGCCACCGGTTTCGATACCCCTTGATTTGTCCAAGGCAAACCACGAAGGATTAATCCGTGAACCACTAAACTGACGTCAACCTTGATAATACCGAGCGAAAGGCACTTCACGAACAGTATGCCAAAAAACCACGAGATATAGGCAGTGAGAGGCGGGTAGTCAAGACCCCAGTATTCGAGGTCGTATTTGTACCATTGGGATATAGGCAGATGGATGGTTAACTCCATCCAATGTCTCTGAGCTTCATAGTCGCCGTACATCGGAGGCGTTGCTTGCCCTGTCGAGACATCGTTAAGCAGTCGTGCAGTGTATACATTGTGGCAGGGTCGCACACCTGAATATGAGCCCAAGCCTATACACCACTTATACAGGACAGCAGCGGTGACGGCAGTGGGGACTACCCACGACCTGAAGCCCTCTTCGTGCATCCAGCGCACCCATCTCCGGCCCATGCCATCCTGCGAAGTTGCATGCTTAGGCTCTTGCTCCGAAATATGGTCCAGAGACGCCTGGTGTAACAAGCTGGGGAAGGACCCGAAGCCTGAATATCGATGTTCACTCCGGCGGCGGCGTGTCAGAGGACTCGGAGGCAATCCTGACGCCTCGCTGCCTGGCTGGCGTGAGGCAAGCGGAGATGTCGGGCGGGAGAAAGACGCGGGCTGCGCATCTAGCCAGCGCCGCGTTTCGGAGGACTGGATGTGATGACGGCGCGGTACAGGGGCGTAGATTTCTGACCGGTCGGTCTCCGACCTATCCAGCTATGTTGCAGTGAGATGCTAGCTACAGTCCAATGGCCACTAACCCGAAGCTTTTGACGCTACTCGTTGACCTGCGCTTGGATAATACAGACGGACCAGCGTTGGTGAACTGGGACGAGGTATTGGAAACCTGGGACGCGACTGATGTCCTCCTTTGTCGTCTATGTGATGCTTCAATGGCAATATTTAGCTTCAGGTCGGACATGATTGCCCGGCAGAGGAGTGTGGTCAACGTGCAACTAACAGCTGCCTACGGCTACACGGAAATCGTGACGGCCTGCTGGTAACAGTGCGAAGCACCCTTTTCACGTGCTAGACCAGGGCCGGTCAGCCGCATTCACAGCTCTGTTCACACCGTGACAGCTAACTGGCGGGACTATAGTGGCTCTTCAGACGATTTGTACTGTACTGAATCGAATCCACTGCCACTTATTACTATGAAGCACAGGGCGACAATGCGATGTCAGGATAGCTACAAGCTAGAACTTACTTACAAACTCCAGAATCGCCTTGTTCACCTCCTCCGGTCGTTCATAAAATAACGCATGTCCCGCACCTCGCATCAACACGAACTCGGATTTGTTGAACCGCGCCTTCATGGATTGCTGAACCTTTTCCCATATGAGGTGTTGGTCCTTGTCACCATGCAGTACGAGATACGGGAGCTTGTCGCTTGCCGCCAGAAGCGCCGTCTCGTCTTGGGTGCGGGTGATGAGGTACCGCCGCGCGACGGGGTTCATGCCCGCGATGGCACCCATCCACGCGAGCTTAGTGTCGTACGGCAAATCGCGCTCTGGGTCCGCAAAACAGGACTCGACGAACGCAACGCATCCCTACACCCCGCGCCGATCAGAAGATGGGCTTGGTAGGCATACGATTGAAGACGTACCTTGGAGAAAGAGTCCACTTCTTCGCTCAAAATGTAGGGGGCAACAGTGTTCACTATGACAGGATGTACAACCTCGGGGTGCATGCTGATGTACGGAAGCCCTGCGGCCACGATCACGCCTGCGATTATGTCCGCGCCGTAGTATTTCACAATATCAGCCGGAACGATGGCTGCAGAGCAATAGGTCAGTACCTTGCACTCACGATGATTGCAAGCTGTAGGCTACTGCGGTAGGCTCACCTCCAAGACTCCAACCAAACACGACGGGTTTCTCCAGACCGTATGCGTCATGGATGGCCTTGAAGTCTTCTGCATGTCGCTGTGAGACATATGCAGCCTCGTCAGACGGCGCACCGCTTCGACCGTGACCACGAGGGTCGTACGCGATCTACAGTCCAGCATGAGCGATGCAGTCTCTTACCCTCGAACGCTGATATCAGGCACCAGATAAAGATGAGCCGTCAGTTCTGGGTCACGCAACTGCTTTTCGAAGGCGAGGGCCGTGCAGCAGAACCCGGGAATGAGAACAACAGCAGGACGAGAAGGGTCGCCGGCGGAGTAGGTGCAGATCTTCGTTCCATCGCTTGAGGTAACAACCCGTACAGAGTCCAACATTCTTCCAAGCTCAAAGAATATCAGGCGTCCTCCGGGCTGTTCGGGTTATGGACGAAAACTGACCTTTATACTTTTTCATATTTCTAGCGCTAAAGCGATCAGCGTTGTCGAATATCTTGGCAGCCGAAATTGGAATCCGTTGCTTACTTTGTGCTTACTACGATGCTTGCGCGGCCTTGGGGCTTACGTGAGTAGATCTAAAGCTTGGTAAGGAGGAAGTTAAACATTCCCTCGCATGGCAGGTGACGTCATGGAGTACGGCCAAGGCGACAGAGATACAGGCCGGATGGTAGGGAGGTCTGAAGACTGCTCGCCTAGTCAAGGGTAGTCAGTGTTTCCATTCGGACGTTTCGCATGCGTACTAACCGTTCTGAGGCTAGCGATAGGCCGAAGCTCAGCTGTAAACCCAGTTGATATTGCTGCGGGTTGACGTGCTGGTGGCGATGTATGTAGCAGTATGCAGATTACCTGAGCAAGCTCAGGTATCTCGGATGCCGGTAATTAGTAAGCATCAGCAACCGTGGCGGTGCTAAGTTCGTGGCGTTGCGCTTTTACCGTGTCAAACTCTTTTTTTAAGAATATTAATGCGATCTACTCGTGCAATGGCAATGCAAGCGAAGGTGAAGGCGGGGGGCACCCGCCTTTTTTTCCAGTTAGTATTGGGTCGTGCATGTGATGTTACAGATGTCTAGCTAGTAGTTTTCACCAAAGAGACGTTTTCTGCATGATAGGTTGATCACCAGCTTTCGTAACTTTCATAATGGCAAACTCACAATCTGGGAGGCGCCTCGCTGAAGACCGACGGGCCGCCCATCATCTCACGCGTCCAAACATCGCGGATGAACCACCCTATGTGCCCGACAGCGCATCCCATGAGGTCGCCAGCGGCCGCTCTCCAGGTGCCATTCAATATCCACGAGAATCCGACAAGGGCTAATGGGAGGTACGGCGCGGTGATGGTGACAATCCCGAACAGCGATATGGGGGTGGATGGGTGCCGTCTTGACCAGAGGTAGATTGGGACGAACGCAAGAGGAGACGAGAGAAATGGGAGGTTGAAAAGAGGAGACATCAGCTACGATAGTACTCAGCATCGTGAGTTCCTTTCACGCCGATCGACTGGATTATATACCAGGAGGAGGACAGATGATTGAAGCAATAACCAGAAGTAGTCCGCCTTGCGATTTGCGAAAGAGGATTCTTCTAGATAACGGCTATACCGCATGCTGATGATTGTAAGGTAATCAGAGAACAAGACAAGTATGGTGGAGGTCGACAATTAGACGTACAAGAAGAAGAGGTGGAAGACAAAGTCCAGCGATATTGGACCGAAATAGAAGAAAGTTGTGACTGCCCGCCATGGCTATGGGGTTGTGAGTATAAGGCTTTGTAAGGCTTTGAAACGAGAGAAACAATACGAACCTGGCTATTGACAAAAGCTGACTTGAAGCTAAAGTACAGCTGCAGTGGTGTGACCAACTGACATTGCTGGACACAGCCGGTGAGCTGATGGTCAGCAGTTAGGGGCCATGGGCTCGTACATACCACAGCCAAGCTCGTGAGTACGCAAAGCGCCAACCACCCGCGAGTTACAGGAGGTATTTGAGTGACCCAAGCTTCGATCCCAACTGGCATAGTAAGCTATGTGAGCGCTCGGTGAGCGCTACGAGTTCGCGGTGTCGGGGACAGACGTGGCCAGGACACGTCCAGCATAGCCACCGGCGTGCTAATATGAGTCGAAAACGTTAACGTTGTAAAGCAAAGCCACGCAAGGTATTCTTGATTTGAAACATATGTGCAAAGAACATAGGGAGTAGGCATACAGTGGGTCTTTGTCCGACCTGAGTTCGAGATAGATAGGGAAAATACGCACAGCCCAAGCAACACACCCAATATTAGAGGCGAACTATGAAACACAAGACGCAAGATATACGGAGCCAGCGCGAGGCGTCTTCCAAATAGTGAAGGGGTCCGCCACGCGATATCTCTAGGAGATGATCGTAGGAGAAATTGATGTCTGGTATACGGATTGTAGTGTTTATCGTTCAGGCCCAGACAGCACGGGGTCCGGGCTTGGCCTTGTTCTTCGCAGCTTCCGCCTCCATTTTTGCTGCGCGTAGTAATGCGGCCTTATTCTGCCTCGGTGCCATCGTCGGTGCTTGAAGGCTGCTTGGGCGGGGCTTCGGCTTCGGCTTGTCAACAGTAGACGTTGAAGTTGCGGCACTGCTGATCGCACGCTTGTGCCCGTCGAGCGACGATGTTCCGGACGTGGTGGACGTCTGTGAAGCAGTCCGCGAGACGGAGGCTGGTCGAGCAATATAATTCCCCCCCGACGAGGTCGATGGGCGGGGGCCGCCTATAGACGCGCGAGAAGATGAGCGCGATGAGGGGGCCTGGCTCGATCCACGGACTGCGAGCGAGTTGTTCAGTGATCTGACGTATCGCAGGCAGTGATACAACTCACAATTGAATGAGGAAGGCGGCGCGGCCTCCTTCTGAGCGCGCAGCGAAGCGGCCTTATTCAACCTAGGAGCAACTGTCGGCGCTTTCACGCTCGCTACCGTGATGGTCTCGCGGCGCTTGTGTCCCGGCACGCCATCAAATGTCCCAGTCTTCGGGGCAAGCTTTGTGACGTTAACGGGGGCAGCGAAGCTCGAAGGCCTCGGTTTCGCTCGAGATGGCGATTCTTCAGGTTTGAGACCCATCCTCAGCGCAGCCGCCCGAGACATGCGAGGAGCAACCTTAGGGGCAGCTGTAGAGGCGACCTTGAATTTCTCGCTGCGGTAGCCGTACCCAGGCACATCCGCGAACATCTGGGCTTCGCGCTCCTTGGAGACGGGCGCGCGAGGCTTCGACGGTCCATTATCTTTCTCGACAGCGATTCCAGCACGCAGGGCCGCCGCGCGGGTTGTGCGGGGGACGATATCTGGCTTGTCGATGGTGGCAGGGATGGGCCGAGCGCGGAAGAGTGGTTTACCGTTTGCATTCGTGCTTGACCGGCTTTGCTCGCTTGTGCCCGTGGCAGAGGCATTCGCTCCCCGGAGGGCGGACAGCACAGAAGACGAAAGGGAGTTTATGGTGCCGTTCTTATCGACGTCGGGAAGCTCCGTGGTGGGGAAGGGTGGGGAAGACGCGAACAAGGATGCGATCTGGATTTCCGCAGTCTCGTCGTCGGATGAGCCCATGATGGCGTTCTGCTGTGCGTCGATACCGTAGAGAGCGCGAAGGGAGTTGGGAGCGTTCTGGCGGGCGATTTCCGGAACAGGGGGCCCCATGAGACCTTGCAGCATTTCGACTGCGCGCCTCCGCTCCAAGACGTACACCCATACCGGGCCCCTATGTTCCACGTCAGGATAATCCGCGCGGGGGAGACGGAACGGAAGGAGCGCACTCTCTGAACGATTCCGCGTCCTCGCCGAAGAGCTCGTACAACGTCTCCGGGTCCGTGTCCGTGTCGAACTCCATTTGGCGCTCCTTCAGGACCTGACAGGAACCCGTCAGCAGCCAGAAGGCAGGATATACACGTGGTGGGCGTTCATTTCACCTCGAAGCCTGCCTCGGAGATTCGGGTTTCGATGTCAAAGCGGTGATGAAGCGCGTGCGTCTTGATCATGGCGACCGTCCTCGTCAAGGGCACCGAGTGTGACGAGGGCGACAGCGCACCCTCGCCGGGGCTGGGAGGGGCCTGCCCCTCGACGTCGACGCCATTGGTAGGGGCAGCGTCCGATGGTGACGACGGCGGGTGATCCGACATGAGCGTCAAGGGGAACTTGAGGAAGGTGAAACAGGTGAGGCTTCAGGAATATACAGGATAAGAAAGGTAGGCACAAGCAAGAAAAGCAAACGACAACTAGTTTGAAAGGGGCTACTCGGGACGGACTGGAGGAAAGTTGAGTACAAATAGAATACCGAGCGGAACAACATCCCGCGTTGATCAATTCGGTACCGTGACTGTGCGACCGTCGCGTCCATCAGGAACCGCAGCGTGCCTCGAGGCAGTTGTCGATTATAGTGAGGTTACATGGACGGTTACATGGACTATCAATACAGAGTTGTTGTGCTCGGGGGGTAGTGTGTATCCTGGAATATCGCCAGACAGATGCTATGGGGATGCCTGTTTTGCGCTGCTTGACCCCTTCAACCACTTGCCAACCTTTCCACCTACGTACCGAGCGCTCTTCAAGACGCCGGCCGAAACAATGCCCTTCGCCGTTTGCACGACAGCAGGATAGCGTACAATCTTGTCGATCTCTGCTGTTTAGTCAGAATGCGGTCGAGTGGTCATATGCAGAAGAAACGTACCATCCTGCAGAACGGTCGGGATATTCTCATCGCCCGCTAGCTTTGTCCAGTAGACCGCTTCGTCGGCTTCCTTGGAAGGGATGGAAGGGTTTGCAGCATAATGGCTGGTTAGCCTTGCGAGAAGGTTCGAAGGCAGTTTACGCAGGTGCAGCGCGCGAGCCTGCGGGGACGTATCCTGCTCGATGTGCGTCGAATTCGCCGCCCAATGTACGCCCGGAAGTCCAGTCACCAGCCGGTAGTACAACTCTTTGAACTGAGGTGATTGCTTGTGCACGATGTTCTTGACCTTGTCACGGTTTTCCGCAGGAAGCAGCATCCGAGGATCGCCCCGGTAGCTCAGTCCCGCTATGCGCTCGAACAGTTCTGCCTCCGAGAAATTGGGGGGTAGAGTGAGGAGCGATGCACGAACGGCCGAGACGAGATTGACTTGTTGCGTTAGCCGTACCCGAGCATCGTCCTTGATGATGCGGATGGGCTTATGCATACGTCCTGCGGTGTACAGTGTCCTCCAGTTCAGCAGGTCCGAGCATAGATCGTCAACCGTAATCACGCCATACTTGATGGTCTGCGGGGAGTCGGTCGACACTCAGCTTCACAATCACGTCGCGAAAGGATCACGTACGACACCGTTCATCCGCACGTACGGATTGAACCATACACCTGGGCTGATTTGCTGCACTTTCGACACGAAGGAGGATCCGAGAATGCGCGAATGGAACGCATAATGACCGGGATACTGGTGCATGTTCAAATAATGCCAGTGATCCGCATGGGTGACGGCGAATATGAAGTCAACCATTGGCCCCTCCGATAGATCCTTCCTAGGCGCGTACCCGTCTTGCTCGAATACGCCCGATCCATAGGCGAATGCATAACGTATTGGAGCATCGAATTGGCGCACGATGTCTTCAAGCAGCGCTCGGGTGGCATCGGGGACGTTCAGTAACTGATTGCGACCAAAGTTGGGCGACAAGTATGGCAAGAACGGTGGAGGTTTTGCGGTGGTTGTCCGAGGAGCGGGATTGAACCGAGCTCTAGGCCGTGGAGTTGTCGAGTGCGTCTTTGGGGGAGGTGGATGCGGTGTGTGTGAAGGAGTGGTGGTCGTGGTCTCTGTAGCATAATGGCGTGCAGCGATCGATCTAAGAGTACGGCAAGATGTCCGAGATGTGTTCGATAACATTGCAAAAGGAATAATTAGTTGAGCGTAGTGGTCTGGACTGGAGAACGAAGGGCAGGTTGGTGGACATGTGAAGGAGGCGGAGGGTGGAGCGCGTCACTTCGGCTTGCCTCCAGCCACAACCCCGTCGGGACTCGGCAAGAATGGCCGCTTGCCTCCGTTACACCCGCAGGGTCTGGAAATCGTTCTTGGACAATGGCGGTAAGCCATGCATGCTGCATTGGTTGCATAGATTAGATCTCACCCATGCTCAGGTCACGATGCTCGTTGCTTCGGAAACGTCAGTTGCTTTCAGAGAGTCCAAGACTAGGAAGCACCACTCAAGTTCGTCGTAGTTGAACATCGTGAATGCTAGACCTGGCTTGGTCGAGGCCTCATTGAAGGTCGAGCCATACAACTGTACGCATATTCCGTGTCGTAAGAGATAAATCCACGTTATCGACTGTCCATTTTAGTGAACCGTGTTGGGTAAGCTCGTGCTGCTCGTGCACGTTGAGCAGCTCAGTTCAACCCAGTCCAATTAAAGCACAGTACACGGCGGTTTGATTCTGTCGTTGACGGACACAATGTACGTCTCTGATGTATTGCTTAGACCATTGCTAAGCGCCCTCTTGATGCAGCGGATCGCTTGCTGTCGGTTCCAAAGGCCAATTCATGACCGGAGTATCCGTTGACATTGGAACAAGCTTCGTGAAGCCTGCAGGACGCGTCGGCGACACCTTTCACGTCAAGGGGCAGGTCATAGGTTTAGGTAACGTAGCACCAAGCACATCGTTCAACCTCGTGAAAGCATTAATTCTAACCAATGTCCAGGCAAATCACTTGCTTACACTCGCGTCGATTTCTACGATGCCAAAGGGCAGTTGGTTGCTTATGGTCGTGAGCAGTCTTGATCATTCCTGCAGTGTATGTGAGCTTACAATTTGCGATCAGATCACACGAAATATGTGGGCAAATCTGCTGGACACGAGGTCAGTGATCCGCACAGCCCCGTTAAACTTGACTATACATTTGCCTCCTAGCATGATGTCAAGTTCTCCGCGGACGGGGAAACGATCGTCGAGGGCAGAGATGTCGAGTGATGTCAAGACACCGTTCTCTGGTGCTGATGCTACTTCTGTCACCTAGACCAGCGTAAATCTTGAATGCAATCGTCGCGAAGCCCGCTCAGGGTGAACTTGAGCATGCTTACGTGGAACCGCGTTCACGATGGCATTAGCGTGTCAACCATATGTCAAACAAGAATTGACAGGGAAGCTGGCAGGTCCAAAACTCGGAGGGAGGGAGCTGAAGCATTCCCTATTAACCCTTCGCTTCATCGGGGCTATACGCAAGATTCGCGACATAAACGCTATGCCAGAAGGCGTCCTTACCGGTATCTACGATGCACCTCGCATACCTCAACGTTACAAAATATCCGAGAGCCAGAAAGCTCTGAAAGGCATCCTCAAGACCGAAGCGGAGAGACGCGACTCAGCAACGAACACGCCGTCGGGATCAAGCTTGCCCAGCACATCGCCGCTTGCGAAGAATGCTCCTTGTCGGCGCCTCTTTTCCGCTCCTGTGCCGCGCTCCGTATCGCTCGCGGCAGAATTGGCAGATGTGATCAAGCCTCGGGCAGTATCTGCATTCTCTGGTGTAAGGCACGCACTACCCAGGACGACGACGTTGCTTGCTCCAGCAGACATTGACCAGGATGAGGCGTTGTCGTTTCATCAACATCGTAACCATGAACATCGACCTCCTGTTATCCGACATTGCCTGCTTTCTCCGCCAGAATCGACTAACGGTTTCGAAGATCTACCTGCTCGGGCTAAGGCAAGGTCTCTCAAAGAATTGCTCGATCTTGACAATGGGACGCATAGACATACCGCAGACGGGTTGACCGCTGACCCTGCGCCACTTCCTGACATGTTCGTGCCATCAATTGCAGTTCCTTCGGAAATGACCAAAGCCGTAATGCCCATCGGGACCGTTCGACCAATACCATTCACGACTGAGCATCTCAAGCCACAGACGTACAATGTTGTTTATGGGCAACTACAGGTACTATCATCTCGCTCCGTAATGATCGACTTCAGGGAGCGAGAGCGCAAGCGGGGAAACCGAGGCGATGAAGTCCTAGTAGTCGCCCCGTCCGGTATCGTTGTGCGTCACTTCCATTCTTACACTAGCTGTCGTCTTCATATCCCTTCCGATACAGGTCAAGGTCTACGCCGCGCCTGATCTTGAGGAACCTTGCTACCTCGCAGAACCGGTATCTGTACACAAACTTGATGTACTCCCCTCTCGATATTGGAGAATTTACAATGACGCGAGCCGGATTTTGGAGCAGGTCAAGCAGCGGATTCCAAAGGTCAAGACTTTGGCTTTCAAATTCGGAACAACCGTTCTGACTACCTGACATAGGTCATAATGTACGAGGATGAAATCAAATTCAGCCTCATGTGCAACGGGATCAAAGGCGACATCGAAGTGTTATTCTCCGCGGATTCTTACCGGCATCCATGCGCCAAAAGTAGCGAAGGTTTCGTTACGGCAAAGGAGCCGCGGTCGGCCAAGGGCAAAGACGTCGCGATGCGCATACGAGTGTCGAGGTCGCTTTCGTCCGTCGAAATTGTGCGACTCGTCCCAAGCTCACGCGACCAGAAACTCGAAGGCGAATGGAAGAAGAAGACGCTGCTGCTGGTGTCTGGATCGACCGTTCCGACATCCGAATGGGCCAACCTGGACAAGGTTGAAGCACGCGGACTGAGGAAGGCGATAAGCTTCATGTCCGTCTGCGAAGCTGTTGAATCGGTCCAGGCAGCTGCGGACCAATCCACCGCAGAAAACTTAGGTCTGCAGCTCGAAGCATGCGGTCCCTCCGCAGCGCGTCGCCGCGGACACACCAAAGTACCGACTCTTCCCTCAACGTCGCGTACACTCTCAGGCTCTAAGCCTTCGAATGTCCTGGGCCGAGAAGCGCCTGTGCGACGCAATACTTCTTCGGAGCACTGCAAGTTCGATGAGTCATTGACGATGACGCCCCCGCATGCCACCCTCAGCTCCCGGTTCATTCCTGGGGTGGGTTGGTGTATCAGACATGACGGGGAGGGAAACGAGGGTCAAGGAGCGCGATTCAAGATCATGTTCTTCGATGGCGTGATACTCGATGTAGACGTGGATGGGGAATGGGTGGAATTCCAGTCCGCATCCGGTGAAGTCACGAAGTACGTCCCCATAACCTCCGCCTTGCATGTTGATATAATGTGTTCCAGGCTTCAGGTTAGAGAATGCAATGCCAGGCGACAGGTTGGCGACAGGATGAAGGTCTTCAGGGAGTTTGTCTCCATGTTTGACACCTCAAGCTCATAACGCGATTGCCTTTCACGTAGTGGCACATGCGTATGTCAATATATATTTAGCTCGCTCTTGTATTCTGTATGATGCAGATGATGGTGACTGATGTAGAGATGAGAAAATCAAAAACATGGACGCATATCTTGGAAGAAATACTACAATTGCGACTGTTCAACCCGGTTATTATAACCCCCCCCCCCCCGGACCGAAAATCGTAGGCAACGTCGCCCAGATCAGCGCCCTTCCGGCATCGTATTTCTCCCTCGCTGTATTTTCGCAGATGCACAATCCCCGACCCTTTCCCGAGCCTCGCCCACATACCACACGTGCTCGCAATGCAACGTCGTTGTCGTGGTGATCGAACTGGTTTAATCGTCCTCCATGATCTCGGTACAGCAGGGAGTGCTGTGCTGATGTTGTTATAGCAGATGAGACGGGCGGGCCCTTGGCGTGATGCGGTGTTCCGTGCTCGTGAGCAAAAAACGGTACACTCGTGGTGAACCGCGTCTCATGCAGCGAGAGTGGAAGGGAATCCATGATACAGACGAGCCTGTTAAGAATGACATGATCTCTGGCAAACGACGAAGGTTCGGTGCATTCTAGAAAGATGCTCACCTCAGCCTCTTCTCGCAGGTGCGTTGTTTCATATTCATTTCATCCCGAAATCGAGAAGCGCCGCCACAGTCAAAATATGCATTGGACCGCGGGGATCATAGTAGCTAAATGGTGCTTGTCAACGGTGATTACTGGCGAAGGCCCCGCAAGATGGATCACACCTGCGTTCGCCGTAAATAGCCTTCAACGAGTGTCCAACATTATTTGCGGGGTCGTATATCGTGACCAGCGGGCAGCCTTCTGCCTTAGACGTCTGGTTCATCGCCAAAATGCCCAGAAGGAAGAGGTCATTGAAAACGGGAGAGCATTTGCTCAGGACCGATCTGTGAACACGGAATCGGAGGACGCCTGCCTGAAGGACGATGTTGTCATCGGAATACCAGGGCAAATAAGGAATGCACGCATATATGTGTGGTGGATTACATACCAAACGTCGAGCTTCCAAGACCGATCCTCCGCTGCCCAATTGGAGCGTGAATCAAACAGGTTCAGGATCGCAGGCGTGAACACCACTGGCAGACGGGGTCATATCACATACGTAGCGAGGCCGATATACTTATACACCGTCTTGCAGGCAACAAAGTTCGCGCAGTAGAGCGGTTCATTGTGATACTCTGCGAGAATGAAGGTGTGCCGCGCATCATGATGCTGGTCATGGCACTCGTGGGCTTCCTCTCGGGCGACGTTGCTGCTTCGTTGAGACTGACGTTGACCACGAACCTGCTGATCTCAGCTGAATCGTTCGCTGGCTGGCTCCTGCTATTGGATTCGGATTCCTTCGAGATGCGGATGACTCGGAGGAGCATACCGGGCGACACTCGCCACCGTCGGACCAACTAGGCTTCTTCGATGTCACCAGCGCTTGGTTCTGTACCCCACTATGCCCCATTTCTACGAAATTTATCACTTTTATGGCGAAACCGGTGATGCTGCGGGCGTTCTCAATCGGCAAGAAACCATGAATCATGCGCAAAGGGTTTACCTCCACACCAACCTGAGCCCCGCATTCTGCGCTTGATGCCCGCGAAGCCTCACACGTCCGTCGACCGTGGACATTCCTGAGAGACGAAACAATGCAGGCACTAGTAGAAGTCAAACACCATGGGACATGCTCAAGCATTGTCAGCGCTGCATGTGGGACTTGGTCAAGCTGTACGAGATCAGCTTTCTTTTACAGAAGGAGACGAGCTACGAGAGCGCGATGAGACGACCGCCGATCCATATCCGTGGAAATCCTAGGTCTCGTTCTAAAGCCGCGGAAAGACAATTTAAGCTCTGCGCGGATGTGTAAGACTCAATTCAAACCACCTTCGCCAGTGCGCCGGGGAAGTATAAATCGCGGCCTCTCCTCCCGGCATTCCCGGGGCGTCGCACTGATCCACTGACCTCTGCAAGGATCCCCGATGAGCGCGAGTGACCATCCCTCCGCGTCGTACTCCTCTGCTGTGTCTGCCGTGTTGCAAATCGGCCCAGCTATAGCCAGGGAGGCACCCCCCAGCTTAGCGAACTCTATCGGCGTGTTGTTTATTGGCAGCCTGATCTGTCTTCAGTGAGTTGGTGGCCTTCCTATTACTTCCCAGTTGACATTAGCGTGTTTCTTCAGTATGTTCGGCATGGCCACTGTACAGAGCCATACGTATTATAATGCTTATCCTCAAGATACACTCTTCATGAAGAGTTTCGTAGGTGCATGTGATATCTGAAGGTCTCCCCGAATGACAGTCAGTCCTGCCTAGGTCGCATTGCTCTGGGTCCTGAGCGCCTTGCAATGTGCATTCCTCTGCCATTCCTCTTATCATTGTACGTATCTGTGTGCCTGACCATAGGATGCAACGATTACCTTACATTTGTCGTAGATATGATAACTAACTATGTCAACCCTTTCGCCCTTGAGACATCGGTTTGGTCACTGGACCTTAGTGTTCTGACCACGGCAGCTGTGGGTTGCATCTGTCAGGCTTTCTTCATAGTCAAGGTCTGGATTCTCGGCAAATCTTTCATCGTCACCGGAACCTGCGTCGTTCTGTGCGTTGTAGAGCTCGTATTCGGCGTAGTTCTAGCCTATGGTGCCCTCCACATTCGCCAGTTCAATATGTACGAGGCCCGATATGGCTGGTCTATACGAACAGGGTACGAGTCTGTTCTATCCAGCGTTTATGGCGTACCTGATGGCCGGCTACAGGCTAGCCGTAGCAGCCACTGCCGACGTATGCATCGCCATGGCCCTCGTGTTCTTCTTGCGAAGGCATCGTACCCATTTCAGGCATACGGAGCAACTGATACAGCGGACATTATGTGCGTCTCATTTATGTAGCTGTGATTATCTGGCTTAATGCGGTCGCAGTCTTCACAATAGGTGCATACCCGAGTCTTTCGGGCTTGTTTACCTTCTTGATCACTCATAATTGCGCAGAAACATGCGTTGTTACTTGCATGGTCACACTCGCTTCCCTTATTTGCGTGCGTAATTCAACTGCTGCATGCGAGCCAGTGTTGACTCGAAGTTGAACTATTTAGTTTATCACAATGCCAGAGAACTGTGAGATTATTGACCCGTCCATGCAAGCAGTTCATAACTTCCTTTTGCCATTCAGTCATTTTTCTGGCGTTGTATTTTCTGGTTGCGAAAGGTATGCACTGCTTCTGCAAGGTCGACGTAACAAGATCGAGATTCGTGGTTTACTATAGTCTATACCAACTCGGTCCTCACATCCTTGAATGTCCGTCAAACGTTACGGGATCATTCGAGGGCCCGAAGTACGACATCAGAAACAACGCGTTACGGAGGACGGCAGAGCACAAGCAATCGTTCCGCCCCCCAGGTAAGGGCGAAATCTGCCTTACATAACCCGGCTGACGTGCGGTTGCATGTACGTGCGCAGCGATACCACGTCTACAAGGCGGAAAGTACACACGAAGCGCATGCTCTGTCGGCCTTGCGGAGCGAGCAAACTAAGGCTCCCGAGATCCAATCGTACGACACGGGAGCTTCGTAACCAGTAACGCTTAGACTGCTCCCTGATCACGGAGCATTTTCTGCAGCCTGCGGCGTCTAAGTACGTCTTGACACGTATGCACCTACCGGGGCCTTCCTGAGAGATGTATATGTCGTACGAGTCAATAGGTTACAATGCCACTAAAAGGAAAGAAGCAACGATTAACGTCGGCTTTAAAGTAGATTAATGAGCATAACAATCGCAGACTATGGTGAAGACGATTTCCGTGAATCGACATTCTCTTCTGTGGGTCCAGGCGTCGGGTCTTCGGCACTGAGCCGTTCTCGGGCTTCCGTTATAGGTTCATCAGAAGGCGACTCTGCAGCTGGCGGAGAAGCCGCGGCGGATTCATTTCTGAGGCTGGCGAGGTGAGAATTAACGGCTTGAATGAGATCCGCTTCCATGCCCAGCGTAGGCGCTGTGCCCAGGGAGTGCATATCGTAAGTCGGCGCGCGACTCTCGTAAGTCGAAGGGGTGACGGAGCCAGAGGAATTATTGTCAACTTCGTCTACCGAGACGGACGGGGCTGACGAATCTACGTCCTCGAGGAGCGCATCCGGATGCAGGTGAGGGCGGTGCAACGATGCAGCATGTTCCAGATTGGCAACAACGGAGGGGTCCAAGAAAGCCTCTCTATCGTCCGCCGGATCCTCAGATTGCTCGTTCGGAGGTATAGAGTCAGCCCGTTCAACGGTGGTTGCGGGAAGGAGATCGTCTCCGAGGAGCCCTTCCACGTCCACTTGTTCCTCAGCTTCAGCGGCGGGTTGAACAGAGCCCTCTTCACCATCCAATTCCTCTGGCCTGACCTCGTCCGGTTTTCCCCAGATGATCTTTGGCAAACCGCGTTCCGCCTCCTGCCAGGCTTCAGTATCATTTCTGCCCTCACGAGCTAGCTGGCGAAGCATCCGAGTCTGAAACGGCGCTCGGTAGAACAATCGAGGGTCGAAAGGAGAAGATCCTTCTGAGGAGGACCCGCCAAAATTCATAGAGTTCCATCGCTCTTCCATCTGCTCGACGCTAAGTCCCGAAGGAAGCGCCCAAGCGCGGAATTGCCTGTCCTTAGCATAGTTGAGGTTCGCACGGATCTCAGCTGGAGAGAGCGAGGATTTCGAAATGGCCCAATGGACGGTCCCTGGTGTCCTGATCAGCCAATACATCCACGGTGAAGGAGAAGGAACGTACATTCAGCGTCCGTGGCCTCAACGGCACGAGCTCCGCTGACCTCCTGGTCATCAACGTAGTTCTTGACGGTGACATCCAGTTGCACAATATCATTCTCATCCGTAGAGTCAGCGGGCTGCACCCACACGTTCATCTCAGGGTTCCGATCAAGCTTTTCCACCATGCAGCGGATCGACTGCGTCATTGACGTGAATAGAGGCAGCGACTGTAGATTAAATCGCACATACCTGACCAGGATATTGCGCGACGATCTCCGCCGCCACGACCTCAAGCAAGCTCACGCACTTATCAAAGATCCGGTCTCCCCGATCGGACGCTCCAAACAGGCGTTCATCCATTTCTTCTAGGGGGATATATTGGAAGCCGAATATGCGGGCCGTGTTGTGAAAGGCGACAATGGCACCGTCCATGTTGCCGATGCGAACCTGGAAGCTGCGACGGACTCAGCACGGCGACGAAAGGCAAGAGAGTAGAGCATAGATTACCTATATTTGAGGAAGGCAGAGCGAATGAGATCGTAGTATTCCTTCTCGAAGCTCTCAAGTCGTCCTTGTGCTGTCCTAATCAGGTACCCCGAATTTTCCTCGTAGTTCATGATATCCAAACGGATGGGGAGTGCTGCTCTTGTCTTGATATCGAAGACACCCGTTCCAGGTAATCGGCGATCTTGACAATCCAGCTGGGAGCGCATGACAAAAGTGGAGGACTGACATGAAGTCGATCGTCAATGTGAGCAAGACTATTATCTATCGGCCATGCATAGCTCCTGACCTTCGCATATCGGTAAGCTTCGCGCCGATCATCAACCTCCTCCGGTGCAACGTGATTCGATCGTAGTAGCTTGCTGAAATCCTCGGGGGATTTGGTGAGAAAGTTCTCCAACAATGTTCCCTGATGAACCCGTGGTAAGGAGAAGCGGAGATTCTGCCGACAGTGGGCTCACCATCCACGTCAGTATGTTCTTCTCCGAGCTCCCTTTGACGGTTTCATCGCTGTCAATAGCATATCGTCCGTCCTTGTGGTGAAAAACCAAGGATACGGGCATACGCTGGCCAGGGGTGAAGTTCGCGGGCTATTAACCAAGTTAGAGGGTCAAGTTGCCACCCGTCGGTGGGCGGGACTCACCTCATTGGCAAAATGCGTCGAAAGGGATCTAAGGTCCACGTCTCGGTCCTGCGAGATGAGGAAGTAGATATGGCTCAGCAAGCCTGTCAATGACGATGTTGAGCCTGCGAATGTCTTGTCGTGTGCTTTCGCCAATGACCAGAGATCCTACAAATCGTTGTCAATCATTGATGCATTGGTCAGGTAAGACTTTGGGGCTACCTCGTCGCGAGAACTACGAATGAAGCCCGTCAAACGCTCGAATGCAAACTCAGTGACTTCAGGTATCTCCTCTAGCCAAGGTGTGAAGTTGTAGACTCTTGAGCGAGGGTCACGCAACCAGTGGACACCTGGGCTAGGAATAGATCAACAGAAACACGACGGTGAAGCCGACAGAACATACTTAAAAAGTACTCGGTCAAGGCCGTGCGCTAGATTCGCAATCGGCTTGTGGTCCGAAGGGGGTTCGATGTCTAATTGTCAAGAATATGTTGAGTTCCTGAGTGGGGTGCATCGGGATTGACACACCTTGAAGAACCGCTCGTTGCTCCGGATTAATCAGGCCCTCTATTCGACGAGTGTAAGGGAGTTTTGGTCTGGGGTGAGGTGGTCTTATACCAGGATCCTGTGGATTTGACGGAGGTGCCAATTCTGATACATTTCGTCAGCTACAATTATGGAGAAGAGAAATCAAGTTCCAACACACCATCCGGGCCCCAACCACTAGTCCATGAGTCAGCCTCGTTTGTCCCAAGTTTCGACTTCGCGTCCTCCATTGTGACATCGTGCCAGATATCACCAGCGCCAGCCCTGTCCATCGGGTCTGAGACAATGAATCAGTAGATAACAGAATATATCGCCGGATATACTCACATCGGTCTTCCTTCCTAACATTCCACCCGAGTTTCTTCTGGGTACGAGGTGGGAAAAAGTCTCTTCTCTTCGTCGGCAACGAAGTACGCTCCAATGCGGTGAGCATGCTTATTTGTTTTTTCATATCCTCTATGTGGTGCTCCTTCGATTTGATCGCGCGCTCAGAAGCTTCTGGCACCGAAGGCACGGTGAGCGTCGGCCCATGAGCAGACACGAAAAGATGTTCACGAAGACGCTGAGCGACGTCTGTTGCCGCTGCCACCTTTTCTTCCTTGAGCTTCGCCTCCCTAAACTTTCTTTCTAGCTCCTGCCGTTTCTTGCGCAATTTTGCTTTCCGTGACTTCGCGTGCTTTCCTTTCTCTGTTGCGGTGGATTCGACTGTGGTGCTCCTAGAGGAGGGACGGTCATCGGCATTATGAGAAGCGTGTTTGGGTGCTACGAGTGACGATTCATCCTGGAACAGGGATTGAGCAAGGCGCTCTGCGAATGCGCTCTGCCGCCGGATGCATATCCTCGAGAGAGAGGTAGGGGTGCAATGTCGGACGAGACGAAGAGAGTGCATGCAATAGTGGGTTCCAGACGTTGGCTAGGGCGATGTAATACTGCCCAAGTTGGCGATTGGTCGTGTTGCCCGGGGAAGTCGTACAGGCAGCAGAGGCGCGAGCGCGTACAAGTCACCAACGCGCGTTGGCGCGAGTCGCGACTCACGATCGCCCTTGAAAATCTGGGCAGCACTGCCACCCCCTGTCCGGATTTATTTCACCGCGTCTCAGCCAGCCCTGCGGCTGCAGCGCGTCACATAAATAGATATCCAGCAAATTACATTCTAGTCCATGAATTTGGAGGCCGCATCTTCATTCCTCACCCAGCTACCTTCGTACCGAGCGGGCTGCTGCTCTCGCTCTCCATATCCACCAACTCCTCCTCGGGCTCACCCTCCAAGTCCTGGTCGGGTTCCTCGTTCGCACGCCTCTCCTCGTCGCGCTTGAGCTCCTCGCGCATGTGCGCGACATCCGTATCGACTTTGGAGGCGACCCTATCGATGCCAGCCTGCGCGAGCGATACACGCGCCCTGTGCGGTGCAAGGTGAGCGGCCCGGCGCGGGGGGCGGCGCAGGCGACGTCGTGCAACCTGTGGATCGTCGTCAGTGCTATGATCTGAATCCTGAGGAGCGTTCAGCTCACCATTATCGGCACCGAAGACTTCTGGATGAGGTAATGTGATGTCGAGCCCAGTAAGATACTGCCAAGAGTGTTACAGATTATTCGCTTTCATGAAATAGAATGTTACTCGCCCCTTCAATTGGGACAACCCTCGGGACCCCACGATTACCATCACAGGCTCAACGTAATCTATTATGTCTGGAGAGAGATGTGAGCTGTATACATTGAGCTTGAGTGCGCGTATACGCACCTAGTAACATATGCCGAGCGTTCTTCGCATGCCACGATTGGCAGGAGACAGTCACGTTCAGTCGAGTCCTCTGGAGCAGACTCGTGGCCTGGCGGACGAGGATGTATGCTAGCGCAGATCGCTGGAGGACAGATCAGTCTAGGTGAAGTTGTCGATGAACGAAGACACGAAACCTCTTGTTGGCTACGGAGCTTGGTCGTCCGATCGGCGGCATTCGGCGTCGCGGGGTCGACCTTGCTCTCATTCTCGTTGACGGTCACGATGAGCATCTCATCGCCATCACGAAGAACGGTGCCGATGCCCCACTCTACTGCGTATCGACTCTCCTCGCTCAGGTCGCTAGCAACCATGTACCGCTTCGGTTTCCGACCCGTCTCATCCAGTACCTTCTCAGGATCGCCGTGTATGAGCTGGATCGTACACCGATCACGAGCAAAAACAGGTCGTGAGGTGTGTATGGGCAATGGATCGTCGACCCTGGTAGACTTGCGTCGACGAGCCCCGCGCGAGCTGGACGCGTTGAGAGTGGTAGGAAAATAGGGCTCGGGCGGGACAACGACGTTGGGACCCTCCCCCAAAGGATCCTGGATGTGTTCCAGATTCTCGGGCTCGGCAACGTACTCGGCCGGAACGAGCGCGTTCTGTTCCGTATTGGATTCCGTCACGGGGTCAAACTCGTCGTCGCTCCAGTCGTCGTCCGAATCGCTGTCCACCGTGGACTCGTCGTCGGACTGCTCCGAGCCCAGGAAAGCGGTGCGCGGCCTGATACGCCGCGACATGTCATCGTAATCGGACTCGGCGTCCGATTGGGCGATCGCTTCGATGTCCGGGGAAGGGTCGCGGTTGCGCGAGCGCGAGCGGCGGATGCGGAAGGGGGACGTGCTGCGGGCGCGCCGATCATCTTCGGGCGACGTCTCCGCGCTGTGTGCCGAGCGCGCGCGGCCCTTGCCCTTCTCGTCCACCAGGGACCGGCCGCGTTCCTTGTCTTCGCTGCTGCGCGTCAGGCCGAGCGAGAGGCCGCCCATCATCTGACTGAAGGACATCCTGGTGAAAGATCCTGTCGAGCGAGCGTTCTTGTGTTCTAGTTTGATGCTGGGGGCGTTCGATTGCGTGCGGACCAGCGCAGTGCGGCTCTGTTCATCGGAGACAGTGGTGATTAGCGTGCTGCTGCTGCTATGCCGCCGGGAGCGGCGAGAAGATTCGGGGAGGTCAAGCGACACGGTGCCGCGACCGCCATCAGCGTCCTGGGAAGGCGTGACGGCAGCGAGCGGGCTGGAAACCGTCGACTGCGAGCGCTGGTGGCGCGATGACGACGGCGAGAGCAGCGCCGACGCGTCCCGGGAGTACTTGCCCATCCAACTCAGCCCGCGCAGGGAGGCCGGCCGTGAGCGTTTCTCTCCGTCTCCAGGCGAAGATGACATGATGATTGGAAAGATGGAGACGCGGGCGACGCGGCAGAGAAGAGAGAAGGGGAGGGAGGTACATAAAGGTCATGGTCAACTCACTTCAGCTTTGGCTGTTTCACCGGGAAGTGCCTGTCAACCGGCCGCGACGTAAGCGGGCACTCTTGGCGTTACGGGCGGGGCGGCTTCTCGCGAGCCACACACCCAATTGATTGAGCTATTAACTCACGGATTTGGTAGCGTCTTGTGAGTCGCCCTGCCTCGTCTACAGCCATTCGGAGGTGAGATGCGTGGAATCCGCCACACGATGGAGCGGGATGGCGCACCTCGACCGGAGAGTGTCTGTCCAAGGGCGTGATTCCGGCGAGCTTGCGGAGGGTGTCGAGGCTGGAACTACTGTTAGAGCGCGACGGATTCATGGCTGCGAGGCTGTAAGAGGGAAAGCCGCACTGGTATAAGCCCGGATCTGGTTATAGCCCCCGGACTCCTTCGAAGCAGTGGCAAGTCTATTCCGTCGTGAGTATGATGGTGCGCGGGTCGTTAGCACGGACCGTTGGTCACGCGAGATTTCACTGATATTGCACGCCGGTATCTGTGCGCTGTATTTGCCGGCCCAGTAAGTTACTGTAGAGTACTGCGGAGCGGCACCTTATTCGCACCAATACAGCAAGTTCAGCGGTATGTAGACAAAGATCGAAGAGCGACTCTCCGCGAGGTTACTTCACGGAGATGCTTGGCGTCATCGGAGACCCGGCGCAAGTGCCGCTACGTAAAACAGGTAGACTCGGCATCATATGAAATATAACATTGAGGCATTGTCGCCAATCGTCCCCGGCCTGCGAAACGAAGCCCCGCTGCTGGCGAGCTCGACAGATACAAAGGCTTCGGTCGAGGTGAGCAGGAAACGCTGCATCGTCTTCCACTTAGCTCTGTGATAGGTTGGTAGAGTCCATGGATCTCCAACTACCACATTTGAGTACGTGGGAGTGACATGGCCAGCATTCAATTCCGGCCTGAGCTTCGCTGGCTAAAAGTAAGTTCACCATCTCACCAATGTCCGGGTCTATTCGGAACACGGTCGGCATCCAATAACTTACTTGGTGTATACGATGTCCAAGAATGGATCCGGGTAGGTCAATCCTAGCAAAGCCAGTCAAAAGAAGGTCGATGTGATTCGAAAGGCGGCGTACCTCATCCAGTACGCATAACATTTGATTGGAGGATAGGATGCATATACAAAGCGTATCTGGGTACAAGCAGCAATATATGAGAACCGCATGGGCCAAACGCACAATTAAAAGTTACGTGTTTGCCGGTAGATTCGAAAGTACCGCGGCCTGGGCTCGCTGTGGGAATGTCCGTGTTCGCCGCGAATGGCCATTTAGTCTCTGTTCCGGCCGTGAAGCTGCGTCCTGCGGACAGACGCATCAACATGGCACAAATGCGCAGGAGTAGGACGGAACTCACGGGGCTCGCTTCATTCTGCCTCGGGATCGCTCCGTATCAAACCTTGCCATACATAGTAGCTCACCCTCTGCATTAAAAGAAAAAAGAACTAGACGTGAACCCCTTTCATCGCTGTGCGAAGCCGGGTTAATTGATGAAGGGTTGCAGGAACTGCGAAACTCGTGATTGGTGGCGCCAGTCGAAACTATGGCGATAGCGAGGAGCCGCTCATACTAGACTATAAGACTATAGAACTAGGAGGCCAAGATAGACGTGCGTAGTTCCGGAAAGCATCAGCAGCTTTCCGAAGTAGGTTCCACAATATAGCGAACGTGGGCCACACATGAAAGGGAAAGCGGTGACGTGTCGCAGGCAAATCTGACGAAGCCAAACTAGCTGATCCCATGCTTTCTTGGGCCTTGTCAGCTTTGAGCCAGGACAGGAAATGTGGACACTGAATGCTTGCATTGTCGAAATCGAGAACGTAGTTGAATGCAAGAGTAGACGGCCTGCGAGTATGTTCTGTCACGGTATCGGCATCTATGGGAGGTGCAGTGAATGCTCGGTAGGCGTATGTCTACCGACGCTTTGCCATTTGCATTGTGAGATTATCAATATACATCTGCAGCGTCTGATTGCCAGAACTAAGCTTGTCGACGTCGGTTTGAACCGCCTTGACGCGATCTACGAGCGCTGTACGCATATAAGAGCAGTATTCAAGTTGTGCAACACATTCGTAAGACGTACCTCGAAGGTCATTCTGGGCTGCAGCGATGTCTCTGGGAGACGCAGCGTCAACATCGTGCTGTTTATACACCATTGATCGACGCACTTTATGACCTGTTCCTTCCGAATCGCGTCTTTGACTAGATCTCCTGCACCTATCGGATCAGCGGCAGGGCCCCATGCTGGTGTTGTAGCGTCATCAAACGCAAAGGACATTGCCTGCACAATGTGGTAGACTCCGTAGAGGTTTAGATTGTGGCAAGTGCGCGAGCCGCAAGCCCCTGTCCCAAGTTCCTCATCGGGAACGCACGTGTCCGATACTGACGCGTCCCCGTCGCGTCTCCGGAGGACTTTCGTCAACCTGCAGTCAGTACACAATGGCTAGCGAAAACGTCGTACTTGCGTTCAAAGCTGGTCGCTCCTTCAGGCGAAGCGGCACGAACTTTGTGGATCCCGACCCCACCAAAGGTGCCATACTTCTGAGCCGCGGAGAGGACGGCCTTACCCACTTTCAGTGGAAGAATAGGTCGACAGACAGTGTCGAAGAAGTGAGCATCTGTGGTAGCGCTGCTTGAACTTTCTGACGCCTTCCAGGATCTGATCCTATTTCCTGGAGATGCAACGTTTGTGAAAGCATCCGGGCGGACGTACGTCCTCAAGTTCTCGTCCTCAAATTCAAGGCATTTCGTGAGTGTCGATAGCGTTGTGCACGTTCACGACTAATATAGCTCTAGTTCTGGATGCAAGTAAGTGACACGGGCATCAAATGCTTGCTTTCGTTCTCACGGTGTCCCAATGAAGGACGCATCTGACGCTCGCGATCAAGTATTCGTCGAGAACGTGAACCGTTTGTTGCGGGACCCGGACGAGATCCCGATCTGGGACGCTTTCGTCCCGACATCAACCTCTAATGCTCAGGCATCTACGTGTGTTCCAGACCTCCAATATCATGTACAGGGCAGAATGCTCATTTGTATTCAGTTCTCAGGCGCAGGCCCCTGCCGGCACCGGTAGCACCTCCGCGCCGCAGGCGACCCCCGAGCAGCTCGCGCAGCTTCGCGATCTCGTGAGGAACATGACCGGCACCGCAGCCCCCCGTCAACCTGGTGAGGCTGGTCTCATTGCGCTCCACGACGAACGAGAACATGACAACATATGTGCACACAGAGCTCTCCTTGAACGACATACTCACGCCCGCCAACCTCAACCCATTATTCACCACTCATCCTGCCCTGGTGGAAGCACTATACCCTCATCTGCCCCCCGACCTGCCCTCTCCGCCGTCCCCGGAAGTGTTGCAGCAGATCATCGCTTCCCCACAGTTCCGTGCTGCAGTTTCAAACTTCGATCAGGCACTGCGGACGGGTATGTTGGGGGGACTGGTGAGGGGACTTGGGCTCCCAGAGGAGGCCGGTACGAGCGTTGAAGCGTTCTTGAGGGCCATTCAAGAACAAGCAGATCGAGAGCGCGGCGGAGAGGAGCGGATGGATACGGATTAAAGTTCGCATCTTCCACCACGTCTCTGATAATACACGGTCTTGTATTCGCTCAACTGTTTTGTATGGACCGCATTGTACCGAAGTTTGATACGGACTTGCGTCGCGGGAACATCCGGATAGGGATAGGATCCTCAAACTGCGTATCATTCAGCAACAGCAATGACCATAGCAACATATAATGCGTGCTAACCATCCACATCGGCAAATCATCGTGGTACAGAGCGATGCTGCGATCCGCGCATATAGACAGAAGTTTGTGGTAATCGGTGGTCGCCGTGCTCAATTGATCGCACGTCACTAGCTTCAGCATTGGCAGCAGACGCACTGCACTCAACAATGATCCCAGCGCCTCGCTGGCACCCCATCCCGGATTGCGGAAACTGAGATGCACAATAGTCCGCGGCAGCTGACTATGGTCCAGTGGCAAAATGGTCGGGATTTGGTACAGCACCAGCTCTCCCAGGTTGGAGCATCTTGAGATGAGCCCGGAGGAACTGAGGTCGAGGCGGCCTACTCGCAATGATCGTAGACGGTGCACGTGTGCGTCCAATGAACTGCATGACGACCGACTGGGAACGTCCCTGAGCTCGAGAATCTGCAGGTTCGGGGCAACGGAGGGCGAGAGGAGCCAGTCGAACGCCCCGAGCGTGGGCATACGAAACATCGATAACTCGTACAGATCGAGTTTGATCTGCAAGGCCCACAACGGCGGGGAACGCACTTCGCATCCTATTCTGAGATGTCTGATCGTGCGCCAAACGCCGAGGAGCTGGTAGAGAACGAGAGACTGGACTCCGCCAGACTGCATGAAGTTGAGTGCGCGGAGCTGACATCCAGATTGCGCCCGAAGCTCGTCCAACGTGTCCCCATCGAATTCGTAAGGGTAGTGTACTCGGAGAGTGAGCTCGTAAAGCTTGGGGAGTGCGCGTAAGAGGGTGATAAGATCGCTGGGCCGCAGGATGGAGGCCTGTGAATCCTGTGACCGGCCAATTGCAATGTCGCATTTGACAACGTATGCGCTCAGTTGCGATAGTCTGATGGTATCGCTTGGCGATTGCAGGGCTTGGAGAAATTGGCGACCTCTGACGGAACGGAACAGCAGCTCCTGAGCGGGGCCTGTCCAAGATTTCGCGACGAGGGCACACGACAAAAGACTTGCCTTGTCAACAGCGTAGAGTTCTCCGTAGTAGATATGCCTCAGGCAAGCAATAATGAGTTCTGTCGGTAGATTCATGGTCTAAGGGGTATTTGGCGTGACCAAACAGAGCTCTGTGACACTCCGCGACGCCAGTGACATGTCGTGATTTGCCCCCCCTCGTGCCCCTGAACGCGTTTCTTTGAGTGGTTCCTGGGGAACGCGTTCAAGCCTTGCTCATCTCGCGAACTTGCGCTCACCGAGCTCTACGTTTACTGTCTACGCTAATCAGGGTCAAGAATGGCTAGTCTGGATAAGCTTGCCATCAGAGGCATACGCTCGTTCGACGACAAGCACATTGCGGTCATCCAGTTCTTCCCCGTCACTGTCATCGTCGGCGCTAACGGCTCGGGCAAGACAACGATCATCGAGTGCCTCAAATATGCCACCACCGGCGACCAGCCTCCGAACACACGCGGAGGTGCCTTCATCCATGATCCCAAGATGGCGAACGAGAAGGAGGTGAAGGCGCAGGTGAAGCTGCGGTTCAACGCAGCCAACGGCGTCAAGATGCTAGCCGTGAGGAATCTGTCAGTCACAATGAAGAAGACGGGCGGTATGACCATGAAGACCTTGGAAAGTCTGCTGGGGTTGGCTGAGGCTAATCCGGAGAATGGGAAGGTACGTCCGCTGGCCTGTGCGATGAACTGAACTGAACGACCGAACTCATGACTTGTAGCGAGGTGTTATATCTACTAAATGCGCCGAGATGGACGTCGAGATCCCTCATCTACTCGGTGTTAGTAAGGCGGTCCTTGAGAATGTCATTTTCTGTCATCAAGAGGACTCTTACTGGCCTCTTGCCGAGGCAGCAACTCTGAAGAAGAAGTTTGACGATATCTTCGAGGCGACAAGGTGGCTGACGACGAACAATACTCAGCAGGATGAAAACTGACGTCCCTTGCAGATATACGAAGGCCCTGCAAGCAATCAAGGATCTCAGGAAGGAGCGCGCTGCTGAGCTGAAGACTGACAAAGAACGTCTTGAATCGCTCTCGCGAGAGAAAGGACATGCAGACAAACTTAAGGGTAGGATATCGGACTTGAGTGCTGCTATCGCGGGCAAGGAGATCGAATACGAAGAAACACAAGCGGAGTACGAGCGGCTGGTCATCATCAACAAGAAGTTCCACGATCAAGCTCACCAGTTCAAGGAGATGTACATGAAGATACAAGGCGCGCAAGAACGCAGAAAACGGTACCACGAGGAACTTGCTGCCGCCAAGGAGAATCTGCAGGAGATCGAAGGTCGGCAACTGTCCGTGAATGGTTGACTTCCGTCATTGCTAAGGCATCGCCAGGCACCGATCAGGAGTTGGAGGACCGTTTGGCCAACTTCGGAACGCATATACAGCAACAGAAGAATAAACGCAGGCAGGAGGAGAACAAACGTCAGGACGTCGACGAGGAGGTTGTAGCCATGCGTCGAAAACATGTTGCTTTGATATCAGAGCTGGGAGAGCTTAGGAATCAGGAAAAAGTCTGTAGCGTAATAATTGGCTTGGCTTATTACTCACGTCTTCTCACGTCTTCACATAGCTCCAAGAGGATCGTATTGTCGAACGCGACCAGATGATACGAGACATAGCCGCAAAGTACGGCATCAAAGGCTATGATCACTCGCCACTTGAACGAGATAAGGTGCTGGAATTTCTCAGCCGTCTTGGTGACCTGCAACGAAGACAAAATGCGGAAACTGAAAACGTTCAGGTGCGAATATCTGAACATTTGCTCGATAATCGCGTTAACAATGCATTTCCGTAGAACGAGGCACGATTGAAGAGTGAAGAATACAATCGGCGCTCTCGGCAAATGCATGGCGCTTTGGAGGCTCTTAAAGCCCAGAAGAATACGATCCGCACCCAGATTGTACGCCGTGATTCCTGTCAAAGTATAACGGAAGCTTATTTTCCAATAGACCAATCTACAGGCTTCTGTGGCCGCAGCGGAGCGAACCGTCGAAGAATCGCACGACCTCAGTACTGAGCTGAAGACCCTGGAGGCAGACATCGAGGAGAAGAAGGCACGTATCGCAAAGATCGAAGCAGAGATCAAGGCAGCGAATTACGACCGGAAACTGGCGGATCATGCTGCCAAGGCTCGCCAGACGGAAGATCTCAGGGAGCAATTGAACGCTGAGATGACTTCGCTGAGTCGCCAAGCTGACACCCGTGCTCGTCTGGACCTTAAGCGTTCGGAGTTCAAGACGAAATCAACGGAAGTCAAACATTCGTACGTTATCTCTCGATCTTGTGCACGGGATACCTATCGGTTGTCTAGGTTGAGCACCAGCAATCCGAAGTTTCGTAAGCTCGTTGGTAAGGATGCTTTGGCAGACACGATGGAGCGGGATTTAGACAACGTCACGCTGTATGTTGGTCTACGCTGACTAGCTTCAAATGGTCACGATTGATCCTCGGATGCAGGGAAAAGGAGCGCGAGCACACAGAGCTCGAAGCGGAGTCACAGGCAGCGAACAGGGCTCTTCAGCAGGCCGAAAACTTGATATCAAACTTGAAATCACAGATCAAGGCCAAGCGCGATGAAGTGAAAGGTGTGCTCTAGTCTCGACTGATAAAAACGCATTATCCCATAATGTCTCTGCGACACAGACCTCAATAAACGCGTGCGCGAGGCCCTGCGGGACTCTGAGTCCGACTCCATTGCTCAGGGCATCAAGGACGCCAGCGATGAAATTACGTACAGACAAGAGTAAATATCTCCGTCTTGACCATGAGTCCAGATCTTCTGAACCATCTTCTTAGGAGCATCGGTAACTCTGACGGGTTGGGACAAGCCTATGAGAATCTACTGAAGACCGGTTTGGCCAAGAAGACGTGCACTGCCTGCAACCGCGGACTGAATGATAGCGAGCTCAAGATCTTTGAGAAATTCGTATGGGTTTCGTCACAGGCAAAGAAATCAATGCTGAGTATTCGTATAGCTACGGGATAGGATCAAATCGTCCTCGCCAGAGAGTATCGCGACGGTGAAAACAGAGTTGGCCGAGTGGCAAGCTGAACTGGACCGCCTGCGGGAATGCCTTCCCCTCGAAGTATCTAGGGACAAGTTGAAGAACGAAGATATTCCTGCTTTGGAGCAGCAGATCAAAGAACAGGAAAACTTACTGCCAGCTCTGAGCAACACTGCCGAACAGGTGGGCGCTACATGAATCATCTCATGTATTCTTGCCGAACCTCTGTTTCAGGCTCTCGAGCGCCTGAGTGCTGCGAAGACGGAGCTGCGAGAATTATCTTTGCTCAAGCAACAAGCGAACATGATCTCAAGGACTCAGAGGGAATGCGAGCGCCTGAATCGCGAGGTAGCCGAAATTGAGAAAGAGCTTTCGGTCACTGGCTCGACAAAGACTGCTGATGACGTACAAGCAGAACTCGATGAGCTTACTTTATCCATGTGAGGGCACCTTTCATTCGCGTTCAGAAAGATGGCTGACCCGATGCAGGCGCTCTAATGCCCGTGAACAACAAATGCTAGCAACCGAACGCGATAGGCAGCTGAACGCCGAGCGGACTCATGAAAAGGACTTGCACGAGATGGAGAAGCGGGAAGGTGGCCTGCGCAATCAAATACTGCAGATCGAGTCTACGAATCAAAGACTGGAAGGCATGAGGAAAGAGATCGCTGACTTGACGTTGCGAAGCAAGGTGGAGCTACTTGACAATCGAACAGATGACCACGTCCGCTGATGCATGTATTGTCCAGTCTGTGGACTCAGAGATTGCAGATGCGAAAGCGCCGATCGACCAACTCGACCAAGAGTTCAAGGAGCAACAGAGGGAGCTCGACGTCAAGATTGCTCAAGCGCAACAGAAGTCGCAAGAGCTCAACATTATTGTTGACAAACTCAATCGCGTGGGCCGAGACATCGAACGGTATGATTCTCGGACGTCACTACCTTGCTTGCCTATTGAACGACTGTGTGCGTAGCTATGTTCGCGAGAAACACTCCAGGCGACTGCAAGAGGCAGAAGAGCAGATACAGTCCATAGAGTCTGAGATTTCACGGCTTACCCAGGAAAGTGAGAATATTCGCGAAGCCATCGCAGAAATCGACAAGGAGATGAACGAGGGCGGTGCGCGCATCGCGAGTTTGCGCGAGAATCTTCGGGTGCGCAAGCTGGCCCGAGACATCAAGGAGACCGAGCAGGAGATCAAGAGCTACGACATCGAGAGTGCTGCGAAGGCGCAAAGGCAGTTCGAAGACAGGTACAGCACAGAGAAGAAGAGGGAGACAGATATGCAGAACAAGGCTGGTCTTTCCGTATGCAGATTACAGTCCTCGTGACTAATGTCCACTGGTAGGCCGCTCACATCGGCGGAGAATTGAGCTCCAGCAAAGCGCAGCTGAAGACCCTGGAACGCGACTTGAAGGAGTACAAGGACGTCAACAAGAAATACACCGAGCAGCTGATCAAAGTCAAGGTTGGTGATTTCTATGTTTGAGGCATCCGTAAAGGTTCAACCACATGCAGATGTCCGACATGGCAAATAGTGATTTGGAGAAGTACGCTAAGGCTCTCGACAAGTAAGACGTCGATTCATACTTCGTCACTTTTACAGAATAGCTCTGACCTGACGCAGCGCTATCATGAAGTACCATTCACTCAAGATGGAAGAAGTGAACGATATCATGCGTCATCTATGGAACAAGACTTACCAAGGAACCGGTGAATACCCTACCGTCCTTAGATCCTTTATGTCGTACCAACCTGCTCATGCAGATATCGACGGCATCAAGATCCGGTATGATGCAGAAGGCGGCGCCTCGAAACGTTCATACAACTACCGTGTCGTCATGACCAAAGATCAGGTCGAGATGGACATGCGCGGAAGGTGTTCCGCTGGACAGAAGATGCTGGCCTCTATCATCATCCGCTTAGCTCTCAGCGACTCGTTCGGTCAGAACTGCGGGATATTGGCCCTCGACGAACCAACGAATGCTCTCGACACGGAGAACATTGATGCGTTGGCTGCGAGTCTAGTCGAGTACGCATTCTCGTATCCTTCTGCGTTACGGTAGCTAAAGAGCAGTACCAAACCTGTAGCATCATCAACGAACGCAAAACCCAGTCCAATTTCCAGCTGGTCATCATCACCCACGACGAAAACTTCCTGAGGAAGTTGGGTCAAAGCGAAGTCATGGAGCATTATTGGTGAATTGGACTTATCATTCAATATGGACATAATCGTTGAAGCCTCTGCTCAGGCGCGTCTCTAGAGATTCAAGGCAGAAGAGCGTCATCGAGCGGCAACGGTTCCGCTGAACGAACACGCGGTAACTGTGTATATATCACATGGGCTTTGACTGCTATCGTATGCTATCATCTTATCGCATAATGCTATCGTATTTCTTCACTTGATACTTTCATTCCATGTCTCATTTCACGAGCAACATTTCACACGGAGGTATGCTGCTCGTACATAATTAACCCCTTCAAGATATGGATTTCGTCCAATGGCCCTCCTTCGTCGCCTTCTCGCCCAAAGACGGCCAGCAGTTCCTGAGCAATCGCTAGGTAAGCTTGTGCTTGCGCTAGCAGGCTACGTCGATCATCTGGGGAGGCGGGCATGTCGAGGACGGTGCCATTCCACGCTGTCTTGGCAACTTCAAGAGCGTGCATGCCGATCTGCGGGTAATTTCGGGGATACAGCAATAGGTACAACGCGAGGATCGTCTGTCCGGTTTGTAGCGCCGTCGCCAATATGTCGGCGCTCTCGACGTCGTGGGACGCCGTGCTGAATGCCGCGGAAAGCGCAGGTAGGTATGACTCGTGCAAGACGGCCAAGAGGTTAGGCGGAAGGTCATTCAAGGGCGGTACCGTGTCCGGCAAGGATACGTCTGACGTTGCACCAAAGACGAGCCTTCGGAGACCGAAATCTATCAAGGATATATCTTCCTGGGCGGAACGTGGCGGCGGCGGGGGGACAGCGGGTAACGACGCTTGGAGCGTGCACAAGGGGCAACCACAAATGAAGCCGTAGGTGATCTGCGTGATTTGTTGTCGGTTGGCAAGAGGGAGCGCAGGGTCTAGGTAGGGTATGGTGACCTGCGCCACAAAGAGAAAAAAGTGAGAACTCGAAACAGTGCAGGGCACAAGCTACCTCTGTGCCTGCAGCGATATGTGTGAGCGCGATGACCTCCATGCGTGGCACTTGGTGTGGCGTTAGGATGTATCGTGCTGCTGCGTTGGGCGCACATGAATGGTTGAAGCTGAGAAAACCGGCTTCAGGATCGGTCCGTGGCGAGCTTGTCCAGTATTCTAGGACCGTGCTCACCATATGCTCGACATCGGGAAGATCCCATGGGCGAAGCTCGTTAGATGGGAGTGTATGACGAAGTTGTTGTTGCCGAATTTCGAGTGATAATATGTCGCTTTTTGCTGCTCTTCCGTGCTAAAAGGAGGTGGGCATATCGGCGGAGTGGCTGACTCCGGGCCAGGAAGGAGGTCTTCGAACGTGGAAAGGGCTGGTCGGAGGGAATCCTTGCCGTGCTATATCGCGAAGCATCCTTCAGCAAGCGACAGAGCGGTTTATGGAGGCAAAGATATCACTTGTGAGATCGTGCACAGATGCGATAGTAGTACTGCAGTGATCTTCTCGTGTTCGTGCAGTCCTTGGTACGCGGGGGAGGCAATAAAGCTGGATATATGCTTGCATATTCTTTTGTGATGGATTGACCATTGTTGGCTTTGGCCTGATCGCCCTCATTGAGTAATATTCAGACGGCTCAGCCTACTGTGCATACACTGCGTGCTGCAATAATGATAGGCTGCGCATCCGGCGCACCTCTTCAGGTCGGAGGTAAGGCGAAGGCAGTGGTTGCATCGTCGTCCGGCGTCGGATGGAAGGATTGCAGTGGTGAGGGCTTCATCGACGAGGATTACATCCCCTGGTGCAAAGGAACGTGTTGCATGTGCAGCCAGGCGCGCAGTTGAATGCGAACGTAGCTCAAGCCCCGGAGGGATTTGTGCGGACACCATCGACCTCGAGTCAGGCACGGGCGCCTATTCCGACACGCTGTCGACTGCACGAGTGGCGTACGTGCAGCAGCAGCAACCGGCTGTTCCGCTACCGAGACCTCGTCGGCAATCTACCTACCTACCTACCTACCGACCCTCCCAGCCTGTTCACAAATGGATCAACCTCGGCACCCCGCCCACGCGCAGCCGCGAGAACATTAAGGCGACATCCTCAAAGTAACCTCTCTACGTTCAAGATATCTGAAGCTAATGACATGCCTTGTTCAGACTATTGCACCCGAGCCCTGGCTCAGCGGCGTGGACCCGCTCGTCCCTCACTACTCCCGAAGCGGAATTCAATGCAACCATCCGCGTATGTGCGAGCAAAATCCGCTATCAGCAGGATAATCAATGACCTTTGCCGTGCAGGTTACCCAAGCAAACCATACATACACCGGCAGCTACATGTGCTGCCGGAACTCTGGTTGCACAGCGTTGATACACTTCCCCTACCTCGCCGTGCATCGGTCGACGCCTGATGACGGTTTGGAAGCCGAGATCAACAATTACCTATGATGCGAAACATCAAAGCAGTGCCTGCACTACCGACTGTTTCCGATGCGACTTCCTCGCGTCTTTCATATGTTCTCGTTTGGTCAACGTAAGGGACGAGGACCCAGGCCGGTCATGATACCCCTTTGTTCGCAGGCTCATACATATACTTATGGATATTTATATTGCATTCTATTCCCGCAGGGGAAGCGTACCACACCGAGATCAGGCTGGCTCATCAGAGATGGGGTCCAGAATCAGTCCTGCGATACATAAAAGATTCTCTTATTGAGCCCTGGGTCGAAGGGCAAGTCCAAATTCAGTCCTGCAATACATAAAAGATTCTCTTATTGAGCCCTGGGTCAAAGGGCAAGTTCAAGTCCTCCCACCTGGTTTTCTGCCAGCGACAATGACTCCGAGTCGTTCCGGCCTCCTCTGCTTTCTCGCAGGAGCGGCTGCCCTGATTGCTGCAGACCCCTTGAAGATCGTCAATGGATACTCCGGCAACGCCTTTTTTGATGGTACGCCCTTTCCCTCCCGCCATTGCTGACAGCGCGGCGGACACAGAAATACTACTTCTTGCTTGCTTCATGCCTGACAGGTTTTCATTTCAACGCATCTGTCGACGATCCTTGGAATTACGGTAACATTGTGTACTGTGGTATTTTCATGTCCTCATCCACTCGCCTGACATCATCCGTTAGCTATGTTGATGAAGCCACCGCCAAGGATCCGTCAAATCCATTGGCCTATGTTAATTCTGCTGGCAACGTTGTTGTGAAGGTCATAGACTCCAACTATAATACATCGTGCTTGCTCTCCTGACGTGCTTTACATTCACTAGGTGGATAATAAGACTCAGAACAATGGAGATCCCTTTTTCGGCCGGAACACCGTCATGATGATGAGTGACAGCACAATAGGTATCGGGACACTTGTCGTGGTGGACGCTGTGCACATCCCATACGGAGTAATTGCTTTTCCGTGCCTGGTAATGCTTTACTGACATTGGATGGACCAGTGCAGCATCTGGCCGGCATTTTGGACACTTTCCGATGCTGGGGACGTCGGAGGGGAGATCGACATCGTACGTCGCGCTCCGTCTCGAACTAGCATATGACCTGATGGGTCACAGATTGAGACCGTGAACCTGCTGCCTGCGAACCAGTATACCCTTCACACGAATAATGGATGCACACTGTCGGCTTCGTCAGATCTTCCCCATTCCGGGCATACAACACAGACAAATTGCTTCTTTAATGTGCGTGCTGGAGAGTACAACGATCCGGCAAATCAAAACGTTCCCCTCTCAGACTACCGGGAATCCTGGGTGCAGTATCACCGAAACGGCATCATCCACGTCTGTTGGTGCTGCATTTGCTAAGAATGGAGGCGGGGTATATGCGATGTACATGAGCACCAACGGCATCGAGATGTGGTTCTTCCCGGTTCGTACTCTTTCTCACCGCTCAGTACAAGCTGGACTCTCTGATACTGCAATCCGTATTAGCGTGGACAGGTTCCTACTGACCTCTCGACGAACAATCCGGAACCGACATTGTGGGGACAACCCAGCGCGTCGTTCCCGGCTAGTACTTGCAATCCGTCAACATTCTTCCAGCCGCAGCGATTGATCCTTAACACGGGTATGGGCGACATGATGAGTGCTGGGCTTCTCTATATTACTTACAACCAATCTCAGACCTGTGCGGCTCATGGGCTGGTAACGTCATGGACTCCACCGGATGTCCCGGCATCGTTTGCACTACGCTCATAGCGGACGCGAGTAACTTTGACACCGCATACTGGGAGATCTCGTCTGTGAAAACTTTCACTGAAAACGGTCAGATATTTGATGTATATGCTATCCTTATGCTCATCTAGAGTTGGGCCAACCCTCCTCTACTTCGGTTCCGGCATCTTTGGCAACAGGATCAGCGACTCACTCCGTCATAGGATCTTCGCCTCCCGAAGGTACTAGCTCTACTAATGCATCGTCGCGAGTTCGATACTCGCTGAAATTGCTAACGATGGTTCTCACAATGACTGTGGCCATGTCGGTATAAATATATCAGTATGGGAGGAATGTGTGATGTTTCGTCTTCACCATTCTCTTGCTCAACGTACAATGGCTATGGAGAAATCATTCAAGCATGTGTGATTCGTATGTTATGCCAGCTGTTTATCACACGAGAGCTAGGCGTCGAGCTTGCAGTCCGTGCTTTGCTTAGCATTCGTACCATTATCTGCGTGTGAAACGTCTCACATGCGCTCTCGCGACTGACTGAACTCGAAGAAGGCAAAATGTGTATTGTGGATGCCCAAACAGTAAAACACCTGCTCGCCGAATAAGACCCGAGTAAACCATACGATACGAGAGACACGATAAATAAGCGAATAAACGCTTAAGCGGGGCCGTCGAACTGGACAGACGTGCAGTTTTCGCTGCCATCGGGGCAGTGAGGGATGAGGGTCTCAGTCGCACCACCTGGTTCGAGTCAGATTCGAGAAAAAAGTGGCGGAAAGGGGGTGAGCACGTACGGTCTTGGGTGAGCGTCGGGAAAGCGCGTGCGGTGCAGGTGATCTCGAGGTCGGCCGGGCCTTGGGTGGCGGGGAACGACGCGGGGGCAACCGCGACCGTGCTGGCGGCGGGGACGACATCGGAGCAGTCGATGAGCGAGTTGCGGTTGTGGCCGAGGACGGCAAGTTTGGCCATGGCGGATTTGAAGCTGGCTGCCATGAACTCTTGCTGGTTGACAAAGCTTTGCCAGAAGCAGGCCGTGCGCGAATCGCGGGCGAGCGCGAAGTCGGACTGCAGGCGCATCTCGCCGGTGTCGGTGCCAGAGGTCAGCGGGAGGGGCGACGCGACCTCGCCTGTGTTGTTGGGAGAGCCAGGGAAGCCGGTGCCCTTGAGGAGGACCTCAAGGAAGATCTGGGTGTCCATAACGAAAGGCGTCTGAAAAAGACGTCAGCGGATATCCCGGCAAGGATTCTGAATGGTGCTTACGGAGTCGAAGGGCGCGGCGTCGATGGTTTCGTCGACCTTGTCAGCGCGAGCGACGCTGTGCGAGGCGAGGAGCGAAACAACCTCGAAGGGCGAGAAGTTGCCTGCGTCCTGAAACCGGGCTAGAATCTTGTCGACGCTGTCCTGCGGCTCGGGGATGAGGCCGTCGACGGCGGCGATCGTGTGGTTGGGGCGGCCGGCCATGAACTCGAGCTGGGGTGCGCCAGGGCAGTTGGTGAGGGCGACCGCGCCTGCGAACTGAACGAGATCGCCGGCGCTGATCGTAGGGTGCCTGGCGAGGAATGGGATCAGGTTGTTTACAGAGTCGTCGATGCCGTTGTTTGCAGCGAAGTTGGGCTCGACGGTCGGGAACAGGAGCATGGAGCCGTCAGCGCCGCCACCTCTGCGGAGAGTGTCAGTTGGACAGATTAACTCCGGCAGCTTAAAAAACAGCTTACGCTCTGGGACCTTGGCTCTGGCTGATAGCAATGGCGTCGTGGAAGGTTAACCGGATGACCTCGTGAGCTGCGCAGGGTCGGCGTCGGTGAATTGCTCCACGGGGAAGGCAAAGAAAGCATACCATCTTCGCCGCACTCGTTCTGGAAGATGGTCTGTTGAAGATCCTGCGCGAGCGGAATGAACGCGCAGCACGCGCTGTTGGACACGCGAGTGCCGTCAGAGCAGACGGCAGCCTCGCTGGTGGGCGCGGCGCGGGTGACAGCGGCGAGAGCGACGAAGGTGACGAGGGACGCGAAAGCCATTGCTATGCGTTGTGAGCCGGGTAGGTGAGCAAGCGAGTGAAGAACTCGAATGTCCTGAGGGCTATGGAGGCAACATGGTCCAGCTTTTATACCTCGTTGGACGCGCCTCCGCGAGGTAGGCGATTTTTTTTTTTTTTTGGCGTGGACCTACGCGTCTTGGATGTGCAAGCGCCAATGGAGTGCGAACGATATACTGGGTCCCAGGAGTGTGGAGTCGGGTGGGTGGGGACCCAGAACGTTGGTATACCGGACGAGTGTCGGGAACGCTGGCTGCTGCCCACCGGAGTACCACGGGTATGGGCTCGCCGCATCAACCGTACCTTGGGGTAAAGCAGCGTGAACGATACGAGACAGGAGAGGCAGTCGCTCCGGCGAGGAAGGGCGCGATGAGACCCAAGGGCGTGGGCTTGGGTAGGACGGCTCTTGGTGACAGTGTAACGGCACCCACGCATCCGTTGGGCTGGCTAGAAATAAACGTGCAGTACGGATCTCCTCGCGGTTCCGAGGGACACTGACGATAAATCCACGTTATTCGCTTGCTCGTCTGTGTGTAGATCGAGATTGTCCCTGAGCCGCGAAAGATCGACGTTTGGACGGGGTTCCCCTTAGTCGTCCGGGGTTCGGAAGCATTTTCGTCGCGAAGACGAAGCCAACGTCCCTCGAGGGCTCTATTCGCGGGGAAGAAGGCCATGCGGTGCACTCGAGCATCTCGACGCCGAACACGAATAGTAGGTTCAGCATGACTCCTCAACCATAGCCGTCAAACACTTTCCACGCGCAGAAAATTGAGCGTCCAGTGAGGAGCTTTGCGTTCCATATTCTGCACGCGAGTTGAAGCTGAAACGCGTATTTCTGTCCATTGGAGGGTATTAATAGAGGGAGGAAGGCAGAAGAAGAGCACAGACTCAATGCGTCGTGAACGGCCTCCCACGTGTCCTGGGTACGATACGTTGGCTTGGGTCGGCCGGTTGAGAAAATTGCTCATCTCAAAGCCGATATACTGACAAAGCAATCGAATGCTGTAGGTGAGATGAACATGTTCCGCAGCTTTGACAAGGGGGTGAGCCATGATACGTGCGCGCAATGGATAAACCGACGCCGGAGTGAGATTTAACGCATAAAGTGAGAAATGACTGAGAGCTTTCGATCCGATATAGTCTGGGGGCGAGAGCGTCAGATCGTTAATAGGCGCTTGGAAAAGTATTGTCTCGATCAGGGGTTCCCGGACATGATGCTTGTGGAGAATTTTGTTCCTCGAAAGAGTTGTCGATTTACGACAACTCGTGCCGCACGTGGAGTACTGGGTAGAGGGCATGCACTCCCCCTCTTCCGGAAACAACGCTGCAGAAACTCGTTCGACGGATGCCTATACGAGGAGTCGCCATCGCAGTTGCGTTCGATGGTTCGCTCTCATCTTGCGAACATGCAGTTGCCACATATCACGAGCCTCGCTACTTGCTTGTCTCGGAAGACGGTCCTGTAAGTCCTTCGGCATGGTATGCTGTATCCACGCGCGTGCTCGAGGTGAATCTCCCTGTACGTCCTCATTTCCGGCGTCGCATGGCTGATGATGGTCACCACCGATGCACGTTGCCCCGAGACTCAGGCTCTGCTGCCCCGGTTCAGGACACGGAATATCCGCAGCGTTGTGGACAACCCCCGATGAAAGTTTGCTTTTCTGGGAGGCAAGATGACCGACGGCATGCTGATCGCAGGCAGGGTACGATATCGCCGCCGAGGAGAAGGAAGAGGGCTGACGATTGGCCCCAAAAAGGCAATCAGGGAGGCATGGAGGGGCCACAGCCACTGGCCAGGACTTCGCTGGCTGCCGTCACCGGGTTCGGAGATGTCGATGCGCATGGTCCGCCTGCGTCCCAAGGCAAGGCTCGCCCTCGGGCTGGGCACCGCGCTCACCTTCACCCTCGGTCTTGCAGCCTGGCCTGGATCAGGCCTCCTCCGCCCCCGCCTCACCTCCTTCCAGTCCTGGCTCAGAACCCAACACTACCTCCCCATACACACCTCATCCTCGTCTTCCGCATCCTTGCCGCCGCTGACCCCGATCATGGCCGGACTGAAAGCACCGTACCCGCCGCCCAGGTGGACGCACACGCCGGAGCTGCTCACCAAGGAGGTTCAGGCGCTCATCGACCAAGACAAGGAGATCTCAGACAGGATCGCAGCCTTGCCGGCCAAGGACTGCAACTTCACATCCGTTTTCGTGAGTACGGCAGCCATATTATCTACTCTATGCTCACTGTGTACACATGCCAGCTCGCCCTTGCCAAGTCCGAGGCCACGTTTTCTTCCGTTAGCGAACCCCTCTCCTTTTACCAGAACGTTTCCCCGCAGAAGCCCCTTCGCGACGCCTCCAATGACGCGGACGTGGTCATATCCGCGTATGGCGTCGAAAACTCTATGCGCAAGGATCTGTTCGACGCCAAGGTTGCGGCAAAAGAAAACATGGACCGAACCGGCGAGTACGACAAATTGGATGGCGAGCAGAAGCGTCTCGTGGACAAAATGCTGCAAGAGGGTCGGAGGGCCGGCCTCGCCTTGCCGGAGAAGGAACGCCAGCAGCTGTCTGATCTAAAGAAGGAGCTGAGCGCCGTGTGTCTCGAGTTCAGCGTGAGTCGACCTCTGCTCGCTGCACGCACACGAGCTATCATTGATCTTTCGGAATGCTTTTTAGAAAAACTTCAATGAAGAAGACGTGAGTATCTGCATCCTGCCCGCCTGACCGTTTCGCTAAATATATGCGCAGGGCGTTGTCACCTTCACCCTTTCCGAGCTTGAGGGCGTGCCGGCTGACGTCGTCTCGGGTTACACCAAACGCACCACGGAGACCGGCGACGTCTATGACGTGCCGTTCAAGACCACGGACATCTTTCCCGTCCTCAAGTACGCCATCGATCCTACTACTCGGCGGCGCGCCCACGAAGCCTACGAGGCTCGGCTGGCCGTCAACGCCCCGCTCCTTGCGAAGGCGCTGGACATTCGCCGGCAAATCGCAGCTTTACTCGGGTACCCGACCTGGGCGGACTACGTGACGGAGGAGAAGATGGTCGGCAACGCCGCGAACGCGATGGCGTTCCTGGAGGACCTCGAGCGCAAGCTGCGCCCCGTCGGCGAAGCAGACCGCGCAGCCCTGCTCGAGCTGAAAAAGGAGGAGCACGCGCGTCGCGGCCTGCCGTTCGACGGCGAGTTGTATATCTGGGACTATCGGTACTACGACAGGCTGTTTGTGGAGCGTACCCTTGCGCTCGACGATGCCGAGGTGAAGGAGTACTTTGAAGTGGAGAGGGTCGTGCCCACAATCCTGGAAGTGTATCAGCGCTTGCTCGGGGTCAGGTTTGTGGAGATCCAAGATGGAAACGAGATGTGGCACAAGGACGTGCAGGGCTTTGAGGTCTGGAATGCCGACGCTAAGGATGCCAGCGGGTTCGTGGGTTACTGTTATCTGGACCTGTTCCCGAGGCGTACGTTCTCCCACAGCTTCAGACGCCTATTTCTGATTGTCGTGGACCTACAGCCTCGAAATATGGTCATGCCGCAGTGTGGGGAATGCTGCTGTCGGCCGAAAACGAGCGGGGGGAGAGTGTCCCCATACCGTTGACCTGCATGGTTGCCAACCTCGCCAAGCCGACGCCTGACAGACCTGCGCTCATGCGGCACGACGACGTCGTTACTTTCTTCCACGAGATGGGTGCGTGCCCGGTCGTCCTCATTCAAATTTTCAAGGACCGGACTCACACAGACTTATATCAGGCCATGTCTTCCACGGTCTGCTCTCCAAGACGAAATACGCTCGCTTCCACGGCACGTCCGTCGCACGCGATTTTGTGGAGGCACCGTCGCAGATGCTCGAGAATTGGTGCTGGGAGCCGAAGGTGCTCAAGCAAATGTCGAGGCACTACAAGACAGGCGAGCCGCTCTCAGACGAGCTGATAAAGAAGATTGTCGACAGCCGATACGTCAACGTCGGCTTGTTCTACCTGCGTCAGCTCTTTTTCGCCAAGTTTGACATGAAGGTGCATATGGACAGTGGTACGTTTTCCCGTTTGCATCAATTTAGATCATGACAGCTGCTCATGCGGCCCTTCGTCAGAACCGAATGACTATACGCAGCTTTGGAACAGCATGCGTGAGCAGATCTCGCTCGTCAAGGGCGGTGAACCGCAGCCCGGTCAAGGCACCTTCGGACACATTACGGGCGGCTACGATGCTGGGTACTATGGTTACACGTACTCGCTCGTGTTCGCAGCGGATATGTATAAGACCGTCTTCGAGGCCGATCCGCTCGATCCCAAGCGCGGCCAGCATTATCGCGAGAGCATATTACTCCCCGGCGGCAGCCGCGACGAGATGCAGTCGTTAGAGGTGAGTCGGGCTCGTGATTTATCTCAGCCTCTTGCTCAGTGTCGGTCATGGCTGATGTTCGCTGGTGTAGGCTTTCCTTGGCCGCAAGCCGAACTCCGAGGCGTTCTTGGAGGCGTTGTTCGGGAGCGGAAAAACTGGAGGATCGGCCGCGGTGTCGAATGCTAATTTGTAGAACTGTTGTCTTTGTCATTCACTGCATTGCTCTGCCGGAAACCTGTACCATAGGCACTCATACTTACACACCCTGCATGAACGAGTTATAAGAAGCGAGTGTGGGAACGAGGAGGCTATTTATATCCAACTCCCGCCCAACACCCCAGATGGTACCGGTACATGCCTGCTTGATATTAGCGGCCTCCTCCCGATCCTCTTGGCAATATCTCGGAAGAATGGCCTGGCCTTCCCGACCTCATGGAGCACGGCTTGAACACGACCGCATTGTCCATTTGCACAAACATAACAGGCACCAGTCGTTCGAATTCGAGTCGTGGAGATCCACGCATAATATCTTTCACACCTTGCACGGCGAGAGGCGTCTCTTCCATAACCGCTTTCTTGCACAAGATGTTCCAGGATATATAGCTGGAAATTCTTTTCCATATGGCGTCTGATCGATGATCACCCAACGGTGATGCCCCTCGTTTTCCGAGCCAGCCTTACACCGACGTCACGGTCGGTGGTTCAGATGCCCCTTCATTGTCCCGTTTATGGCTGATCATCAAGCACGCTGTCCAGAATCCTTGGCTTTCCAGGTGCTTTGGAGGGTGGGGGCAGGATTGCATCGTCACTCCGGAGGCTGGAATTCTGCCTCTTTTGCAGGATATGATGCTCGCCTCGCTTCATGCTCATCATCGAGCCTGGGCGGTGGTCGTTGATTGCTTTCCACGCAAATAGTACATAAAGCAAGATGATTTCACGCGATGTTTCAAGGCCTTTTCAGTACTTCCCCGCCGACCACCCGAGCACTCCGGAGGACGATGTTGCCACTATTCAGGGTTCCGGCTGTTACAGCCATCCTTGCTGCCGCCACTTTGACCCATGCCCTCGAGGATCGGTCTTTCCTGCATCCGACGTGTGCCTCGATTGCCGCCGTGGTGTCGTCTGCTTCGGAGGTTTTCTACTGGGGCAAGTCATCGGATACAGCGAACATTTGGAAATGTTGACAGCTGAAAATCTTGCAGGAGAGTTGCAGTACTTCAACGACGTCTCGCATGCTATTGGGTCAAGTTCTGATACGTCGATATGCTCGGTCGAGCCTGGAACAGCGAAAGACGTTGGCATAATAGTATGCTTTTGTTCTGGGGTAGGGCGTTTCATTTTGGCTAATGCACGTTCTTAACTTGGTATTCTAGCTGATACCAACACCGCGTTCGCTGTATGTGTCGCACTCTTCGCCGCGAACAAACATCCCCTTATACTATCAACAGGTCAAGGGCGGGGGACGCGCATATAACCAGAATTTCTCGTCTACGACTGGTGTTCAGATATCATTGGCGCGATTGAATGACATCGTATACGACGCGCATACATCGATTGCTGTGGGTGGCGCCGGACTGATTTGGGACGATGTTTATGCGGCACTTGAAGCACAAGGCGTCCAAGCTGTGGGCGGACGTATTCCTGGCGTTGGAGTGGCAGGGTTCGCCCTTGGCGGAGGTACGGAAAGGTCTGGACCGATTTTCCCAGTGCGACTTATTCTGTATGCAGGTTACTCTTGGTTCACAAATCAGAGGGGGTTGACGCTCGACAATATCGCCTCGCTCGAGGTCGTTTTGGAATGGAGATGTGATCAACGTCACGGAATCGTCGAATCCGAATATGTGGTTTGGAATTCGGGTCGGTAGTCGCTCAGACTGAATCCATATGTTATCGAAGACTTACATTCTACCCCTTCAGGGAGGACGGAACAACTTCGTATGTTATCCACAAAGTTGCCGTCAGAATGCTCGTGACACGTTTTCAACTAAAGACGCATACTCAAGGTGAAATTTGGGTTCGTCGTATAAGAGATGGAATTTGCGTATGGCGCTCATGCGCGTGATTGCAGGGAGGACTCCTGCTTCACTCCGCATTAACTGCCGACCAATTGACGGCAGCCGCCACCAAGTTCCTCTCCGTTGACGATCCAAAGGCAGGACTTCTATTCACCTACTACTGGGTTGCCGGAAGCGTATGTACTCGTTGTCCAGGGAAGGCGTCGTTTCTGTCGGGCTGATACGATATTGTCCAGCTTGTAACGATATCGCAACCTTTCTATGACGGGCCTGCCCCTCCAGTCGGCCTTTTTGACGATTTCCTCGCTGTTCCCGCAGTGTCGTCAGACGTGAAGACTAGGAGCTTCACTTCATTAGTTGCTGTCATGGACCTGTATCCACTACATCAAGAGGGCGTTATCACACGGTGCCCGTGCTGAAGTATAACCAAGACTTTCTCAAGGCTACGAAGAACGAGACACCGGTGAGCGTACATGCGCGGATGTCCAGTTATCGGCCGTATTGACCATCATGTCTGCAGTTCTGGGGCCCTCGGCTTAGCCTTTACGATCCAACAGCCTCTCTCTTCTGGGCTGCAGAACCGTTCCTACCCTCTATCCGCTCCCATGGATCTGACTCGGCTTACCCCGCGTCACGCGATTTCGCTCTCCTCCCTACTGCAATCTCGTTCACCTACACCTTGTCCACCGCCGACTCCGCCATGCAAGACGCGGTACTGCTGACGTCCGCAGCTCTCCAGCGGAAAGCGCCGGATCTCGGGTTGGCGCTCAGGACGACGTCGTCGTATACGGAAACTACGCGAACGCGGACACGTCGGTGAAGAGCATCTGGGGTTCCAATTTAGGCAGGTTGATGGCCATCAAGAAGCAGTGGGATCCAACCAATGTCATGGATGGCCCTAATAACCGGGGGGTGGAAAGTGCCGTCCTGAATCGTAAAGTGCAGGTACCATCATGCACTGTCATGTCGCCATATTCGTTGGCACTGATACACGGGAACGTCTCAGACTCTCAACTCGATTGTCGTGGACTCCTCACATAGAGGCTGCAATGTATGAGTATAGACGTACCTGGACTTGTATCTTCGCGCAAGGAACCAGTCCTGTAACAATACCGACCGTAGCAGCAACGGATCAGGCTATCATCCGTACATCTCGTTGGGGTGAGGTTTTGAGAGGATGGCCTGTGTCATCGACGTAGACTCGGATTTCCCGTCAACGCGGGGTGCACAGCCGCCCCTGACGATCATCCACAGTCGCCACCGCGAGGCCATGCTTCCACCCTCACGCTTCGCCTTCGCCTGCTGCCCAGCTGCGTTGACTTGGAGCCCGCAGGCGTGAGCAAGATGTCTCGCAACCCGGTTTCCCTGAAGCAGAGGCTGTCTGCGCTGGCCATGTCGAGTTCCTCTCCCTCCGCTCCCCCAGGCGAATATCAGCCTCAGTCACCCCGACGGGCGCTCTTCAATGCTCCGTGGCTGCGCCGGAGCAATGCGACACCGGCGTCCAGTTATGTCGACCACGAGCAGCTACAAGTTGTCATGGCTAGGATGATCTACCAGGCTGGAGTGGACTTCGAGGTGTGTTCATTGACGCCCCTGTGTCTCGGCTAGCGCTAACGTGCGAGGAGACGAGACCAATGTAGAACTCAGCCCTCTCTGCTCTCTCCAAATACTCATGCCGTACAAAAGGGTTGTCATCAACGCGTCGGCGCTTCCGGACCCTCGAGAAGTGTCCTACGATCTCCTCCTTTCGTGAGTATCCTCCAATTTGAGAAAACAGTGCCAATTCATTCGTTACTATGCTTCCTTCCAGTCGTATTCTTGCGTATCTTAATCTTTATGGTTTGTCTCCGAGGCACATCATAGCTATCAGCTAATCTGGCTATCTCCCAGTCGAATCGGATTACACTGTCGTTTTCTTTGCTGCTGGAGGCAGGCATACCCCGGGATGGAACTGGGTCTGGAAGGCGTATCGGAGCCTGAGTCGGAAGTACCGGAAGAACCTGAAAAGTCTAGTGGGTGATCGGCAATATATGCTGTGGAAGCAACTGACGCACACTGCAGTATATCGTGCACTCAAACTTCTTTACTAAAAGTGACCTCCGCTCTTTTCGATTATCTGATACATCCTGACCTCCCGCAGTGCTCTTCTCACTAGCTGGGGCTATCATTAGGTCTGCATATACTCGGTCTATTTGTACGGATGCTGACTGCCTTCCCAGCCCCAAGTTTTTCCGCAAGATATGCTACATCAACACCTTATCGGAGCTTGCTTGTCATGTTCCTCTCACTCAGATTGATATACCACCGGCTGTATATCAGTGTGTAGCTCTCCTCAACTCCGTACGGCGCCCCGCTGATTGTCGACCGTTCATGCTTTAGGGAGAATATCAGATTTGAGAAGGAAATCAGGCTGCCGATTGTCACGAGAGCCGACCTATTTGGCGTACCTCTTGAAGAGCTCATGGGATATGACGGCGAGAAGGGCGGCTTGCCCCGGGTTGTGAGGGATGCGATACACTTCCTGCGGGAGACAGGTGAGCGGCAGTACCTGCGCCGCTCAGGGAGGTATGCTAAGTCCCTGTCAGGGATGGAGGAAGAGGGACTTTTCAGGCGATCTCCCAACTCCGTCCTCCTGAGACAAGTCAAAGAGGCCTACGATCGAGGTCAGCGATTCCGATCGTGCTTGAGGCGCACAGAGAACTGATAGTTACACATCAGGACATGTTGTTTCCCTCGAGAGTTTTAACGACCCACACCTCGCCGCCGTCCTCATCAAGAAATATCTCCGTGACCTTCCAGACCCTATCTTCCCGGAAAGCTTATACTCAACCATTCGTCGCTGTCCTCCGCCGAGCAATGACCCTACTGATGTTATCGCTATTCAATATGTTCGCGAGACGCTGTTCCCGCAGTTACCTCCTTGCGCATATATCCTCCTCAGCAACGTCCTGCGTGAGTATTCCATTCCGACTCAAACTCGAAACTTCCGATGCTCATGCTCTGGACATGCAGATCTGATGCACGAAGTGTCCCTCCGCTCAGCCTCAAATCGAATGGACGCATACAACCTTGCCGTCGTACTCTGTCCGAACCTCGTCAAGGGGTCGAGTCCTCTACGCGACGTACAATTGTGCGCCATCCCTGGTGCACCGAATATAGGTGGCGCCCCGTCTACGCCCGATACCCCAAATGCAGCCGCCCTTACTGAGGGCAAGACTACTCTCGGCGCCATCGTCAAGCTCTGCATCCAACGGTACTTCGAGGTGTTCGATGAGGTGTGGGACAGGACGGAAGCGGTGCCCGTTTTCAAGCGTCCCCAAGCCGAGGCAGCAGAGGAGAGCGGTCTTTCCTCGAGCTCATCGTCAGCATCTGGAGTGGCGGACACGAGCGGCACGTTCTACCACGATGATGAGGAAGACCTGGACGACGCGATGCTCGTCATGCCCATCGGTCCTGGGAACCACGCGGACGGCGGCGGCACATACAAATATCGGCATAGGACAACACGATCCCGTGGCGACTCTGTCGCGCGATCGATGTATACGACCGGAAACGGTACGATATCTGCGACGCCGACCGTGGGTAAGGCCCGCTCAACCATCAGCATCGAGAAGGGCAGCAGACATATGACGGGGAAGAAGGGTTCGATCTCTATCGGCCGCGGGACAACGCGAGGCAAAAGTTCCGCCAGCGGCGTGGAGGCTACGGGCATCACCGCTGCAGGTTTCTTCACGCCGCCCAGCTCGGCGCCGCCAGTACCTAATCTACCCCGGCCTAGAGGAGACCGCCTGAATGGGAAAGATTGAAAACCGGTAGTAGTGCTTGTTTGTCACATATCGCGCTCCTCTCATTGCTTTAGCCTTCGGTGCTGTGATATTCGTTCATAATTGTTTGCAGATTTCAGGGTGTGGATCATGCTTATACTCGCTTGCTACATACATGCTGCTTTGGATCATACCCCTCATTACATCGGGACTGTTGGAGATTGTGGGCCACTACGCGTTGTGGAAAGCTGGCCATTCGACGCTACTTATGGTCAAAGTAGAACATATTCATACAAAGATTAGAACGGAAAGCAGGTCAGTATTGAAGGGTGAACAAGCCGGCCAACACCAGCCACGTCAGTCCAGGCGCTTGCAGCGAGCCTAATGTACCGGAGGACGAGGTGGACGGAGACGCGGACGCTGAGGTGCTAGATGCGGGGGTAGAGCTCAGTACGGGAGAGGTGAAGGTGGGCAGGATACCGGAAGTGATCGAGCTGGTCAAAGTAACAGAGCCGAGCGATGTCGTTGTAGCGGGCGAAGTAGCGAAACTGGAAGACGTGCTGGTAGAACTAACGACCGGAGACGTGAAGGTGGGAATGATCCCCGACCCGCCCGAGCTCGTAAGCAACAGAGAGGTAGAGCTCGATGCCGGAGCTAGAGACGTGATCAGAGGCAAAGTCGCGTAAGCTCAATATTGGGTCGCTCACTCGAGGTCAAGATCGGGGTCTCGGAGGTACTGGAGGTGAGAGTTGGCGTGAACGCAGGGGACGACGTGCCAGTTGTCGTTACGTCGCTGCTGTTCCTGATAACAAAACGGGCGGACTCTCCGGATACTGTCCATTGCATTATGTTAGCTGCCCAGTGTTGGTGCGGAGGACAAGAGAAACGCACATGCGACGGCGTGATCATCCTGAGATGCGTCTAATTGCCCGAAGCCTTCACTGTTGGCCGACACGATAGCCGCTGCCCCAAATGCAAGTAAGTTGATGTGAATGAACAGCGCGGCAAGCTGGATCGAGCGACAGATCGACCACATGCTGAATGTCTCATTCGAGGTAGGCGGCGTCGATGTTGTATGGCCTGCTGTTTTAAATTCCAAAGAATGCACCGCGTGAGCGAAGCACTTCGGTGGAGATTGGAGTCAAGCACTTGATATTGATTTTACGTCATGGACCACGAATACATATCTCCATCGAGAGCAGCTGATGATCCTTCTGTGGAAACGCGTCGCAGCCAGATGGCCCAGACCAGATTAATCGGCAAAGCAAAGAAAGACGGAAAAGCTCTGGTTCGAACTAAGGTAGCGCCCACACGTAACCAAGGTCTCGATCCGAACGGCGAACGGTCCACATCTATATATCTCCAAGGGGCAACACATTGACCAGTCTTCAAGAGTTCATATTCAGAGATAGCCAACGACAGTGATTGCGGTAAGCAATGCGTTGGGAAACTTTTCGTGTATGTGAGAGCTGGAGTTGAGCCACTCGTTTATTCAAGTCCAGTGGGTTAATCCGATCAAGACGGAGAACGCGTCGATCACGTGCAAAGTCACGGGCGCACTGGTTCGCGTACGTGAACGCTACTTGTGCATGCACGGTGTTGTGAGATCTTCTATCCATTAACACACGACGCATGCACCTCTGCTATCCACGCTATCTTGCATAAGCAGTATTGGATCTAACCGCTCATTCTATCGTATTATCGAAGAATATCGACTACAACCGTGCACTATGCCTAGCGATTACCAGCCTGCTTTCCCTGTCAGAGTAGGAAACTGGTGGCTACTGGATAAACTCGGATCGGGATTTTCTGGTAAGATGTGTTACCTTCTTGCACGCTTCCATTTCTCACTCATTCTAGGTTCTATTTTCCGTGCACGGCACGTTCATAAGGACGAGATCGCTGCAGTCAAGCTCCAGCTCGTGGACGAATCATGTCCGACGAATCGCTACGAAAAAGGCTTCTATCCCTTCTTGCAAGGCGGGAAGGGTATGCCTACATTATGGGAGGCAGGCCAGGAAGGGCCATGGGACTATGTCAGTCTCTTTTCTATGTGTTGCAAGGCTGCAATCCAATGTCGTTGCGCATAGCTTGTCATGGATCTTTTAGGCCCGTCCCTTGACTCACTGTACAGGAAATCCGGGAAACAGACTATGGATCTCCGTACCGTGTGTTGCATAGCAATGCAAGTTGTGAGTCGTCAGTAGGGACGGCTGGTACCGCTCCTGACGATTACAGATTCAACGGCTTGAAACCATGCATACGCGAGGGATTCTCCATCGAGACATACAGCTGGGGAATTGTGTAACTGGACTTGGCGATAATGCGCACACCATCTATATGATCGATTTCGGTTTCTCAAAGAAGTACATCGATGAGTGCCGGCGGCACATACCCGATAGCCGAAAAAAGCGCGACTTCATTGGCAATTACTGGTTCTCTTCTGTTCGCGTTCACTGTAGAGGAAGAGGTTAGTTTCTCCTTGGATAAGGGTGCTATGCCGATGATAACATTGCCTTAGTACCCTCACGCCGGGACGACCTTGAGGCTGCCGCTCTGATGTTTATTCATCTCTTAACTCCCCGAGGCCTCCCATGGACACGGAACGGCGTTCCGCGAACAGATACAGAGCATGAACGGCTTAAAGCCATGAAGCGGAACGCGACGCCCGAGGAACTCTGCAAGAACATACCTGTCGAGTTCGAGGAATTCTTGCATTACTCCAGGCAACTGCAGTTCGCAGAGCAGCCGGACTATGGGCGATGGCGTGAGGAGTTCCGCCAGCTCGCCTTGGACAATGGATTCCCAGATACGGATGACTTCATCTGGCCTCCACCCGAACCTTCACCACCTCCCGAGGCATCGGTACGCTTTCATTCTTTTCCAAGCTTACCTCCTCCACTGACTTTTGTGTTCCTGTAGACATCCTCAATTCCTGTTCCCGTGCAACAGCAGCCCGTGGACGTGCATGGCCTGCTCGTAGAACTCGCACAACTGCGGATCGACGACAGGTTGGTTCTCGGCGAGAAGAAGATCGCGCCCAACGTTCAGGAAGCAGTGGATCGAGCGAAGGACGAAATCAAGAAACCGTCTAAAGACAGCTCGGAGAACATCATCACCAGCGGAGACTCGTCGGATAATGACAAGGTCTTGGATCGGCCCCAGGATCCCATTCGCTTACCCAAAGCGGCGCAGCTGAGGAAGATCGCTGTCGATATCACGAAGACCGTGGATAACCATGCCATGTCCAAGATCGTTATCGACTACGTTCGGGTGCTGAAAGCCGCTAACAGCTCTCGCACCCTCACCAAGGACGGATTCGCCGTGCTCGACGCGTTATACAAGCAACTCGCGGACCCTTCGGTATACGTCCTGCCGCACACACCCATGCGTACCTCGCGGACTCGGCAAGGTAGCCAGAACGACGAAAACAGCGGGCAGTCGAACGGCAGAACGGCGGAGGTACTGCTGCACAGGCAGAAGATGAACAAGCTGGCGGAGCTGAGGCGGAGCGTGGCTCGGGCTCAGACCAATCGAGAACTCGCGCAACTGATCCAAGAGTTCGGTGCCTTGACGAACCGTGCGAGCGGCAGGACGGTGACAAAGGACGGGTTCACTTTCCTAGAAGGAATTGCGGAACGCTTGAAAACATTGGACTCTTGACAACGCATATTACTCCATCACATCATCATCATTACCCTTGCGTCTTTTTGTGTGCTACATCACATAGTATATATCAAGCATCTGTTACTGCATTCCGACATAGTGTTATGTTAGACTATCGATTCCGGTTTCCAATCGCACGCCGTCAATCGGTATCAATGCGCTTCCTAATCTCTAGTACGTACTTAGCCACGGACAGCAGTGCTACATAACTTAAGATGTCGATATGTCGCTGGCAGATGAAGGCGAACAACCTCCGCATTGATCACACGCTGATCGTAAGCCCGGATCCCCGCACAATTAAGCCATGAAGTAATCGACCGACATATCAGTAGTGATCCCTACTGATCGCGCGTTCGCCCACGCCGTCTGCGATCTACTGCACCTGTTCGCCTTCGCCGTGCTGAGCCGCCTTCTGAACCTCGTGTTGCCATCGCTGGGCAAACTCTTCGATGTCCGCGCCGCTGCTGAGGCTTAAGGCTTCGAACGGGATCATGTTGTGCTGGTGAGCCGGGGCGTTGCGGATGGCAGCTGGGTGAGAGCGTGAATCAATGACGCGGAGCTGTGGGACGGTCTCTTGGGGGGAGGAATATAGGGCCAGCAGTTCTTCGTAAGTGAAGAGCAACGAGTCCGTCCGAGGTGCGTAGGGGTTGAAATCAATCACATGTGCTCGTTCCAGATTGCGCGTCAGGAGGATATCAAAGGTGTCTATATGCAGAGGAATCCTAGTCATCAGGTACTTGCGCAATCTCAACCCATAGAGCACGTACAGTTCCCGACTTTTTCCCAGTGTTCCTGAACATGCGTTACCCAGTACTGCTTGACTGTCGACAAAACCTTCTGCTGGGTCGCCACTTCGTTCAAAAAGTCGTAGTAGTTGTTATCCCGTTGGGAAACACCTGGCTTGAGATTAGCGGGTACATCCGACTGATCACATTCATTCTCACCCAGGAGGATGTTGTCTCGTATGAAGCAACGTAATTCCCTGCTTCTATCTACTGGATACCACTTCCTCAGCACGAGCTCGATCTCATAATCGGAGCCCGTGGTGTCGGGACAGCCCGCGAAAACAGATACAGGATCGAGATCATGAGAGACGAAGTCCGAGGATTTCAATAGCAAGTAGACTTCGGAAGGGCTTGTGCACTTCAATGGGGAAGACGCGGGCAAGATCCACGATGCATCCTGTGAGAGACAGCTATGTTAAGCACCAGATAAAAAGAATGGCGTTCGTACCCTAGGCGAGGAGAAGTTGAGTTTGGGAAAGACAGCGCCGAACTGTGCGACGGCCTGGCGTATGCCTGCGTCCAACTCTGGGAACGCATAGCGTGGACTCTGATCATCGGAGGTTGCCGAACCGTCATTGCTGCCGCCGGCGCTCGAGTCAGTGTCTGAGAGGGTGCTCTCTGCCGGCCTGAAGTCAGGCTCGCAATCGACGGTTTATTGACAGATTGGCGAGGTTACGGACACGTCCTCTGACCCCTCTGGCACGAACACACTGTCCTCGTTGAGATATTGACGGAACTCGCGAGGCAGTGGGCGAATAATGATCGATCTGATGGTGAGATGGGAAAAGGCGGGGTACCAGGATGAGAACTGGAAAGCGAGGACATGCTCCGCGAGCAGCGACGGGAATAAAGCTAGCTGTCGCGTAGAAGTGGGCATTGTCAAAGCCTGTTCGGGACCGATGTAAATATTGTCGTCTTATCGAATTTGATGTCGGGTACGAATATCGTGTCGGGAGCAGGGCAAGGTTGCTGAAGGAGGCTGTAGGTCGCCGCCGGAGGGGCCAAGCCGGCTGCTTGCCGGTCCGAGAGGTGGCGTGGACATGCAGTGCTTGTGATCTTCCCAGTGAAAGTCGATCTCGGAAGATGTACTGTGATCTTCACCTGGATTATTCACCCTCACGACTGGCCTTGTGGACAGACATGCGAATATGGCGGACATGTACACGGAGGATATAACCAGGACTCTCCTCCGACCATCTTCACTGTTCCGCCACGGGTCCCCCCCCCAGACCTCCTTATATGACCTGAAGTGTGTTTATGTCGGAAGTCACCCTCGCCAAAGATGTCTGGGTCATACGGCTTTGCCAGCGTACGATTGGCTCCTATTAAAAATGTGAATTATTCCTGACGTGTCAGGACAATCAGTGTCTGCAACTGTTCTCGCTCTATTCGACCATTGTAAGCGCTCATATGTCCTCCGTGTTCGGGTACGTGCCTAATGCCGGAATGGAAGCTATAACACTGGACCGGGAGGTGGCGTATCTGTGCCTTGCCATATTTAAAGTGCTCACATTGTAACCCGATCGCAGGTGGACTTCATATGGGTACGTGGGATCGCGGGTTTTTTCTGCTCCAGTGCTGACCTGCTTTGCAGAGAAAGCGATGGACCGTATCCAAGACGTTGTTTATCTATGTGAGTGAATGGGCAAAGGGAGCCTCCCGGAGCAGTTGACCGATACTTCGAAGAATCGCTATATGGGCGCCTTCATATTGATGTCAGTCATGTCGTTCGTCTCTTAAGTTGCGCTCTCAACTGATATCCCATAGAGCTGAAGCAATCCGTACGTCAAAGCTGTATCTGACTCTGGAACCCGTACTCAGTGCGTTTTTATCCAGTATTCATGGACTCGCGAAGGCTACCACATGACGTGAGTCATCGACACTTTCTGCGTTATATATCTACACACGCATTGACAGCAATGATGTGGATCACCAGACGTACGTGATATTCATGCATCAAGAGTGTTCATCAACGTTGCCTTGCCTGTGTCTGTATCCTAGATGTACGTCCACGCTAAGCCGCGATGTACATACACTGAGACAGGTTCACAGGCTTCACCCTCTTAAAGATGCAAGCATGGCTGAGCGCATCTGTTGTATGGTGCGTTCGTTGACCCTGCTCGCCGGAGTCCGCAGCTTATACGCTTCCTAGGTGTATGCAGGGTGAGCACTTCACGAGTTTTCTGGGGCGTTCGCCAGGGCAGACCTGAAAATCCATCGCAGCGATCCTTATCATGCGCGTCTTCGCGCTGTACAATAATTCGCGGAGAATATTCTCGCTCATCGCTGCCGGATTCGTGCTGGAGGTTGGCGCCATACTGATACTCAAGCTGAAATATCAAGCACATCAAGGTAAGTTCGCACGCTTCACGGGAGAAGGCCATGAGTGCTCGCTAATTGGTAACTATCATCAGTCTCCACTGAACCGGTACCCGGCCTTCACATATGTACCCCCATAAATGTGCCTGAACTCTTCTGGACGTTCTGGGTTCCGATTATCATATTCGAGGTTAGCTCTGGCTTCTCCCGCGTTTCACGATTGCCTCTGACTACCAACCGTCTAGTTCCTTCTCATGTTGTTCCCTCTTCGTATGAGCTTCGACTACCTGAGACACATGTTGTCCATGCCTCGGGGAAATGACCCTTGGATCGGAGAAGTATTACTGAATATCCTCATCAGGGATTCATTGCTCTACTTTCTTGTGTAAGCGCTAGCTCTTGCGCAGATGGCATTGAATCGCTCACTAATGGACCGCTAGTGTAACGCTTACCTATCTCGCGATAGCCATCATGTGGGCCAGGTTTCCAGTAAGTGCCGCCACAATAGCTCGAAGGTTACAACTGAATCCACTATCACTCTAGGCTATATGGATTGAGATCCCTGGTACGTACTCGGAGACGAATTGTGTGGGATGGATCCTGTCAATCTAACTCGCTTATGTAGAGGGCTTCAGTGGCGCCATGACCTGCATCATGGGATCCAGGCTCACCCTAAACATGCGCGAGGCTTTTTACAAGCCTTTTAGTACCGTTGGGCGACTGACCACCTTCAAGACACCGCCCGGGCTGAGTGAATTCAGGGATGCACTGGAAGACGCCGCGGGGCATGCGTATCCTCACAAACAAGGAACACATTCCATGGACGATCCCACAGGCGTGATTGGGGATGTAGAGCTAGAGAACCGCTCACAGGATCATCTAGAGGTTCGAATGTCTACCGCGGATGATCACAGCGACTTGGGCTGGAACCCGATGACTTTCCGGCCGAATGAGAGTCTAGAAAACATACGCAGGATGCGTCAACAGCCATTTCAGCCTCCTACACCCTAGATTACTTTGCATCGCTCTCGCTTGTACAATTTATATTGCTTGTACTGTACCTACTGGAGTATATATGATAGATTCGCGACCTTCTAGGCAGGGTGCCTAGAGGCATACAGCTGGTCTGGCATAAGGGCGCAAGTGAGGACCCTCCTTCAGGATACTGTAAAAACGGTACGTCTCGCGAGGTTTGGCACAGTAATCCGTCCGGAGAGGCGCAGAAAAAAAGCTGAGCGCGACCGGCCCTGACCGGCAGGCAGGCCAGGCCCCCAGAGCGGTATCGTCCTGGACAAAATGGATGATATAATCCCAAGCATCCTGCGGGACCTTGGTCATATGTGGAATGGATGCTCTTCTGTGTCGCTGGAAATCGGCGGTTGTGATTATGAGCGCGGCTGACGAACCGAAAGGTGTGGGCGCACCGGAGCGGAGGTCACGTGCGGCGGTGCCAGTTCTGGGGCGGCGGAGATCGCTTCGCTGGCTCTTCGCCTTCGCATCCGAGGGCGGCGAGGAGGATCAGCCTCTCGCCTTTCTTTTCGTCCCACCTCACCCTTGTTCTGGAGAATCCATGTCATTAGGTACCTCCGGACACTTTGGACTAGATTACGCTAAGGAACTAGCGGACGCATTGAGAGGAGTCGACCGGATGGCGAGCCGTCGCGCTCGCACCCGGCTTACGCCCAAGCCAGTTGGCTTCACCCACACCCTACGGTGACCTCTCAGTGCGCCTTGAGCGCGCGCGAACTGCAGGACCGCAGCCCGCCCCAGATTTCTTCTTTCCCACCTTCTCGCGATGGACGGCGCGTTCTGGGCCTCGCAGTTAGGCCTCGTAAGTAAATTGCATCTATCCTCGGGCTCCGTTACGCTCCTTGGCCATGCAGCACTTGCCGTGAACGCGAATGTGGACTACGCTCGTCCTTAACGTGGAAATCCAACAGAAGTATCTTCCCGATAATATGTATTACCCCTATAATTACTATCATACTGCCCCGATGCGTCCTTTTGTACAACGTATATATACAATGTGATATCCAGCCCCTCCTCAGTTGTCCGGGAAATACTTGAGCACAGCCCAGATGACGCCCAAGCTGATGATGAGAATGAAGCCAACCATGGCAGCGACCAGGCCGGCAATCTCCATCGTCGACGTTTGCTGTGGTTGGCGAATCTGTTGCGGGTCGAGACCCGCGGCGAGCGCACGCTTCTCGATCGCGAGCTGCTGCTCCCGCTTCTTGTCGAGCTCAACGATGCGTGTCCGCGCGTCGAAGGGATCGAGCATCTGGTAAACGTCGCCCGAGGTGCCGGATTGCTGCATTCGGACGAAGGACGGGAATTGCCGTTCACACCACTGCTCGATCTGCATCGTCAAGCAGGTTAACATCGGTCGAGGGATGTGCGGATAAATGGAAACAATCACCTTGCCGCATGCGACGGATATCCGGAGGAAGTTGGGGTCTGCCGGCGAAGCCTTCGCGTGAATTTTCCGTGCAGAGTCTCGGAAAAGGTAAGCGACATCTCGCGGGTTCGTCGACGCCATGATGAGCTGTACAGGGGTAAGCACAAGTCGAATAAGGATGAATTGCCGAGACTTGCCTTAGCTGCTGCTGCTTTCCGTATCTTGACATTTCGTTGCAGCATCTCCGGGTTCATGAATACAAGTTCGAGTGTGGCCATGGCCATCGTCGCCGGAATTGCGCAGAAGTTGAAGACACTCTGGTTCTTCAACACACGAAGATAATCCAGCGCGTCCGTAGCATGCCGCAACGCGTCAACGACCATGCCGCTGACCGCCCAGAGGGCATTACGCTCGTTCTCCGGCTGTGCCAGTTGCGCCATCTCGGTGAAGCCACCGTAATCCTCGCGCCCCCAGATTTCCTTTGGCCAGAAGTAGCGCTTCTCCTCGATGTCCTCGCGGAAGTCACGGATGATGTTGGTCTTCTGCAGGAGGAGGCCCATGCTGTTCGAGATCTCGAGCTGGTATTGTAACCAATTGGCCTCCTTGCCGGAAGCAGAGAACAAGCGCGAGAGACCCTCGCCCACGAGGCCAGCGACATAGTGGCAGTAGAGATCGTAATCCTCGATGGTGTCGAGGTAGATGCGGCCAGTCGTTGCTGCTTTATGCGCAAAATCCGCCATGCCGTCTTCCATTTTGTGGCAGATATCGACGATAACTTCGCGATAGCTGAGGAACTAGTAAGTGAGTAGATCGCGGGCTGCGTACAGAAGGCGCTTACTTGGGATCCAACAAGCCCATTTCTTCTGTCACAACATCGTATTCCACAAGCAGTTGCCGGTCCTTTTCGTCGGGGCCATTGCCGTCAAAAGTCCATCCTGGGGTTACAGTCTTCTCGTGGAAAGTGCGCAGTAAAGGCTGCTTCTTCTCGTCGGGTATCGTCATGTCATCTTCAATCGTGTCCAAACCTCGCAAAACAAGGTAGAAAAGTGCAATCTATGATAATCCATATCAGACAGCGTTCTTCCAGCCGTTTCTCCGTTTATTATGATGCTAGCTCACCGTCCTCGCCAAATCACCGTCGAGCTCCTTGATGACGGCGGAAAAACTTCTGCTCGTCATGTCCAAGAATTCCCAGCATCGCCGCATAGACTTGCGGTCCCAGCCTGAGGTGGGATGCTCCTGTTGCGCCGTGATGTCTCGTTTCTTTTCGTGGTACAGCTTGTACTGTATGAGCGTCCGGAATTCGACCGGGTGTAGGACGAGCATCGTGAGCATGTCGAGGGCACCCATGGCGGCGTCGTGTAGATGGTGGTGAGAAGGAAAGGACGGTGTGTATCACAGAAACCAGCGAATCGGATGTTTTCTATATGACGAAACGACTGAAATTAGAGGATCGTACGAGCGCGAGGGATGTGCAGGGGTCGCGCACACGTGATCCTTTTGGGGAGAAGCTCCCTGTGGCTGTGACAAAGCGGACCGGTGCGGCAGGGTGCGGCCACCTTCTCGGAGTCAGCAGCCATTACGATGGACGTCCCGCTCACTCCTCCTCCTCGCATAAAGCCCATCTCGGCGAAGCCTGTGTCGGTTTATGAGGCGCAGCACAACATCGAAGCTTTCGTTTCCGACTTCCAAGCTCGCGGCGCCGCTTCGAACACTGCCAACACCGCGGTGACTGTCCAATTGGAAAAACTCGCGCGGGCCCTGCAGCAAAAACAGTAGAATGCGAAGAGGCCGAAGTTCGGTGCTCTGTAGATGCATAGAGGTCTAGGCAGGCAAGCCTTATATCATTCACAAGTTCTATGCGCTGCTGATAATCGAGGGCTTGCAGTATGTTGTATGTTCTCTCCATGGGGTTACAGCATGACAATAGAAGCCCGCGCAGACCACCTTTCTTTGCGCACCTCAGTCATTCTGCTTCATTACCCCTTGAGGCCCTCGTGCTGAAAGTGTGGAGCATAAAGTTTCAGTCGTAAAGAACATGGGTATTCAGCTTCCGTGGCGAACTCCCGCTGTTATCCGACTTCCTCTCAGTAAAACAGAGGCGGCATGCAAATTCCCGAATGGACAGGGCGCCGGATGAAGGCATGGGATAACATACTTAGCTTTGGATAGACTTGGACCCTCAATTTCCGATATCGGTATACTGCCACTTCTTGTCGACGCAGAGCTGGATTGGTCGAAGACATAATTGGCCATCGATCCATCCAATGGCGCACGTTCCTGCGTACCTTGGGATGCATTTATCCCCGTCCGGCCAATTATATTCGTACCCGTCACAGCTTTGTAGCAACGTGTACGCGGACGTTGTGTTTCTGCTCGACGGTTGCGCCTACCAACGCTACTCATCCGCCAATCAGCGCCTCCTTACACACCTTCAGAGGTTTGTTTCCTTGTAAGTCAAGGCTCCCGGTAATATTTCTCTCGCTCGCGACATACGCTCTCTCCGCTGAGCCGGGCGCGTGCAATCCCGGACCATGTCCTTGGGCATACTGTCCGAACGGAGCTACCGTTGCCGGCATCCCGCGCGAATACGAGCGTGCCCGAGAGCAACATGCGAATCTCATTCGCTGGTATGATGTCACCACGTGACGTGCTGACCGGGCCGATAACGATTCATCACTATTGACCCGAGATGGCTCTCTGGTGCGACCCCATCGTCACACCTTATAAAGCCACGGCCGTCCTTAACTTCCTCACTTTCTAAGTATCGAACATCCATCATGACCACCTCACTTGACGCCCTCAAAGCAACTGGCACCGTCGTCGTCTCAGACTCCGGTGACTTCGAGAGTGAGCTTCCATCCTACTGATCGCATCGCAGATGGATTGACCGTTCGCATTTGCTCCAGGCATTGACGTTTACAAGCCCCAGGTATGATCTGCGTGCTCCGTGTGTGTCGCGCAGACCCCTTGACCATCGGAATAGGATGCCACCACCAACCCCTCGTTGATCTTGGCCGCAGCGAACAAGCCCGGCTACGCCCGACTGATCGACAATGCGGTCAAGGCGGCGAAGGAGAAGGGCGGCTCCCATGAGGAGCAGGCCAACTTCGCGATCGACCGCCTTGTAAGTACCCGCGCGGTAGCGCTTAGTCGAATCAACTCAATCGTTTCCATACAGCTTGTCGAGTTCGGCAAGGAGATCCTCAACATCATCCCCGGTCGTGTCTCGACCGAGGTCGACGCCCGCTTGTCCTTCGACAAGGAGGGCACCAAGAAGAAGGCCAAGGAGCTCATCGCTCTCTACGAGTCCCTCGGCATCAAGAAGGAGCGCATCCTCATCAAGGTTGGTTGCATCCTCCGTGCCTCACATTTTGTGCACGTTTGTTTTCTGTTTCCGCGAGATAACTGATCGGGCTTTGTTTTCAGATCGCGTCTACCTGGGAGGGTATCCAGGCAGCTCGGGAGCTTGAACGCGACGACGGCATCCATTGCAATCTCACGCTGCTCTTCGGCTTCGCACAGGCTGTAGCGTGCGCAGAGGCCGGTGTGACCCTCATCTCGCCCTTCGTCGGCCGTGTAAGTGGATCAACTCGTTCGGGGAGGAGAGCATGTGCTGACCTGTCCGACAGATCCTTGACTGGTACAAGAAGAACAAGCCAGGCCCCAACTACGAGGGCGAGAACGATCCGGGTGTGCAATCCGTGCAGAAGATCTTCAACTACTACAAGCAGCATGGTTACAAGACAATCGTCATGGGTGCCTCTTTCCGTAACGTACGTGTTTCCGACACCAGGCAATGATTCATCCACTAATATCATCGTCACAGATCGGCGAGATCAAGGCCTTGGCCGGTGTTGACTTCCTCACCATCTCGCCCTCGCTCCTCGAGGAGCTCAAGAACTCGACCGACCCCGTGCCCAAGAAGCTCGACTCGCAAAACGCGAACCTCGTCCCGCTCCCCAAGGTCACATTCGTCGACAACGAGCCCGACTTCCGATGGGAGCTCCTCCAGGACCAGATGGCGTTCGACAAGCTTCATGAGGGCATCAAGAAGTTCGCCGAGGACGGCCAGACGCTCAAGGATCTTCTCGTCAAGAAGCTCTCGGCTTGAACGCGTTCTCGGTCGCCTTGTGCCGTGACAGCGGTTTTTCGGGGATGTCGCGTTCTGAATATAGACAAGAAAATGTACTACAGTCAAGATCCTATGGCATCTTTGTATAATGGTCACACGTGATATGATCGCAATCGTTAAGGACGCCCGGCCGATTGCGCGATCATAGAGTACACTGAGAACGAAAGATTGCACTTCTGACGAGTCACAGACAGTTATCTCCGGATGGATATATCACGCGAAGGAAGTCATCATTAGTTCGTGACCGTTGTACATTGGGATTCTCCTACAAGAGTCTACTGCGAATCTATACTGCTACAACTGTCTTTCCAATTCCCGGATTTTTTGTTTCATACAATCCATCGATGAACACCTTACGACGCCGGCGCAACCTTGTCAACGACATCGGCGACGTATTTGTTCGTCTTGCCGCTGAGCTCTGCCTGGACCTTGAGAGCACGCGGCGCATCGTGCTGCGGCATCATCACCTCCACCAGCTGGGGCAGTGATGCGGCCGCGAACTCGGGGTTGGTGAGGAGCGCGTTGAGCTCCTGTTTGTTGTGGACGGTGTACGACTTGGCCGTCTTGCCGTCCTCGCCGCCGAGCGTGTCGAGCAACTTGGTCCACTTCCAGTTGACGATGTCGTTGTATTTGCGGTACTTGCCGTGCAGGTATCGCTCGATGGTGTAGCCGCTGTTGTTGAGAAGGAAGATGATCGGGTTGAGCTTGTGGCGGATCATCGTCGATAGCTCCTGGACGGTCAGTTGCCTATGGAAGACCCTCCCTTCAGCAAATGCATGGAGGACTGATAGAGAGATGAAAACGTACATTGAACCATCACCAATAAACAGGATCGTCCTGCCAAGGCCAAGATCGCGGGCAGCGAGGGCGGCACCGAGCGTGCTGCCGACCGTCCAACCGATAGATCCCCACAGGATCTGGCTGACGAAGATGGAGTTGTCGGGCAGCGGCACGTCGAGGATACCGAAGCTGGACGTTCCCGTCTCGGCGACGATGACGTCCTTGGGCTTGAAGAAGGTGCCGACGGTGGGCCATAACCAGGCGTGGGAGATGACATCGTCAGCCTCTTGCGGCACGGGCAGCTCGAACTTGGGCACGGCGATCTCCTTGGCGGACTCCTTGAACCGCGCGAGGCGCTTGGTGAGTTTCGGGATGAGCGACTTCATGCCGAGACCCGGGTAAGTCGCGAACTGGATCTTGGTATGGTCGGAGTGGAGCTCGATGGTGCGGGTGGTGGGAATTTGGTAGGAGAAGTTGCCGGTGTTGAAGTCGGACTTGAGCCCGCCGATGGAGAGGATGAGCTTGGCATTCTCGACCTTCTCCTTCACCTCAGGGCGCGAGATGGTGCCAACGTAGATCTGCACGGTACAAACATGATTAATTCCATGAACGTGCGAGAGAGGATTCTCAAGGAAGACTCACACCACCGTAACGGGCGCTGCTCTCAGCCACGGCGGTCTTGCCCATGGGCGCCGAGTACACGGGGAACTTGGTCGACTCCAACAGCTCCGCGAGCTCTTCGCGGACGTGGTGCCTGATAGAGCAGGCATCGACGAGGATGATGACCTCGTCCTCCACGGCGTGGACTTGCTTGACGATCTCGTCAAGCACAAACTCCTCGACTTCCTCCACGTTAGGGGGCGGGAGGGTCTTCAGCGGGACTTTCAGACGCGAAGACGAGGTTTTCGCGTAAGCAATATCGGTGGGGAGCATGATGTATGTCGGGCGACCCTATGGGCATACGGTCAACACCGGTACGAGCAACAGACAGACAGAAGAACGGACCTGGATGATGCACTCCTCAAGAACTCGGTCGATCTCCGCAGGGGCAGCCTTGGCGTTGTTCAAACTCGCATGAGCGACAGTGAACTGTTTGTATGCCTCGAGATAGGCCGTATAACGGCCGTCGCCGAGAGTGTGGTGAAGCATCGGCTTGTTCTTCTGCTGGTCAGTGCTGGGGACACCGACAATGTGCACAACGGGCACCATCTCGGAGAAGGCTAGAGTATATGCGCGTTAGAGACTCGATGCGACGACGAAACAACCGAACGACTGACCTCCGGCGATGCCGTTCACTGCGCTGAGCTCACCGACACCGAATGTGGTGAGGAGGGCACCGATACTGTGCTCCTTGACGCGAGCATAGCCGTCGGCCGCGTATGCGGCGTTCAGCTCGTTACTGAAACAGGGACATGAGCACACCGCTTGTGCGACGGGAAGGTGCTTCCTACCAGTTGCCGATCCAGTCAATCTTTTCGTGGTCCTCGACGAGGTCGAGGAAACCTGCACGGAAGATAAGATAACGACCGATCTGTATTGATCTAAATCAAGCGCACCGAGGTTGAAGTCGCCAGGTACACCGAAGAGCGACTACAGCACGTCGATCAGCGTCGATCGGGAAAAACAGGGCAGATGTTGCTCACCGTGACGCCAAGTTGCGCGAGACGCTCCAGGAGGTAAGCGCCGACGAAGATCTCCTCGCTGGGAGTCTCGGCGTGCTTAGCTAGCTCGAGCTGCTGGCGGAGGTTGGCGACCTCGGCGGTGAGGTCGGCGAGACCAGCAGACGACATGAGTAGTGTTGAGGTGGTGGTCGAGGGTGTAGAGGAAGTTGTTTGTTGGCGATCGTCCTATCTGCCAGGCTTATATTTGGTCGCAAGTCGCAGAAACCCGGAGGGTTGGCCGCGCAATCCTGGTCCATGCTCCAGCCATGACACCAGATCGCGGCCAGACTGCCCCGATAAGGGCGCCCTGCACCGCCACTACACCTGGCCTACTCGCGCCCCCTGATCTCGATACTTCCTCTTCCGTCCAGCGGCGTTCCACGGAACAGTGCCATGAGACGTCCCGAGGCGCGCTGAGTTTTCCGTCCGGCCTGTACCGTCGCTGTTTCGAGCGCAGGCCGTTAAGGTTGAGAACTGCGCAGGTCATGAGCCGCACTCTGCAGAGGTTGTGGCATCATATGATGCACCTTATCGAGATGAGATGGCGCTGTAAGTACAGACCCCATCCAAATGGCCGCGGCAGCGTCGCGCACGACGGGTCCAACTTGCCGAAGAAGCGCGACTGTCATCTCCATCGAGTCATCGAGAACATCCAAACGCGCACGCCTGTTTACAGCACACAACAAGGCGATCCCTACCAGATGGTCTTAGAGAACGTTCTCAGAATGAACCACAGCAATAACAGCGGTTTCCACATCTTGTTGCATTGCAAGGTCAAGACTACCAGAATTTTGGGCGGTTTCTACTGATACAAATCCAAGTCGACAACCGACGCCCTGGGGGTATTGATGGGACGATGAGATATGAACAACATGCAAAGAATGGATGAAGTGAATGAACAACCCGTACAAAAAAAAATCATCATGCTCAGTTGGTGATCAAAGCCCGGCACTGCGTGTTCTGCGTGTCGCACTGGCTAACCGACGTGAGGTCCGCGCTCGCCTTCGAGTTGGCCGCGTTCGCGCACTGGTTGTGCTGCACGTCGCATGACCGGCCGAGGGCGGCGGCGAGGTTGAGGAAATCGTCGTTGTTCTCGACGACGAAACCACGACCACCAGCGGTCACCGCGGGTGCGGTGATGCCGCCGAGCGCGCCGGTGAACGTCTGGAGGTTCGCGCCTGAGGTGGCGGCGGCAGCGGAGGTTGACGCGGCGGCAGCGGCGGTGGTCGCGGCAGCGGCAGTTGTAGCGGCGGCGGAGGCGGTAGTAGCGGCAGACGAAGCAGCAGCAGCCGCGCCGGAGCCGGTGCCCGCAATCACGTTGCCCTGGTCATCGACGCTCGCGACGTCTGCGAACTGGGTGGTGATACCGAAGACGGCGTTGAAGGCGTCGGCCTGACCACCGGTCTTGGCAGTGACGGTGTCCGCGGCAGCCTTCGCCTTGGCACAGGTGTCCTTCGCGGTCTGATCGGCCTTGCACGAGTTGGTGAGCGTATCGCAGATGAACTGAGTGATGATGTCGATGTTTTGAGCGCTGCCGTGGTTGAACGAGGTCTTGTCGACGGGCTCGAACGATGTCTCCTTGCGGTTGTCGAAGCCGACACCGAACTCGATCTGCGGGACCGAGCACGATCCGAAGTTGCCAATGGCGGATGAGGCAGCGGTCGAGGTGGCGTCGTCGGCGGCAGCAGCGGTGGTAGCAGCGGCGGAAGAGACGGCGGACGAAGCAGCGGCAGCCGCGCCGGAGCCGGTACCAGCGATCACGTTGCCCTGGTCATCGACGCTAGCGACGTCTGCAAACTGGGTGGTGATACCGAAGACAGCGTTGAAGGCGTCGGCCTGACCACCGGTCTTGGCAGTGACGGTGTCCGCGGCAGCCTTCGCCTTGGCACAGGTGTCCTTCGCGGTCTGGTCAGCCTTGCACGAGTTCGTGAGTGTGTCGCAGATGAACTGAGTGATGATGTCGATGTTCTGGGCGCTGCCGTGGTTGAACGAGGTCTTGTCAACGGGCTGGAATGACGTCTCCTTGCGGTTGTCGAAGCCGACACCGAACTCGATTTGCGGAACTGAGCATGAGCCGAAGTTTCCGATCGCAGACGCGGCGGCAGTGGAGCTGGCGGCAGCGGCAACGGAGGTCGCAACGTCTGTGGCCGCGGAGGCGGTAGAGGCAGCGGAGACGGTGACCGTGACGGTGGACGCAGCGGCGCAAGTAGCGGAGGCACCATCATCAGCGGCAGCGGTAGAGGTGGCTGCCGCACTGTCGGTCGCAGCCGCGGACGCGGAGACACCAGCAACGGCCGCGTTGATCTCGTCGGCGGTGGCATCATCAACGAGCAGGTTCTGCGTGAAGATGCAGCCGTTCGGGTCATTCGCGTCGTCGCAAGTGTTGCCCTTCGCGGTCGGGTCACCGATCGTGCCGGGCGCGAATGTGCCCGACTTGAGCGCGTCTTGCGGGTTACCGCCGACGGCCGCGATCTGCTTCGCGAGCTCGAGTACTATGGCCTTATTCGTCGCCGCCGCGCCGGACGAGGCCGGATCCTGATGTTGCGAGATCGCCGCAATCTCCGGGTTCACGGCCTGGATCGCGGTACATGCGACGGACGCCTGGCCAACCGCACCGGTGTTGCGCTCGAGGGCGCGGTAAATGAGCGCGTTGACCTAGAGAAGGGAAGAGAGGGACCGCATCAGTACCGACGCTTCTGTATGAGTTCGAGGGTTGTGCTGCTCACCATGCCATCGACGTCACCAGCCGCCTTGGCGTTTGTAAAGGCCTGATCGGCCGTCGCCTGCTGCAAGCAGTCGGTGTTGGTGATCTTGCCCTGACCAGCGGCGGCTGCGGCGTTTCCGAGAAGACCGAAAACCGGATCTTGGATCTGGTCGGGGTTGTTCAGGTTAAGACTCGTCCGAACGCTAGTCAAGATAGGCTCATGAGAGTGCTCTATTATGAAAGCGTTAGATGATCAACCTCGGTGTCGATACTGTGAAACCGATGCTCACCTTGGGGAACCTCACGCCGGATGGGAAGGGCGAAAGAAGAGCAAGAGAGGGACGCAAGCGCCAATACGACAGTTTTGTACGAGAGCATGTCGAATTGTGTTCCTTAGGTGAAGACTTGGTGTATCAAGTAGGTGTAGAAAATGAACGGATAGTGCCGGCAAGCCTGGAAGGACGCGCAAGCATGGTCAACGACGTCGGACGCATACGTGTGTCGTCTGGACTCACTGGCAGTGAATTGAAGCTTGAACCAAGAACCAGACCACGCTGGGAAAGAGTGGAAACCAAGGAAGGGAAGGGGAAGGGAAACGCTGCTGAGTGGGGAACCTAGGCTTCCGTGGCGTGCAGGGTTTTATACGGGAACCTACGGGCCTTTACCGGGCCCGCCTAGCCGTCGCATGTTGTGCCATGTTGCTGGCTTGTTGCGGACGCGATTCCTGCCGAACGGTGGAATTTCCATGGTCGTCAGGAACAGAAGAGCGTCCGATAGAGCATCCGAGACGCGTTATGCGAGAGCGCTTCTCCGAGTTGTTGTTGTCCACGGATCACTGATGGTTACCTCCGTCAGGGTCAGCTTGGGCCGGCGAAATACTGGCAAAATAGAGCGGAAGCTTTGTTCACCATGGTGATGAGCAAGAAGCAGTCCGCGGCGCGAATTCAGGCGTAAGTATAGTCGCGTCCCCGATTCACTTCATTAGCATGAGAGATAGGATCTTTAGCGGAGCAGCAGCTGGCGATACTTCGTGCGTCGCGCTGACTTCACGGCATCCATCTCGAAGTTGCATACCCCGGGCGTCAAGACGGAGAGGTCGGGGAAAGAAAGACTCGGTAACGGCCAGCCACGTGTGTGTTTGCCCACGACCGGTTGTGAAGCGCTCCCTAACAATCTGAATTCTGTTCGACCTCAACACGACAGGAGAAACCACTGCGCCGGCCTGTTTTACGTTGCCCATACTTAATTAAATGACGCTGGCTCACGATGCCGACGCATATGTATAGCGTCAGCAGCGTTGCTTCTCGACGCGAGATCGCCCCTTATCGCCCTGGACACATGAAGCCTTCTTTGACTCTAAAACGCCCGCGATTTGGATCGTTGCCTCTCAAAGGGCGAGCAGCAGCATAAAGCTCTCATATGGCCACATGCATGGTGATATCTTGTGCCGGCGCCATCGCGATGTCTTCCAGAGACCTTGATGCACGAACATGTTGTCGGCTTGGTCTTACTTGCACATCCAACCGGGACGGTCGACATGCTGCTATCTTCAAGTGCTTTCCGCAGTGATCTCGATGAGGATCAAGATGTCTCCATGCGCAGCCGAACGCCCAGTAACCTCTAGTACATAATTCGGGCTCGCTACTGCTCATGCTCCGCATGTGCAGCGCTAGCATGCTAGGCTACGGGCGCTTTCGTCATCGCTGCATCAGTAAAGGCAGCTGGTCAGCCGTGTCTATGGAGGACCACGGACGCTGCTGGTTGCTCGCGGACAACCATACATACGACATACACATGCGCGTCTATATTTTATCCCAAGTGAGGATTCGAAAACGATCTGACCACGGTGTCCCCTCGGCATAAGCTCGGTCCTTATACCCGCATTAACATTACCATGGCGTATGATGGGAGTTTGGCAATTATTCTTGGTGTCTTGGTGCCCACACCGTCGCGCAAGCCCCACGCCTTTTCTACACGTTGAATACGGACGCCCCAGGCACTTTAACAGGACGTACACGATACTTCGCTGCAAATATCCTCGGCGACCGTTGTAGCCCTGGGGAATCACTGTCAAGCGACGAGAATCCTTGCAAGCGGTCGTTCCTGTGATACTCGCCTTCACTTCTCACACCACCGGCAAGGGCTCCTTTGTTCTCGTTCAACAAGCTCGCAGCTTACACCCTCTGGTACTACTAAACTGCATGCACCACATGGAGCCTTGGGCGGGTGTGAAAGATTACTGTTTTCCCCCTCGCGCTCCATACTTCTTACACCTATTAATGGATGCACAATCGTCTCCAATAGGCCGCGTTGCATAAGACGGAGGCCAAGATACATCACCGACAACGAATGCCTCCGGGATCGCGTCCAACAGCCTGATCACTCCCTGATGTCCGTGCTGATGTGGTTTCACCCCGTTCGGCGTCTGTAATCACGAGCAGCAGATATCAACTCTAGCTCTGCTGGCGCTCGCTGCATATCATTGTCGGCGTGGGTGAGCCAACGCATGCATGGGCATCCATACTTACACCCTCGTCCTTCACCGCTCTTTGACGTCGCGGGTGACCTGAGAACATCCCAACCGCAATACCAGGAGCTGAACGATTAGCATCCAGACGCTATGACGCATCACACCGACATATCTGAGAAACCGATATGTTTATATGCCCTCTTGCAACATGCTATGCTATAGCCTCGTGGAGTTCGTCGAGACGTGAGCGCGGAGTTGCGCATGCATACTGGTTTTTGGCGACTGCGACAACACCGTTCACTCGGCACCGGACCAGGTTATTTGGAAGAAAGACGTCTGCTCGAAGATTAGACGCGAGCTACTATGAAGGTAATGTAACGACAGAATAGATGGAGTATGAGATGAGAATTCCGTATGCATGCAAAGCATTTTGCGTTGGGTATCATTGCTTTTTGACATGCTCCGAGATAAACCACTGTAGAATTGCAAGCGTCAGCTGAAGCATCAAGCTATAGCAGTGACAACACCCACATCCACCATCCGCTTGACGCCCTCCTCAATTCCCACCTGCGGCTCGTACCCTAGCACTCGTCTCGCCTTCTCGATGTTATGCCACCTGTTCGCGCAGCTGAACTTCACCCTGAACCGGGTGAACGCCGGTTCCTTGCCGATCAGCCATCCCCACCATTCGCTCCCAGCTGCGAGTAATAGTCCGATGTCCCTCGAGAGCTTGATGAGCCGGCGGTCCGCAACGCCTGCGCGCTCCGGGTCGCTCTCCGCGAGACGACGCCATACCGCGCGCGGCAGGTCCCAGAAGTAGATCGGCTCGCCGTTCGTGATGAAGAACACCTGGCCGGCGACCTGCAGCGGGTTGACGGTCGCGCGTTCGAGCGCGGCGTCCGCGAGCGGGTCGAAGCGGCTCCGCGTCACGGGTCGCGGGTCGTCCTTACGCGAAAACGGCTGCTGGAAGGCAGCGACAAGCTGATCGGCGTTGGGTGGCGGATTGACGCATGGGCCGAGCGGGCGCGCTTGCGAGGTCGGGATGCGGTGCACGCCGGTGGTGATGTCCATGGAGGGAAGGGGGTAGTCGACGATGTCTGCCTTGGAGGGAGTAGGTGTTGTGGTGGGGTCGACGAGCTTATCGGCAGCGAGGAGATGAGCATGGGCGACGTTAGTGACATACGTCCAGTCGAAGAGGTTCGTGTTGTCGCCGATCTGGAAGTGCGTCTGCCGGTTCTGGTACACTTGGTAGAGACCGTGCATGACTTGCCGGTCCCCAGGGCTGCATGTCAGGTTAAAAGACGGCACGAAAGGCGTGAAGGACGGAAATATACCCGAAGATACCAGAGGGGCGAAGGGCAACAGTCAGAAGGCCATCCTTGCCATTGGCAGCGAGCACCATCTCCTCAGCCTTCGCCTTGGATTCGTTGTAACCGTCCATAGCCTTTTCCGGCGAGGGAATGCGTTCGTCGATGTTAATCAGATCTTCGCCATTGAATACGACGCCCGCTGACGAAGTGAATACGAGCTTCCGGACACCACACGCGACTGCAGCTTCAATGACACATTTTGTGCCCTCCACGTTCACCTTCCAGTACAAGGCAGCATCATCGAGACCATGCATTGGTGACGCAGTGTGAATGATGCATGTCGCGGCACTCTGTAGACGATCTAGTCAGTAGAAAGCTCAAACTCTGGCAGGCGAGGGATTGAAGACTCCATCGCCAACGCTAGCTCATCGACAACTCCAGGCCATGGCTCATCCGTTCGAAGGCATGAGAAACCGTGAGCGGGGAGACTCGCCTTCTGAACTGCCTGCTTAACCTGCCCCTCCTCGCTAATGTCGCCGGTGTAGCATGGTACGTCGTCGTACCGTTGTACGATGTCGAACACAGATACAGTATCTCCCCTAGCAACAAGCTGCTCGACAATGTGCCGTCCCAAGAAGCCGCTGCCGCCGATGACCAGATACGTGTCCCTTGCTGCTGCCATAGGGGATAGAGTCGAGGAGAGCAGAGGAGAGCCCTAGAAAGTCGCGTGATTCGTGGCACGGTTTTCCTTTTCCCGCCCAAAATTCGTTCTGTTCCTGAATACCTACCTCAACAATAATAATTCCACAGATGATATTCCAGATTCCATCGGACCGCAAAACAATCCCAGGAACATTCTCAAGTTCAATGTGGGGGAAGGAATTTGCTAATCGACCATGGCTGTGGCCGCATTCCAGTGCGGGTCTTATACCCACGTGACCGCGCTGAATCTCCTCTCAACGGCGACGACCCGTCCGTGAACTGGGACCTTCGGAAACGCGCGATCTTGTTATAGCGGGACTTAACTCGTGTTTGGTAGCCGTACAATGCAAGATGCACCCCCGACGCGTAAATACACCGCGGAGGAGAAACAGCATATCCTCGCGAACCTCGATATCGAAGGTGTGCTACGTCGCGCTTAGCCTCCTATTCGCTGAAATGCAATGTCGGGCTGTAGTATCACATCGAGTACGGACGTTCGAATCCCAGCTTGCGGATACTCTTGAGAACTACCGCATCCATGCTGAAGGCCAGGTATCCCGCGTCCCTAAGCAACTCCGATCCATTACGATGGCAGAGTTCATCGACAAGTACCAGGGTGACCTGCAGGCGGCACTGCGCGGTGTGCAGAAGGAAGCTTTGGAAAAGCTGGGTGCAACAGTAGGGGGCGAACTAGACCGCGCGGAACGGAAGCGAAAGTGGATATCCAACTTAGAGACTACGGGAGAGGCGGAAGCAGGGTCCAGCACCGCGAACAAATTCCGTGCGTACATTCTTTTCTTCTGGTGATCAACATCTGAACTATGCCTCACAACAGCGCGTACGGGTCCTTCGCCTCGGAAGAAGGCCCCTGCAACGCCTTCCCGCTCCCGAATAGCGGCTCCAAAGACGCCAGGCACCGTGCGTATCCCCGTTTTCCTTACTCAAGAAGGACATTCACTGATACTGATCCTCATAGGCACGTCAGGTGTACCGCCAACCGTCCATTGCCCCATCGCCCAGTCCTGCCAAACGACCACTAGCTGGCCCTTCCTCCCATCCCTTTCGACCAACTTCTCCCTCCAAGAACCATCCGCATAACGGCCTCGCGGCAACCTCCAACGGCATTCCGCAACGGTCTATATCCAACCCGCACCCGATCCGCCCACCATCCTCCACCTTCAATCCTGTGCTCCCTTCCCTTCCCGCCAACTGGCGCCTACCGCGCAAGAATGAGAGCTTCCTTAGCCTCAACGGCTCACCGCTCGCCAATCCGTTTGCCGGTTCCAGCATTCCCTTTTCTGTGCCCGAAGAAGCCGACGAAGGCGGTAGCGACGGCGGTGGCTTCAAAGGGCCGCCCAAAGCATCTAGCAATCACACACTCAAGCGCTCGAGCAGCTTCGTGTTGCGCAAGGATGCTCGAACACCGAACGGTCTGCACGCCCGTACCTCGTCGCAACCGAGCCTCTTTGGCCAGCCGAGCGCGCATCCGCAGGATATCGGCCACATGCGGACGTGGTCGCAGTCGACTGCGGCATCGTCCGCTACAGGTCCACCAACAGCGTACAGTTCTGACTCGGGCGACGGGGCAGAGGCCGACCGCAAACTGCGTCCGCTCGCTTCGGCGATGGTTACTGTGCCTCTAGCGGACGGCCAGGTCCTCGAATTCGATCCACTCCAAGCGTCGCCCGGTGCGCTTGACGCGCTTGAAGGCATCACCGACAGCGCGAAGAAACATGCGCGGGATGAGATGATCAAATTCGTCGAAGCCGCCGTGCAGCGGTGGAAGATTGCATAGTTCATAGGATTGGTTCACCTCTACGCACTTTTTTCACTGTCGCATCTTGCTCTAGCATACAGTAACTTATTCCCGCGCATGGTTCAGATTAGTCCCAGCAGTGTATACTGTAGCTCGCCACTACGAGCGCGATCTCTACTCACCTCCTGAGCACGAGTTTGAAGCGCTGCATTTGGCCCGGGCCGGGCTCCTCCGGCTACCCACATCGATCGTGAATCGGGCACGCGTTTGAGCGTCGGAGCGTCGATAGCGCCTTTGCTCGTTCGTATATCCTGACGTCTTGGTATTGCGAGAACTATGACGATGTCTGGTGGACATGACAATGTGGCAAAGGATCTCTGCCAACAGCGAGATCGATTTCGGAAACTCCTTGGGGACTTGCGGCCAACCCTTGCAGGCGCGCAGACACGAATCGACGAACTGGAAACAGAGAACAGCGATCTGAAGCTCCAAATTCGGCAGCTGGAGAAGCAGCGTGAAAAACTATATGAGGAGAACAACAGAGGGTCAGATCAGCGAGCAGACCGATTACGCTCTGGGCGAACGGCTGGCAAAGCGGCGTCGACGGACACCAGGACAAGGCGCAGAGCAGGCAGCCGTTCTTCGAGTTCCAGTGCAAGCGAGATTATAGAATCATCAAGTGAATCCAGCGACACGGAAGAACCCGCAGCGCTCGTCAAGACCGAGACAAAAATCCCAGTATCGGTTAGTAGCTACCGAATCAGTGCAATCTTCTGACATGCACTCATCTAGGGCGCGTAGCAGGCAAAGCGCGCAGCTGATATCAGCTCAGATGACGATGACGATGACGAGTCCAGTTCCCGCCGACATCCAAAGAAAACCAAGCGGAGCATAGCAAAAGGGAAAGAATCCGCGCCGTCGGACGACGCTCGGTATATGCCTCCAGTGAGTTCTCAAAATTTGTTGGGAGGTGACGACGCCGCTCAACCTCACTCGGCAGACCCCAGTGTACACCATGGACGTGGACCGCGTACCAACGTTCAAGGTTTGTATTCGGTACCATCAAACTTAGATTACAGACATCTGACTGTTGGCATTCAGTTCCAGCGGATCACTTTCCATGAAACATATAGGGGCAATCGCATGTCCATCATCAGCTCGCTAGCTGATGGTCAACAGGTGCTGATGGTCAATACACTCTTTAATCCAACCATCCCCGATCGCCCCGGAGCCTCCGGTTATCTATGGACCAGCAACTCTTGGATACCGGAGCACAAGAAGTGGAAACTGATTGTACGATGCGAGAAGGCTACCCCGCAAACTTGGGAGAATCGAGGAGATTACCATGTTTATCGGCATGGCGTGGTGTCCGGGGATGATTTCATGACGGGACCACCAATTGTGAGTACAATGGCGTATTGCGCTGGCTGTCTGTGCACGTTTTGTGTGTTATAGGTGCGCAAGTCATGGGCGAAATGTCTTGCTGGCTCCGAGAAAATACCCGGCAGTTATTCCACTGGTTTGCGAGCGCGCATTGCTGAAAGAAAGAAACAGCGTGGGTCAGTTCACATTGCAGTCGGAGCATTTGTCACCACGATGATCTAGGAAATCAACCGGGGGAAGTCACCCATGCCGACATAATCGAGGCAATCGGATCCGGGGAAGAGGTCTGTGTTCATTTGAGCTCGACGTGAGATTAACTGCTCACGAATATCAGACCATCCGAGAACTGGAGATGAAATTCATAGGCTATGACGAACCATTCGTCGAGAGGCTGAAGACCACTGCAAGCGTGAGGGGAATTATTGCACCGTCTCACACTCGTGGCAAATCGAAGAAGGCCGGGGATAGACCTGTATCTGAGAAGCCAACATCGGAAGGGGACCGAACTGCAGACTCGGCATCCACCAGTACTCACCAGTTGCGCGTTCGCCAGGCAGTCCCGTCATGGTCGCACAGCAATGATCTGAACGCGTCAGACTCTGAAGGCGGCAGTGTTGAGGACAACGATGCTAGTATTCACCGTGGAGATGATGCAGACGATGATTATATAGCCTGAGCACCAGTTTGATATGGGGGGTTGTACGAAAATGTGTTGCACGGCAGTTCTATATGTATGCATCTGCATGTTTTTTGTGCTCTGGCATCGATGTATCAGTAGCACATAAACATCGTATACAAGCGCTGGCCCGCACTCAGGGAACTCAGGCTGCTCGTACACTGACCTTGAACTTCGACTAGTCGACACCTTTGTATACCCCAGTGCGTAGCGGTGTGTCGGCTCTCGTAGTCCACAAAAGCCGTGAAATACTGGAGTGCAGGGCTGTTCCTGTTTAGGGACCGTGCCCGGTAATCAACCTGCCTACCTAGGCCTGGCACACGAGCCACTGAGAGAGAGACAATGTCCGGCGGATACAATTTCAGCAACAACATTGATGATGATGACGATGATCATATGGCATCAACAACGACTTGTATCAACGAACACTGTAGAAGATCGTATTTCTGGTGAACAGGAGAATAGAGGCGTGTTCGACATGTGGGGGCGGCGGCTTTCCTCGGTCCCGATTGCATTACCTAATCGGGATGAGCGAACAGCGAGCCTGAGGCACGTATGTTACCGTAGACTCTTACGTCCATCGCTATCGCCCTTCGGTCTGCTGCGCTATTAGTGATTCTTCTTGAGCTCGAGAAAACGAGAAGTTGCGAGCAACTACCACGTCGCTGATTGCTACTACAATCCTTAGGGAATTTCGTGGTACACCTGCTGGGCCGGATTCCCCAGCACATAGCAACAGGGCGTTAATTCACTTCGACCAGTCCTCATCTTGCAATATCTACGATGAATAGTGAACAAGAAAATGAGGCAAAGAAAATTCGCCAGCAACGAGATCGGTATCGAACCCTCCTCAGGAAAATGAGGGCATCACTCGGTGACGCCGAATCACGGATCGAGGACCTGGAATCAGAGAATCTTGACTTGGAAGTTCAGCTCTGCAAGCTGAAGAAATCGTGTGAAACATTATCCGAGGACAAAGCAGCGCTGGAGCAACGAGCAGCCGTTGACAAACCCCCGGCGTGGGATACTAGAAAGAGACGCAGCAGCCATTCGTCTGCGAGTCAAAGTGCTGCCGACATTATCGAGTTGTCCAGCGACTCCAGTGACTCAGAAGATGTCAAGACCGAGAAAGAGCCTCGTGGACATGTAAAGGCTAGTGACAGGTGACTCACCATAGTTTTTGCCAGGCTCACCCGTGAACTGCATTTGCAAGGGCAAACGAAGAGCTTCTACCGATTCAGTCAAAAAAGAAAAATACGGCGCTCTGTCCGTCCAACGACCGAAGCGAACAAAGCGATCCCATCGTCGCGAGGCTGAGGCAGCTACGGCTTCTCGTAAGCCAGACACATCACAATCCCAGTTGATGCCTCCGGTGAGCAACAACGAGTGAGGTTCCCGCAGACCATCTTCATGTTCGCGTATATAGCGACCAGCATATACTACGGATATTAGTGATGTCCAGTGTTACAAGGTTTGTCACCAGACACATATAAGATTAAGACTCCACGGCTCAATCACTGTTCTGCAGTTCACGCGGCATCTCTTTCGCCAAGCGTTCGGAGGGAGCTCCCAGGCCATGACGATCCGTCTTCAGGATGGCCAGAGTGTCCTCCTTGTCAGGGCAGATTTTAACCCGCTGGTGCCCGATCGCCCCGGAGTCTCTGGGGAAGTGTGGATGGAACGCCCTGATATTGCCAAGACAAAGACATGGAAAGTGGTTGTGCGATCAGAAAGAGTAACACCACAGACATGGGAGTATCGAGGTGACTATCAGGTTTCATGGAGTGGTGCAGTATGCCCAGCAGATTTTGCGAGGCAATCACTGAGTGTAGGTGTGGTGCCAGAGGTATGCGGTGGCCCAGGGTCTGACTAAGTGTGCCGATCAAAGATCCGTAAACTCTGGGCGACGGACATCGTGAAATGGACAACGATTGGGCACCCCTTGACTCTTATGCGCGAACGAATTGCTGCAAGAAAGAAACGGGGTGAGTTTGTGCTACATGTCGTGATAGTTCTGGCTTGCACTTATTCACTTCTTTCCCCCGAACGCAGACAAGTCGGGTACGGACGTCACCATAAATGATGTGATTAAGGCACTCAGCTCTGGAGAGGAGGTCAGTCGTTTTGTAATCGGCGTTGACAGCAAGAGATTCACCGAGTCACAGGTACTTGATTGTATCAAGATGCAATTTTTTGGATATGATACGGCGTTTGTCGAGAGGATCCGGACCACGGCAGGACTCATTGACGCCACCCCAGAAAATATTTCCCCACAGACAGCGGCTCGGGAACGTCCAACCCAAGCAGGCGAATCGGTCAGTGCAGAGACCACCTACCAGTTGCGCGCTCGCCGTAGTATTCCATTCCAGGCCCGCCACAAAGGCGATTTGTGTGATTCCGACATTGCCCAGAGCAGTACTAGTAATTTCAGTGATGAAGATGACCTTTATGCCTGAATGAAAGTGCGCGTAGAGTACAAAGTTGTAAGACTGTCGTGTCCGCGGTGCAACACGCATGTCAGATGAAAATCATGAGGATGTGCGGCCATTGTGCTCAAGTAATTCAATGTGGGCCCCTCGGCAGGTCACACTGTTTCTGTCACGGATTTTGACAAGCAGATGTGCAGTTTTCAGGCTGGAAGAGAGTCAAAATATGGAATGAATAGAGGCGTAGGAACGTCCTCACCGCTTGGCTTGCTCATACAGCTTTAAAAGTCGCGTCAAGGCAACACAACCGACGGCGTGTCCTTTCCCTCTAGATAACGAGAAGTTTCCTGCAGTAACGTAGCCGATTATTGATTCCTGTAGTGCAGGTAGTTCACCCATCTGTGCCCTCCTGGTTAACGTAAAACCATCATCGTTTGGATATTTACTAACCTCCTTTTCCTCGGGTATCTCGTCCTCGTCATGGACGGCGGTCGAGAGGCTCTTCCTACGCGCTTCGAGCGTCAGCCATTGCCTTGCTTCGTTATCGCAAATGGTGTGTATCAGAGCAAGGTTCTCCGGCGCTCCTCGGCCTGTCATGACGATTTTCACGCCCACTAATGCTGATCGCAAAAGGTCTTGTGCAGATATTTGGGAACCCAAGTCACCGAAACCGCGTTTCATGCGAAGCTGGTTCACCTCCGCCAACAAAGCCGACGCCTGATCTATGGTCTTGCCCAGCTTCCGGACGATTTCCTCCGTTGTAACCCCACGGAGAAGCCAGCAGTCGGGTCCCTTGACCTCAGCGTTTGCGTTGGCATCCGCAACGTCCATCGCTTCCTCAGCGCTGATATCGCCTTCGTCGCTCTTTCCCCGGCCAGCTTCCTCTTCGTCACCCTCTTCGTCGCCGTCCTGTTCGTCGTCCTCTCCGTCGTCGTCCCTTAAGCTACGCTGAGTGCTGAGAAACCCTTGCTCTCGTTCCCGCGATTGAGGTGGTGGGGTGAGACCGAGTACAACCTCCCAATCCGCAGTCCATGGGCTCCGCGTACCCAGCCGCTCGTAATTTACTCGCTTTGCAGGTGGCGTCCGCTCCCAGCGGTCCCTTTCGGCTTTCTCGTGTTTCGCGGCGTCCTCGTTGTATGCAATGGTAGGCGGGTAGTCGCGAGGATAATACGCCATCCCAGCCTCGAAGGCCTGTACTGCACGTTCGCGTTGACCACCGACTCGCGTGCCTGTGTACACAAGCGACGAGAGGAATGGCATGCCCCACCCCGCTGGGACGATAAGAGACCAGCCATGAACGGCAGACGATGATGGGGCTGAGCTGGAACCTTCCAATCCATGCGACGCATTCTCGACAGAGCGTTGAATCAACAGTATTGGCACGCGGTTGTCGTCTGGTGTCGGATGAAGGGCGCTTCCGGGAACAAGATTCTATAATGAGATCAAAATAGGTTCTAGGAGTTGAGTTGCTACGGTTATACCTCCGACTTTCTCTTGTCAATATCCTTTTTCTTGAACTTCGGTTGACTGAGGCTCTTCCTTGTATCGGACAGCCAGATATCACTTTGAGCAAGGGTAGTCGAAGGAGTCATCGCAACAGCAGTAAGGCTGGGATTACCGTTGCCATGAGATGCGATCTTAGTGTTCTTGGGCGGGAAGCTGCGGCATCGAGTCAGTATATTGTGCATGAATTTGGGCGAGAAGAACAGACTCGAGTCTCGGATCCTCCACTGTGCATCCAATCACCATTCCGCGAGGCACCGATCCTGCAGATTGTAGATTCGCCAAAGACGACCAGAACTAACGCACGATAGATGAGGCTGTGCATCGGAGGGAGGTAATTTCAACGGACCTTTTTGAATTCTGGTCGCTGTTGGGTTTGGCATGGAGTGAGCGCACCGTGCAGAACCTGGCTTGCTTTCGGGCCCATGATCTCGAAGACGTTGACGCCATCCCGCAAATCTAGAATCTCGACCTCGTACTTTTTGGGTTCTCCCTGCTCATCCGTGGCGCCCTTGACCGTCTCCAGCGCGAAAGATGCGCTGGTCTGGAGAGCGCGAAACACATCCTCGAAAGCGGCCGGATGACAGCGTATCCAGACCGTTCGTTCTCTATGTGGTTCATAGTTCGGAGCAAAGATCTCTACATCTTTGCCTTTTCTCTTTGCCTTGCCCCTTGATCCTGCCTTCTTCTCGTGCGTCTGATGGGACGGTCCAGCATCGGCCGTGTTCGGCCGCCAGATTATGGTAGCTGGTGCAATCAATCCGAGGGGGTAACGGCCGTAGTGATATAAATGCGTCTCCATGACCTTTGTACCGGACGTGAACCTGCAGTATGTTCAACTAGGGGCTATTACTAGGCATTCGTATACGTACCGAATGGCGCCGGGGCTAGGTCCCTGGAAATCGCAACACTTCTCAAGCAGTAGAGCCACCATATCATGGTGACCTTTCATCTCAATCAAGGAGTAATAAGAAGCATCATGCAGAATCGATCCGTGCACACTGGCACGATGGGACGGTCTGTACGATTTTTCTGTTGGCGTCACAGCCTGCGGATAGGCAACGTAAGCGAAAGCAGTTTCATGGTGAGGTGCAGAGCCCACCAGTCTATAACCCCACATGTTTTCCATGTGCATACGCTTCGCGTGCCATATATGCGTCTCCAGCCACGTTTTGTCCCCTACTCAACTTCAAGATCAAGAAGGGCCGACATGGGTAGGCGACGGTCACGTACGTTGGCGCTTCAGCAATTGTTCGGTTCGGGAAATACGATTCGCTTTTCCTCGTTTCGGTAGAGCGCGATTCGCTTTCTTCTTTTGCACTGGGTCCATCTACAGCGATGTAAAATCTCAACTTGGCCAGCAGACGAACAAGCGTCGCACCTCAGATCGAGCCTTTTCGCGCAGGCGAGCGGGCACTCGTCGGACGTCATGACTGGCTGCCCTGCGGCGAAGATGTCTTGGCAGCTCCTGCCACGCACGATAAGTACTAGCGCCTCTGTATATATGATCGTTGTGAGTGACTTCGGTTCGTGACATGAAGATACATACCGTGCGCTCTGCATCGCGTCCTCCATAGCACGTATCTCAAAAGCTCGCGCCTATTTTTCAGTTCTCAGTTCAAGACCCATCCTGGCGTTGATCCTAGTAACTGACCTCCGCGAACCTCTCGACGTCGATGGTAGCGGGAAGGCCTTGCATACCTACGTAGCGCATTCTCTAGACCGTGATGTGCATCACATTCAAATACTTACTATCTCCAGGCTGTGGCCGCGATGGACCTGCAGCAGCATTCTGCGTCTCGCTGCCTCCGACAGGGTTTTGTACGGCTATGTTGCGCGCAAGAACCGATTTCTGCTTCTTGCGCTCCCTTGCCGTTGTGGCCTCTTCCGCTTCTCCGTTTTTGCGTTTTGGAGCCATGAGTCGGATGCGCGACCAATGCAAACGCCGAGATTGCCGTGGCGCAATAGAACGATCACGGTGAGCCAGCGCTGGAGACGCGCTCGGTCTTGGCTCTGCACGCGTCGTCGGGATTTGCCGTTGCACACAAGTCGCCCTTCGTCACGGCCAAGGTCGGACACAAAACTCGCTCAGGCCAGCTTCCACATAGACAGTTTGACTGGCCAGCATGAGCGCTCTCCGTTTCGCTAACCGGATCCTCCCATCCTCTGCGCTAGTGGCGCCTACCCGTCGGTGGATCTCCACCACTCGCGTTACACGCGCGGAAGCTGTTAGCGTTGCGACACCGGCGGGAAACGTTGGGGCCGTAAAGACGGAAAGGAAACCTGTTGGTACGGCTTGTTCGCGCATGCGATTGTCCAACAAAATTCTAATCTACTGCGTGTAGGAGCGTTCCGTGGAGGGTATGTTCCGCATTCGTCTGCTGGAAACCCGCACAACAATGACACCCTGTAGCATCGTCGGGTTCCTCTTTGGGTTCTCGCTCGCCGCCTCGTACGCCGCGTACCACCTCCTTGATGAGTACAAGTTAGCGTCCGCTGCGCTTCAGGCCAGCGTGGAAGAGTTGCACGCCAGCACAGAGAAGGTATGTGTACCATTCGACAGACCGTGCCGGATGCATGGGCCCTGAATACCTTCACCGCAGATATCTGCACAGATACGACGCATCGAGGCTGTTGAGAAGGATCTGAAGGCACTTTCTGGGACTTCGGCCAGCAAAGAGGATCTGTCGAAGATTCGCGCGGAGGTTAAGAAGTTGTATGATGGCTTGCACGTCGGTACGCGACACATTGGATCTGTGATTCATCCATGCTCGTGGCTCACTTTACCTTCATTCAGAGTTCCTGGACCTGCGGAGTCATGTTTGGGGCATTCGTAAGTCCTTCGTTTCTGACCGGCCTGATCCCGTTCGCTCAACCCGTCGCGTGTAGAGCAAGACGTACATGCGTTATCGAAGAAAGATTCCACTACCCTTCGAGTGTGATCCTACTTCCTTTACGGCGCTGTACATCCTCTGCTGTGATATCTATTGGACTTCTTCACCGGATCATCTACATCTCGTCAATTGGTTCACGATCGCGTTCGGACGGGGCTGGCTAATCTTGAGGAAACACAAGAAGCCAGTCCAGGTGTTGATGCGTACCAGACCATCTCGGTCGCCATTGGAGTTGCGTTCGACGGACGCTGTGATTATTGGGGAACGATGCATGCGCATCCCATGAACATAAACACCGATCGGCGTAGTGGATGTGTTCCGTGCGCTGATGAACGCTATCACCGCTAGACAACCGGCTTGAGGACAGCCGCCGCATCCCATCCTTCCGCTTCATATGGCATGAGCTCCTCTCTCCAGGTCCCTCTCTCAGCTGCACCGCTACATCCCTGCCAACTAGGGGCCTCAGTTTGTGCCTGACTAACTTTGCAGCGCAGGGGTGCGAAGTTGCCCATTCGCTGATTATCAATCAGGTGAGGGCGCAGGTTGTTTGTCCGAGAAAGCCACTTCGACGTCCCCGAAAAACTTGCGCGCCAACTCCCAATCCTCATCCGCGGTGTTAGGGTCTAATTTCAGGACGAGCGAGTCAAACGCAGGAGTCGTGATGGTTGACAGAGAACGAGCAAGGTATAAGAGCGCATCGATTGCTCCCGTACCCTCCGGGAACGAGAGTGATAGACGATAGTCTTGAGCGAGAGGGTTCCCGAGAAGTGTGAGGACCCGCCCAAAACTGCATCGAACGGCTGAGGTTCAACTATCATCCTTGCAAAGCGTGTACTGAAACGTGCCCACGTAGCACACCGTGGTGTACATAGTCGTGTAGACGGAATGAACGCAAAACACCACTCGGTCGCAGCAAGACATTCAGGACCTGGGTTCCACGCGTGTGGATATGCAGCTAAGCCTTTCCAGATTCGCCAGTGTCATCACCGTTCCAGTATCCGCGAGGTGCATCAGATGCGTCATCAGAGTTTCCTCGCTACAACCGAATTATAAATCCTTCGGTAGCGATTTGTGAGGGACGTGGCGGGAATCGGAGGCTCCAAGCTGTCCCATGGATCAGGGTAGACCAGATCGAGAGATGAGCGAGATATCGAAGGGATAGAAAGGAGAAAGTCAGTGAATTGACGTCCCTTTGTTCGGGAAGCCGAAAGCAGGATACTCTACAGTGCAGGGAAGGCGGCGAGCCCTGCTCACGGATCGAAGGACAGAGACCGGAGCTCGGGAAAGAAGTCGACGTCGGATTTGACCTCCCGAGAAGGGGTAAGACGGGTGTCGAGGTCGACCCGTGCACGAATGTTGGCGTAGCTCTAGACATAAGTCAGGGGTGCTGGTCCTTCTTGATAGGCAAGGAAGCGGTCCAGGTTATGTTTCGATACCGGTCGCACAAAGTTCCGCACCATGCAGAGTGATGGCTGCGACGCTCCCTGCATCATGCCAGCACCCATTCATTCCCTCCTTTATCTTCATATTTAGGTGTCAAGCGCAAGAGAGCGTGTAGATCCAGGATGTGAGCCCATAGTGCGTTAAGAGCAAGATCCGACTAAGTAGCATGTCTTGTAGGTCAAAGCGACCGTGCAAAGTTTCGCTGCTTCCCGTCTAGGTGGACCACCATTCGAGTATCTGATACGTAGTTGATAATGTGTGTTAAGACGTCTTGTGTATACTGTGAGGGGCAACCGCCGATGTCGTTGAACAGCGTTGAACCAAATTAGGCGGTGCACAGTGAGCACGTGGCTCGGACACGGGCAACTCGGAGAGCCGATCGATGTCCCCTCCGTTTGCTTAGCACCTATGCGCTCGTGGCCACTACTACCGAACGCCTTGAAAGCGGTATCGTGGATTCGGACATTGGAACATCGCTGGTGCACGTTTACACAAATGCCTGATTGAACATTGGGTCCGCATATCGATATGGTCATTTCCCGCAATGCGGGCATCGACGCAACGATACGGACAACAGTGGGCAGCTAACTGCTCGGGACCGGGATTATCCCCACTCAGTTACTTACCTCCGCATGAACAATCCCGCTCTGCTGATCTTGGTTCTCATCGGACGATGATGCTTCTCTACGATTACATCCGCTCTCACGTATACGCTTGCGATCGTACCCGCCGGCGGCTTTCCGAAACTGCTACTCCCGCCTGCATCTACCGTGGAGCTGGTCGAGACTGTGACCGGCCATATGGTTATTCCGCGTCCCTTTCTTCAGGCACAGAATCGCTTCGCGGGCGAACGGACGACGTTTGCTATTCTCGCACGAGAGAAGAACGCGGATCGTCCGCGATGCTTCACCGCTGGAGGTCGTCAATCGACCGATGTGTTCCTGTCGCTCTGCAGGTCCAGGCTGACCCGGTGCTGCGACGATGATACCATCGAGGAGCGGCTCCTCCAGAGGCCTCCTGCGAGGACAAGAGCCTATATAAGCGTTTCTCCTCGCCCTTGTATGCTACAGCAGCGTTGACTTACCACCCACAACCGCGACCACCCAACAAGCTCTTCACTTCTCACCATGAAGTCTACTTTTGCTCTTTCGGTGCTCCTCGCCATCGTGGCTTCGGCCTCGGCTACCGCAGTCAATGCCAACGAGAAGCGCGGCGTACCCCACGCCCCTCGCAAGCTTTACGCTCCTACTCGCGCCGCTAGTACGTGATACCTGTTTATCCGCGTGCTCGTTCTCACATGCGACTTAGCGGCCAAGAGGCAGACCACCTCCGCCACACCCTCTGCGGATACCTGCACCACCGGCCAGCTCCTGTGCTGTGACGAGCTCACAGCTGTAAGCTGCTCCATCTACTACATTTATGCCCGACGCACAAACCTGACATCTCCACAGGCTGACAGCCCCGATGCGACCAATGCGTTGGCTTCCATCGATGTAACATTGACGTCCTCCGAGGATGTTGGTCTAGGGTGCTCCACTCTTACCACTGACGGGACTTGCGACGGTACCCCTGCCTGCTGCGGAGGTACAATCGTAAGTGCGAGCAGCTGACCGCCTCGTCCTGTCACTGATCGTGCCCACAGAATGGTGCTGTGTCCATCGGTTGCGAGGCCGTTACGCTTGCCCAGTGAAGCACCTTCTCAAACATTTAGTCTTTAACATTGCACTTGCCCTATAACTTTCGCATTATTTCACTGTAATAAATATGTGTGTAGCTCACTGCCAGATTGAAGATTGTTCCCTGCATATACTTTGTTACGTTCCACTATCAAAATTTGTCCTTTGTCCAAATTCGCTTCGTCTCATTCGCGGTTTAAACATTTCCCGCGCTCGTACACCTGATCCATCGTTGTAATTATGTCACTCTTTCGCCCTCACAGAATAGTAAAAGTCCGTAGTCCTTTGCCCCTTTCCATAGCAATGCCACACCAGCAAGGCTTGACTGATAGCGACTTGTCCACGCCAATTCAATCTGAACATGAACTTACAAAAATTCGCAGAGACAGATGTACATGGGAAGAGGAAGATGTTGTATGCGAAATTACTGTTGTACATGTACCTCGGAACAATGCATGCGCGACGTCAGTGGCTACGTCCGGCAAGCCATTGTAAAACGATATCTCTGCGAGAGAAGACGAGATGAGTATCGTGAGCTATAAGTACCCGTCAGTGCTCACAGGTTGTGCTGGCTTTTCATGGAACACTTCATCCACGGGCGATCAGCGAGACTCTATAGATGGACACCATGTCGAATGGACGCACCGAATAGCACTACGAAGGGGTTATTCATGAGAACGAGTGCGATCAGGAACGGCACGAATACGCACAGATACTGGCCTATCCTGTATCTTGCTGAGTTGTCTGGGGGGAACGATGGTATGAGCTTGAATAACAACCGAGACGATGACAAGCAAGCGGCTCACAGTGCTTGAATAATGTCGTTCACCGACGCATGGCCATCCAGATCGTTCTTGTTCCCTAAGACAAGCAACGGGACGCCTGATAGACTAGGTTGCGCAAGTAGCTGCTGCAACTCGAAGCGCGCGGTTTCGAAGTTGCCGTGCTGCGGGCGCGGGCGTTAGTTTACTGCGGTCTGCGGGTAGTAACGGCGAGCTCGTCCTACTCACGTCGGTTGAGTCCACTACAAACCTGAAGGCAGGGCTTCAGCTGCGTCGGACACGGCGGGCAAAAGGGTGAGTCTCACACGATAGCATTCACGCCATTGCAGTACCGTTCCCACATCGACCTGAACTTCGGTTGACCTGGTCGAGGTGAATTTGGATTGGACATGCCAATGAATGGTAGATAGATATATCTAGATACGCACCTGCAACGTCCCATACATTCATCGTCACGTTGCCTTTCCGAATTTTGCGGAAGTTGAAGGCAACGGTAGGTACCACATCCTCGCTCCACTGGCCGGAGGTAATCACGTTGACGAAGGATGTCTTGCCAGAAGCCTGTTGAGAGTACTCTTGAGAAGAGGTGGTTGCTCACGTCTCGGCGATGAGCTTACCTGCAATCCGACTACGGTGATATCTGCGGTCTTGGAGAAGAACAGTCTACGCTGAACAGGTCAGGCCTGAGCGCTCTCGAACGCGTTCAAAGACAAGATCCGCACCCGCTCAGCCACTGAAAGAACGAAGAAAAGAATCCAGGCATAGCGCCCTTTGCTGCCTTGCCCGAAGTGCTGGGCGAATGAAAAGTACTTATGAGCAGCGAGCTCGACGCGGCGAGGGCTACGAAGCGAGAGCACCGCCACGCCGACGCGACGTCATGGCAGCGGGGCACGGCGCGGGGTTCTGGCACAACGCCCAAGCTTCGCGGCGAACGCTCGCTCGGTGCCGGTGCCGGCTTCAGCTGACCGCCATGGTCATCAGCGCGCGCCCAGCGTTCTGGCGACCGCCCCGCTCTGATGCGTATCGGATGACGTCGGGGGCCGCACCGGACGCCCCGACCTCTGCTCTTGCAGCCCGCCAAGAGCGTCGCTCATGAGAGAACCCGAACCCAGTCCGCGCCAGTGCTAGTACTTATACGCGCCCTACCGCGCCCCGATCGCGTCCACATTATTCTCGCCATCAAATCACCCAACAGTTGGAAATGGTCCATGTGCGATCGCAGAATCGTCCGAGGATGGTACGTCCAACACCATTCTGAACCCTGCTCTCCGCTCCAGTCTGACGACAGTCTTGCAGGCGCAGGCAGTGAAGGGAATCGACTATGCTTACGCCCCACGGGCGGCCACAGATGATGCAGGCTCAACGCGTCTCGCGACCCCCGCATCCTGGCGCTCTTCTCTGCGCGAACCGGAGGCACCTACGTCGCTAGACCGTGCAGCCGCTCGGGTATCCTCAGCCGAGCACCATCGGTCGTCCAACCGGGGCAGCGGCGAGTATCCCGAAGAGCCTGCGCGGGTCGCTCTACACCCCTCCGCACCTCTCCCCCCGGGGCTCGCAAAGACGTCCACCGACCCGGTCACCCCGGGAAGGTGGAGCGTCGTCGCCACTCCCGGCATCGGCACCGGCGTATCGCCAAGTGCATACTCCCGTCGCGATCCTGGCGGCGTCAGCTCGGCCCCCTCGACTCAATCGGTTCTCCCACTGAACTCGGCAGGCAACATGGGCAAGGCCATGTTTGATTACGACGCACTGCCTCCGGGCTTCGTCCCCACTCGGTTTTACCCTGGCGCCTCGTATTTTCAGAGGTCTCGTGCGCCTTCCCCCGACACCGGGAGATCACCGAACCCTGCCACGAGCGAAACCTCAGCCGGAGGTCCGAGTCTATCCTCCCGCACAGTTCGAGGTTGATTGTATGTAGTGAGATATTAGAAGACAGTAAATATCTATATTTAGCTCTAATAACGGATGGCCATCTATTATGCCCTTTTCGACGCCGATTCGTGTGCCAGCTTTCTCAGGACGGAGAACTCTTCCTTGCCGGTAGCCTTGCACAGTGCATAGAACTTGGAGTTCCTGTCGGCGAGCAGTTCGCCCGGGTTGGCGAACTCGACGATCTTCCCCGCGTCGAGCACCATGACGCGGTCGTAGTCGATCACCGTCCTCAGACGGTGAGCGATGGTGAGTATCGTCGATTGCCGGAATTCGCTGTGTACAAGGTTGATCAGCGGGGGCCAACGAATCGCGACGCACGCGAGCTTACTGTCGGATGGTCTTGCCAATGAGCTCATCGGTCGCGTAGTCCACACTGCGGGGCGTGTCAGTATGTATGCGATGCTGCTCGTCGATTCGACGCATCATTACCTTGCAGTCGCCTGGACGGGGAATTCATGAGCATCGCATGAACGTAACGGAGTGAGTTCAGCGCTCACCTCATCCATGACCAGCACCTTCGATCTCTTGAGGATCGCGCGAGCCATGCAGAGCAGCTGCTTCTCTCCGGTTGAGAAGTTTTCGCCGCCCTCGGAGACGGGAGAGTCCAGATTCCGGAACACGTTCACGTTGATCGTCTCAGGCATTTCCACTTGTGCGGCGTCATCCTCCTCGGAGGGGATGAGATGCACCCTACGCAGGGCCTCGAACTATGTCGACGCGATGTCGTTAGTTAATGCCCTAGGGCAGCAGAGTCAGACGTACGATCTCAGCATCCTGATATTCGCCAAAGACGTCGAGGGTAGACCGCACAGTCCCGCTCAAGATGGTGGGGTCCTCTGCCATGAAGGGTTCAGCGGGGCCATCACAGTGGCAAGAGGTGGCGGCGTACGAGGGATGATGGTCAGACGACTGCGCAAGTCTGTGAGACCGATCTTGGAAGTATCCACGCCGTCAATCAGGATACGCCCTTCGGAGGCCTCCACAAAGCGGAACAGAGACATCGCGAGCGTCGATTTTCCTATGCGCCACTCAATATTGGCAGGGCAAGGCACAAGGCGGACTACGCACCAGATCCGGTCCGACCTAAGATGCCGACCTTCTCGCTCGGTTTGATGGTGAAGGACACTCCGTGTATCACGGGAGGCAATTCCGGCTGTTCAACGTCAGTATACCGTGATTGCCGAAGATCCTGGCAGACCCTCACCGCATATCGGATCACAAGATCCTCGCAAACAATTTCACCCTCAGAAGGCCATGAGGCTGGTGGACGAGGTTCCAAGAATTCAGGAGCCTCTCTCGGAAGCTCGGAGTACTCTTTGACACGCTCAAGCGAGACCTATCCAGGATCTGAGTCCTGACGACGAATTGACGAGGCAAAGACCACCGACCATTGATTGTTCAAGACCAACGAAACTGAACACCTAGCACGAAGCAAATGGTTAGCCTTACGCAGACGAGTGTCGAGACCAAATTAGTACCAGGAACGTCAGCTAGAAAACCGGCATCAGAGGACATTCAACCACACAAAGAGACAAAGCTTACGATCCAAACCATGCTCGAGGACATCGAGAGCGTGAAGCCAGCCAGGGATGCATCAACCCCGGAACGGAGGATCATGGAGACCGCGATGAGGCCGACCACGAAATTTGAAATCTGGCCCAATCGCACATCCAGCCAACGGATCGCTGCCGACACTGTGAGCCCGCTGCTAGATGCGATGTCATCCGATGAAGCTTACTGCACTGTTGCCAGTAATACGGGTTCGAGTTCGTATCTACGGAACGCAACATATCGGCCATGAACTTGGTCGATGCACCGAATGCTCGGATGACCGGTACACCGGAGATAGTCTCTCCGTAGATTGAAAGGACTGGCGAACGGGAGACACTGTCTGCAGGAACGCTGTCATATCAGAGGCCGGTAAAGGACTGCGATTGTGCGCCCTCTTACCGAGCCGACGCATATCACGAGCTGTTTGAGCATAGACCTAGATGATGAGTTAAGTTTGAGAGTATGGGAAACTCGGTTGACCGTACGTTGGAAACTACGTCAAACAGTCAGAGATACTCCAGTGCAGAAAGCTTCATTGTAAACTCACCCTTGACATATACGAGCCCCAGCGCAAGGAAAGGTATGATGAACATAATTCCCCCGACGTAGCAGACGATGATGAAGACAACGGTCATGTCCAAGCCCATAAACACACTTCTACCGAACTGCTCGGCCATTTGACTGTCAATGACTGTATGATGCATTTCAGTAACTAGCTACCACAGCACGCTGGAATAACGTCACCTTCGAAGTCTTTACCGAAGCGGTTGAGCAATCGACCCTTAGATACCGTGTCGTGGAACCGGATAGGAGCGAACAAGACAGTTTCCAACAAGTCTGGAATAATGTCAGCATTCGAGTCGTTGAAGCATAAGTGGCTGATCGCTCACTTTTGTACAATCTCTTGGAGGCACGGATGGAACCGGAGACTACAAGAAAGACTCAAAAAGTGCATGGCAGCGTAAATCACGGCACTCACAGAACATGTAGGACCGGAAGAGTGGAGTCACCAAACCTACGCCATTGAGTTAGCCTGGTCTACCCTGAAAGCGATATTGCTGCCAATACCCAAAAACCTGATCTGTTGCTCATGGAGTCAGGGAATGCGATTCATAGGCATTGTCAGGACATACCACCGCGTAGACAGAAATGTAAAACATCGGGCTCTTCGTGTTTCCCGATGACAGAGAAGCGCCAGACCAGATCCTATCCACAGGTCAAACAAGGCAAATCAGGAGAAGCCACGAGGCGCGGCTTACTTCAACCATCCATTTTCGAGGAGGGGTCCCGCGGCGGCAACCAGAAGCGCGATGATCGTAAACGCCCAATGCACTGAACCCCCGCAAGACTTGATGAAGAGCGTCCAGATGGCTGCACTGACGCGCCCGGTAGCTCTCGCTTCATCTTCAACAAGCTTTCGCGGTGACTTCGTCTTCTCAGGATTTGCGTTCGATTCAGTCGTGGACACGGCGGTTTCAGAGCTGGCATCGGTGGCGGTCTTCCTATCATCATGCCCTGCATCCTCGGGAACCATAAGGACCTCGTCATCTTCGATGTTTGCCGCCCCGGATTGCATCAACGTATCGATGAGGCCGGAAGATTGGAATCCTTCGCGACTTCCGGAGAATTGAACGGACCCGTTATCGAGGGCGACAATATATTTGGCACCGACAGAGCATAACTGGACATGATGGGACACGAGGATCACCGTTCTTCCGCGCATCAGTTCACCTTTCAGGCAGTTGTCGTAGATATACCCAGCAGTATGAGCGTCCACTGTTCAATATTAGCAACTACTAAGCATGCTGAGCACAATCTTGCATACCAGCAGACAGGACGTCATCCAAGAGAACGGTTGAAGCTCGGGAATAGACGGCACGAGCAAGCGAAACTCGGGCTTTCTGCCCGCCACTCAAGCCTATACCCTGTTCACCGATTTCGGACTGGTCGCCATCCTCGAGAATCGCGAAGTCATTGAGCAATGCGCAAGCTTCAATGGTTTTGTTGTACCGTTCTTCGACATATGGAAGGTCAAAAAGGATATTGTCTGTGGAACTTTCAGCCCCTCGCACGCGGATAGTAAGGACAGAAGCTCGTACCTCGGATGGACGCATTTCTGAGCCACGCGATTTGAGGTACGTATGCTGAGATACCCTCGACTATCCAGTCGTCCTCACTCGCGGAGCTCTTCGCAAAGTCCGCGATAGCGTCAGGCCGGGATCTGGGACACGTAACTTGTCCGGCCAACAGTTCGGCTTCGCCGAGGAGGGCGAGAAGCATGAGCGTTTTACCTGCCGCAATTCTAGCTCAGGAGGTGAACGAAATTGGGACGAGTAGCACCGCATACCGGATCCAAGCTTGCCGCATATCAGGGTGAGTTCTCCTTTGGGGAAATCGAGGGTCACGTCCGAGAGGACGAAATTGCGTCTCGGAGTAGACGCAGCCGACGAGGCCTGGGAGCTTCCAGTACGCTTGTCTTGTGGCCAAGTGACCGTCGCGTTTCTGAAGGCAACCGGGTACTCTCCACCCTTAGAATGCGTGATCTCGGCGCCGTCAAGATACCGCTCCATGCGTCGCAAGGAGACGAATGCTTGCAACACTTTGATGACCGTTTCTGGCACGTTGTTGAGTGCATAACGCAACTCCGCGAAGACGGCAATTGCGGTGAAGGCCACGCTGTTCACGTGGAATGTGTGGTTAAGATTGAACCATGATCAGATCATTATCCAGGACTGACCTCGGCGCCAGGGGCTCTCCTCGGACCACGGCAAAGTGGTAGAAGGAGATGAGGGTGATCATGATGGGCGCTGTTACGGTACTAAGATATGATCATCTGAATGGTGCTGTGCGCTCACCTGAGTCCCAAATGGCGTTGAGGCACACCTCGATCGCGAACGTCATCTTTTGCCAGTACAATTCGCGGTCACGGATCTTCATAACGCGCTGCTCGAAGTTACGTTCCCAGGCCATGAACTAGATAACGTGTGGATCAAACGACCATGCTGAGTACAGGACAAAAAGGACGAGAACGGTTGAGTTACCTTGAGCATGCGAATCGCACCCAAGACTTCATTCATCAGCGAAACACGTTCGTCCCGCGTCTTCATCAGGTTTTCCTGGGCGCGCGAAATTAGATTGCCGGCGAAGTGGTTCATTGGCACAGTGAAGATGCTGCAGCCACGCAATCAGCACAAATAAGTTCCTTGCAGTTAAAACGGCCTTTACGCGACTGCTAGCCCGACGAAGCATGACGACCCTGAGGAGCAGTCCTTGTCAGCGCTCGAATTGTAGTCTCAACAGCAATACTACCTAGGATGTTGTAAAGCAGGGCTGTCGCCACACTGATCTCAACAGGGCAATCTGCAGAGCGACGTCAACCGTGATTGCTGAAGAAGGTGAACAGACGCACTGATAACACTGAACATGTATATGGGGAAGTTAGCCACGCGATCCACGTCGGTGGTGATCAGCGTCATGACCTGAGCCTTGCTCGAGAACGCTTCCTTCTCGTCCTTCTTAGCCGCTTTAGCCTCGCCTTCGCCTTCTTCTTGTTCCTGGGAAGCTTCTGAAGAAGATGCGATATCTTTGCGAGCGAGTGTCTGCCAGGCAAAAGTTAGATACGAATAAAAGGTAGCACAATCATCCGCGTGCCTTCGCAAACAAGATGGAGTTAAGCTCAATGCGTATTCGAACTTGCAGCGTCATTTGGGCAAAATAGATGACCTGGTCAAACACTGGGAGGAAAACCACGTCAAAACGAGGAGACAATGAAACACGGACGAACGTACGCAAAGACGCAGCGACGGTTGACATGATCATCCCTACCACAAACACCCAAGCCCATTGGATATTCCTCGCCTCAGGGGCCATTTCCAAATGCTGAACGAGCAACTTGAGGAAGTACTTGGGGGCGTAGTACAAGGCCGAGACGATCACGGTCACGACCACTTCGCCCGCCAACGGCTGCCAATTGACCCTGAGCAATCTCCAAGCCATACCAAACCCAGAGCCTGGCCGGGCAACGCGCAAGTTGACAGTTTTCATCGCGTGCCGCATTGTGGTGAAGAGAACGGAAGCTCGGCTCGCCGACGGGACGACTGGGAAGTCGGCGATATTGAGAGTTTCGAGTTGGGCTCCCAGGCGCACGACGGGTGTGGCATAGGAGAAGGTGATGAGGTCAAAGATAGAGCAGCGAAGGACCCCGACGACGTTCTCTTTCCTGGGGTTCGTCCTCGCTGAAATCGTCTTTGGAGCATAAATGAGTTCGAGTGGCAGGCTGTAGAGCGATCAGATTCCGTTCCGTACGCCTAAAACAGAAGGAAACTTGCTGAAGGCGAGGGCCCCGAGGAGTGGTGATGGCAATTGCAGTAGCCACAACATATAACACCAGTCTTGAGTACCATAGGCGAGCCGTAGGTTTGCCATGGGGGTATGTGTCCTCGAACGGTGCGGATGGGATCAACGCGCTGAGTCCGAGCAAAGTAGCTGTTGCGCTGGTCAAGATGGAGAGGTGCACCGTAGTTTTTGAGTGAGTCGACACCGTGTTTTGCCATAACCAACGCAACGACAAGATGCAGAGGTACAATGAGAGGCTTGCATGCAATGTTTGAACCAAGATCTGCGTCGGAGCTCGGGCCTGACGCGTCCAATGCAGGAATATGCCGTTGATGCCCAGGATGGAAATAAGGATTGCGAATAACAATAATTTGCGCATCTTCGTCTGCCCGTCCCAAAGAGTCAGCATTGATACTTACACTGCGACGCTCGCAAACTATGGACTCACCCATTTCCAGAATTTCTCTTCGTCCAGAGGCTCTCCGTCCACCAGGTCACCAGGCTTCAACATCTTGAACGGATCATTCTCCGACTCATCCAAACTCCCGTCGCCGGCTGGAAGCTGAACTTTTCCTGTTCTGGCGGACCGGATGGACTGCGCGACATAGTAAACGAAACTGCACGCTCCGCAAGCGGCCAGAGTGTAACCGAATTGCAGTTCGTACGCCGGCATGGCGAATCACCACCGGACTAGATACCACGCAGAGTCACCGAATCGAGCGCGACGGGTTCAGAACTCGGGCAGTGTTCGGGGTTCTATAGTCGTAGTTGATGTTCAAGACTTAACGCGTAAGCGAGGTGACTCTCGCTGACTCGCCATTCGGGAGCGCAGTCGCGTACCGCGCGGTCCACTTGACTCCTGAATTTGACCGCACCCCTGTCTGTACATAAGTATCCCCGTTCGATCGGTGGCGATGTCAACGACAGGTTTGCAAAATATCCTTCTTCTGGTTGGCCCAGTGCCAATACTTGGAGATCACAGCACATACGCCGAAGTGGTAGCAGGAAGCCTTGTCGACTTGGTACATGCTACGATCGCCCCACCATACCAAGACGCCTGTTTACAATAACAGACAACGCATGCTCTCCTAATAATAGGCCTAGCTCCTCCTGGCGGAGTTTCTGGTGGGTCTGATACGGATTCACTCCATGTTCCTCGATCGCCATGCTCGGGTCAACCTGGCGACCTTAACATTTCTTAGTCGACCTTGCAAGCAACGACTGGCCTACGCTGCGAATGTGAAGATGAATGTGCACACTGATTCGGGTGACGCAGCACACAACCCCTTCAACCTGGTTGACATCCACACCTTCAGGCACCCGCGTCCTCGAGTAAGCGTGAGTCCGTCCGTTATCCATTACGTCAACTCCGTCCGTTTCTGGCTCGATGCTGGCTCGATGACTGGTAGAGCGACATGTCTTCTGACAATGGGACGACACGCTGATGATCTTGCAGGCCAATTGGGCACAAAAGCAACACCCTGAAGAGCTGGCTGCAGCCGGAATACAGTCTACGGTGTCCTACCTTTCTCGGCGTCGCGGGTACTGTGAGCGCCGTAGTGCTTGCTACTGAGTCGGATCCCGTCGGTCCATTGGGCAGTCATCACCCTCTGGGTGGAAATGCAGGGAACACCTTCGGAACGTAGACGCGTCCGGATATACGTGGGGCGTATGGACCGCTGCCGCCGGGGGCATCCTCCTATGTATAGATGGTGACGGTCACATGGGCTTTAAATTTAGTGTATGCCCATGGGATTCTCCCTTCGCTATCAAGCTTTCAACCACAGGATACCGGCAGCTTCCCTTGGACTCACCCCGCGGACAGCGCTTCCAGTTGATTGCGACGATTGCCCAAAGAAATACGGCGGGCTCAACTTGTTAGTGGCGAATGTGGAAAGGCTGACTAATGCATTCGATGCTTATGATCACACTACAGGCCAGTTTTCCGACATCAAAACGTTACGGTCGCGATCTGCAAAATTTAGGCAGAATACGAGCTTGTCGTGATGAAAGAGGCGGAGAAGATATCTGATCACGCTGTGTCGATGTGATTTCAAAGGCCGAATGTAGCGTCTCCGAGACGCCAGCGAAACCTGCCGCGGTTCACATCGGTCATACCGGGCGTCCTACGTAACCAGTTTCGTTTGTCCGTTCTCGATTTACCCGAAGCACAAAGTTTTTGGACGCACTGTTCTTCAGTGTCCGTGACGAATGATACCGGTTGATGAAGTCCAGCGCTTGTAGTACAAGCCGCTTGCCAGCTGCTCACGCGGAGCAATACGCACCACTCTGTGAATAACTCTTGCTAGCCATTAGACTGAGCGCATGTGTTCGCAGCTAGGTGACGCCGAGAACACCGGCCGACGCTTGAGGCGAAACTGAGGCATTCCCGCTCTGTTGCCTTTCTCATCTTTGTTGAATATCATACGTCTGGCCCAGAAACACACCGCTTCAGCACAATTGAAGTCTAAACAAATTTCACCACATTACTCATACACTTCCCAGGCCTTCCTGTCCTCTTGTCTTGTGAGCGTTCCGCACAGGTACGCTATTTCTGATGCGCAGTTGTACTCTTTTGCTTTCTCCCACCCCTATCATATAGCTGGCTATCCCGGGGAAAACCGCAGCTGCAGGGGTTCGGGCCAGCACGACCGGCCGTCGTAAAGTACGCCACAAGCACACGTAGCGCTGCGGCCAGGGCATATCTTCCACAATTCCTTCAGATAAATCCACGCGCCGATAACACTCTGAGCACTCTTCGATTTATATGCAACGGATATGGCCTGTAACGGATCAAACTACAGACGCCGCACCCTTCATCACACGGACTTGAAATGCTTACAACAGTCGCAGCGGCATCTCCGCGAGTTACTGGGGGTTTCACCGACAGCGGACTTGATGACGCACCCGCACAACACCGGACTTCTATTCAATCAGAGAAACTGAGGCTCTTCTGTTTGGAAGACACCGAAAAAAGCTCATGACTATACCATCTGGCATCTTACTACATAGTACTCAAACGTAGAGTATAATGCAGCTGGTACTAGGGAGATGGGTCACATGATAAGCCTGCTGCCGTCCTTGCTGCGCTCAGGATGAGTCGCGTTCGCCGTTTGATATTATGTACCGACCTTCGCGGCTTAGCTTCCTACTTCACCAACATCTGAATGACTACGAGGATGACCGTCTCGTCATATACTAGGCAGATGCCGACTAACACGCCCAATCCTTCGCGCTGAAAACGACATACTATTACTGCAGCTCGCTGTCAAATGACGCGTATATTTCCCACTCTATTGAAACCCGCACGCGAGAAACTGCCCGTATCCTTAGGGGGTTGAGCGTACGGCTCGTGTTTACTTATCATGAGGCGTTTCGCCATGCTATGCCATGCTATTTCTGTGCGGGCTCGCGAATCAAGATGTCGCAGAATTGGCTGCTAGTGAGATTCCCATCTGATACGGGTCGCTTCTATTTCGGTCCCGTCGGTGGTCCTGCTCCGATTCTCAACGGAAACCGGCCGGATGTCCTCGGCACTTTGGGGTGGCACGAGCTTGTCGTACGTGCTTGGAGGGTTGTGTCCGGTTCACGCATCAGATGGTTCATCGACGAAGATGGCTGAGATCATTTGTACAATGGGTGCGTGGAATTTCGCTCCGCGCTTTACTATCTTCTCATCGGCCTCTTATCCCATTGCTGGGTCTTCAAGCCTAATCTGATGTTTTGCGTAGCTGGCATTGACAGGCATCAACCAGGCGCGAACAGGGACAGGCGCATCCCGACATTGTTTTGAAAACTCTCAGTTTACCCCTCAGATGCTGGACAGCACGAGGCGTCGTCACACAGCACTGCATCGCCAAAACTCTAGGCGAGGTATCATCTGCTATCATGGACCGGACTCATCAACAATGGCGAGATGGAGTACCAAGGGGTGAGCAACAGCACGTCAGGTGCCAAGCTCCGTTAATGGTTTTGGCTATGGCTACAGCGCGAGATCCAAACCAGAGAGATACACGCGACCATATGGTTGCACAGCCACATATCCCCAACTTGAGCACGGAAGTACACCTTATCTCCCGCATTCACCTGCCATCCCGTGGACTGCTCGCGGACTGGACAGCGTCATCATACATCCTACGATGCCAAACGGACATGTCGGCGGGTCCCCTACACCGCACACGGTGATGCAAGACTTGTTTCGTTGATTCACACGGCCTGAGAGCGTTATTCTCAAGTCGTTCTCGGGGCAGTTCACAGAGCTGTCCAGGTCATTCGAATTGTACTCGCGTGCTTGATGGCCCTAGGGATCTCCTTCCCCAATAGGTACGAGAATCCCGACTGCCTTGCCCAGCTTCCGCGCAAAAAGCGTTATTCTTGGCCTTCTTCCGCTCGCCTTATCGAAGGCATCCGCATGCTCCCACATGTTTCTCCACAAACACCGGTGTTTGTGTGCCCTTAGGCCTGTTCTGGGTGCCTTGGGACCGCCTTGGCGAGATTATCTCTTGTGAGCGGTGCTCATTGAGAAGTCGTATAAAACGTCGTGGTTTCTCATCCCAGTGGTTCTTCAGGCCCTCCGAGCAGCTCTTGCTTTGGTCCTCGCTCGACCACCTCTCGTTGCCTTGGTCCTGAGATGTCTGCGATTGACGAGAAGAAGGGGCTCGACGGCCCTGAGCTACTGAGAAACAATTCGGGCTCCTTCAGCGACGAGAAGGGTGGCTTTGGCCCCGATGTCGTATGTTAACCATCCGCTGTAGTCAGCTCAAATCGTTGCTTATAATTTCTCTCTCATTTGAGGCTGTATTGGAGTCCGATATGCAAGCGGTTGGCCAAGATGTCGAAGAGGCCATTGCTGCAGCTCGTAACATGACTCAAGAGGAGGTCGAGGATATCATACAACAAATTGTTCGGGATGTGAGTTCGTACATGCTAGTATTCCTGTGACACTGCTTATCGGACCTATGATAGCATAACCACGATCCGAACTTTCCCTCAAGGGTCCTCGGTATGTGCTCACCAACCCAATGATTTCGACAAAACAGTACTAACACACCGCTGTATCGATTAGCGAGCGCCCGTCGTTTCTTGGAGGATCCTAGTGTCCGAGAGGATCCGGTCGAGTATCATAAGCTTTTCGAGGAGCTCAAAGTTGAAGCAGCGCTGATCAAGATCGTACGTAGTCCCAAAGCCGTCGAGAGATGCGCTCATGATACGTTATAGAACTCCCCTTACGCCGAGGTGCGCGCTGTAGTGGACAACCATGATGACCCCACTATGCCGTCGAGCACGTTCCGCGCGTGGTTCATTGGCCTGATCTACGTCGGTGTTGGGTAAGGGCACTTGGTTAACCGTGCCGCTCTTTTCGCTGATGTATATGTAATCAGAGCATTCATCAATCAATTTTTCTCCATTCGCCAGCCCGGCATCGGCGTTGGGTCTAATGTTGCTCAGCTCCTTGCCTATCCCGCCGGCAGGCTATTGGAGGCGATCTTGCCTACGAAGAAATTCACGCTATTTGGACAGGAGATGAGCCTCAACCCGTTGGTCGCGTCATTTGATTTATGCGATGCTGATAAGACTGACAAAACCCCTTTAGTGGGCCATTCAATTTGAAGGAACACATGGTCATCACGATCATGGCGAACGTAAGCGACATCACCCCGAGCATCCCAGACATATCCGACTGACTGGCGTAAACCAGGTTGGGTTTTCGGCTCCGGTAAGATCTCGCGACTGTAATGTTGTTATGCGCAGTTAATCATACGCATGGCCGCCCAAAGTACACGAATAACGTCATCTTTGTGAGTAATCTCTCGCTACTGATGGCATCGACCATTGAGGCCGTATGTGAAGGTGCAATTCATCCCGCGTTTCTTCAACCAATCCTGGGCAAGCAATTTCGGGTACCAGAGTAAGCACTGATTTAGCACTTGCTTCCCGAGAAATCGGCTTAAGGATGAACGTGCAGTTCTTGTTGGGCTTTCGACCAATTTCATCGGCTATGGGCTTGCGGGGTGCGTATGCCGCCTATTCAGTTTATGAGCTACACTCTTACCGCTGCCGCATCTGTTAGTTTAACGCGGAGATTCCTGGTATATCCAGCGGCCGCCATTTGGCCCCAGAATCTGGCGACTATTGCGCTTAACGTCAGTCGTCATCCCATCTTCTCATGTGGGATGGCGCAATTCAACCTTGTGTTCAGAGAGCCTTCCACAGCGGTCGGAACGAGGTGGCGCACGGCTGGAAAGTTAGCCGCATGCGTTACTTCCTCTATTGCTTCGTCGGCATGTTTGTGTGAGCATAGACAGCATTTACTGATAGGTTGCACTCCGTTGATATGATACGTTTTCCATCAGTTACTTCTGGTTCCCCAAGTTTGTCCCGCCATCTCGCGCATGCAGATCACTCTCAAACTCGGCTATAGCTACATCTTCCAGGCGCTTTCTTACTTTAATTGGATCACTTGGATCGCTCCCCAGAATGTCAGCCTCGCCGCCATTTCCGGTAGCGTTAACGGACTTGGCCTTAATCCGCTGCCGTCATTCGATTGGAATTACATTACAGTCGGAGGGGACCCGATCATCAGTCAGTTTTTCCCTCGGTATTGTGACATGAAATTGAAACAACTCACAGATCCCTTTTTCGTCATACTTGTGAGACGCAATTGAACGTTATGACATGGATATCACTGACGATAGCTCAGAACGCTTTTATTGGCACTGCAATCACGTTACCCATCATTGCGGTCAGTAAAGTTGTGGGACCTTTCAGTGTTTGCTCTGAGCGCATTGTATCACGTCCCACCAGGCCATCTGGTACACGAACGTGTTTAATACTGCTTATCTTCCCATCAACAGGTAAGCCTGTGCCATAACCCACGGAAAAGTAGCCATGTTGATGGTCGCGATCAGTAACGGTGTCTTTGACAACACTGGCTCTCGCTACAATGTTTCGCTGACGGTGAACGATGACGCACTCTTTGACGAAGAATCATATATGCAGTACTCTCCTGCGTAGTGAGTGCCTGCATGTTACCACAATTACCTGGCGTCTCAACCCACCGCCCCTGAATAGCCTGGCCGCGGGGAACATCCTTCTCTATGGTATCTTCTGTGCGTCGCTAATGTTTACGCTGTTCACAATCGTGGCTTACATCTGCCGCAGTCGCCGTTTACACGGCTACCATCAGTCACGCTATTCTGTAGGTGATCGCGAACCTAAAGGGCGACAGCATACTGATCAAATTCTAGCTACCACCGCCACGAGATCGCCAGCGGTTTTCGGAGCCTTCTCAGTCGCAGGTCATATCATGAAACCAACAAGGATGTGCACAGCCGCCTCATGACCGCTTACAAGGAAGTACCTGAGCTCTGGTACTTCGGACGTAAGTGACGGTGCCGCTCGTTGCTCAAATGTTGCTGATATCGCAGACAGTTCTTGTCTCTGCCATTGCTGTCGGTGCCGCTGGAGTCGGTGCATTCCCCACACATACGACTCCGGCTGTCGTTCTTTACGGCGTCTTTCTAGCGCTTATTTTCTGCATCCCTATCGGTATCATCACCTCCGTCACGAATGTCCAGGTCACTCTCAACGTCTTAGCTGAATTCCTCGGTGGTTTGTGGTTCCCTGGTAATGCCGCGGCCATGAACTACTTCAAGTCCTATGGTTACGTTACTACCGGTACCGTCGCACTACGTCACGTTAAGCCATGCTGCTGATCATGTTCTCAGCGCATACCATCAGCTTCGCACAAGATTTGAAGTTGGTGAGCAGGAACAGCGTGCTGTCCCGGAACCGTCGTCTAACTTTCCGTTAGGCCCACTATATGAAAATCCCTCAGCGTGTCACCTTCGCAGCACAGTCTATAGCTACCCTTGTGTCAACTTGTAGGATCATTTCAATTCTCACCCGAAGCCTCGAACCCTAACTCGCGACCCGCAGTCGTATGCGTCGGAATTCTGAACTTCCAAATGACGCAGATCAACGACGTGTGCTCTCCCACTCAGCCTGATCACTTCACTTGCCCTGGAATAGTGCGTCGCTGTCTCGATCAGATGTGCCGTTGGGTATACTTACAGATTCTTAGAACACGTTCTTCACTGCATCTGTGCTTTGGGGCACGCTCGGGCCCCGACGTATGTTCGGTACAGGCCGCATCTACAACGGTCTCATCTGGTGCTTCCTGATTGGGTTCAGTACGTGTGCAAGGAATGCAATTTATCGACCCACTAAACACCATATATCCAGTCTTGCCGTTCATCTTCTATTTTGCTGCAAAAAGGTGGAAAATCTTCGAGCTTGTGCACCTTCCCGTCATCCTCGTTGGCGGTCTGATTTGGGCGCCCTTCAACATGGCCAACGTGAGTAATCGTTCGATGACCGGCAACTGTCTATGCTGATATATGTTTTAGGTCTGGCCTGCGATTCCTATTGCTTGGTTGTTCAACGTCTACATCAAGCGCAGGTATCTCGCTTGGTGGGGCAAGTACAGCTACATCACGACCACCGCGTTCTCTTGCGCCATCGCGATCTCCGCCATTGTGATGTTAGTACTCGTAGTAACAGGTTGTTATGCTGCATTCTGATCGCTTTGCTGCAGGTTCTTCGCGCTTCAGTGGCCCAACGTCGTCATTAACTGGTCGGGGAACAACAGGCCTTTTGAAGGTGAATTATCGTCCATGAACAAGCCTTTGGACGTATATTGATCACTAAACCCACGTAGGTTGTGATGGCATTGGCTGTCCTCTGAAACCGATTCCAGAGCAGGGCTTCTTTGGTCCAGGCCCCGGAGAGTTCCATTGATCTGTTGATGCAGAATACTAGTTCTATCTTTTCTCGAGCTCTTGTATCGTCCATTTATTTGTAAGACTACGTACGTGAATGACGCGTGTATTCAGAATGGCAACGAATGTATATAACGACTTTCTACGTTCGGTCTACGTCGATTTCGAACAGAGTCGATCGCGCGAGGTCAGACAGTCGTTTCGGCACAGGAGTCGCGTCGAATCTTAGCCCGGCGTCCTAACCTTCACGACGTTCTCTCGTCCGGACCATCCATATGAACAGCATCACTCTTGCACGCGTGAGTCAGAGCCCAATACAATCCGTATGCGCGAATGCGTTCAAGGATCGCCATAGCAGGACAATTTGCTTGCGCCGCATCGAACTAGATATCCTCGGGCCGCTGGTGTTATTCTACAAACCTTTAACGACCTGTCGTTCGGTAAGGAAGTATCGGAGGAGTAGCATCGCATCTAAGACTCTAAACAGCTCAAAAATGGCGAAATCTCGAGGTTATTGATATACCAGCTTGCCTGAGATGCGCGTTCAAAGGAAGCCGACCTGAATCAGTGAGACACTTTCCCCGGGTCGTAAAGCTTGGCGCGTTCTGATTGCAGTCGCAGACAGAGACATCGTATGTCGTCCCCTGTGCCCTGTCAGAAACCATCTCCACGGCATGGTATGTATTGTCATTCTTGCTTGTTCGCCCCTACCTGTTTGACGAGGTGCTTCCACTAGGCTGCTGCAGGCTTTCCAGGCTTTGGGAAGTCCGGGCTCCCTGTTTTTGGCGATTAACGCCGACGATTCATCGACCGTGTACTACAAAATCAGCGAGGGTATCGTGAAACCACCGGTCTAATCTATACCTCGACTCTCTGGGGTTGTACGAATCTGTTGCTCGTAGTACACCGGCCACTCCAACCCAGTATCGGGAATTGTTCTAGACTATCTAATGCATGATACTGGGTCCGCCAAGATCAGTTCCGGCGTCATCGCTTTCCGGAGGATCCAGCAGAACCACACACACTCCCGCCGCCAAGAACGTAGCTATTGATACATAGACCGGCAAGGCATCGTCGATTGCCAGAAGTGCCCCACCCAGCATAGGGGCGATCATCCCTCCGCTGTGCCGGATTAGCATAGAACAAATCATGCGACGAGTCACGCAAGACACCCACATTCGCGATAAAGCTGAAGCTATCCCACACGCAGTGCCACGAACTCAACGAAGTTTCAGTGTCAAGACGGTCGGGACGACATTCATGCGCTTACCTTCGGTGCCGAATATCTCGGGAGTCCATCCGTATAGCACCGCCCACATTGTCTGTCCCCGCGTCAGACTAATTGTTTGCGCGGGACAGCAGATAGTGTGTTCTTACAGTAACGCTCAAGCTGATAGCCATGGTCGTCACCCGGACCGCCCACGCGCTCTGAACCATGATGAACACAGCGCAGAAGAAGCCCGTGATGAACGTGCTTCCTGCAAGCGACCACCGTCGCCCAAGCCGACTTTCCACCATCCATGCGCCCAACTGCATGGCTCATTAGCTCACACAAACATTGAGATATATACGAAACTCACAATAGCTCCTGGACAGCCGCCTATCGTGAATATCATGACATCCCAGAGACTCTCCTGCAGAGATTTCGGCCGCGTTAAGTCGGCCGCGCCTTTGGTTTCCAACAGTTTCGGCAGGAACACGTTGAACATCGTATAAGCCAATGCCATAAAACCCCACGCCAGCCATACCAGAATGGTCGTCCACCACCACTCCGGAGCCAACACGAGCGATACCCTGTCAAGCCACGCCAACAACGGCCTTCGTACCACATCCGGCAGCTTCCACCCAACGCGCTTCTCCACCTCGTAATACGATGAACGCGAGACCATCGAGGACCGCCTTCGCATTCTGCTTCTCGTGTGAGGCGGGTGCGTACGTCTGGCTGCAGTCGGCGAACTCATCACGGATGCTGTGCGTGTATGCTCATCCCGGGGCATTTCTAGCGAGTCTGTGATGGCGAAGGATGTGCTGCCCTCCGTCCGTGCATGGGTATGCAGTGCAGGCGCGGGCGGTTCTTCCTGAACTGGAGTTGCGAAGACATGGGTACTCAATGGAGTATCAGAGTCCGACGTTGAGTCGTACCGCGTGGCGTTTGCAGATGGGTTAAGCAGGTCACTGCTTCGCTGTGCGGCGAGATGCCGGGGGCCGTGCTGAGGCGTATGAGCTGCCGTCTCACCCAAATCAGAGGGATCTAGTATAGTCTGGGCGTCCATAGAAGGCCTGGTGGAAGGGGGCTGCTGAGCAGATGCTGGAACAGCGGCAGAGGTGTCTGGAAGTCTACGAAGGCTTTCGTCCAGGAATGGAGTAGCCTCTTCGATCCGGCCAGAAGCGTTGACAGGGCGATCACAGACGTCTCTGATGTCAATCGAAAGCTCGGAACCGTTGAACTGCATACATCAGGCGAACGTCTCCAATGGTGCGAGAGCAGCTCACTCGTGATATCATCTGTAGCGACTCGAGCGCCTCTTGATGTCGTCCGGCAGTGACCAGGTACCGTGGTGACTCATGTATTCTGAAGAAAGCGACGCGGGCGAGGAACATGCATAAAGTCTGCGTAGTCGTGATCAGACATGATGAATGACAACGGGGCACAAGCACCTACCAAGACTCCCAACACGCCCAGCAGATACTTCCAGCCGGTATTCTGAACGTTAACGTCGCAAGGGAGGGAAGGTTCACCCGTGCAGGCACGACCCGGGATGGCGAGGAGGGCGACACCTGCCGCCACGACGGAGCCGATGGAGAAGAAAACGGACAACGCAGTAAGGAGATACTGCCGTCCTTTGGGGACATTTTCCAGGAACAAGGTGCCATCTGTGGGCATAGAACCCTGACCAGAGCGCAAGATGAATATCAACGATCGGAATACTGCAGGAATCAATCACTTACCCCGACCGCACTGCCCAGGAGAAACAAGGTGATGCAGAGCTGGAGAAAGGATGTGGTGAGTCCGCTCAAGATGCCGAACAGAGCTGTGAGGCAGAGAGTTGCGTTGAATGCGGTCGTACGACCCATCGAATCAGAACCTGGCCGAGTTGAGCGTCTGTGTAACATGCAAGACGTGTGAGGAAACCTACAAGCACCCCAGCCAACGGCTCCGACCATCATTCCAGCGAACATGGAGGAAGAGAGCGAGCCGATCATGTTGTCCGATACTTGGCGGCCCGTGTTCGTCAGCGTGGCGGGGACTACGGTGTTCTGCATATGACACACCGTCATAGTGCCGTTGTACCCTAAGAAATGCGATTCAGTCCGAAAAGTAAGGTGACTGCAACGGTCGGTGATCTTACCTTGGCAAAACTATGGCAATAGCTTCGAGCCACATCTGATTTCGTTCAGAGACAATTCAATGGGAAACGGTAACTGACATTATCCGCTAACCACCCTGAAAAGATCATGAGCAGGAGAGCGAGAAGTAGCGAAGCAATGATCACACCTAAACCACATAGTGACAGCAGAATCCATTGGTAGTTTCCTGCATGGGCGTTCGTGTCAGTTCCAATCATATAACTTGGGGGCAAACGATGGACGCACCCATTCCAATGCGATCTATCGTCCTGTCCAACGGTGTACGGAGATCGAACGCGTCTGGGGCGCGGTTCTGGCCTTCGAGTCCCTCGGCGTCGTAACCATCCTCGTCCGCGCCGTCGGGCACGCTGAAGTAGCTCATCCTGCGGTAGTCGGTCCAAAGACCAGAAAGGCGGGGTGTAACTGACGCCATTGATCCATAAGCCGGGGAGATTTTGCGTGCTTAGACTCGTCGCTTGATAAGCCAAACCCGTTCTCCTTGCGGTTCACTGACAAGAAAGACGTTTGCGAAGCTCTCTATGATTCCATCCATGCACGTGTTGCTGTGAATCAGGCCCTCCGTTTGGCACGGACTTTCGATCACGCCTTGGCTTCCACTGTCTGATAATTACTTATCTGCTGGATTTGCTGTGGTGTATGCAATAATTGTAACGGTTGCCAGCTGGTTTGGCCCGGGTTCTCGGACCTTCTGTTAGAGTAGGCCCTTGTACACACATATAGCCTCTGCAATATTTTCATACATCCCGCTTAGCTCAGTGGTAGAGCGCGTCACTAGTAATGACGAGGTCAGTCGTTCAAGTCGGCTAGTGGGAATTTATTAGGGGCTCACCCTGATCCTCCATCGCGGTGGGCCCAGAAGGGCAGATCAGGGCGAAATGTTTGGGCATGTCAGTCATCACATGCTGGCCCCCTACGGGAGATACCCCGAAATTAGACGATCGAACAATCGTAACACGCATAAACCTGCGGAATTTAGAAGTGTGACATACGCAGAAATGCATATATTGAAACCATACCCGGGTATCAGACGTATAATTTAACATGCGGATACTGGTGGCACAAGTCCGGTCAATGCGGGAACGAGCGGGCTCCTACGCGCCGTAACACACACATCGCGGGTCAAGCGGGGAGATTTGGTCGTAAGCGCCTCCCAGGTGCTGGGCCGTTCGTTTTGCTTTGCACAGCAAGCAGCCTGCACATTGAACTCGATGGCTCTAAACGGCTTCACGGACCAAAAGGTCGCGGATCACAACCGGATCTTGCACCGACGAAATGAACATCGAGGATATATACACGCGCAGACTCCGGCCGTATCATGGAGAGGTAATCATCGCCTTCTAACCGAAATAAGACCCTTGAAGGACCTGCCGTGCTCATCTAATACAGGAACACCTTTGGCTGCAAGCTGAATGGCTCCCTCCAGGGCCCCATCGATGGACCAGATGACCTGCCCGGATGGCCCAATTTCGATATCAAGCGAATCCCAGGATATGCCAGCGATCTTGATGTACTCGAGTTCTGGGAACCGTTCCGGCTCGATGCAGCGAAGTGCGGCACGAAGATTGCCCTTGCCTACACTGGAGAGCGTTAGCCGCTGGAGCTTGCGGTGCTCAAGGGTGAGACCTGACGGATTCTGCCAGTAGGCAGCGACACAGGTGAGGTCGGTTAACACTGGCGCAAGGTGGAGAATTTCGGCGACATGGTCGACCTTACAAGGGAAATCAGCATGTAGCTCCCGTATGTGTTTTCCTTGAATGTCGAGGACCATATCAAGGTCCAACCCGCTGACGAGGGGATCTCCGTACAATCGCAGGGTGCGAAGGGACGGGGTTACTGCCCATGTCGCGATCCAGAAGGAGAAAGACCCTTCCGGGTGTGCCAAGTCCTGATCGGGTCCGTCACCCGACATGAAGCCGGCTTCGAGGGTCTGTAGCTTGGGGAGTTCAAGGGAAGGTAAGTCGGCGACTGAGTCAGGGTGAGGAGGCCCCCGAAAGGTGTAGTCGTTTTCGTCCAGTATGCGCAACCAAACAAGGTTGGACAGTGCGTTGAGATGCTCGATTGTCTCGATTGCAAGGTGTACGGGGTTTAACTCGAGGACGAGGTGGGTTAACGTGTGTGCACTGATGTGGGCGAGGAGGGGTAACCATGGCACGTAGCCGGGACAGAAAGTGGTCGCGAAGCGTTGCAACGTAACTTGGGAAAGGAGGTGGCAGAGATATGCGCCGGCTTTCTTCGACAGATATGAGTCCTTCCCGGAGGGATATTCTGCGACTGTAACCCAGCGGATCTTCGCAAGGTTGCTCTCGTTGCTCGATACAAGAGAGCCGATGCGATCCGCCAGGGAGAGATTGGGCGAAGATTCCCAGAGGCGTATATCGATGTATAGGAGGGGCTTGGATACCATGTGCCATCTGCGATTCACGAGACAGATGCTCCATCTTGCTGAGACCGTCGGATAGTCCGCGCATGCCAGGTCCAAGCCGAGGTCGTTGTGTTGAGCGAGCACTTGATGATACGGATCCCATCCGGATACGCAGTATGTCATGGCATATTGGAAGATATGGATCAGGAGCTCGTCTGGGAGTTTATCCATGGTATACAGCGACCAAATATGTAGTCGGTGATGGGCTTTGCCAAGGGCTCCTGTAGCGGTTCGGCCGTCGACGCTGTCGAGACCGTCGAGACCGTCGCTACTTTCTTTTTTTGTTCACTGGACGCTTACGCGTCCCCCCTTTTGATTCATCAGCATGCTCCACTTCCATATGGTCAGGTACTTACGATAGAGTATAAGTACACCGAAGCCTGACGGAGGAGGGGCGACTTGTTGTATCTTCTCGAGTTGCTCAATAACGAGACTTTGAACTCTCTGACTGCGCCGCTCGAGAAACTGACCGTGTGAACGCCCTTTGATCAGTTCTGATCTTACTCGCGTCACAGCTCCACGCGACGCGAACAAGCTGGACTCTCGAGCGCCTGAACGCGATCGATGCAAGGCAATTGCGAAGCACGCGCACTTGGTAAGTACATATCGCTCGTCAGATTTTCAAATAAACATTGTGGCCTTGACCAGCACTGATTTATTCTGGCCTCTGTACGCGGGTGTATGTTCCACATATACATATACATGTAACGAGTTCGTATTCGTGACGATACAGAGTCAAATGGAAGTTTTATGACGCGTAACCTCCGTTTCAGACAATTAGAGCCGTTTGGCAAACGATAAATATCGAAATCCTTGAAACTTTCCCAGCCCCACCTCGATAATTATCCGAAACTTTCTTCCACGAGTTTCGAAACTTCTGTCCAGCGCAACAACCGTTTTTGGGTCAGGTTGCACTGCCACAATTCTGCCATCCATGTTGTACATCGGGTCGCACGTCGTACAACGCGGCGCCAGACCCGTGCGATAGCCTTCATGACCAGCTGTATCATAGACTCTGAGTTAGGGTTGGTAGTTGATGAGTGAAGGTGAGGTCGAAGCTGCAAGGGCGAATGCGCAAGCTCGATGACGGTGACATAAGCACTGCGCTCGCGTGGCAGGTTTCGATACAATCCCAAAACGTTTCGGGAAAGTTCCGAAACCAAACTTCCGATATTTATCGTTTGCCAAACGGCTCTATTGCAAGACGCGGGATGCACGATCCATCCATCGCCGTCTAGTCGCAACCAAACCTCCAAATGGCTTGCCCCGCTGATCCAGCAAGGGGATACCCTCGGCGGCGAGCTTGATGGCCACGTCCAAGTCTTCCTCAATGGAGCACGTCTCCTTTCCCGAGCGGGCAACCTCGATATCCTCAGAGTCCCACGATATGCCGTCGAGCTTGATGTACTGAAGTTCCAGAAACTTGCCGGTATCCATGCACTGGTACGTTTCTGCGAGTAGACCCTTCCGGCCCCCTGTGACGGTGAGCCGCTGAAGCTTGGGATGCTGAAGGACGATGGCGTCCTTGGAAGCATGTGGGCGCATATAGTTGCCCTCCGGGACGATGCAGGTAAGTTCAGTCAACTCCGGCGCGATAAGGAGGATGTCGTCTAGATCGTCGTCGGAGTAGGGGGCATGAACGAATAACTCCTGTAAACGCGGACCATGCTGGCCGATTATGGATCTGATGTCCGTCCTACTCCTATTCGGATCTCCATGTAGACGCAGCTTGCGAAGGGATGGTAAATGGGCTCTGCTCGCGAGCGAGAACGAGATGGCACCGCCGGGATGGATGGGCTTCCAGTGTAAGCCTGATATGATGTCGAGAACTTCGAGTTTGGGGAGCGCCAGTGCAGGTAGCTCGTCCAGAGAGGCAGGGCTCCGGGGCTCAGCTGGGGTGTCGTCGTCCAATCGATCGGTTATCCGTAGATAAACCAGGTTTACGAAGGAGTTGATCGTCTCCACCGAGTCTATCGGGACCCGCCTCGGGTTGAATTGAATATCGAGGTAAGTCAAGGTGCGCGCGCTCGTATGAGCGAGGAGGGACAACCAGGGAACGTATCCGGGGTAGAAGTTGGTAGCGAAGTGCTTGAGGGTGACCTGAGAGAGCAGGTGGCAGAGGCGTACGGCGGCGGTCTTGGACAGGTGAATACCCGCAGAGGGTAAGTCGCGGACGTCCAACGTATGCGTCCCAACGAGCAATTTTGGGTTACGGTCGCTCGCTGTCAGCAAAGAGCTGAGGCGGGCGGGCAACGGGAGCCAGTAACAGTGCCGGATGCGTATGTCACGATATAGGTATGGCTTGGCAATGGCGTGCCATTTGCGATTGATAAGACAAAGGCTCCATCTCGTGAACGCCGTCACTTTTCTCTCCGAATAAAAATCGTCGCCTCCCGCGGCGACGGAGTCGTGGAACGGGTCCCAGTTTGGCGAGGGATATTCGGAGGCATGTTTCGCAATCAGGGCCAGCAGCTCGTCCGGTAGCTTGTTCATTTCCCGGTCTGTGCTGGACGGAACATGAGTTGAAGACGAAGAAAGACTCAGAGCGTGGTGGACAGCAGAGCAGACTTGGGCGGTTCGCGCAAGTGGCGCTAACACGTGATCCTGCGCGCTCTAGTTTCCGAAAGGGGAAGTTGTAACATGGGCAATTTGCGAATTAGATGCCGAATTTGACGACTAAACCTTACACCGCGCCGAGCAACATGACCGCGACTTGCATTCCGGCCTCGACGACCAGCACGGCGCACAACGCACCCAAGAATGACCCGACCAGACGTCTTCACTTCCTCTGGCGCTGCGGCCTTGGAGCCAGCATAGCGCTCAACGCTTCGCACGGCAGCTTTAGCCTTTGATGCTATTTGCAGCCATTTCGTCGACGTCATTGATATCCTCCGCCTGAGACCGTGTACATATGCTCGCCCGCGCCCTCTGTCGTCGCCGTACCTTGCAGCCGCCACCATGGCGCTCTACACGCTCCAGATTACCTTCCACTCGGCGTTGAACCTCCCCATCGGCGACATCCATACCCTCTCCATCGACCCATTCATCGAGGCCTCGCTCGACGTCCCCACCTTTCCCCGCGAGCGTGACGACCCACCGCTTACCTTCCGCACGCCGTCTCTGCACTCGACCCGCGACCCGACATGGGACGCCGTCTGGGTCGTGTCTGGCATCCCATCTGAGGGCTTCCTCCTCAAGATGAACGTCAAGGACGAGGACCCGAGCACGATTGACGACCGCGCGGGACAGGCCGTCGCCGACTTTCGTAAGGCCGGCGTCGTGCGCGATGGCTTCGAGGTCAAGATGGGCACTTACGATATTCGGAAGAGGAGTTCGAGCCCGCAGATGTATGTGCAGACGGCGCTGCTCAGCATCCTGCCGTGCGTGAAGATGAGCTTGCACGGTCGTGTGATTGTGTCCATTCGGTGTTTGGGGAAGGCGCCAAACCAGAACACGCGAAGAGCGTACACATTAGGGCCTAGTATGTACCTGCAGCCTATGATATGTGCGCAGGATATTGACCATAGATTGTTATCAGACAAATGGACGCAGCATTTCTCCCCGCTGGTGGGGTACATCACCGCTTCGCGGCATGCCCCACCTTCCACAGATCCCGACGTGCAATCCGCCCTCCAGACCACGACCGGCACAGGCAGAAAGCTTTCAGCATCCACGTTCATCGCCAATCGCCTACAACTTACTGGGCCCGTACCAGATGAGCTACGTCACCGGTATGCCGGCCCGCTCTTTTCATCAGAATATGATATCAATGCGTTCTATGCGTAGATACGTCGGCTACCGGCCCTTTATCGACTGGATGTTCCAGCGGTCAGGGATCCGGGGCCGTATCCTCAATCGCGGGCTCAGGAAACAGTACCGCACCATATACTCTTACGATTCGAACACCAAGTATGGAGTCGTGGAGCGAAGCGAGCATGAGGAGGACCGCTTCTCGAAAGAGTTTGCGCTGCAGTTTCTCAAGATGGTCTCCTTCGGTACTGGAGGGCGTTTATTCACGTGCGCTTGCTTTTCTGGAAATTGAATGCATGCATTGACGCGTCCAACGGCGTAGATACGTCATCACACTGGACGGCGAATGGAGATTCACGGAAACCGGAGAAGAGTTTGCTGTCCAGATGTTGTCGAAGCACGGTATGCACGCCGACCTGGCGAAAGAGGTCGCGTTCAGCGGCGAGTTTTTTGTTCGACCAGTGGTGAACGAGGCCGAAGTCGGGAAAGGCGGCGGCTTCAAGAGTGGAAGTAAGGTCGCGGACGGCAGCATCACGAAGGAGGTCGAGGAGAAGAAACGGAAGGAGGAGGAAGACAAGGAAAAGCAGGCCCAGGACCACGACGACAAAAAGGAGAGCAAGGCGAAACAACTGACGAAGAAAGTCAAAGGCCCAGAGCGCGAAGTTGAAGAGATGGAGGCGAAGGAGGAGCAGAAGAAGGAAGAGCAAAAAGAGGAGGAGAAAGATGAAGCAGATCCACGGATTCGCAAGCTCGCGGGAGAAGATCCGGAAGAGATTTTACAGGACCCGGCCGTGTACGAGCTCGTCATCGACAACGACTCGGGCACGTACCGGCCCCGTCTGGAACTGCTCCCGGTGCTACGGGAGTGGCTGGGCTCCCCGGAGAGGCTCGGCGCGTTGGGCAGGATCACTTGTGTCGACGTGCGTATTCACCCGCTACTACCATCTATCTATACTTTATGTTCTAACGGTTTCACAGGGTTTTGACGAAGATCTTCAGAAAGCCAAAGAGGCGCGCACCGCGCTCCGGAAGAAGAAGAAGGGCGTCAAGGACGGCGAGCGCGTGGCGATGCCTCGGCGAGGTTCCTCGCTGTCCAGCATCGACAGCGGCGTCTTGGGGCAGAAGGAGAAGAAGGGTGTGCTAGGGAGCATGCACGTTGGGAAGGGTAAACCGAGCATAGGGCGGAGCGTGAGCAGCGGCGAGATTGAGAAGGCGTTGAAGGAGCACGCCGATCAGGCGGGAGCAGAGGTTGGGGGTAGCGGGGCACACAACGGCGAGGCGCACGCGTACGATGGGGCAAAGGCGCAAAATGGCGATGCGCATCATCCGACAGATCAGCAAACAGCGAACGAGGGCGAGCGTGATGCAACCGCGCCGGACCCGGGAACTGATACCCGGAACGAGTCTGAGGGGCCCACTGCTGAACCACAGGATGAGCCGCTGAAGTCGGATAATTATGATGCTCCATCGAGTTCGAGTCCGTCCTCCTAGCTCGAGTGATTGCATTGACCTGCTTGTTCGGATTTATTTGCTTTAAACTTGAATTCTTATGGATAGTATATTGTATTTTATACTTGATATACCCTTCAATATGGGCATCTAACCAGAAATCGGTCCAAAGACGCATAGGGAAGGTGAAAGCAAGTCGGTTGGACAACGTGTATTCTAAACTGAACGTGATGTCCATGATATAGCATTGGTACAACACGTCCATGCTGGTTCATTGTGTTCTCCTTAGGGTCAAGTTTGCCGACGGGTACTTCAGAGTGTCGTCCTCGAAATAGATCAGATCTACCGGCGCGCCATTGGCATTGGCCATGTCGAGCCGTACCCAGTACATGAGGCAGTCCGAGCCCGGCGGCGGCACTATGAGGGATACCCTAGCAAGTTGCATTCCAGTTCAGTGTCTCCGCTTCAACAACAACAAATGCGAACTAACCTGAACTCGCCCTCCCTTCCGGTAGGCCACAAAGGTGCTCTCCTCGCCTTGCCGCTCGGTACATCCTGGAACAAAGCCAGGATGTCAGTCCCGTTGACGACGAGGTTCTCCACCCATAGCGTGCCATCCCAGATCGTAAGCTCAACGTGGTTCTGGAAGGGATCGGCGGAAGAAGGCGATGGAAGCCAAGCACCAGCGTAAAGGCGACCGGCTTCGCGAGCGAGAATGCGTTCAAATTCGGGTTGTACCTGGTGTTGCTGTGGTCAGACGGTGCCCAATCTCAAGACACAATCAAGCTGCTCACCAGTCCCAAAGCAGGGTCCACGATGTCATGAGGGCCAGAAAACGGTCCCGTGGTGAGAAGTATCATGGTATAGGAATGTTCCGGGTTTAGCGCGAAAAGGGTGTGGTATCCCGGGAGCGACCCGCCCTTCGTGTACACCCTGACCGCGTCGCCCTTGCCGAACTTGTGGATCTCCCACGGCGCGCCAACCTCCTGGCTGCGGTCATTCCAGACGTGCAGCGGCCGAAGCCACTCGCGCACGACGTGCTCCGGGAGCAGACCGGCGTTGTGGGAAGGCGCGAGCAGAGACTGTGCGGTGACGATCATGTCTCGGAGGGACGAGTATTGGCCGCCGCTGGAGTCCATCGCGGTGCCGAGGGGCTGCTCGGCCCACTCTGGCGTATCTTTGGGGATCGCCACGAGCGCCGCCAGGGTGGGGTCGTCATACGGGAACGCGAAGAAGCTCGCGTTTAGGCCGAGGGCGTCTAGGACGTCCTTCTTCGCCAGCTCGCGGTACAGTTTCTCCTTCTTGTGTCCTTCGCCGAGGCGACTGGCGCCGGCGTTTACCATCCCAAGAAGATCGAACCCGGTGTTGGAGTACATCGGATACGCGTAGGGCTGGATCGCGATGGGGTACGTCGCCACCGCGTTGAGGATTGCCGTTCGGTTTATTTCCGGCATGGTGATGTTGTCATCCGAGATAGGCCAAGAAGGGGGCGGCCACGACGGAAATGAGGTCGTAGGGAAATCGCGGCCGAGGCCTGCCATGTGAGACGCGAGCTGCCGAACCGTAATCCTGTTCGTGGGGCTGCGAGCGTGCAGAGACGAAAACGGGGCAGATATGTGTTCAGCCCAGCCGTACTGAGGGTCTGGGTAGGAAATGTCGTCAATGTACTTGTCGATGGGGTCGTCCCAATTAATCCAGCCTCTTTCCCTTAAAACCAGGGTATGGAACACAGCAAACATCTTGCTTATGCTCCCAATCCTATAGATACTGTCCCTCGTCACCGTGCCCTTTTTGGAAGGATCGGTCTCATTTGCATGTAGAGAGCCAGAGGTGAACTCGAAGAACGAGTGATAGGGACCCGCCAGCGCGAACGAGAGAGAATCGATGTCGGGTCGCTCTGCTTGAAGGGAGAGATACGGAGATAGGATCAAGGAAGTGTAGTCCGATATCTCGCTTGCAACGCGGTCGGCAAGGAGAGGGTCGGAGAGCAGGTTGGGAAGGGGGGGACGACATTCATGCGCGGACCGAAAGAAATCCTTGTTCGAGGCGGCATTTGGCCGCGATGGCCTCCACCAACTCGGACTGGCACCGTTGTTGGGGATATATGCCGCAGAATACAAGCCGAGGAGGAAGGCCGCAGCTAGGACCAGACTCTGCTTCCCGATGCTGTAGCCGAGCTTCGGAAGGGTTGAGGAAATGCGCGTCGTATCGGCGTTGGCCAGATGGAGGGGCAGTTTCTCGTCCATCCCGGCGCGATGAGGAACAGAAGCACTTCCTCCGTCCTTGGTGCTTCCAGCTTTCAAGTTCAAGCTTCAAGGGGCTGCGACGACTGCGGAGAGTTGCGCGCCCTCTGCACGTGCGCCCGACGAGTACGCGAATGATACGTCGAGGTGCGCATCAAGGCGGAAGGGCCGCCGAGAAACGCATGTATGCAAGGATATATGTTGCTCGACAAGACACCATTGCACCCATGTCTTCCACCGGGAACGCCTTCGACATGGTGAGACCGGTAAGCGGATGTGGCGGTGAAACTGCCTTCGCTGCACTCCGCCACAGTGACCTCGTGCAATCGCCTCTACATCAAGTTAACATTAGCGGATCTTGATATATCTAGCCTACTTTGGCCCTCTTTGTCAACTCTGTGTCGAATTCAGGTTTGCAGTGATCAGATCTCAGACCCCGCCCAGCATGAGTTCTTTCCGATTCACCGATCATATGCTGTACGCATATACACCTCCTCGGGTGTTCAAGATTGCAGCGTATTGGGGAGGCGCCCAGGTCGCGAAGGGCACAGCATCCCGTATATACCTACCTACCTACCGTAGGCCATCAGGAACGGCGCAGAAAAATGTCGACGCTCGTTGAATGGGAGTTCACCGATCGCGCCGCGCTCAATTCACCCCTACGGCAAGATAGCGTCCTTATCGAGGTGTCGACAACAGATGCTCGGCATTTTTATCCATCCTCAATCACAATTTACTACTGGATCATAACCCCGGCACAGGATATCAACTTGGGCGGGAGCACAGCAGACACGGACGTTTCTTAAGGACGATGCTCTGACAAGCGCGTCTGAGTTTACGGTCTTGTCTCTCGCCATTCGATATGGCCTGTTCATTCTTCGCGATTATCATTATCCTTGCTCTTTCCTTACGCGAAGCCACGGTCTTTGCATCCCCTGTTACTCTTCCTCTTCATGCCAGATCAGCTCGACCATCCTTTTCTAAAGTACAATCACTGCAGCTAGAGCACGTCGCTCTGCAGAACAAGATGCGCTCCTCCGAGGCCAACTGGAAGGCACGACAAGATGACCCTATACAACGACGTGATATCACAGCATCTGCCAGCTCTCCCTCCCAAGCCACGACCGAGCTTATCGAATGTGCGCCTTGTACACTGTCCACAAAAGCACGCGTTTTGTAGCTGAATCATCCCTATCAAGTTCAGGAAGATTTCATTGACATAGCATACTACGTGAATGTGCGTTGTATATCAACCCTCCTTTTGCGCCACTGTTGCTGACTATGTCATGATAGGTCACAGTCGGCACTCCGCCTCAGTCCTTTCTGGTGATTGCCGATACCGGGAGCTCTGACTTCTGGCTTGGTGCTCCAGGGAGCATCGGCATCAACAATGTGTTCGATCCCAGCAGTTCGTCGACTTACGACCCCTCAACAATACCGATTAACTTGCAGTACGTGCAAGAGCGCCTGCTCTCGACTACATCCATTGCAATCTAAACAGTGCTGCTCGTTCAGGTACGGCGAAGGATTCTTTAACGGCTACGCGGGATCCGACACGGTATTGGTTGCAGGATTCACCATTCCGCACGCTGTGGTGGAATCCGGAACGGTGAACTCGTCGGCGTTCGAGTTCAGGCAGTTGTCGGGCATCATGGGATTTGCCTGGCAAGGTCTTGCAGCGTCGGGATCAGCGAATTTCATGGAGCAACTCGTCGGGACGAACACGCTGTCCGAACCTGTGGTCAGCTTTCACCTCGGTAGGGGCGTCGACGGCATCATTGCAGACCCGAACCCCTTCAATAGCACGCTCAAATCCGGTAGTTCGATCACAATCGGAGGCACTGACACGTCGACCGTATGCACTTATCGCCATGTGCATCGATCCGCATGGGGCTCAATGCTGTATTGTTCAGTTTACAGGTGACATCACGCACTATGCCATCGTTTCAGAAGCACATTGGGTTGTTCAGGCCGATGGGATGTCCGTCGGAAACACTTTGGTCTCCGGGACGGCCGGGATCCAAGCGATGGTGAGCAATTGATCCAGCAGTCGATGTGCTTACAATCTGTTAACCCCCGTCGCAGATGGACACCGGGACGTCCCTCGTTTCAATGCCAGACGACGCCTTCACCGCCCTCGCCTCCGCCCTCCATGCTCATATAGATAAAACGACCGGGACCATGTGGGTGAATTGCTCATCTACGCTTCCACCGGTTGCCTTGCGGCTCGGTGGAAAGGATTACGCCTTCGCCGTGGAAGATTTGGTGACGGAGGTGCAGCCCGTCGAGTCGAGCGAGATGGCCCAACAAGTAGGCCTCAAACAGGGCAGCCTCGCTTGCCTACTGCCGTTCATGGCGGGACAAGATACGTCAGAGCTGGGACAGGGCACGACACCCATGATTATCGTCAGTACTTCCCACGCAGTCCGCATTGTCTGTAGATCTCATCCTCGATAGTTCGGCGACACATTTTTGAAGTCCTACACGTCGGTTTTCGATTATGGGAATAAGTCTGTCGGTCTTGCCGCATCCGTCCCGGCTTCGAAATTCCCTTCGATGTCGGACGTCGTCGGCTTCAAGCTCAGTCAGAAGGAACTAGCATCCGGCTCAGTAGTCGCGTCGTCAGCGGCAGCTTTGGTTAGTCTCGCGCATGTTTCCAGCGGTTTGATCGTGGCATCGATCATTTCCTTGGGGCTTTCGGCGTTGTGATCAGTCCGTTCCCATTAGTCGATTTGGAGAACTGTGCATATGGTTTCCCAGCGCTGTGGGACCCAAGGTGTATAAATATAATGGTCCGGCTACATATTGCCTCAGAGCTCAAAGCGTGTACAAGGATGTAGTAACAAACAAAGCAGAGATACAGAATTGCTGAACATACGCATAACACGACTCCCCGACCTATCCACCATACAATGCATGTTACAACTTTCCCGGGACGTCTTCGGATCTATCCACCGTCTGGGCTGTTGTTTTGTCCTCTGCGTGCCCATCCTCAACGTTCGCTTGGACAAGTTCTACGGGTTTCGAGGGTGGGTCGGCGACAGTTTGCGCTGCGATTGCCTGCGCCTCATCCACGAGCTTGCCATGCTCTTCTGCTTTCGCTTCGACATCTTCCGGCTTCAACTCTGACGACGAAACCTGCTCTCCCTCCTTCCCAGCCTCGTTAGGACTCGAATTCGAATTCGATGATGATAGGTCCAACGCCTTTTCGACGGCTTCCACGAGCGAGTCGACCTCGTCAGCGGGACCCTTCTCCGCATGTTTCTCCGCCGCCTGTTCGTCCATTTCCTCCTTCTCAGAGCCGGACGGAACAGCGGCATCAGGGGCGGTCTCCGCCCAGAGTCGGTCAAGCTCCGCTTCCCACTCGGGCCCGAGCTCGCGACACAGCTCGCGCACGATATCATCGCACTTTCCGAGGAGAAGCACGTCGTCTGGTCGGGTCCCTATGTCTCTGCGGGGCCTCAGTCGGTTTTTTGGTCCAAAACGCTCGCCAAAAGAGGGACACTGACCCGGCGGGTTCAAGGTTGATAAGGACGCGCGGGCAGTCCACGTATTGCGTCAGGCTTGCGAACGGGTGCACCTTGAGCGAGGTGCCCATGATGATCAGCAAGTCTGCGGACCGCAGCATCGGGGCACAGGCTGCGAACCGTTGCGGAAGCTGTGGTGGATGAAATTATCATGGGGCATGTAGGCCATATCAGTTCACTTACAGCTTCTCCAAAGAATACTATGTCTGGTTTGACGAGGCCGCCGCATTGCTCGCACTTTGCAATCTCACTTTTCTGTGCTCGCCGTTAAATTGGGGACGATCACAGGAGAATGGGGACTTGCCAGTATCTTCTCGCGTAGTTTGTCGCTTTCGTAAGGAGCATGGCAGTCGATGCAATGCTGATCTGCGAACGATCCGTGCGCTTCGACAATCTTGTTGTCCGGTACTCCCTGATGAGAATTCGCCAGGAATGACATCAGATGACTGGAAGACCGAGAACCCCCCAAAAAAACGTACGGCCCTGCGTTCCAACGTGTCTATATTTTGTGTGAAGCACATCTTCATCTTGACATGCTGCGCAGGAGGCGGGGGCTTCGTGAATAGCCGAATGAACGAGTGGGAGAGCGTTGGTCGGTAGCTCGCCGGATCCAACTCTTTCGCAAGGGCATAGACTTGTATGACGACGGATGAGGTATGATACACATCGCGCAAGCAAGGCACCAGACTCACATGGTTCCGGATTCTCGCGGAAGAAGGAGATCTCAAAGACAGCTTCAGGGTATGGAAGGTTCAGGCGGGCGAGATTGGCCTGACTTCCGACTTATATCACACATGCTGATCACTGAGAGATCGCACTCACATATAAGCCTGCAATCAGATATCAGACATTCGTTAACGCTGCACGAACCGGAAGACGAACCAGTTTCCGGGGACCTGAAATCGGGTATGCCCGCCGCGGTACTCAGCCCTATGCATCACGGACAGCGGTTAACGTTGTGTCAACAAGCCCAATGGCGGGAGTCATGCCTCACCGGCGCCCACCTATTCATCGAAAAGTCTGTTACCCTCGTGCATGCTCCACGTATCGCAAGCGCACAACGCGCGCACCATGAAGAAGACGTTCGTGCATGCACTCGACTTGATGTACTTGGCCAGCGACGGTATATCCCGGCCTTCGAGAATAATAGGTGGACCCTCGTAGGGCTCTGCCGACACTTGGTTGCCCATCGGTATCAGTTTATTGGTATGATCAGTGCAGTGGATGTCGGTATGTCGGAGGTGCTATCGGGGCGGAGACGAAGCTGCAGAGGATGACGCCGATCGCACGTGGCGCTGCTATATTTGGGTGCATGACGCGGGTGAAGCAAGGAACGCGTCTCTGGGACCGTGGACGGCCACTGCGGTGATGAAATATAACAGCTAGCGCGGGTCGTTTCCGTGAGTTGGCCGTGTCCCTCGTCCTCATAGCTGCGCTAGGCTGCAATGTCTGCTCCCGAGAAGGACATCCTGCCTTATTATCCTCCGCCTCCCGCTGGATACCGCCGCGGATTGGAAGGCTTTCAGAGCAAGAAGGGCTCGGCGTGCTGGAAAACGCTATCTCTCGCTGCCGTGGCGATATTCGTCCTTCTGTGCTACCGACAGCCTTTTGCGCTACGAGACCCTCTGAGGCTCCCTGGTCATCGGTGCGGGTCTAGCACGAATTTCACAGCAACGGACCCCGCGGAGACGTACCCAGGTCTCCCCACGCTCAACATCACCAAGTCCATCTCGCGCAAATGGGCAAGTTTTACGCCTTGGCACCCCGTCGCGAACTATACCCCGCCACCGGAAGGCTGCACTATCACCCAGGTATGGGTAGCTGTTCGTGAGTCTCTGGCGGCATGCACTCACCAAAATCGGATGGTCGTATGACCTCTCAGGTTAACCTGGTACGTTCATCCTCGCACCCAAATTTCTTGGATTGTGCACGTGCATGAGCGCTCATCTATCTCTCGTTGCTTAGCTTCAGAGACACGGAGCGCGTCGGCCCTCCAGCGACGACGGTGATCTCTACGCGAAGTCCGTCAAGAAGCTCGTCCGGGCTTCGAAACACTCGGCACACGTGGACTCTTCTCTGAAATGGCTCAAGCATTACCATTACGACCTCGGTGAGGCCGACTTGATTGGACTAGGCGCAGAGCAGTGAGCAGGACGTTTTATGCATCATCACCTCGTCCGATGAACTTAGAGTGTTCAGGTCGTTCTACGCCGGTCAACTAGACTACGAACGCTACGCCAAACTCGGTCTTATCTCTTCTCAGAACGTTCCGTTCGTCCGGGCGTCTGGCAAGCAGCGCGTCGTCGACTCGGCCACCAACTGGACGGCGGGAGTCGCCCACGAGAGCGAACTGGACGAAATCCCGTTGAAGGTGATTATCCCCGAAGAGAAAGGGATCAATAATACCCTCAACGACGATATGTGCCCGAGCAGCACGAAAGGCGGCAGAGAGACCCACCTATGGTACGTTCATCGGCCCCTTTGCGTTTGGATCTTTCGTTGACTTTCCTGCTATTGAAGGCTTGATACGTGGGGCCCCGCAGTCCGCGACAGGATCAACGAGCTTGCATTCGGCAAGTCAGTCAAGAAGACGAAGAAGAAGCACCTCCTCGACCTCGACGACGTGTACAACGTGATGTCCACCTGCGTCTTCGGAACTGTCGTCCACAACGCGTCCAGCCCGTTCTGCGACCTATTTGAGGAAGACGAGTGGGCTAAATTTGAGTACTACGGAGATCTGGAGAAGTTCTATGGGCGAGGGTGAGCCGTTTTGGCACGAACGGCACACGTATCAATATTGAGTCAGATATGGGTACGTAGGTACGGGCAAGACCTCGGACCTGTGCAAGGCGTCGGCTACGTCAACGAGCTCCTCGCTCGCCTCACCAACACTCCGGTGGTCGATAACACTCAGACGAACAAGACGCTCGACTCCGACCCGGCGACGTTCCCGCTGGGAAAGACATTTTACGCAGATTTCAGTCACGAGAACGTGGGTGCCGCTGTTTCTGTATGACTCGGATGGGTTTGCTGATTCGCTGTTTATGCAGCTGATGGCAGCCGTGTATGCCGCACTGGGCCTTTTCAAGGAAGAACAAGGCTGGCCATTGGACCCTGAGCGCATGGACCCTAACCGCATCTGGCGCGCGTCCCGCATCACGCCATTCAGCACGCGACTCGTGGTCGAGAAGTTGGCCTGCGAGGATGTCGACAGCGAACCCGACCTTGTGACAAGCCAGAGCGAAGTGGCGAAGTCGACGCTGGTTGCCGAGTACGTGCGCATTTTGGTGAACGACGCGGTGCACCCGCTCGAGCACTGTTCCGAGGCTGGGAATGGGGGCGAGAGGGGCGACGGATTATGTACGCTCAAGGCGTTCGTCGAGAGCCAGGCGTATGCGAGGAGCCAGGGAGGCGGAGATTGGGAAAGGTGCGGGTGGAAAGTCGAGTGAGGCAATATACCCCGATCGGTGACGGAGGACGCTACATCCTTCAAGTTTAAATTAAATGGATGGATCCTGCTACTGTTTGAAGTTTATACTTGTGATCTACACATCCTATCGGATCCTTTGCCTGTTGCGGCACGGAGTCTTGACCTAAAAACTCGCTCAATAGCGGTTCCAGAGATTGTGCACCGCGTCGGAGAGTAGAACGATGATTCGTACATATTCAAACCTGGTGCAGTTTTGTTAGATACATGGATATACCTTTGTAACGTCTCGATCCAATCTTAGATATTGTAGCCAATGTTGTGCTCGATACCCATCTGTGCCAACTCCTTCCACGCACTCCAGAGGTCTGCATCGTCGTCGGACAAGGTAGCACCGACCGAACCGGCACTATCGACTTTCTGGAAGGGCATCTCATCGACATCACAAAGCAGATGTTTCTCCTCTTGGACCTTCCCGTGTAGCATGTAATCCCGGACCCTGCGTGCCGTACACGCAGACGCGGCGCTGATGGAGCAGTGGCCATAACCGTCCTTCTGTTGGATCAGTCGCGCGTTGTTGCCAACGCGATCGATGGCCATCTGCGCGTGTACGAGTGGAGTGACCGGATCGTAGGTGTTTGAGAGAACAAGCATGGGGGTGTTTAGCGTGTCGTTCGGCAAGGAAAACGAGCCGGCGTGGCGGAGCGTCGCGCGTGGAGGGGGCTTCTCCGGGAAGAGGGACGCGCAGGTCATGAAACCGAGATGGCCTTCGGCGAAACGCATCGTATATTTAGCTGACGAATCCAGGATCATGGAGGCCATTTCGGGAATAGTTGGCTGGGGACGAGACTCGTCGTACGCTTTTGCATCCGCACACTGATAAAGACGTTAGGCCCATTTCCGCTTAGAAAAAATTGAGCTGGCACCGACCAAGACGTAACTGCCGGAGTATGCGCTGGTATCAGGTTCTTGGGCGCTCTTCCCTTCAATACGAGTCAGGGTCGCATTGACAAGCTTCGTGAGGTCGGCGTGGAAGAATGCGTCATAGAGCTGCTCAGCAAGACCGGGCCAAGACTGTATGCGATACATGTTCTGGAAAGGGGTCAGTGCGAGTCGCGAACAAGTCGGAGGGATGACATGCCGTGAACATCAACCGACGGACACTGGAAGCAGTCGCAACGGATGGGACCGATAGGTTATAGACCGCTTGCGGTTCAGCGTATAGAGAGTCTATCAGTCCATCTATACGATGAACGATCTCCTTTGGACTGAGTTCAGCAAGTGCGCATTGAGTGGTGTTCTTCGACGCCGAGCAAGTAGTTGCGAAACCGTCTACAATCTTGTCGATGTCCTGGAGACCTTCTGAATAGCAGAAGAACGGATTGTCGTTAGCTATGTTCAAGCCGAAGGTGACTGGTAACTGACGGTCAAGAACGTTGTGAGGATAATCATTCCAAATATCCGCGTTTACAACCCCGTCAATGATAATACGCCCAATGCGGGCTGGAGGGAGGAGTTTGATCAGATATTGACCGATCACCGTTCCGTACGAGAAGCCCCAGTCTAGCGAAGATAGTTCAGGATCAGATATTGTGTGGTTCATGCAAGAACCCACAATTGATCGGCTTATCCTCTCCTTCTATGAGGTTCGCCAAGTAGTCGATATCGCGAACGACATAATCAGTACCTTTAATGTTCGGATGGTTAAGACTGAGTTCAGGGAAGTTTCGTGCAAACGGGATGACCTGACTTACCAACGAAGGATATCTCTTCTCCGGTCCTCTCCACGCATTTTGGAGCAAGGCTCCGGTATGCGGCCAAGATTCCACCAAGCTGTGTCTGGATATGATCCTGAACACGCTCTTTGTTTGCATCCGTGACATTCGTAGGCAATTCAAGCGAGAACTCGTTGTGTTGCGCCGAGAATAAAGCTTGGTCCAATTTTGATTCGAAGCACGACACGTAGGGGAGCGTCTTGTTGACTCCGCGTGGATCGAAACCAACGAGATCGAACTTGCCTAAGCGCTGATGAGCGGAAAGCATCGTGGCTAGTGGACTCCCTTACCCTCAAATATGCGTGACAATATGGGGCCACGGGTGAACGTGAAGCCAGTACCCGAACCTCCTGGGCCACCGGGATTGAGGAATATAGCTCCTTGCCTGTAGGCGAGTCAGGACGACCATTTGACTCTCCATTGGAGTCCTGTCACCGCACCTATTCTTACGGTCTATCGCGAGATAACGAGTGACCGCGATTGAGACGGTACGCGAGTCCGACTCGTTGCCATAATCAAGCGGCACGGTGACGTCGGCGCATTGGAACCCGGGGAAATCCTCAGGTCCGCTTCCACAGGATTTCCAGTCCACTAAAGCCGTAGTAGCTGAAAGCGCTCTGTTTGATACTGAGAACTCTTGGAAGAGATGAAGACAGGGGTTGTAGCCATGAAAGAACCAAGCGAAGGTGAGAGCGGCAGTAACAAAAACCCGAACGCCATGAGCTCGCCAGGTCTTGCTGCATTCAAGGTGGCGACGAGAGTCGTTGGCCGGCAACATCAAGCCTGCACCGTCATCTCGTGAAGTCCCCATCGTGCACCGAAGCAAGTCAATATTTTGCATCGGACACGAAGTCATATGCCTGTCCGCAGTATCAGTACCGCGGCCCGCATGGCTCATTGTTATTCTTGTGTGATACCGCAGCCTCACAGCCAGAAAGGCACTCACACTGCCAGCATGTATCACTTTGGCGATGCAATTAAATTCCGAGACCACTTTCACGGTTGGTGACGCACTAAAATATACGGACCACAATCGATCCTAGCACAGATCTACGAATACAACTCTACAACAATACAACGGACGTAGTGTAGCAGAGCAACAGAGTCCCTATGAGAACCATATTTCCTCTGATCTGATTGGCAGAATTAGTAGCTTGCGTGAAAGAGATTGGAGATGAAGCCCCAGGGGTGAAGTTGCTGATGAGTCCGGCTTGATACAACTTGAAGTTGACGACATCGGCCACCGTATTGTAACGTGGAGGGGGCGAAGCAGGGGCAAGTCCCACCCGCAGATTCCCGATATCATACACAGACGTCCATGACTTGAGAAACGTATCTCCGAACTGGGCATGATGATGGTTGAACAAGGTCAGCTATTACCTTTTCAATGAGCGAAGCGAACGACTGACTATAGCCGTCAGTGGCGGGCCGTCAAGTGCAGGGCCTTCCACGGTCATGAAAGGTAGCAAGCACGCGAGACGTCCTTTCTCGACGCCTGTGTGTTTTGCTAGACCAGTGGTGTTTACAGGGAAGACATCCCAAACAAGGTCCTCCATGGAGAAATCGAAATCACTGCCGTTGATGCGGAGCGCGATCCCGGGGAGAGTCGAGGAACAGTCAACGTAGAGATTGTAGCCAATGCCGTCTTCCTTGACTGCCTTGCCTCCCACCGCTTTGGCGAGCGCTTTGATCATCGCGTTGGGCAAAGTCACGAATTCCGTACCCGTGTCCATCTATGCATCGCTCTACGTGAGCATTAATGATGCAAAGTAATATGACTTGTGTACGCACCATGGCCTGCAAACCTGCGGTCCCATGTACTAGGTGGGAATTCACATATAGACCATCGGCGGCTACCTGCCACCATGTTTGTGAAATGATAGGGAAATAGGAAATGTTACCGGTGAACTGGTCAATGCAACGATTAGCATACGGGGGATTGAATTTTTTGGCCATCGCATACAGTTGTGTCATCCACGCCACCAACGGTGAAAGAACCAGAGGTCACAGTCCCATTGCTTTCGGTTGTCACTTGATCACCGAGACTATCGTAGCCCCGCCCAAGATAGAAACTGAACAACGGCTCGGAAAGAATGCCGGAGTACGCTAGTTGTTCCATGAAAGTTGGGGTTTGAGAGAATGATATGGCGCTCCATGCAAGTCCTATAATCCCCGATAGCGCTTCATATGCTAAGCCTGACGATGGAGTTATGGTGGCTGTTTCGACCGTTGTGTCGTCGACGGTAAAACCGGCCAGACTGACCCGGTCCGTACCAACTTCGGCAACAGTGTTGCTCCCGTCATCATAGCTGGTAGGAATCGACTGAGTACTACTGTGAAGATTGTTAACGAAACAAAAATCCTACGATATGCCAACCGTTCGGTCCAAGTCCAAAAACGTGGACGATGAACTTTTGTTGAAGGTGTTCGGTACGCCAACGCTTCCGGTACTGGCTAGCCAAAGGTCGGAGCTGCCCGTGTCAGCCTGGACGATCATTGGTTGCGGAGGGCTCCCGACTTGGACCTATCGAGATAAGCGACAATTTAACCGGACACTATTTGAAAGACATACTGTCAAATAATATCCAAAATCTGCTCCGATCAACTGCCAGCCCGACCAGACTATGGATCCTGTTAATGTCGATTACCAAGAGTTTCATGGGTCATCCTACAGTCTGTCAAATTCACGGACGAGCGAGAGGTGCGCTGAATGGGTTTCGGCTCGGCATGGGAGGGGTACACGCCCTCTTCCTCACGACGCAAACCGCTTTTCAAGTCTTGGTGCCAATTTAACGCGCGTATTCTTTGCGTAGCACGAGCAGCTTGACGTTGCATCCACTGCGTCTTCAACCGTCCGATAGACAAGGCTCGGGTAGACAGCGGAAACGTCGTCGAAGACACAGCAATGGGGACTTGACTCATCACGAGAAGGAAAAGGCAGGAAATATGGAAAAGGGGGGCCATCGGTAAGAATAGCGGAGCTATGGCAAAGATGTAGACTGGGAAGAGGATGCCATGGGTCTGACCGTATCGACCTAGTTATAAAGGGCACACCGAGAAAGGGACGCCATCCTGTGCTATTAGGATGGTGAGTACCTGCAGTTGGCACATCACAGAAGTCCGGCTTCCAGACCTGTCAGAGGTGCAGTCCAGCATTGTCCTATAACCAAGCACAGGCTGGGACCCACACGAACAACGTCACTTTCGATAATGCAAAGTTCCAAAACGCCCTCTGGTCCGGATCCATGTTCCCGATTTGACCTCAAGGTCGCCAAGCGTTTGACGGTGACCCGCTGGTCGTTGCAAGCAATCGATGATTTGAGGCTACAGCAGAAGCTTTGTTGCACATCGGAACAACGGCGATGTTGCGACCAGCGTGAGTTCAAATCTTCGGATTGGACATTGGACAGAGTCACACACAGCACGATGCAACGTTGCGGACGCGGGGACCCTCCATTCTAGGGGTCACGGGATAATCATTTGACAGCCTTCAGATTGTCAATGTCCGAACAGCCTTCCCTCCGCGTATGCCAGTGTGATGTAGAGTACATACTCGGTAAAAGACTAGAGACCGTAGGTCACGAAGTATGCTGAGCTGAGTCAATATCGGTATGGGACCATGAGTGGATATTCCGACCCTTTGGATATTGGAAGGGAGGTTGTACTTATTGCCAGTAAGCCGTCCGTGGTGAACGACCTGCCATACAAAGCCCTACGGTGTTAAATATCACACCATGCCATCCTTCGGGGCACCGCGTCATTATACCGCAGCCAGCGACGATTCAGTTCATTGCGAAGGCTAAAATGTCTAGGGTGCTGAAAACATTGTCATCTCAATATTTACTCCCTGCAAATCAGCTTTGATGCTCGACGACGTGAAGCCCGGGTTGCAGTCCACCAACCCGAAAACAATACAGTTAAGTAGCTTATAACTTGGCTTTCGAGTCCGCTGTGCTAACCCCGGCTGCTGTCGCTGCGCGCTCCATCATCTCTTTCGTTTCGGTTGCAGCCTCAGCCAGGTAATGCTGATAATAATGTGTGTATGAGTTGAAAGGCGCTATGACAGAAGAGGAAATCATTGACCTTCAGCTCCGCCGTTCTGCGCTTCAGACTCGTGATCGTCCATCGGATATAATTGTCGCCGATCGAGTATGAAAGACCATATCCATCAGGTACAACTGGATGCATAGCTATGAGTGATCCGCCGTGAGCGAAAGACGCAGCTAACCTTCGCCGTATCCCCAGCCATCCACGAATTTGGAAGAGAGCTGGCTCGTAGACAGCTCCCAGTGATTCGTCTTGGAAAACGCAGGGTCAGTGTATATCTCTGGCACTGGTTCGCCTTCGCGCAGCATCTTCTTAAGACCGAAGAGATGCCGGTCAACACCTTGGCCGTCCGCAGCCCATGCAGCATACTGGAGGTGACGGGCAACAGCACGGCGGAAGAGTGTAGAGCGATGTTCATCCTGATAATATTCATTTATATAGTCTCCGCAGCCGAGGGTCAAGTTTGGGCTTACTGTCTCATCAGGGTTCAGCATTGCCTCCGCCCATGCCTTGCTTTCGTTGCTAGCGCTCCGGATAACCTCCGTACGGCCCAGCTGATACTTCCTTGTCTGCGCACTCTCGTAGCACACGCCCGGCCGCCCAAACATCTTGTGGAACGCGAGCTGTTTCACTAGTTGCGCCCACGCATCCGGGCTAGCTTTGAACTTCTTGATGTACTCCTTGCCATAACCCTCGTAATGCAGCACTTCCATGTCGTGCTGACCTGCAAGCTCATCAAACCTCGTCTCGGCTTCCTCAATGTGTTTCTTGGTCTTGGCGTCAAGTACGAAGGACAGTTCACGAGGTGGAGGGACGGAAGAGGCTGTGGATGAGGTACGCGGGGCACCAAGGTCGATTTTGTTGGCGGCGAGGGAGGCCAACATAAACTCGTTCATGCGGAGAGTAGGGGTGCCATCCATGCAAGAGTGCTCGCCCAAGAAGCCTGATTTGCCGTTCTCAAAGACGATGACTGAGAGGGCGACAGTTAGCTTACACATTGAAGCGGGCCAGAGGATTGATTACTCACGCTGGTGCTTGTCATAGAAGCGATTGCGACCATCTCCAACCCAGCACGCCCATGATGCATCTTCACGTGTGACAGGTGCCGTGTCGTCCAAGCATACAATGACCATGGCAGATTCGACTCGCTCGAGCAGCTTCGCGTTGTCCCGGGACGCCTCTAGAAGAGCATTTCTGGCCTATGTTACATATCAGTACAACGCGAGAAATAATAGCGATTGTACGAGACCCACATCGGCCCAGAGATCACGATTGTCGCTAGTAAGTGCGCCAACGGGCGTCGCCTTTTCGGATCCAGCGAGCTGTATAATGCGCTCAAATTGGCTTTATATCCGTCTTAGCTCCCGTACTGCTCGAGGCTAGGGGAAATAACTCACACTTCTAGTTCAGCTGCGCTGAGTTCCTTTCCATCATGCGTCAAAGGAACTTCGAAAAACTTGTTCTTCCTGATCACAACTATGTGGTTGTGGGTGAGAGGATCGAATTTGTGAGCGGTATCAGAAGGCTTTGTAGGGTATCTGCAAGCGTGGAACCTGGGAAAGTAGGCTTTCAGCTCAGACCCTTCACGAGTGGGGCGCCATCCGCGACGTACAGCCACTGATATGAAGCCATGGACAGTGGTGCGTTCTTAACCTTTTCCGGCTCTAGCCTCTGACTAGCATAGAGTGAGCTATGGACGAGCGTTGCGTGAAACCGCGGGTTACCTTTCCGTCATCTCCCTGAAGGGCAACATAGCCTTTACCAACTGAGCGGCCCTCTTCGCTGGATCGCGGACGCGCTTATCATCCAGGTGCAGGTAGTAGTAGCTGACGTATACGACCACGGGGTCCCTGTATGCCATGTACGCAGCGTCGTTCCACCAGTCCGCGAGCCAGTTCTTCACGTTCGGATCAGCCGCTCGCGACTCTAACCTCTTTTGCAGCTCATGCGCGAGGGGAGAGTCCAAGAAGGCTTTAACAGCACTCTGAGTTTTCGAGTACTCGCCATCCGAGAGGTGAGGCCGGACTGTCTCCAGGTATTTCGCCGTGGTAGAAGAAAGCGGTGGTACGGGAAGTCGCGGCAATGACGCTTCAAATCGAAGCATAGGTCCGGCGTTGGGATCAATGGAGTAGCCCGGAGGCACAATTTCGGAGGACTTTGAAGGGGCAGAAGAGCTCAGATTGCGTGGTGGCATGGCGTATGAAGGCAGACGATTCTGCAGTGGGACAGTCAGTTTCAATTCGTTACTGTAACGTAGGGCGCTACGCACTAATGGAACACGAGCCTGTCGAGTCGCTTTAGAGGCCAGTCTAAGCATTACCAGGACGCCCTAGGGAACATGTATTGAGGTTGGCTACGGGGGTCGCAGGGCCGCTATAAGGTCATCCAGCACCGGTCCCCGGCTTGATGTGCGTTCAAGCTCGTGATTTCCCCGCAAAGATCACACGTGGCATTACGCATCTTGCAACCCCTGCGTATCGGCTCGCGGCGACGGGGGCGACGGTGGCAAAACTCCAGGTCGATCGGCGCGCGCAGACGCAAGCAGGTCCTGGCAGGAGCAGAGCTGCGAGGAGTGGGTTGCGGGAACCCGTAGACGGGATGTTGCGGTTCGCCGTCGACCATCTTTGGCTCTCGGAACCCCTTCGACTCCCACTGGATCTTCTTACACGGGCGCCAAGACTCCGCGTCACATGTGCATTGAATATAATGCGATGGCCGAGTTGTAGTACGTAGCAATGGCGAACTTCAAGTTGCTCCATGTCGAGTTTGTATACTATATAGTCGACCTCCACTACATACGTAAGTTATGACCCACTGATCATCACATCATTGATCTGACCAGCGAGGCGCATGTCCTGCTGCCATCTTGTCCCGTGCATGTAAACGTGCGCCTTGTTATTACACGTCCAGACAAGATGACGGCGGAAATCGCGTGGATTGTACGTCAAGTGGTTACCATGCGCCAAATCCGCGTGGAATCCACATCGCGTCCAGTGTCAATTGACGAGATTGGCGCGCAGTGGAATGCCACTCACCCTGGATTGTAGAATACACCTGTATCGCAGTCCCCGTGGAATCACATTGTGTAGCCAGTGTTAATCCATCGTTTGGCTTTGTGTTATCTACCCCAGGTTACTGAAGCCGACACATGCACAAGGACTCAGGCAAAGTACTTGAGCCCAATGCACTAGCGCCAAGTTGGAGCTTCAAGTTGCTTTGGAACACTGTCATATCTCTACATCCAACGGTGTATCAAAGGCTCGGACCCTCTGAGCCAACTCAGACATCTGAGATCATCGTCACAGGTTCTTCCAGCTTGTCCATCTTGTCCCGCAATGTCAACACCTCATCCCACAAGCGGCGGTGACTTCTTGCGAGTAACTTTCCCTTTAACCTCAAAGTGGTACTGTGGAGCCTCTTGAACCATCTCGAACCCTTTGAATTTCGGACCGTTACCGTGTACTCTGCCCTTTCGACACGCCGTCCTTTGCCCGCAACAGACGTGTAAGTCACGTGACTTTGTTGAACGATTGAGTAAGCGCAAATCGAACTTGCTCTCTCTCTCGTCTCCATCTTCAAGCACAAGCATGCACTGACAAATTGTCCTGACCACCGCCTCCGCTGCGAGCACCCAGACCGACCCGGATGCGGCGCCGACCACGTCCTTTGTATTGCCGTCCATGCCCGCCAATGCCACGATCTCGTCCGTTCCGAGGGGTCTCCCCGCGCGGATAGTCGCGGGCAATATCAACTTCACAAAGGTGCAGCGCAAGGGCAAGACATTATTCTGATATGAGGCTGATGTGAGCCTCGTTCTTCAGCCGACTGGATTCTCAAGAACGCACTGCAGGTCTACGTCCCTACCCATACCAGTTCATGGCAGCCGTTGATGAGCTGTTGACCACATTCCTCGCGTATATCCCGAGTGACTCACGTTCTTCCCTAGCTTCATTGGCGTCGCGCGGCAGGTCGCCACCCGGGTCGACAGCAGGTCCCGCGTCATGTCCCTCAGACCCGAATGCGGGCTAGGATGGGAGTTCATCTGGCTCCGGAATGTCAAGTTCCTCCGCCAATGACAATGCAGGTGCACGCAGCAGCAGCAATAACCACCAGCACGCGACCATCGGCATCGTGTCGTCCCTCGGTGGTGCCACACTCATTGTGTTCGCCCTGCTTGTCTTTCGCTCGCTTAAGCGCTGTCGTGAGTTCGTGCACCAGCGCCTCGGCGAGGAGCCGGATACATATGTCGGCGCCCACCTGGAGGTGGGCAGCGCAAGACCGGCACCGAGCAGGATGTACCAGCATTGGGTAAGACAGACCAGGCTTCAGATGGCATCGAATTCGACACCAACAGCGTGAATGACGAGGCATTTTGACTTCGTATAATTGACAATCAAAGCTATGTACTATACCTATGCAACGTCCTATGTACAATTCGATACGGCGCGTGAAGCATAAATTCTGTCTGCTGACCATTCAACCTCGTCCGCAGCAGGGAGAATGTGGGAACGACCTACCAAATATGTCTGTTGATGCTCGATAGCCGAGTTGTGGATTCCACAGAGCAGCCAGGATGATTTCGTGTGCTCCAGTGATGGATTACCACTGCGCGCCAATCTCGTGAATGCCGCTGGATCAGGCGTGTGGAATTGAGGCTGCGCTGATAAACGTGGATTCCACCGTCATTCTGTCTGGCCGTGTAGTGAGTGCCGAGAGAGGTAGGTACGTAGGTACATAGGTGGATTGCCGTCGTGGTCCCGATAGCGGAACAGGGAAATGCTACCCAACTCAGGCCGCTCAACGAGACGCGGCACAGGGGCTGCGAAACAGGTGGCTGTGCTGCTTCGATCTGTTGCCAAGTTGACTTGCGCGGTCGAGAGCATCATGACCTGCTGTGGTAGTAAACCTCGTCCACCATACAGCCTTTGCTCAGCGGCCCAACATCCAGGAAATTCGAGAAAATGAAGGTTGCTGTAGTGGGTTCAGGCGTATCAGGTACGCTGACCTCCATTTCTCCGGTGTTGGCTCACAAACGCCTCTGGTGTTAGGCTTGGCTGCAACTTGGGCACGTACGCCTTCAGTCATGTTGGGTCGCGAATAGCGGAAATTTGACGAAACCTGGTGCGCTAGCTACTCAACGAGCATAGCAAGCATGAAGTACACCTCTACGAAGCCGACTCGCGCCCGGGTGGCCATGCCAATACCGTGCGCTTTGTTCCTCCGGAAGGGTCCGGACATGAATCGGTAGATGTCGATACGTGAGTCTAAACCAGCGCACTCCCTATAGTCGCTGACTAGCATATGTACAGGGGATTCGTAGGTGATGCGCCCATCGATTAAGGATTCAGCTCTTAAGCAACGTCCAGATTGTGTGTAACCCAAGCACATACCCCAACTTTCTGGGCTTCCTGAGAAGCAATGGGGACATCAAAATCAATGCTACCGAGATGACCTTCGCTGTATCCCGGGACAGAGGTCTCTTCGAATGGGCAGGAGACAACCTTTTCACCATATTCTGTCAGCCGTGGCGCGTTCTAGACCCGCGGATGTGGGAGCTCATATACGATGTCCTGCGTTTCAATGCATGCAGTCGCGAGCTCATTACTGGAACCAACAAAAGGGATACCGCCGAGAATGAGCAGCTCAGTATCGGAGAATATCTTGAACGCGAGCATTACTCGGACTCTTTCCGTGACAATTATCTCATCGTGCGTTAAGTCTCACCGTGATGCGCTTGTATATGCAGTCTGATTGTGAAAAAGCCCATGACAGCAGCCGTATGGAGTACACCTCCAGGTAACACTCATGCTGACGTTTCAGGTGATAATAAACCTGACTTCTGGCAGACAAATGTTCGTTGGGGTTCCCCGCCCGTACACTGGTGAGGTTATCGGTCGTTGTGTTCGCGCCATCTGACTTACGCGGAGCGCTAGATCAAGTTCATGCATAACCATCACCTCTTACAAATCACTGGAAAGCCTAAATGGCTCACGATCCAGGGCGGCAGGTGTGCTAGTTTGCACTTCTCTGCAGAATGTGCCTAATTGTGTTCGTTTTGCTCCGATTGGTAGCCGTTCATACGTCCGAAAGATCATTTCGGCGCTCCCTGATGGACATTTACACCTCTCCGCGCCCGTTCTTGGCATTTCTTCCCGCGCCAATCCGGACGCCGTCAGTGGACATACGGTATCAGTCAAATACAAAACTCAAGACGGGCACGAGGAAATCGAAGAGTACGACCACGTCATTCTTGCGTGTCACTCCGATACGGCACTGTCGATGCTTGCAGCAGGCGACGGCGGAGCAAGTCCTGACGAGAAACGGATCTTAGGCCGTGTTCGCTGGAATCGGAATGTCGTCGTTCTTCACTCCGACATTTCGGTAGGTCCTGGCGTCGGAGGCTGCTTCGACGTTCTTGCACTGATTTGGTAACGACATACTTCCAGTTGATGCCACGCAGGCGGCTGGCGTGGTCCTGCTGGAACTACCTCACTGAAAGCGCGACTGACGAAAATGGCACATCTAAGGCCAACAATGACCAAGTCGCCCTGTAAGATATTCGCCCTCACGTTATAGGGAACTTCAACTAATCCGCACGACGCAGCACATGTATGCCATCGATCATAGTCCCTCGTGCGCGATGATCTCACATTGTGGACATTGTGTACAGATTGGATGAACGAGCTACAACACCTCCCTGAAGATAAACATGGGCCGGTATTGGTTACATTGAACCCTCCATTCGAGCCCGCGCCGGATAGAACGTTCGGCCGCTACCAGTATGACCATCCCATTTTAGACGCAGAGGTGTGTTGTCACAGCGCGTCTGCTAGCTCGTACTCACGAAACGGGCTATGTGAACCAGGCGGTGCTGTCCCAGAACGAAATGACTACGATCCAAGGGAAGAGGGGTATATCGTACGCGGGAGCCTGGCTCAAGTACGGGTTCCATGAAGATGGATTTACCTCAGGATTACGTGCGGCGGCGGACCACATACCCGCCGTACAGGCTCCGTTCGGTATAAAATCACCAGACCGTGATCCGGACATGCTTTGGTTACCAATCTTCTTCCACCTATTTGAACGATCCGGCGCCAAAACTGTCGTTGCTGTCGTTGCTGGCTTCTGGTTGCGACTCGTCCGCGTCGTCATCGGCCACGTCGTTGACCTGACGCAACTCGAAAGCGAGTTGCGGACTGCAGAGAAGCGTCGCAAATAGGTGTTCTAAACTCGTCAATATCATTAATGCGTTGTCTCTACAGTGCATATATACTACAATGCCATCATGCGATATAAAATAAACGAATTGACAACATGCAAGACACGACGTTGGTAAGGTCCATGGAACAGATCAAGGCCTGGTGAGGCGAGAAAGATCGAACGAGACGTGATTTTTGTGCGTGTCGACGTCGCCTTCTTCACCCAGGGGCGGCGTCCCAGCTCGAGGTGTGCCCGGGCTAGGCGTATCTAACGGAGTCCGCCAGTGAGGAGTGCGGGGCTCGCTGAGTTCGTCGTCATCGGCGAAGCGTACGGATCGCGACGGGGAAGCCGCCCTACGCGTCTCGTACGACTTGAGATGCTGCAATCGCGGCGATCGTAGTGATCCTCGTTTGTCCTCATCTGAGATGGGCTGTAGCCGCACGACAGGCTTGGTCGCGTGCGTCCGTCCACGTTCCTTATCATCATCGTCCGTAGCCGGCTGCGGCTGAGAGGATGAACCTCGCCTGCGCATTCGTGGCCGGCGACGCGAGCCCGCAGCGAACAACCCGCCCTTGAGCTTCGACGCTTTGGCAGCCTTGCGATCTGGTGAGCGGGAGGCCGAGGCGCTCCCTTCGGGCTCGGCGGAGTTAGAGGGCCCTGGATCGCCATTATTCGTTTCGGGATCCGATGCCCAACCCTCCTCGTCGCCGTCATCCGGGTGAGAAATCGCGTTCGAGGTATGTGTTCCGGCCACCTCGTCCAATTTGTGCATTGCTGCGCCTTCTGCCTCGCGCACGCCCTCTTTCACATGCTGACGCGTACGTTCTAGTTCCTTTTCTGCCTCATGGGGCGCGTGCTGGAGTTTGTGAACATAAGCTCTAGCCACGTCCTTGACATGCTCGGATTCTCCGCGAATTATCGACGTTGTCGTCTCTTCTCCATCTGTAAAGGCGTTCTTTTGCACCTCGACCTCAACCTGTGAAAGTAGCTCATTAACTGATCATGACGATGAATCGGCTTTTATTACTGACCTCCTCGCCAGGCCCTGCGCGCCGTTCAATAACCTTATGAGGTCCTTCCTTCCACTCCTGTAAGGTCTCATCCCCGTCCGGCGGTTCCTGGTCACCGGTTCGGTTTTCGCCCGTAGACCTGGCCTCCGATGAGCGATTCTCGGAATCAGCGGAGGATTCGGCCATGTCCTTCTCCTTTGGCGCGTGGTTTTGATTGAGAGTAGTGCTCGCACTGCGCTTCTCGTCGTGTTCTGGCGTGTACTCTCCGCGCTCAATAGCGTCATCCCTGTTAATGACGATGTTTTCTCCGGGTCTTATATGACGCGTCTGGTTCGCCCACTCCGGAGTGGTTTCGTGGGTAGGATGGCGCGACCACGTCCGTAGGGAGTGTACCCGGCGACCCAAGGAGAAGAACGGAATGGAGAGTCCGTGTACAGCGATAGAGCAGAGAACCATGAACGCGACGATGGGTTGAATAGACGCTGCAAGGATTTGCTGCTGATTTGCGGGCGGATCTTGGGGAGTTTCAAGTTGTTCCACTGCAAGGGTCGATATGAAGATGGCACCTAGAAAAAAATTGATTGTCAGTAACAGCGAACCGATGACGATGTCGCGAACTTACCGATACCCATAGGACCGAAGTGACCGCTGAAAACGGCCTCCCGGAATGTCTTCACGTCCGGGATCCACTTGTAGAGAGCTATCATGACCGGCAACCGACGTAGCAGCAGGACCAAGATGGCGATGACGATGAGCCTCCACACGCTCAATGTCAGGGTCGCGTCTGAAAAGTCGCCGAACGGCATCCATGCGCCTACGTAAACGAATGCGGCGACATTGAAGAGCAGATCGATCACGCTGGAGAACACCGACTCTTCCGTTTGACGGTTGAAGAAGCCATCCCATGCGAACGCTGTGCCGCACGAAAATGCTGCAAGAAGGTCGTCAGAGCCAAGCATGGTGGTGGTGCCGATGGTCAGAAGCGCGAGGGACACGTATTGCGCGACGTAGGATTGCCTGTCGATGAGGTCCTTGCGCTCACAGAACTTCATGAGGTACCTGAAGCCAAGACCAACCAGAGCACCGAATACGACGCCAAGGATGATCTGATCTGAGACCAAGCATGAGTTTCAGACAGCCAAGAGATTGGTCCTGAAACTAAACTCACAGAGCCAGAGTTGCAGGAACCAATCCTTAATCGCCTCGCCAGTAGTGTTGTCCAAGACCAGGTACAGTCCGATAAACAAGAAGGGGAACGCGGCGCCATCATTGCAACCACTCTCGGCGGCGAGAAGGTGGCGTAGATGGGCGGGTACGTGCTTATCAGCATATTTACCACCCACGACCGCAGCGGCAAGGATAGGATCGGTAGGTGTGAGGCATGCAGCGACGACAAGGGAAGAAAGGAAGGATAGCCCTGGTATCAGAGCGAAAATCAATCCGGCCGAAACGAACCATCCCTGATAAACGCCAAGATGAGCTTCGATATAGGTTGTGCAACTCCTTGAACTCACCCATGTCATAACAGGCACAAGCAGGTACATCAGGCTCTTCCAGTGCTTCTGCATGTAAGCCTTAGGTAGCTCAACGCCAATGGCGAAGACACCGATAGCGAGAACGACTCGAGTAAATTCGAGAGTGATAGTGTTCACTACATCATCGTTTCCGTTCCCCCATCTGCGAGGATTGAAAATGTTCGCGCCGTACGGTCCTGTGTAAGGTTAGAACACTCGATGTGCAGTTAACGGCCGCCGGGCTCACCGATGATGACCCCGAACAAAAACGCCCAGCAGGCTTCACCGATATACAGCTGAAAGGATGGATGAGCAAGGCTAAGACTAGAACTTAAAGTATATCTTACACACCTTCTCTCGGATGAATAGGGAGAACATGCCAAACTGCAAATGCGTGTGAGTATTGCTCCCAAAGACCAACCCAGAGGATACTCACGAATACAACAAACCCGCCGAGACAGGCATACGCAATATGCGGAATGCCGACTTCGAACTAGAGAAACATGACGGTTCAGCTGATTGTATCGAAAACGACGAGACGACTGCCGTACAGGATGGAAGCGCATGACGTCGTAGAATAGGGGTAAATCTAGCGAGGTGGTTTACGAAGTTCGTGTGGTCGTGGATGATCGTAGGTCGTGAATGTCCTCTGCAGGTGCTAGGTACGTGAATCGATGGTGTGTTGCAAAGGCAAGTTGCATCCGAGGCTCCAATGAGTGTGATAAGAAACTCTTGGCCCTTGCCGAATCGGTGCCGCGAAGCGGGTCTTCGTAACAGCGACCAAGAATGTCTGGGCGATTGTTCGGAGGTCAGGCCGTGATTGTTATGCCCGACGGTGCTGGCGGTGAACGGAGGATGTAGAAGGGTGTCTCGAGAGGACCGCGGTGGTCTGCAGAAAGAAGGGATAAGTACGAGGGGACGGAACGTGATTGGGTCCCGGTGGGCGTGCCGCGCCTTATGAGGCCGCCACCCGCGCGATCCTGACTAATACATATCCGCCCTTCTCAGTATCCGTTCAACACCTCCAGGCGCTTCATCCCTCTGGCATTCGTTTCGTCCACTGTGCAACGTCTCCGCTACACCCGTCTTCCACCATTGGCTAACCTGTGTGGCACGCGGACCGCATGACCTTCGCTCTGCAGCAGGCTGGGTGAAATCACGGCATCCGCTGCGTTTCCCTTGGGTTCCATCCCGGATCAAGGTCGCTAAAGGAAAGCTGCCAAGCCGCGCGCACCGGCTGTCCCTGTCTTCGGGCCTGAATTCCGAATATGGTATGTTCATGCTATCTTTCAGTATCGACTGTATTGTGCTATTCAAGCTATCTCATGGCTTGATATGAGACATCGTGAACTTGAGAGTACATTGGGAGCAACTACCATAGACTGCGTGTTTTAATCACAAACTCGATGGCGAAGGTGCGACGCGGCGACTCCGGGAATCTGCTGTTCGCCACGCCAATCTAAGCGATAAATTCAAGTCTCTTCCCCGCACACGTGCTTAAGCGTCTTCGGTTTTGATACGGTCCCCGGGTCCAGAACCGGTATCCTGATTCGGGAACCGATCCTTCGTTACGTCGGTCTCCTGCGTTTCGATACCGAGTCTCGAGAACGCGAGGAAAGCCGCAGACCGAGTATGCGTCAGGCCGCGCAGGACATGAGAAGGTGTCAGCATCTGAGTTTTGCGTGGTTGGCCTGTCACTGGAGATCCTCCGATTCGTTGGCCTGTCGCCTTCAAAACCTCCTCATCCGTCCTTGCAACACGGATGGCGTTACCGACGAGCTCTCCTATGAGCGGCCGCACCAAGTGTGCCATTAGAGCGAACGGGGCTAGGTACTCTTCGGCTTCCGCACGGGTCCACGAGGCGACAACAGGAGGTCCCATGTGATCGTCTGCAGATTCCCTCGAAGCTGCCTCTGGGAAACTGACGATACGCTGCACTGCTAGCGTCAACTGCGGATCCGCGGATGCCACGAGGCCACGGGGATGTAGCAGATCTCGGCAACGAGAGGAAGCCTCGATCGGTGGCACCGAGAGAAGGTTCGGGTGGAGGTTACACGGCGGATCGCCGAAGTCCAGGACCGGAGCCATAGCCCTGACCACGTCTAAGATCGGCATTCTGGTCCGGTGCCAGGGCAGAAGAGGGCAGGCGACCGCGGGCTTGGGCAATAGTTCTTTGGGCTTCACTTCACCCCGCATAGTGTCCGAACACTCCGCCTCTTGCTTGACGTCGGATGCGATAGATATTCCATGCGACAGTCCGCAGATGTGACAGCATTGGACTGACATAGCTGGGATGCTGGTCGCTCCGGGGGTAGTGCTCGCGCCATCGTTAGGACCAGGCATCTTCCGTTTGGCAGTGGCGGCGGCACGGACGAATTGGCCTTCGTCTTCGAGCCATCTGTACACGTCTGCAGTACTCAATGGAATCAGTCGCTCCCGATCGTCGACCGAGCTCGATCTGTCCCTTTGATATGCGTCTCTCAACGCTATGGATCTACCCCACTATTGTTGACAACATCAGCGTGCCCCCAATCGGATCAGTACAATGATTACGCGCCTCGATTGCTTTACGTCTGCCGTCTACGAAGCTGCATAGCTCTTTTGGGGATACGGCAAGCTTGTATGAAAGTAACGGAGGCACACGACCCTGTACGTCTGCCCTCACCTAGTTAGCTATAAGCTAGTGCGAAGCATTGGATGACGTGCCTTTCATGGTCATTGGGAATTTGGGAAGTAAGGCCCGTAATCTTGCTACGTATGGCGGTAAGTCTGTCGGATGATAAGGGCATGACATGATTGAGCCTATCAAGAGACTCACAGTGTTCTTGCCTATCATCCTCAGTAGCCGCGGTCCGGGAACGCGCTCTCGGTTGCTGGTGCATACTCGTGTTTTCCCACCTCCTTGATATCTTATTTTCCTTAGCGGGTAAAAGCTCGGTGTTGCGATCTAGTTCCACATCCAGCACTTGTTCTTCCCCAAGAACGGCAGTTGCAGACTTGAATGGGTCGAGCTGCGTGGTCATGTCAGTGCAGCTCCAGGTACAATAGTGATCGGCTGTACCTCCACCCAGTGCTCAATATCAAGCGGCGGGTTCAAAGTGCGGGGTTCGGTCCATGTAAGTGTGACCTTGGCCAGGAAAGGTCTATCAGTCGAGCTGACAATTGCGAATGGCGGGTTGTCTAAGCTGATCGGTTCCAAAAGCGTAGACGGTGGTGGATCAGTCAGGCACGTAACAGTCATTCGGGTAAGGAACGATGTGATATGGGTGCTCTGAAGCGACAGTCGGTCATCACATTTGCATGTAGAGAATTCGATCGTTGGTGCTCACATAGGATGGGGAATCTACGGAAATCATCCAACGGTGCGTGTGATGTGGGTGTAAGGGATTTCGAAGATCTACCAAATGGATCAGTCAACGAGTGCGGGGAACGCGGGACCCTTACCTGGGGGGATCCATACGCTACGATCGGCAACGATGATACGAGCTGCCATGTGGAAACGACTCTGCCCTCCACGAGGAACCCCGCCGGCCGTAGCAGGAAGCATCACCGCTTCTTGCAAGGGTACTTCCCAGTCCGTAGAAATATCTATGGGCTCATCGCCCTCTTCAACATTACTACGATGGTGGTAGAGCATGCGCCATGCTGCGGCCTCGTGTCGAGTATCACTGTTGATGCCCCCTGTAATATCGATGTCGTTGTCTTCGTCATACACGTTGATACATCGCCGTTTAGGAGCTCTGCCCAGGAATGGTGCCAAGGCAGGACTGTCTTCGTGATGACCGAGGGTCTGCGAGAGGTGAGTCTTGAGTGTGGGTGTAATAGCGTCTCCAGACTGCCTGCGGTGTTGAACGACGTCGTGTCCCAACAGTCGCAGCGCATCGCCGCGCCCTACCGCGATCTCAAACAACCGCCGCACACTCGGCCGCGAAATGCCGCTTATCTCGGCCCCATGTGCCACCGTCCAGTCCTTCTCCTCTGCGGAAGTTATGACCGTTGCACACGCTTGCATGCATTCGTCGTGATTGCTGAAGTGGCGCTGGTGTGCCAGACGGCAATGGTTCAAGAGTCCCTGTATACTCGGAAAGTTAGAGCGGCCACAGTCCGGACAGACCATTTTTGCAACTGTGGCTGGAGAAGCATTGTCGTCGCGGATGAAAAGAAGTTGCGCAGGAGGCAATTCACTCTTAACGACAGGTGGACGAGAACGCGTAGAGCGTGAATGCTGATCATCGAGATGCTGCACAAATCGCATAGCATCTCTGGGCGCGACCATAGGCTTCGAAGGTCTGGCGAAGATCAGGTCGCATTCCGACTCTATAGCCTCCAATGTCTCCACGGCGTCGCTACGGAATTCGACCTCTCCAAACCCAACACCTGCCATACCTTGAGCGAGTTATCGCAGCTGACAACAGGTATAGGCTCACCATCGGTGGTTAAAGCCGTCTTGAGGGAGGTAGCCCAAGCAAGCCTTCCACGGAGGATCCGAGCCAGTCTTTCACGCAAGCCGATCTCCACGTCAAGCTCCTCCAGAATGACTTGCCTGATTATGCGGTCGTCCCCTTCAATCTTACATGCATCAAACCAGGACAGGCACGGAGAAGTTGAACGCACTGGCGCTCCTTCCGCTATCTAGTTTTTGCCGTTTGCTCGGTTGTTGAGACATATACTGGAAATCGCGTTTGATTGATTTGATTTGTTGAGCAAGGACGAGTTCAATCGCACTAGGAGAGCTCGTCCAGTCGTAAACCGTAAAGCGAGGAGCAATATGTAAACAGGCGGCAGAGAGAATCTGTCAAAGGCTGCACAGGAGCTGTGCAAGTCCGCACTCGCTCCCGCACCGCCGAGAGAGGTTATGATTAGACACCATGACGCAAAACGTCTAGCGCCCGGTATATAAGGACACGCCGCCTTTCGCTTCAGCCCTCCGCTCGATCCTGCACGATGTTAATGCAGTCACGCTTACCAGTAAGCCCCCCGCGCAACCACGTCAGTTTTTGTCGATCCTTTCTTGACTGACCATCCTTAGTTCCCTCGCCGAGTAACCAACACCGGGAGCTTATCTCCCTTGGAGTTCAAGGAAGCGTCACGGACAGCGGTGACTGCAAGGGGTGCACGACATTCGCTACGGGATGTGCCACCCTTGATGAAGCTTCCGGCAGAGCTCATGTGCGAAATACTCGACCACCTTTATCTGGCCCTGCGTTTGCCAGATGTGCTACCTTACGACGAAGCGCTCGAGAACGTGCTGAAGGAGAGCAATAGGCCATCGCAGTTGGTAATGGATGGGCAGCGCCAGCATGCGAACGTACTACATACGTCGAGGTGGTGGTATGAGAACGGAGTAGGGAATCTCTACTCCAGGCCATGCATCCGGAACCCTGATCATCTGCATTGGCTACTACGTGCCGTCGCCAGGAAGCCAGGTCTTGGGGTGCATACACGCAACATTTGGATCATATGGGAACGGACAAGCGATGGAACGCATTCGGACAAGTGGTCGCGGTTGAGCATCACCCCATCCTTTCGCCGTTTACACGAGCCAGTGCTAAAGCTCACCCGTGCATGCCCGAACCTCACCTCGATCCGTCTAAACTGCCACGGCCAATCACGCTCAGACGGTCACTCCCCCTTTTCGAGACCCCCACTCGGTGGTGCCCTCTGCTTGCGTCTGAAGGATATTAACTTGTCGTACAGCGAAAAGTCGATCACAGACCTCCTGCCCTCGTCCACGCGATACAAGACGTTGGAACGATTGGTCATCCAGCTGTCTTATTTTCATCTGGATATGAAGATGCCCAGCTTTCCTGTTCTTCGTGATCTCGAGCTGTTCGGGGTCAATGGAGCGGTGACGATTCCCCTAGGGATGTCTTCATTGCGACTTCTTTCCTTCGTAGGAAACGACATAGACTCTTCGTCCATCAGCCAAAGTCTATACACCTATAGCAGCCAGCTCCGAGAATTGCATCTCATTGGCAAGAACGAGTGGAATGCGCTTAAGGCACTGCAACTTCCGAGGTTCAAGGCGCTGCAAACGCTAGCGATCGGAGCATTGGACTCAATGAAAGCGCACGATCCTGACTCCATCAAACTACCGCCAGCTCTTCGGACGCTGATCATAACGACCTGGACGGCTCATGACTGTCGCAAATATCACCGAACGCTTTCCAGCGCTTGGTTAGTCAACTCTCCGCCACCTGACACCCTGGAACGCATTTGCTCGCTATGCCCTGGCCCCTGTTCTCAATTGAGCAAGCTGAGGTCCGTCTCTAAGAGGTATCGAATAAGCGCTCTCCATGAAGAGATAGGTACGCATGTCCGTCCAAACTACGCTTTTGGCGCGCTGAAATCGTGTCAGTGCCGGATCCCGAGGGGGGTGGCGATCGAAATAAAGCAGATGTCTTGCCGCCTATCATGAAACTTAGTTTATTGAAACGTTGGGTGCGTTTGAATCTCTATCTTGTGCGGGTGATGCCGATGCCTTGTTCCTACATGCAGGTTTGGAAACACGCTCATAGCGAACAACCGCCCTTTCTTCTGTCTAAGCTAGTGCCATGACCGCAGGATTACTGTATTCCATCACAGCACCTGCGAGGAATACATTCATAGACTAGTCGTGCTCGAGCAGTGCCCCTATTTTCAATGCGATCAAGCACAACTGGCAGCGTTATGGGCTCCACTAGACTCACTCTTTCGAATGTCACCCAACCAAGGGTTGTCGCAGTCGAATGCTCGTTATTGTCCCGCGAGGCTCTGAGTTTGTATTTTTGTTCAGTAAAGACCGTCATAGACTTTGGACTCTCGTGAGTTTGAATGGGTGACCAAGACGCGCCGTGACCAACGTGATGTGGATGTGACAAAGCGCGGCAAAGCGTGGCGGGTCGCGGCGCGTCTTGGTCTCGTCATCCAACCGTAGCGTTCAGCGACTTAGTTCATCATGGGCATCAAGGGCTTGACGGCGCTGATCAACGAGCATGCGCCCAAGGCGATCACAGTCCGTCTTGGTGGAATACACGATATCCTGCGACTTATAGGTGTGGTAGGAACATGACATCAAGACACTCTTCGGCCGCAAGGTCGCCATAGACGCGTCGATGTCGATATACCAGTTCCTCATCGCTGTTCGTCAAAAGGACGGCGAGATGCTTACGAACGACTCTGGAGAAACGACGAGGTGAGTGCGGTACATTACAGCGCGGAGTTGACGCCAATCTTCGAACAGTCATCTCATGGGTTTCTTCTATCGGACTATACGGATAGTCGAAAACGGCATCAAGCCAGCGTACATATTCGACGGGAAACCCCCTGAGCTCAAGTCTGGAGTAGTAAGTCCCAGCCGCGTTTGCTCTACTCCAACGTCATGCCCACCGTCCGTTAGCTTGCCAAACGCTTTGAAAAGCGAGAAGAGGCGAAGGAAGAGGGCGAGGAGGCGAAAGAAACGGGGACAGCTGAAGACATGGATCGGTTCTCTCGACGGACTGTGAAGGTCACAAGAGAGCACAACGAAGAATGCCGCAAGTTGCTCCGCTTGATGGGTATTCCCGTTGTTGTGGTGAGTATGCACCATTTCGGAGGCATCGGCGTCTGCCATTATATAACCAACGCGTCTACTACAGGCACCATCTGAAGCAGAAGCGCAATGTGCCGAGCTCGCACGAGGCGGCAAGGTGCGTTCGACCCGCGTCCATGCACCTTCATATATACTGACTCATCGTTAACCTCCAGGTGTATGCCGCCGGCTCCGAGGATATGGATACCCTGACATTCAACGCTCCAATACTACTTCGGCATTTGACGTTCTCAGAAGCCAAGAAAACACCTATATCCGAAATCAACCTTGCGAAGGCGCTGGAGGGTCTTCAGATGGACATGAGTCAGGTATGTCACATATGCATGCCCTATAATAGCATCATCTATTTATGGTTACTGACAAATGGTCATCCTCGGATACTAGTTCATAGACCTTTGTATCCTGCTGGGGTGCGACTACCTCGAGCCGATCAAAGGCGTAGGTCCCAAGACCGCGTTGAAACTCATACGGGAGCATGGCGGGCTTGCAGGGGTGATGGAACATCTGCGCGAGAAGTAAGTCATCAGTGATCGTACTTACCCTTGCCAAAAATATGTTTAGCCTATGCGTGTGCTCTTCAGGGTTGCGACCAAGAAGGAGGAAGATGTGGAGGACGAGCCGGAACCGGCAGCAGATGTTGATGCTGATGCTCCCGATACAGACGGGGAGCCCGAACGTTCACAGACCGAGACGAAACCGAAGAAAAAGAAGAAGGGCAAGGGTAAAGGCGGCGTTCAGATTCCGGAATATTGGCCGTGGGAGGAGGCGAAGAAGTTATTCGAAAAGCCCGATGTTGAACCTGCTGACGAGGTCCAAGTAAGGTTGACTTATGTGCTGTTGAGGCTCTGGTTGATGTTTCGATCGCGATACAGCTAGAGTGGAAGAACCCGGATGTGGAGGGTCTCGTACAATTCCTTGTCGTTGAAAAGGGATTCAAGTGAGTCTATCGCCATCTTGCCATCCACTACCTAACTCCGTCCCAGCGAAGAGCGCGTCCGTAAAGGCGCAGAGAAACTTACCAAATTCCTGAACGCCAAGCAACAAGGTCGTCTCGATGGCTTCTTCACCGTCCAACCGAAGAAGTCGCCACAGAAAGCGCCTCCGAAAGGCAAATCCAAGGAAGCCGGAACAAAACGCAAGGTGCGTCTTGGCAACGTCATGTTCCGTTGAAGTCGCGCTGACAGGTAGATCAGGGTGGAGATGCAAAAGAGAGTAGTAACAAGAAGGTGAAAACGAAGAAATAGCCCTGATACCATTATCGATGTTGTTTTGCATGTTTTCGTATCACGTGATGTGACGGCTCACTGTATCTTTGTACCTTCCTTTTGATGTCTGCACTCGATACCCCAAGAATAATACTATGATCAACATGCACAAAGAAAGACCAGGTCCGTGATTGACAGCTACTACTTCTTCACATTCCTCTTCTGCAGACTCTTTTCGCTGCGTATTCTCGACCTCTTCTTCACTTCTTTGGCAGCTCCTCCTGCGTTGGTCTTGGTGCTTGGTCGTTTCCTGATCCGCTCCTTATCTTTGCCCGTCGTACTCTTTACCATCGCATTCTTCGCCAGCTTCTTAGCCAGACGGCGCTGCACACGGGCCTCATCCGCGGCCTTCGCCTGTTTGCGCTCCTCTTTCGGTAGATGAGACAGTTTCTCGCCGAGCGATGGGTCTCCCTTTGGAACCACGATCGGCGTACCGCTGAGCCTAGTCTTGGATACCGAGCGCTTGAGGCTAGGCTCCGTAGGCTTCGCTTGGCGGTCGGGGCGAGTCTGTCTACCGTCGCCGGTCTTGCCGCTGCCAGGAGCTTTGCATCGCTGAACGCGCAGTTTGCGCTTCGCAAACTTCAGCCTCTCCGGCTCGAGTGCCAATACTTCATCTACGCATTCCCTGTCCTAGAGGACAGCACAAGTGTTAAAGACGGGGAATCTCAACAGCATGGACTTGGCATTACCAGAAATTGAACGTAGGCGAAGCCTTTGCCCATCTGTGTATCGCGATCGCGCACTACGCGCACTTTAGTGACCCAGGAGATACGCTTCGCCGGTATGTTCTCGATCGTATCGGGTCCAGGAGCAGGGGGCGGGCCGCGCTCTGTGCTCAGGAGCGCCTCGAAGAAGACGCGTAGATCTTCCTCTTTCGTTGCGAAGTCCAGATTACCAACGAAGACGCTAAGCTTGGGATCTCCCATGGCTATGTCGCCTGCAACCTTTGAAGCTTCAGACGGGCGAGCGTGATCGACACGCAGTGTATGCTCCATGAAGACGGTCCCGTCACCGTTGAGTACCGCTTGCTGCGCAGCCTCAAACGGATTCATAATCTTGTGTTGCTGAGAAGTAGGAGCGTCCGATGCTTCCTGAACCGGCTTCGGATGGGCGAACACGATATACGCAACGATGGAGTCTACGTTCGGGTGAAGCTCACCCTTGATGAAAGCGACTTTCTTCTTCTCCTTTGGATTAAGATATTTCTTCGCTGCTTTCTCATCCTCGATTGCTTCCTTGTCTTTGGTTTGCAGCCTCCAGGACGCAGCGCGATCAGCATCGTGCTGGCGTCCCTTCTTCTCGGTGGCACTGGACTTCTGCTTAGACGTCGAGTCATCGTCCTCCTTAGGAAGTTCGGTGGTGGGCTTTTGGAACGCGACGGAACGAAAGCGGACACTCTCAATCTTTGCCGAAGGGACAAAGGTGAGGATGTGTCGCTTGAGGCGTTTCTGAAGTGGCTGTTCATTTCATGGCGTCAGTATGAAACTTGGACAATGAACAATGGCGTTGACCCACTCGGCTTTTCGCGACATCAGCAGGGACATTGCCCACAAATATGGTTCGGCGATCTCGCTGCTCTGAAGTCTCGCTTTCGGGTACGTAATGAGATTTTCGACTGCGGGACCCCTTCGATGTCTGCTTCCCCGCATTCGCGACAGATTCGTGGACAAGTTGGGCAGGGTCGACTTCCTCGTCGTCCGATTCCCCTTCTGATCGTGCCTCGACTTCCGTGTCCAGGACGCCAGCCTTCGAAGACGATGCGGTCCTTGAGCCGTACGAATCCTCGAGCCGAGCGTCCTCCTCATCAGAACGAGGGTCGTCGACCTTTCGCCTCTTCAGCTTTGGATCCTTTCCCCGGCCCTTCTTCTTTTCCTTTGACCCGGCGGGTTCGGGGTGATGAGCAGACGCCGAAGCTTCTTCGGAAATATGCCCAGCGTCGGATGGTTTCGCTCGCTTGCGTTTTCTCGTTGAACCATCCTTCAGGGAATCCAAGGCATCCCCTTTCTCAACCGGCTCTGCAGCATCAGCTCCTCGAGTGGGGCGGACAGCAGGCTTGGGCACCTGGTGAGTACATGAGCCTCTGAAAATAGCTACGGTATAGAAGAATGTTGGGTCCAACTGACTGGAGCTGCGCGGAAGATGGCATCGAGTCCCTCATCCAGTTTTGGCTGTGAGATTTTTTGTTTGCTCCCGCCCTTTGCAGCTGCTTGGGCCTTGCTCAGAAGATATGAAGCGAGACTCATGGCAACTCGAGACAGGCCATTGGTGGCAGTGCTCAATTTCAGGGTGCGAGTTGAACGTTGAATATTTTGAAGCCTGGTCGCCCGCTCTGCCGCATTGACCCCCTGGGTGGTCTGAATAAACGGCAAGAGCTTCAGTGGCCGGGACTCCAGAGGCTATATCTTTGCTGACATGAGGTTTGACCCCATTTGACTTACCCATGGCCATCCGAATAACTATTCACGAGCGCACAGGCATATAAAGTTTGCAATTGCAGCAATCAATTCGAGTCTTTTATATCTATGTTGACAAAGGTAGTGCGGGGATAACCACAAGTGATAGCGCAAGGCGCTTGGTGGTGAATGATACAGAATAGACAAACGGTATCTACATCTAGGTACCGTGCATCAAGCAGGTCGTACATTAAACCGTATAAAAAAACGTGTGCGTGGTGGTCGTGTGGGATGGTGTCTGACCCTGAGCGCGTCTATGCATCAGACCGTGGCTGAATGCGGCATCAGGAAAGCCAACGAGGGAAGGTAATGGTGATACAACAATGGTGAAGCCTTGCCAGGACCCGGTCAAGGTCAGACTTCACCTCCCAATAATACAATACTCCGAGAGGGAAAGAGGGCCAACGTTGTATTCTTGAGCGTATAAATTCGTTTTCATGGAGACCAGCCCTTGGCCTCGAAATGCCACTCGATCTTGAGCACACCAGTGTCGAGCGAGCCGAGTTGCTCGAAAAGGCTGGGGGACATGTCTGCGACGGCCGTCAGAGGCAAGCTCACGACTGCGCGGCAATCGCTCACGTACCAAGATCATTTTCGCCACAGCCAGGGCAGCTGTCACGGGTCTTGCCGTAGGCCGTCTTTCCGTTAGCAGTGTTGGTAATATGGATCCACTACGTGACAACGTAAGCAATACGGTTACGACCGATCGAGGAAAGTATTAACCTGGTTGCAATTGCCACCACTGCCATAGCGTTCGGTCGAGATGGCGACGATGGGACTACTATCCACGTCGGTATAACCGCAGTTGCCCAGACCGACGTAAAAGTATGTACCCTATGGAAATCGTTAACTTGGGTGGCTAGTCATGTCCACGACATAATTACCCTGCCCGTGTGGGTTATCCTCTTGTCGAGGTCGACAACGGTAACATTGGGCGCGACTGGTGACGCGAAGGTGGCCATGACAAACGCGAACAGAGCGAGAAACGCGAGTACGAGACGAGTTGCGAACATATTGGAAGGCAGGAAGTGAACAAGCGTCGCGTCGAAGGTGTGTCGTGGAAGGTGTGCTCTTTAGTATTTCGGAGAGGTCGTGGCGTATGTTGCCTCGGGGAAGTGATCCAGCGAGGGCTACCATTGACATTCCGGACCTAGCGCGCTTTTATAGCGGAGGGGTGTGGCTAAAGCAGCCTTGTCCACGCGCACTCTCGTTGCTTTGTCTGAGACGCGGGCCAAGGCACGCAGGTCCAGGCCACAAAGGCCGCAGGGGGCAAGCCCGAAGCCGACCTACGTTCATTTGCGTCTTTCCGTCGAATGAGGAGCGTGCACCCCGAAAAAAAAGTCCAAAAAGAATATGCAGGGCTGGGAAACGCGCGCCCGACTCCGTCTCCGGGCAGTGTCTCCAGTTCCGGGCTTACGGGTGACAGGATTCGAGGGTGGTGATGACGAACGCCCCGGCTCATCAGGGCACGCAGAGTGCCGTGGCTGCGCAGAGTTCGGGCGTTGTTTGTCGGAGTTGTCAAGGGTGACCGTTGCGGGACCAGGCGTGGGGAGAACGAGCCATGTGTCTGAGGCGCGTTAACGTGACAGGCGCGTGGTCACAGCGTGCTTCATTAATATAATGCCGCGCGTGCCGCCGGCCTCGAACAGCCCTGAACAGCCCCACCAATCCCATGCTCCGCTGACAGTTGTACGCAGTTGAGTGCCGGGTCGAATTGTCCAGGGCCTGGAGCCTTGAAAAGCTTGGTGCACTGAAAAATAGATAATATCCACCGTACCCACTCGGAGCCGAGCCTCCATCGTACCCCATCTCGTCCTGGTGCCCACACGCCGGCAAAATCGAGGCTGAACACCTCGATGGGCACGATCGAGTCTAAGCCAAGCGGCCAAGACGTGCAACTCCTGTGTCTTGCACAGAAGGCATCTTCTTGCACGACAGTCGGTATGACGGTTGCCAACGGACGGCCGCGTTGCACGAGGCCACTGAATTGCCCGGTGCGCGTCCTCCATGGGTATGTAATAGACGGGCGACTTCGACGCAAGTATGACTTCGGAAATGGCCTGCCTTGACGGAGTCAGAAGCGTATGTGTCGAACGCGTCCATTCTCTGAATAACGTGCAGTGTCCCTACCCACGCACAGAACGGCCTTTGTGTCATTTCGCCTGGCGCCGGTGCTCGAGCGCACAACGTGGATATCTGCGCTCGTAATCAGCCGTAATCGCATCGATCCGACGTCCTGATGTGCACTGGAGCTGCATGGGCCTTAAACTGCGGAGCATGATGGAAACCGAGCTCCGATGCTGTGAACGCTGATGGGTGCATGCATGTAAGTAATATTGCCGCGGGCATCGGCGCTGCCTCCCCGATCTTGGCCTGTTGCTCAGATACAAGCGTCCTAAGGTGTCCGTCTTCGAATTGGCGGTACGTGAGATTCTCATCGCCCACTGTATTGATGGGAACCATCGAACACACAAGCGGAGTCCTCATCCGTACGGTACAGCCGGTAAGGCTCATGTAATCCAATGACCATGGCCCATTGGCAGCATCGCAGTTGTCCAGATTGGCCAAATTGTAGCAGTAATCGCGCCGAGATGCAGTCCTCCTATACCTGGACGAGTCCGAGCAGCCCGACGTAGAATTCAGCACTTCCGCTACTCTTCATGAAGAGCTGGGATGTGTGCATTACGGCTCCCCCGCTTGTATCGAAGCGCGACGGCTCTGGGAAGGCCGCGGCGTCGTTCACGCTTCCCGACGGAGTCTAACGCCCGCAAATGAAGGGAGTTCGGCGTACTCTCGCGTTACGAGAAATGATGTCGACATGCGCTGGTTCTAGTGGGGTACACGCTCTTCCGCCTCGCCGGATGGCCGATCAGCGCCAGCGCCAGGGGTCCGGGCGGGGATAGACTCGAGCAGAATCAAATGTAGACTGATGGTGAATCCATGTTGCAGCTGACGCAGCCCCATGATAGGTCTCATAAGACGCAAGATGAGAGGCCCATTGAGCGGGTTTTCGTAGGACGACATGCAGCAGCACACAATCGGTGATGGGATCCGTTGAGGAACGGCTACGTAATTAGGTGCCTGAAGTCACGTGAAGGCTGCAGTCCTAGCGAGCCGCATGGACCGGACCAGGAGCATTTCGTGTTGGTCTGCAAAGACTTGGCATAGACACTCTGGCTTGAGCAGTTCAGCGCACCTCCGGCGACTCTTTGTTGCCATGTCAGAAAACGGGTTTCAAGGCAAACAGCCGACATCCAGAGGGGATGTGGGCCTGTCTACTGTTGTGGCCAACCCGTATCCCACTCGGGTCGACTCGCAGCAGGAGCATACGAAGGTGGTCGAGCAGCTCGACAGGTCCTCACCATATGCTCGCCGGATTGCTTCTCGAGTACAAGGTCTTGATACTCGCAAGAGCTCGATGTTGCACACCCGAACGTTACTACTTGTCTTCATCGCTTGCTTCTCCGGCGTGCTTGCACTGTTCCCATCTATAAAGCAGTTATATGAGTTCGTTGTTGTTTCCTCGATGGTACACGAGAAAATATGTCCCATGCCTGCTCCGCATGATATAACCCACCAAGTTCGATGGGACAACTATAGCCTCATTCTTCGCGGACAGCGTGTGTTTCTCAAGTGAGTTTACTCACCAAGACCTTGGTACTGGTGACTTACTCCTCTTCCTTCAACGTAGCTCTGGAGAGTTTCATCCCTTCCGGCTGCCTGTCCCGGGACTATGGCCAGACATCTTGCAAAAATTCAAGGCTGCAGGGTTCAATGCGGTCAGCATCTACACCCACATGGGGCTGATCAATCCTGCTCCTCACGTCATCGATATGGACGGTTGGAGGTCCGTCGAAGCTTTCTACGATGCTGCCAAAGATGCCGGTCTATGGGTCGTGCTCCGCCCTGGTCCGTGGACGTCCTGATCCCTCTCGATCGGATGACAATACGGTTAACAGGTCCATACATCAATGCTGAAACAACTGCTGGAGGCTTTGCTCACTGGCTTACGGCGGAAGTCTCTGGAACACTGCGGACTAATGCCTCCGACTTCCACGCCGCTTGGCAAGATTATATTGAGGCTATAATCAATGTTACGATACCTTACCAGATCACTCGTGGTGGACCCGTCATCGGTACGATGTCGTTTGTTTTCCCTTCTGATCATTGCTGACGCCTATTCAGCCATACAAATCGGTGAGCAATGATTGCAAACTCTTGCATTTCGTGCTGTGATAATTTGTGACGTTCCAGACAATGAATATTCTCAATACGACTACGGCGAAGAAGGCGCGCAGTACTTCGCTCAGTTGGAAGATGCCTATCGTGCCTCCGATATTGTAGTGCCATTGACGTACAACGATCCCGGCCAATACAAGAATTTCGTGAACGGTACCGTCAGTACTTTTGTTTCCCACTGAGAATGGAAATCTGACGATGAACTCTACAGGGCGCTGCCGACATTTATGGGTAAGCAGATGAACGCGTGAAGTGTGCACCAATAATACTTACGCCTCATCGCGTTCTATTAGTCTAGATGCGTATCCTCAAAGGTTCGACTGTTCGAATCCCGAAAGGTGGAACCCCGTTACTACGAATTACCGACATTATCATCTTGGTGAGTACTTGGAGGGCACGGAGGCGACCGAGTTCTGAAACCACTTGTCAATCCAGATACCAATCCTTCGCAACCGTTCTATTCTCCGGAGGTAATGTACGCACCTTAGAAGGCATAGCTACTCCTTTGACACCCCATCAGTTCCAAGCCGGTGCCTTTGATGCATGGGGACCGGAAGCACCTGGTCTGTTGCAATGCATTCAGATACGCATCAGATCCAATTTGACCTCGCGCACCAAGGTTATGAGGCATGCCGTAAGCTCACGAACTCGGACTTCGAATCTGTCTTCTATCATAGCTTATGGGCAGCCGTAAGTTCAAGGTTTCCTTTGACCCTCTGGCTTTTTTTCACTTCGGGAGTATAGAATGCCAAGTTGATCAACTACTACATGGTCTACGGGTGGGTAGTTTCATATGTGCGCTGAATCGCTGTTGACTATTGGTCAGCGGGACATCATGGGGAGCGCTTCCGTTCCCCGGCGTGTATAGTAAGCTGACGATGCTCGTTCCTTCCTGGTGGAAGCAATCTCACTCTGGAACTAGCCAGCTATGACTACGGCGCAGCCATTGCGGAGGATCGCCATTTAACAGAGAAATATGCAGAGTTGAAGCGCCAAGGCCTCTTTTTGCGTAGTTCACCAGAATTCTACAAGACGGAGTGGGTAGGGAATAGCACCGATGGCGCTGTCGCTATAACCGACCCAGCCGTGTTCGCTGTCCTCCTGCGGAACCCCGATACGAACACAAAGTTCTATTTCTTGCGCCATAGCAACTCTTCCTCGCTGTAAGTTCGCGACGCCGCAATAGGAAGTAGCTTGCTCAGTCCTTCAGGTTGAAGACTAACTTCGGTTTGGACGTCGACACCTCGATTGGGCAGCTACACCTCCCTCGACTCAGCGATTCGCTATCAGTGATCGGGAGGCAGAGCAAGATCGTGGTCACGGACTATCACTTTGGAACTTCAACTCTACTCTACTCGACAGCCCAAGTTTATTTTGCCGGCCGGATTGGTGACCGCGATGTCCTGTTTCTATACGGCGACGTCAGACAAGATCACGAAGCGGCCATTGATCTGACAGGAGTTTATAATCCAATACAGAGACATCCCCGAGTATCCATGATGCGGACCGATCTTGACGGTTCGAGTCGCACACTCATATCCTTCCTCTCCGGTATCGAAGGCTTGGTTACCATCTGGGACTCCAGCACGCAACTAGTCCTATACAGTGACAGCACCACTGCGGGCACGTTCTGGTCTCCCCCAATTGCATACGACAACAATTCGTTCTCGAACTACTGGAGCTTCGGCACCAACGTCACGGTGTTGGTTGGCGGTCCTTATCTAGTGCGCGATGCTCGAATCCGCGGTAGGGAGCTTGCTCTCAGAGGGGACCTTGACAAGGATGCACGCCTTATCGTCATCGCGCAGCCAGAGATAACAACCGTATCTTGGAACGATATTCTAGTTCCCTTTTCCAGCGCGGCCCAAGAAATTTCCGCTACAGGCATGTTCGTCGGTGACCTGGTCTACTCCTCTGGTCATGAATCGGTGTCCCCCGTGGTCCTCCCACCACTCACTGGCTGGAGTTTCGCATGGAGTCTGCCTGAAATATACCGCAATTTTTCAGATTCGCGTTGGACGGCCGCGAATCATACTCAAACGAATAACCCTTGGGGCCCGGAATATGGCGATGGTACCGTATTGTATGGATGCGATTATGGCTTGTGGGTTCCCTTATGCCCTTATGTGAAGGGTATGGCGACATGGTGCTCACACGCTATTTAGTTGCGAGAACATCGTTCTCTGGCGCGGTCACTTCACTGCAGATGAAGCTCGATCACTGAACCTATCTATCAACGGCGGAGAAGGCGAGTGCTTCTCCCACAATACCTCCGTTGGATGCTCATACACTGTACAATCAGCATTCGCTGCCAGTGTGTGGTTGAACGATAGATTCATCCGCACAACCTATGGCAAGTAAGTACAATCGCGACATGACGGAACGAAACTATAAAGACGACGTTTTACGTCTAGTTCTACGAACAACAAAAATATAATCGAGGAAACAGATGAAACCTATGTTTTTCCACGGGATGCCCTTCGACTCGGGGAAGACAATGTCATCACTGTCGTCCAGGTCCGTCGTTCCGACTGTGTAAAGCAAAACTCAACCAATACGAGGGTAGGATAACATGGGTCTAGACGAAGCTTCGGATGGTGAGTGATATTACTGAATGCTGTCGATATACCCTTGTCCCATGTTTGGATCAGAAACGCCTGACTCATCGAAGTCACCCCGGGGGATTCGCGGTTTCAGCCTAAGTTCTGGTAACTTTTCAAGCTGGAAGGTGCAAGGCAAACTCGGTGGCTATCAAGAGTACATATTCTGACATCTTTCTTGCTTTGAGGATGTTGCTGACGAAAATCCGCAGCTACCCCGACAAAACCCGCGGCGTCCTGAACGAGGGCGGCCTTTATGGTGAACGGCAGGGATGGCATCTTCCGGGTTATGACACCTCGGGTTGGATCCATCGCGAATTGGACGAGGGTCTACCTGAAGGCGAAGCCGGGATCGGGTTCTTCATCACGAGCTTCGAGTTGGATATTCCTGATTACCTTGACGCTCCGATCTCGTTCGTATTCGACAATGTCGAGCAGCCTTATCGCGCCTATCTCTTCGTGAACGGATGGATGATGGGCAAGAGGGTTGCTAACCTTGGGTAGGTGCTGCGACCGTCCAAACTCGTTGACACCTTGTTGATTCGTTACGTAGTCCTCAGTATCGGTTCCCGGTGCCAGAGGGTATACTGAATTATCGCGGTAACAAGTTAGTGTCCCAAATATTAATTCGTTACACATATGTTGATCTATATCGTAGCACCGTTGCTGTGGCGCTATGGGCTATGGAGCAAGCCCCCCTTGAGCCAAGCCTTCGACTGGAACTTGACGGTGTATACGAGGGTGGATTCGGCAGAATATCGGTCCACAACCCGCCGTACTCAGCGTCCAGGAGGGAGGGTGCATACTGACGTCGAGTGCCTTTCACAATGATGCTGAACGGGACGATCCCGAAAACACTACGGCAGCTTGGTGATTAATCTATCTGTGGCTGTCTACTACAGGTTATCACCATCAGATGTACAATCTAGTTTATACCCTGGGACAGTTGTGAACCATGCTATGTATCCCAGACGCGTATTCCTTCCTCCCGCCGACTCATGGCGTCCACCAGGCGGGGCTTCCCAACTCCCGGATGCATCTGAAACAGCGCGGAGGACCCAGCGAATTTGATGCCTGATACATAGGGTCTCCGTTAACGCCTCTAGATATTCCGATATCCAGTGTTACATACCACTCTCCTTGCCACTTCGATTGCAAATGATGACAGTCACATGTTCAGCATGAGGCTGGGACGGGGTCACGGCCTGCGCCAACACTGATCCGCGATTCCTCCACAGTGGGCGTAAGCGTGCCGCCCAGTAGTTCAGGGTACTCCAGTCCGTTTCAGCATCCTCATCTTCGAGGGAGTCTAGCCAAGCATTCAATACCACCAACACGCGACTCCTCGTCGAAAGGCAATGTTCGGCCAATTCGTAGGGGCCCTCTTCTAGGGTCCAGACCGCAGGTGGTTGGGCATTAAGATCCATGCATATCCCCAACGACAGTCGTCCGAGGGGTGCGGGCAGGTTGAAAGTGGCGAATCCAGCACCTAGCCAGACCGGTCTTGCCTTAGGTTAGTCAACATTTTGGAGTGGAAGCAGGACGAACCGGGTTCTGCCCATGACATATCTGTATCATACAGGTTCGTCTTGCGATAGTTTCCCACAAATATCCCCCCGGGCCCGTAAAGAACTGCGCTATTGTATCCGATAGTCCAGGGACGCATTTTCGGGCGTTCGGCAGGATCTATCTTCTCTGGATAGCCCGCCAACACATAGCATCGAAGTCGGTCGGCTAGGAGGGAGCAGAACACGGATGTCGGTCCTTTCCGAGGCGTCTCCAAGTAAGGGGCTATGTGGGATGCATCCCGGAAGACATATCCAGAAAAGACCATCTATATAGATATTGAGGATATTGGATAGCATCCAAATGTTCTGCGCTTACTTCGGGTAGGCAAACCAGATCTACCGAACCTGGTTCAAGATCTGCGCACAATGCGGTGGCTCTGGATATGTTTTCGGATACATGCCCTATCTAAGCAGAAGAACATGTAGTTCTTAATGAGGTCGAAAGACGCGGTGGCCCACCTTGGGTGCATACTGGATCACGGCGATCCGAGCCATCAGACAGGTCCGCACGGAATATAGTCCCAAAAAACCGTGCAGTATCCTTCTTGTCTTATGTACCCTGGCGCTGAATAGTTCGAGGACAGAAGTAACATCACACAGTAAACGAGGCCTCAGCGCTCAGCCTTGAGGCAGCTGGAAGCAATCGCAATCGCCCGGGAGTCAGAGTCATGTGATACATCGTACTTTGTCCTGCTGTGCCAGGCCAAGTCAGAGGTGCAACTTTGTGAACGGCTCTCTCCTGAACATGAAACTGCTTGTCTGCCATGCTCAGCGCCAAAGCTAAGGGGAAGCAGAAAGCCATAGAGCCAGATGCGGCGAAAGAGCGTGCATCGTCACCGTGCACGCTGGTTGTGCGCTTCACCGAAGGGGACCCCGACCTCCGTCTCGAGGCGACTGAGCAGGAGACTGTGCATGATGTGAAGCTCAAGGTCTGTTTCTACTCACGGATATCGTCAAGGTTGTGAACTAAGCTTCTTCTCAGATACGTGATGCTAAGCCACACCTCCGAGGCCGCAGGCTGCGCCTTATCCATCAGGGACGCCTACTTCCAGATACGACACCAGTCCATAATTGGTTATCTTCGACAGAGAGCAGACACCACACAGAAACCTCCAACGAGCCGACTTCAGATGATTCTCCGTTCTCTGCTCCGACCACTTGGGTTCATTGCTCCATTGGACCTGTATTGAGCGAGGGAGAGGAAGATCAAGAAAAGGATACGCAGGTAAGTTGGGGATGCCTGGCCCCTGACAACTTAACATACCAATATCGACTAGACCGCACAAATCAAGCCGTTGAGGGGCTTCGACCGTTTGGCCGCCGCGGGCTTTTCGGAATCAGACATACAGAGCATACGAAGGCAGTTTCATAGCCAATCTACAGACAATTATCTCGATTCTGGGTTCGAGAACGATGACGATTGTAGGTTCAATACCAGCAACTTTCGTCTTGGGCTTAGTTCGCTATATCCACGTCCCTTAGATGAAGAGCGTGCACGTGTACTAGAAGAGCAGTGGATAGATTCTATGGATACAGGTGGAAGCGCAGCTCTATCCGATTATTCCCCAACAGCGATAGTTACTGGCGCTGTCATGGGTTTCTTCTTCCCGCTTCTTCCTTTCTTCTTCTTCAGCGAGGCACGGCCCGCGGTATTTTGGGAAGACGGATCAGAGCAACCAGCCCCTCGGAGTGCAATATTTTCGTGCGTTGTCATGGCTCGCATATCGCCGATCTATCTAATGGACAACGTTTCTTTTTCAGAAAGCGCATGCAGATGAGTCTGGTTTTTGGGTTTTGCATGAACGTCATATTTGGGCTTTGGCGATATCTCCTCTCATCCTCCATTTAGCTGTTATTGTGTACATGGCATCCGTTCTCGTAATCCTTATGATCGCAATGTTGAGCGCACAATCGATGATTATGTGCAAATGTTGAAAACAGAGTTCATCACGTACATGGTCCGAATGTTTGGTGACATGTACGAACACGTGCAGCGCGTCTAATGAAAGTTGGTGTAACGCGTCTTCCAAAATTTCAGTGGTTGAATTCCATTGTTCATCCTCATCACCAACTTGTTCCTTACTCATCGTAGACGAGCCGGCTCTACTCGTATCCTCCCATCGTAAGCGTCGTTTGTCTCCCGGCGTTTGATCGTTATATCAAGTCAAGACGGATGCAGATGGATCTCCATACGTTATCCAGCCTATTCGCTACGACCTATAATCCCGATCCCAATGTTCGAAAGGCCGCAGAGCTTGAGATCCGGAAAGTACGTTGGCAACGCCTATGCATACATCTTAGTTGACATCATCTGGCATTGGACAGGTGGGGGTACAGGAGGGCATGCTCACTGCGCTTCTCCAGATAATCGCCGAGGAAAACGTTGAGCTGTGCGTGCGACGCGTTCTGGTTCAGAACAAATGTCAAATCGGATCATGCGGTGTTCTGATTGTCTGTGGTTGTAGTGCGACGCGTCAAGCGTGCTCAGTATATCTCAAGAATCGCGTCTACACATCCTACACCGTCGATCCCGCCGTCACCCGCCCACGTCCCGATCAAACGCCGATCCATCCATCCGACAAGGATGCACTGAAAGCAAGCATTTTACGCTTGCTTGCTGCATCTCCTTCCCGGAGTGTGACCGTACAACTCGCTGATACGTTTAAGAATGCCGTGGCACGCGATTTCCCAGACAACTGGCCTGGCCTCTTGGATCAGGTCAAGGCCCTTCTCATCAGCAGTAACATTCAGGATGTCGCGGCCGGATGCATAGCATCTCTGGAGGTCGTACGAGCATTCCGGTATGTGCGGCACCCGATATCCTCTCATGTCGATGGATATGAAGCCGGCATTCCAGATTCCGACAGGATAGCAAGATTCTTCCTGATATCGTGGCCAACCTGTTTCCCACGTTGGTCTCTATCGCTAATCAGATGCTCAATTCGCCGCCTCCTGGTGTCGAGAAGGAGATTCCCTTCATGTTGCATCTGATTCTGAAGACTTATAAGACCAGCACTATGGTACAGCTTACCGCGCATCAGCAAAGCGCAGAAAGCCTCGTGCCATGGGGAAGATTACTCTTCCAGGTCGTCAACTTGCAGATTCCGAAGGACGCCGTCCCGGAGGATGAGGAGGAGCGAGAAAAGAGTGAATGGTGGAAGGCCAAGAAGTGGGCGTATGGAATTCTTGGTCGCCTTTTCCACCGGTAAGCCATGTCATACTTGCGATCTTTCCGTCATTGACCGCAGCATAGTTATGGTAACCCATCTCAATTGCCGACGGTCATGCGCAAGGATTACGGTGCCTTTGCCGAGCATTTCATCACTGTATTTGCCCCCGAAATATTCAAGGTTTACCTCCATCAGGTAGAGCTCTACGTAGCTGGACAGGCATGGTTATCGAGCAAGTGCCAGTACCAAATTTTCTCGTTCTTCACCGAATGGTCCGTTCCGTGACATATACTCGACGTCCCGGTGAACTAATTCATTCATAACACAGCGTCAAGCCCAAGTCAACATGGGTTCTTCTTAAGCCCCACTTTGAAACTCTAGTCTCTTCCTTCGTCTTCCCTCTGCTGTGCTTCAACTCAAGCAAACAGGAACTGTGGGACACAGATCCTGTGGACTACATCCGGGTTTCGGTCGGTCAGTCATGGTGCTTTCCAAATTGTGCTCAGCTCATCGTTGCTCTCGTAGACGAGTATGAGACCTACACCACCCCGGTTTCGGCTGCAACGACCTTCTTGTTCGCGCTCGCGTCCAGCCGCACTAAGGCAACCTTCGAAAGCATCCTGACGTTCATATATTCCGTTCTGCGATCGTAAGTGGCAGGAGGGTGGAAACGGATAAAGACTGATGGACATATGGGCAGAAATCCGGCGAGCCCGCAAAGATTTGGTGCATTGAACATGGTGGCCGCGTTGGGGCCGTTCATTATGTCGCACCCCGAAGTGAAGACCAATATGGAGTCATTTATGCTGCAACATGTTCTTCCAGAGTTCTCGAGCAGCGACGGATACATGAGGGCAATTGTACGTTAGCTTCTTATCTTAATTCGCGTGTTCTAACTTGTGTTTGAAAGGCATGTGAAGTGCTTGGAACCGTAGAGAAGTCCAGGATGGACTGGGCCAACGAACAGGTCGGCTAAACGAGCGCAGCTTTATCGGAAGGGGCTTCTGAACGTTATGCAGAATATCTCCTCCCATCTGAAAGCGGTGGCGACCGCTCTCGACGACCCTGAACTTCCAGTCAAAGTGCAGGCTGCACTCGCTCTGACAGAAATGGTGAAGAGGCACGAAAAGGGTGTGTGACGATGAGGGGTCAATAATCAAATCGTCTGTTATTAACTGAAACTTGTGCTTAGTTCGGGAGGCCGTCTCACCTCAGGTTGGCAAGGTTATACAGGGTAGGTCGTTCAAAGCCTTCCACGGATGCCGCTGAAAGACAATTTCCAGACCTCCTCAAAATGGCCGACGAGACAGACCTGGACATTCTGAACAGCTGCATGGAGACGATGGTTGATTACTTTCAGGATGAGCTCGTTCCCGTGGCTGCACAGCTTGCAGCACGCCTTGTGCGTATGACTTGTGCGCTCAAGATCCAACACTCATCGTTCTGTCAGTGCGATTCCTACCTGCGCCTCGTGCGTGAAGCTATGGCCTCGGATGAAGCAGGTGGTCAGAACGTGGATCTTGACAACATAATGGAGAGCGACACAGATGACGATAAGACTTACGCAGCGATGGGCGTCGCGAAGACCATCGGGACTGTACGTCAGGATCTTGTAAACTATTGTGTTCGTGAAACTGATTGCCAGTAGGTTATCAGCTCTATTGATTCTTCTCCAGAGATCCTCGCGCAAGTGCAGGAGGCCGTCATACCCATTGTCGTTTTTACGCTCGAGAACAAGTTCCTCGGTACTGCGGTCCAGCTTATGATTGGGCCGTCGTCATTGACTAATATGGCATGTCAGACCTCTTCGACAATGTGTACGATCTCGTCGATGCTCTCACTTTCAAGCTCCATTCCATTGCGCCGGCCATGTGGCAAGTTTTCGAGCTCACGTACAAGTTGTTCAAGTCGGATGCCATCGATTTCTTGGATGGTCCGTAGTGGTCTGCTGAACAGGCGGCTCGTTCTGACAATGTCATAGAGATGCTGCCCGCTCTGGACAACTTCATATCGTACGGCCCGGAGGTCTTCAAGGCTCGTTCTGACTATAAGGATATGGCCCTTGATATCTACGTGACTGCCATGGCTAGCGAGCAGCTTGGAGAGAACGACCGTGTGAACGGCTGCAAATTGGCTGAATCCATGCTCCTCAACTTGCGCGGATACGTAGACGAGGTATTACTGGACCACATTGACAATCTCGTAATGGGGGCTTAGACTGTTCTTCAGGCGTTTCCCAAGATCGTAGCGACAGCTTTGGACCACATGGATAGTGCTGAGACCAATGCGTTTCGACTCGCCAACCTCGAGGTCTTGATCAATGCCGTGCTCTACAACCCATCGGCTGCATTGCATCTCATGGAATCGCATAGCGTAGGCGCGTCTCGGGTGTTCTTCGACAAATGGTTCGCGATTATCAAGGACAGCAGCAAGCTTCCTCGCGTCCACGACAAGAAGTTGAGCATTGCCGCTCTGTGCGCCCTAATGGAAGTGGAAGCCTCTGCAATTCCACGACCACTGCAAGCTGGATGGGCTGGCATCGTCGCCGGCGCTTTGAAAATCTTCCAAGATCTCCCAAAAGCGATCGCGGGTAAGCTGTTTTCGAGCTTGCAGCAAAAGCATTCGTTCATACTTTCTCACATCGTCGTTCAGCGCGGAAGGCACTCGAGGAAGCCTTCGGTGATGATGACGACGACGATGACGACGATGGCAGGGTTTTGAACCTGAACGAGGACGATGGTTCGTCAACTCGTTCAACTGTGATCAATTGTGGTTTAATCGGTTTCAACCCCGCAGAGGATGTCTTGGATGAGGACACGGCGTATCTGGAGATGCTGGCCCAAGAGGTCTGTGATCAGTCAGATCATGACAATCTCGCAATTGACAGGCAGCTGCACAGAGCGCTCGCCTACGAGAGCGGAGCGATAAACTGGATGATGACGCAGAAGAATCCGTATCGTCGGAGGAATCTGATATAGAGGAAGAACTGGGCTACTTAAGCCCGTTGGATCAGATCGACCCATACATCGTCTTCCAGCAAGCATTGACAAGTGCGTTTCCTTACCCTGACCTAGTATCATATGTCTGACCGTGGCACATAGCCATGCAAAACAAAAATCCTGCGATGTATCAGGCCTGTACCACCTCTTTGTCTATCGATCAACAGACTCTGTTGATGGAGGTTGTAGCCATTGCACAAAGCAACGCCGCGCAGACACATGCGAGCTCGTAAAGAGATCCAGTCCACCGGGCCACCTAAATACCTTGATTCATTGTTTTGCATTGTCGTTTTGTTGGAATTTCACGCATCTCATGTCTTACTGGAAGTTTACACAATGCAATGTTGATGACCATTTGCTTTCCCCTGGCACAGAAGAACAATGAAGGCGGTCTAAGCCGATTGCGGACTACGCAGTGGCCATGTCCGGAAATATAAGACCTATGACACCTTGAACTCATACGGAATGTCTCCCTCGCCCCTCAACCTTCATCTGACTACAACTTCGAACGCACCTGACGCTCAGCTGAGCCCTAGGTGCTTTACTGCCGATCGCATGTCCTTCGCAACGCCAATCAGCTCATCGTCCGGGCATGGCGATGCAAACGCACCCGAACGCTCCTTTGTGGACGCCGCAAGTACCCTCGTCGGCTCCTATATCGCCTTTGCACTCGACGTCGATCGTATTGCCGCGCAGTACAGTCAATCGGACCCCGAACTGCTCGCCATAGACGAGTTCCGGACCGCAACCGCACGAGGACGTTACGTCGGCCTTGTAATCCGAGAGAAGCAGACATCATCTCTGGAGATTGACGAAAAGTCCTGCCTAGCGATATACGTTCTCCCCGTGAGCCAGGGTGCACCAGGAGCAAACGTTGGATGGATGCCGATTGAGCCAACTGGGTTGATTACACCGCACGCAGGGCAAGAGGCGCTTGAACCACAGGTCATGTTTCCCTGGGCCGGATGCACCCAGCTGCTGACAGGAGGCGTGTGGCTAAGCGTCGAAGAAAGGCGTCCGTCTTCCCTCCACTTCAACTTGAATGTGGATGACTGGCTGCGTGTAGACGACGGACTCGGTACCTTATCGGGTTACCAAGGGCACCCAGCAGAAGCCATCCCGGTAGAGGTGAGAGTTCGCTAACTCCGGGAGGCCGCAAAATTGACTCGGAAGTAGGCTTGGGGCGACATCAGATGTGGAAACCCCAGTTTGACCTTAAATCAATTTGAACAAGAGGTGGAGGAGCTCCGCGCACGTATCTTTATCATAGATTGAGCAGCTTATGATTCTGTAGTCGATAACTTGCATGACTGAATACGGGTTACATACTGCAGTTTTTTTTGTGATCACTTTGCGCCTCCTCTCCGACGGCCACCACGACTAGCCTTCCTCTTGAGTGCCCGGCCCGCAAGATCTGACGGGGGGCTTTCGTCCCTCAACCTTGCTTTACCCTTTCCTGCCCTCACCTTACCCGCCTCCCGTTCGTCCCAGTTCTTACGCCAATCCCAGCGCTGGAATTTTCTCCGACACGCGCTGCTCCCGCCTTCGGCATACTCCGCGCGTGTTACAGCTATCGCGTTGCCAGCCTGTCCAAAGACGCCAGGCGAACTTGCGAGCGCGCGTCCGGCATGGAACGCCTCTGTGATGGGGCTAAAAATACGTCGCGTGAGCGATATCCATGTCCGGCTCTCCAAAACGACGGGGGACGCTAGTGGCGCAACGAAGGTTCGACAGCGAAGGGCGTGAAAGGGAACAACGGCCGAAATGAATGAGATCCGTCTCCCGCGATGATCGAGCACCGACGGGAAGGAAATAGAATGCCGCGCCGAGAAAGCCAAGATTAGGAGACATTGCGCAAAAGGGCCCGAGCGCGGACCGAGCGCTGGGCACTCACTGCCAGGGAAGGGGGTGGATATAGCTCCAGACAAGGGGGCGCGCGCACACGAGGTTTGCATGTCCACAATGACAGACATGCGTTGGGAGGAAAAGGGGAGGAGGATGAAGCCGAGCCAATGGGAGATGAACTCTAAAGGTTCGAGGATCCAGATATGGACTGACCGTTCGCAGGTGTGAACCATCACCTCGCACTCGGGAGGGGCGAGAGCCCTGAGCTCCCTAGTCCTAGATGTGGAAAACTCCGTGAGCTAACGTATCGTGACTGGAAAGGAAAATAGCGAGATTGGGGAAAAACTTCGGGACGAAGGCGAACGTTCGGGATATGAAGGAAACCCATGCTACAGCGGAACCAGTTGATGCAACAGTGTCAGGAGAAGAATGCTAAGTATGACATGGCTGAAGGGCCAGGGGTGAGAGGTGGTGACGGCAGCAGCGGGTGATGGCAAATGCGGAAAGAGCTTGAAACAATCAAAGCGCGACATAAACAAAACGTACAGCCTTTGCTGCAGGCCGGGGAAGAGCGTGCTTCCACCGACGAGACCAACATTCGCCCAAAACATCCCGCGCACGTCCTCGGGCAGAAGCGAGATTGACCGAGCGATGGCGCGGGGCAAACCGAGTTGGTCGAGGCCTGTCAAAGTAGTCCCGTCAGTCGATCCGCCACGGGCTCCACATGCAAGCGAAGATCGATGGAGGAGAGGACAGCGGTAACATGATTTAAGCGCGAAACTTCGACGAGCGCGTGCATCACAGGCGAGGCAAGAAGTGCGCGGCGATGTTTTGTTAACGCACCGACATCGTCGGGTCGGAAAAGGAGTTCCGGAACGGCGAAGCGTTCGTTTCCCATGAGGAGAAGTTGCTCTCGGTTCCTTTGGTGATCCCTTCCCTTCATCGCGTCACCGAGGTCGTCATCCTTGGGTCGGTCTTGAGTTGGACCTTCGCGGATACGCCCATGACGAGTGACTGCGGAGCTAAAGTCTGGGAGGATATATTCTTGCAATATAGGGTTTTTCTTCGGATCTACCCTGCGGTAGTCCAAAGCTGTCAGAATGAGTCGCAGCAGGCAAGGAAACAAGAGGCTAGGGCCAAAGCCAGTACGGCTACGTGAACACCCGAGTATGCGAACATAATGCGAAGAAACATCCATTTTTGTGGTGTTCTCAAAATAGAATATAAGGGATTCAGAAAGCAGGGACTCCAGATCGGGTGCAGATCGATGAATGAACATATTGAACGGAAATATAGGTGGTGTTTATGGCACTGGCGGAGGTAAAGCGGGGGCGCTGACAACGAGATTCATGCGCTCCAGATTCACCGCCCAAAAAAACGCAGGGAAAACGGGAAGAATCTGGAAGGAACTGCGCCGAATAGACAGACAAACGACGACTTACCGACAAGTCTCGAGGTCACGATGATAATCGTCGGAAACGTAACAACATGCCTCTTTTATTTCGTTCACGATCCATGTCTCGTCCATCATGTTCCACTGCCTGAAGGAGACGAGCTCTTTGAGATGGTTCGTGAGGAGTTTGCCGCCCACGTCTATTCTGTGCAATGCAATCCGTATAGTCAGCATATGGTAATCGGGGAGGTTGGAACATGTGCCGGCGTGAGAGGATGCGCACGCCAAAGTAGCGACGCACCTCTGAACGGCATTCCAAACCACAGATCCATTCATGAGCGGTACGACGTGCGTGAAGCTGAAGCCCGCGTCCACGATTATCATACACTCCGGGGCGTGCGGGTATTCCGGACTCTTGAACATCGTGCCGTAGGGTATCAGTGACGCGGCTAAGCGTGACGGTATACGGCATGAATACTCTGTATCGCTGGCCTTAGAAGAGCGTAATACGCACGCGAACACCGCATATACGATTCAAACTCGTATTCCTCGAATATCATCTGATCGTATACGTCCTGGATGTTCGGTAGGTTGAAGTAAGGCTCGGTTACGAGGATCGAATGAGCGCTCGTGTCTACCTGTCCTTGCGTAGGTCAGCAATGTAGTCAGGGAGCCGTAGGTAAGGCCAGAGAGCATACGTTCAGCAGTCCGGGAGAAAAGATGCCATCCCATATCGCCTTCTGCGCGTCCCAGTCCGTCAGCAAGCCCTGGGTATGCCAGTCAGCACCTACATCGGCCGCTCTGGACAGAGTGTCCACACACTTTCTGAAACGGGATGCGATAGTTCAAGCTCGCAAAATTCGTGCACCGTTCTATTTCATGGCCGAAGTAGGTCTCCTTATCGCCTTTGGAACGGATGATTGCATTCGGTATTATTCTGGGCGCGCGATAAGATCAGAGTGTACTGTAATTGCGCCTGAGCCCTTACTTTGGAGCCTCCGTTTCGTCTGCGAACCCAACCTTGAGCGTCGAGGCACCGTTGTCGAGGACGATAGTGCGAGATTGAGACATGCACGTATACGCAACGACGATGCGGAAAGACCGGTCCGAAACTCGATATACCCACGCTCACTCTCGACCTGCACACCGAGGCGGATAGATAATACGTTAATAGTAGGATTAACCTTAAGCATTGTACGTGTACAACGGTAAACTATCACCGGGAATAATGCGATCGAAGACTCATCCGATCCACCTCCATATATATATCCTGAAATCAAAAAACGCATATTATGTGCACCACGTCGGCAATGAGGGTGTAGCGTTCCAGGGGATGAGTGAGGTGAGATAGAAGTCATTCATCGAATGAATATGCTCGCCACGAGGTTGAGAGCAGCTTGTACGCGGGGATCAGTAGCCATAGCCGCGGCTGCCGCCCTAAGAAAATAACGTCAGTCGCGAGCTGACATTGTGCTAGATGCGGTACATGGTGGACTGGACACATACAGAAGCAAGCTGCCGCAGAGGAGAACACGGACCTGCCGGGATTTCTCGTTCTCTCGCCTCTGTCGCGCGGCAGCGATGATCGCGTCCATCTGAGCCTCGTGCTGCGAGTCCGATATCCACCCTGACCAATCTCCTGCGACGTCCCGGTAAGCGCGGAAACGGACCATGTGAATGAGTTCCAACCTTGGATGCGAGGCATCAGAGAAGGCATAGCCGCTGGTGCGGACGGCGTGGGGTAGCCAAAATCATGTGCATGGCTGCTTGAAGAGTGGGTAGGTGTGGACGACGATCGCGTGGAAGTGGTCGGCGTCGGCAATGGCGAGCTGGTCCAATATGTCGCGCGAGTTGTGTTTGATGTTGTGGTGGTCGTGGGTTCGTGTGAACGCCCCGTGTCGGCAATGACTATGATATAGGGGTTCAACATCGGGGTGGTGTATGGGGGAACGGTAGGTGAGACGGCGCAGACCTTTATCCTCCGGCTGATCTTTGTTCTGCGATCCGCTCGGTGACATGGTGGTGAGCATCCCCAGAGAGGACGGATGAACTGGGGGCTCGCTTGGGATACTCCGAGAGTGCACAAGCACGCGAGAGAGTCAAGTGGGGGCGCGTCACCGGTGGAGGCGGTATGACGATCTCTGCGGAGCTTCTAAGGGCCATGAACGAGAGGGAGACAGCCGCCTCTGAGCCTGCCTGGGGCTTGCACGTCCATCATTACCGACGCTGACGAGAAAATGACCACGGGCGGGCCAAACAAAAACCGGTCCTCGACCACCGATGACCCACATCAGCGTCGTCTGCGCAAGTGAGGCGGACGGCTTCCACGACCGAGCCGGACATGCCACATATCGAGACCGACGTGCACGACGATGGGATGCTTGGTTCTGCTAAGGTCGACGATATGAGGTGCCAGGATGCGGAGGGATGCGGTGCAGGATCGCGCTGGCGGATTGGGCCTGAGCCTGCTCCTTTCCTGGCTACGTTCGTCCACGTAACGCATGTACTTCCGTACAACTACACATTTGGGTACAAGACACGCGACTTTGCGATTGTTCGAACCGAGACTGCGACCATGGTCTATACAATTAAGAAGGGACCACGCCCGAACCAGAAAAATTAGCATGACGCAAACGAGGAGAGCGAGACGACTGAAGAGGATAAAATAACGACTGTGAATTCGTCAGCATCAACATGTCGGACATCTATACGAGCACTAACCGACGAGGCACACCCCGGAGCAACCACTGCGGCGCGCACCCGCTCACGCGAGCGCCTTCACGCCTTCGTCCCACTCGGCTCGACTGACCACTCCAATCGCCCTACACGCGGGACAGCAAACGTCCACATCTCCATCGGCGCCCTGCGCATCGTCCTTCCGCTCTCCATCCCATCCCGCCACCCTTTCAGCCGTAACCAAGCACGCCGGGTGGAACTTGTGTCCACACCCGCCTGTCGTCCCACCGTCCGCAGACCTCACCACGATCTCTTTCAAGATCGGGCCCGTCTGCACAGGGTACGGATCCTCGTCCGACGGGCCGACGCCGCATGTAGGGTCCGAGCACCGCAGGCCAAGCTCGCGCTCGCGCTTTTCTACACGCTGACGCACGGTCAACCCGGGTGCGGGCGGCAATGTCCACTCCTTCGGCTCCCTCCGTGGGCCCTGTGCATGATGGCGCGAGAACGGGCCGGTCCCGAACGTGAACGGCATCCTGGGCAGCGGACCCGGAGCCCGACCTTCACCAGCGCCTGCGTTCGCTGGGCCATCGCCTTGTCTCGGAGCATGCAGGTTGGGAGCCCCTATTCGCTCGAAGAATTCCTGTATGAGCCGGATGGTGGCCTGCGCCGCAACTCCGCCCATCAGTTCGGGAGGAGGCCCGCCAGGCGCGCCCTCTTGCCCGGGTACCGGTAGCTCAAAGATCAAATCAATGTTGATGGTAGGGGGGCCGCCGGGACCGGCGCCGTCTGGGGGTACATTGGCATGGGCGTGGTGGAAGTGGCGGAAGGGCGCAGGTCGCGGAGGCAATAGAGGTTCATGGATACCGGGCTGCTGCTGTGGTTGTGTGTGTGGTCCTCGTTGAGCTTCAGCCGCCCGTGGCGTCTGACCCTGCGGGACGGCTTGCGGAGAGGAAGGTCGGGAACTGGGTAGGGGTATATCGGTTGGCTGTGGTTGAGGAGAGGGAGGCAGAGGGACTTGTGTTGCAGTGCTGAAGTCGGGCAATGGTGTCGGCTCCCTGACAAGTACTTGCCGTTGGGAAGTTGTGCCTGTAGGCGTGGGACCTGTCCGAAATGGTCGTGATCGCGGTTGTGGAGGACGATAGGTAAGATTTTCGGGGTCAATGTTAAATCGGCATGTTGGGCAGGTGGTCTGGCGCGGCCGCGAGAACCAAGGGATGAGGCAAGAGGCATGGAAAACATGAGCGCAAGGAAGAGAGACGATCTTGGGGTACTCTTTCTCGTTTGCCTTCTCCGCCTTGGAAGAAGAGGACGGGGAGGGCCCTGCGGCATCTGCGGGCTGATCTTGAGCCTGAGCGTCAAAACCCCCGCCCTCAGGTTCCAGAAGGCTATCCCAGCAGATAGCACAGCCCGGAGCCTCGTCTTGCGAGTTCTCGTGAGAATGTTCGACGCTGAGATGCTCCATGCGTTTCACAAGGCCGACCGGGACAACCTCTAGACCGTCCACGAGCCTCTTCGCGCGCTCGGGATCCTCTTTGTTGTAGTCCTCGAACATGCTGATGAGCGTTGCGGGATCAAAGTCCAACCCGCTAAACAGGTCAGCAAAGTTGGGGAAAGGAGGCGCGCCGCCTTCAGGCGGAGCAGGTCCTTCGGAATTTGTGCCTGGCGTGTTCTGGCCTTGTCCTTGGAAGAACCCAGGCGGCGGGCGGAATGGCTGGCGGGCATTTGGCGGGCCACCAAGAGGAACGACCCAAACACCCGTCACGGGGTCGATGGTGATGGCGACACCGTTGGCGGGTGGACCAGTGGGACGGTCACCCGCAGCTGGCGGCGGGAGCGGATGGAAGTGGGTGCGAGGAGGTACATGTTGCGATGTATGGGATGGGGCGGCGGACTCTGTCTGCTCCTCCTCAACCTCCACTCGGGGCCGGCGAGAGGGTCGCTGAGGGCTCGCCTCGTCGTCCTCTTCGGATCTTGGTCGTCGTTCACCTGCTCTGCGGGTTATGGGTTCCAGCGGAGGCATGTCATCATTGTCCTCGCCAACTAGGTCGCTCCCATCATCGCCCAAGCGTGGTTGAAGCATATCTTCCATATCGACATCCGACTGGTCGGAATCTTCGCCATCGGTGCTGTCCGAGATTGTGTGCAGGCTGGGCATCGAGTCATTATTGGGATCGCGGCGCGCTTGTTGTGGCGCTACGTGCGCTGGCAACGATGCATCCTGTGGCACCGCCGAGGAGGTACGAGGCGGTGGCATGACGGTGTCGTCCGAGTCCGACATATGCGACTGTGATGTATCGGGGGTACCTGGAAGTGGCGTCTCTGCAACAACTGAGCGTCCACGACTCGTGCTGTTCGGCTGGCTGTTGCCTCCGAACAGACTCCGCAGGATCTGGGATACGGAAGGGTTCGGGAATCGATTCGTGTTCAAACCGCTGCGAAACAAGCTAAAGGACTGATGGCGCCGATTATTGCCATCCATAGGACCGGCGGACGCTGGCGATCGTCGTTCGTGGTGGTGGGTATCGTTCAAGAGGGAGCTGCTGAACAATCGCGCCCGACACCGAAAGAGGATCTGAAGTGCTGTGACGTCACGTGGCTCACGCGCACCAGAACATTCCTGGACAATCTCGGACAATGCAATACGTTCCATAACAACAGCACCCAAGCACAAAACAGGGACAGGTGTATTATATTGCCAGATGCGCCTCCTTCCTTCATCAATTGACGATGCCAACACCCGCGGAAGCCTGAACGTATGCGGCTGCATATGCGACCAGTAAGCAATAAGGTGAAGGGCCTGGGCAACGGAAACATACCAGCGGCAGCAGCTAGAAATTATGATTCAGCGTATGAATGATGAAATCAAGATCACGAATATATAACCTACTTACCAGTCAGCGGCGCATAACTCGTCACAGCTGTTTCTGGAGGAAAAAACAAACGACATGTATTCCTGCATCACAACGTGAACTAGCCTGCAACGTACGGGATGCAAGCGCGCTGAGCACGGCGTTGTTGAGACGTGAAACCGATCCAGAGTTGAGGAGCGTATTGACTTGGCAAGTACGCCCAAGCGAGCTCTGGCATGTGCTCGCGTCGCTTGAAGTTTGCATGAAATACTCGCTGCCCGTTCCACCGGTGAGCGACTTAATAGGAAGCACCATGAGCGGATATTGGTATGAGTTGGCGGAAACCTACTGGGGTGGTCACTCTGTCACGACGAAGCGCAATGGTTACATTAATTCGCGGAGGAAGGGGTTGTCAACTTCAAAGCTTACCCCTTGAAGTAATTGCCTGCATGATGAAATGTACGGATCAGGCATAATTCGGCGCTCGTATACGAGACGAAACCTACCTTCCACTAATGCTATGGCACCAACTTCGGAATCAAGAGCATGTCCATCGAGCGTGTCGTAATAGTCTGTGATTAGGGCGTCAATACACGTAGAGCAATATGACGTAAGACTATGCATACTGTTGACGACATGGACATATTGCGTGTACCCGCTGGTACCACCTTCGCATTGGTTATCAACACAAGGAACAACGTTTGAAGCCGTGAAACGCACCTATGTGGGGACCACGTCCGCTCGTGTAGTAGATATGGTTCTGGAAGAGAACTCAGCCCGATCTCTGAGATGAGTACATACCACGGCTTGTCAAACGAACCTGGTTGAATGTGATCGTGTCCGACGTTCCTACGCCATTCCTGTCAGGAACCCGTCAACCGGATATACGACGGACTCAAGCTCACCGGTAAACAACGCGAGCCAGTAGTGGTATCCTACAGACACGCTGTTTTTAGCCACCAAGACATACGAGCTTCACCGTAGGAAAATCCATACCGTCGCACAAAGCGGAATACGTCGCACGCCCGTCGAAGACGTTGTTACTGATCGTGACGTCTTTTGCCGGGTCGTATCCGGTGACAACCATCTGCCGACCGACGTTTTGTATGTAATTGTGGTCAATCCCTGCAGGTCGATTAAAGGGAGATGCCGGTCCAGCTTCGCAGAAACTTACAGACGTGGGTGGATCCAATAATCGAGATAGCGTCTCCTCCCCAAACAAATTGTGCACTGCGTACAACACATGAGTGCGCATTCCGAACAACGATCTCATACTGCTCACTTGATGTCGGAAATGCGGAGGTTCTGTATGATGACGTTGTCCGCGTTCTTGATCAACAGACCTATTCCCTTGCTAACAGCAAGGCTGAGAGGAACTTCATGAAGTGCGTTGAAGACAGGACGTACATTCCTCCAGCGGACCCCTTGCCTAGAAGGGTCTTCTTGCTCCCGACAGCGAGGGAGTATGTCTGCGATGAGCCGCTGACGTACCACGTGGCCGTGCCCGTCGCAGCACTCGGCTCGTAGTTCTCGCACCAGTCATTCTCGTCGATGGCTACCTGCGGGTTGGGGGAGCAAGTCCAGGGTTTGCAGATCTTGCCGCTTGCCGTGCCGTCTACGCATACAACGGTGAAAAGCGTCCAAATCCCAGCGCGTGACCTCTTACAGTAATCCGTGAAGTCAAACACCTTGTCGAGTACGATGACTCGCTGTGTGCTGTCAGACAGCCACGATATCAGCTGAGCGTTGGATGTCGGGGTCGCCGGCGAGGCAGATCCGCCTCCTACGGTTGCAGAACCAAAGCCGAGCGCAGTGCCGACAGCCAAGGCGCCGGTCACAGAAGAGCATAAAATTGCAAGGCGGATCCAGGTCGCTCGAGCCATGATGCAAGCTTGAGATGCTCCGGAAAGTCAGCCAGACGCAAATTTTCGACTGCAGCGCACGTTGTGCTTTTATGGGCGGAGGATTGCACATTTGCCTCCGATCCTGATCACTAGAGTGTAGTTAGCGGGCCGTCTGGCGCCGCTACCGGGAGAAGTTATCTTCCTTGATCGCTTCACTGTCAGGCGAACAACTTGTAGAATAGCATCCGCCGATGACATGCAGCGTCTGACGACCACCACATAAAGATGGAAGTCCATGAGAGGGTCAAAGGTCACTGCGGGGGCCGCCGTGCGTATTAACGCATTCTGAATTATCTCTCCCGATCAGTAGAAGTTCGAGCGAGAGTGGCAATCTATGAGTTGGAGGTGTATCTCGGAAGATTGTTCGACCCGGTCATCAGCCCTCCACCCATGGTTAACAAGCTGGTAAGCCGGCCTGCCAATGGCACCGTCTGTCGCAAAGAGCTTCCGAAATTGCATACTATAGCCCAATCAACGTCCCAGCGAAGGTCCGAATATCATGGGATTGACCCAGTTGGTTCTATCCTTCCCGAGTTTATTCCTCGTCAGGTGATCCGCAAGGAGAGTCGCGCGTGCCCAGTGCTAGCGAGGATGAAGCCGAGATCAACCATCGCAGAGCAACAGTATGCAAGAACTCTGGTAGACGGACAAAAGCTAGCGCTGGTGCAAACGCAATGATCATGACCGTCGGCGAGTCGAGAACCGCCAGCAGACGCATCGCCACTACACGTGGACATGCCCGCTATGACGCTTTTTCGTTCCGCCAGTATGAACCACGACCACTACTCGCGCAGAGGTATTCTTGCTTGTTCGCTGACAACGATATGCAGTCCGATTCGGACAGTCCCCCAGTAGTTACGCCGGATCAGGAACAGGAGTTGTATCTCTCGCCTTCAGAGACGGAACCGCAGCCAGGGTTGCAGACGCCTGTACGATGTGAGCACATTACGGCGTTCTCGGAACGTAGCTCTGAATAGACTGAAACGACCGTCATCAACAGGGTACGATGTAAGCAGCTTCGGATGCCCAACGGCGTATTGAACGCTCCACTCACCGCGCGCTCCTAGGCTGACCGCCGTGAACCGTACACTCGCATAACACCGTTTCAAGAGAAACACGACACGAGCGTCGAGTGCGTCTTCTGTGTGCCCTCGCGATTAGCTGTCTCTTACATTCTTCAGGTTTTTCTACAAGCCTATCACTTTGACCGTTCTAGGCTTTGGCCTCGCCGCGCTCGCATATGTCGCCATGACCGAAGATGTCTTGGCTGAAGGCCGCGATAAGCGTCGTGTGTGCGTCTATGATAGGATCCAGACTTGTTTATGGACTCATCAGATGCTCAGTGGAGCATATGCCGCAGGTGCTTCCTTTCTACTTTTCTCCATGGTCCAGTTCCGCGACGGTCCCTTCATCCGACCGCACCCCGCATTCTGGCGCATGGTTCTCGGCATCAACGTCCTATACGAGCTTGCGCTAGTGTTTCTTTTATTTCAAGACCTCGATTCGGCGCGACACATGATGACATACATAGATCCATCCCTTGGGAAACCTCTGCCCGAAAAATCATACGGAGAGGACTGCGCGTTTACCTGGACCAACATTTGGGTACGTCCCGCTGCATTCGATCATGACAGAAGCCTCATCGCAATATGTTGCAGAATGCCATCGACATATTCTGTCTGGCGCATTCTCTGGGATGGTTCGGGAAAGCGATGATTCTACGGGATTACTGGTTTTGCTGGGTTTGTGGGCGCACCTTGTGTCTTGGTATGAGTACTGACCCTTTTTGTTCAGATCCTAAGTATAGCCTTCGAGTTTGCCGAGTACAGTTTGCAGCATCAGCTCCCAAATTTCAATGAGGTATTGTTCTTCAGCCGAAGTTCCAGTCACCTTTCGGGTTTGACGATGCATGTAACTATTCGCAGTGTTGGTGGGACCACGTAAGTTTATCGCGGAGCCGTGTTGCATGTGCTCACGAAGTCGCAGTGGATCCTGGACGTCCTGATATGCAACTGGTTCGGTACATGGTTGGGCATGAAAACATGTCAGTTTTTCGAGGTCAAGGTAACACGACGTTCGCAGCGTTGAATATGTGGCGTTTATGTGGCGCCCATATTGAACCTCTGTCTGACAGTATCCTCGCAGCACTATGAATGGCGGGGCCTTCGAGAGACACGCGGTTTCCGCGCGAAGTCTAGGCGCATCATCAAACAGTTCTCCCCTCATGATTGGACTGCCTTCAAATGGGAAGGGACCCACGATTTCCTGCACTATGCGACGGTCGTCATGTTGTTGGGCGTTTTTCTGGCAGCGGAACTCAATCCGTTCTATCTCAAGGTGTGTCAGCGATGATCTGAGTACGGCATCTCATCGACTGACACCTTCGGAAGACGCTGCTTTGGATGGAGCCGGACCACCCGATGGTCATCGGCCGCCTTGCCGGTATATTTCTTGCCGCTTTGCCGGCCACCCGAGAATTATACCAGTATATCAATAACCCTCGGTAGGTCACACTCAACTTCCGTCATGCTTCTTGGCGGGATGATATATCGTGCATCTGTCGCGATTTCATAGGAAAGCGGTGAGAATGGGGCAGCACGTGTGGATGCTGCTCGCGATGGTCATCACCGAGCTGCTTGTTATTATCAAGTGGAGTCAGGGTCAGTTCCCTGAGCCGTTCCCGACCGAGGTAAAATGGGCGTGGGCGGTCGGCGTTTTCCTTCTTAGCTTATATCCGACCCTACGCGTAAGTTTGTGGCCCATGTCTCTATACTCCTCGATACTGATGAAGGCCGGGCCCGATCAACTAGTTCGGCGTTCCGAGTGCACGCCGGTACCTGCGTAGACACGGAAAGCAAGTCAAGACCGCAGCGGAGAAATCGAAGTAGGACCGCAGTTTCCCGTCGACAGCATCGAGCCCCGGCCGTAATTACGCACGTCACGTCTCAGTAGATACAGTTGCACGATCTCGCGTAGGATCTCCCCGCCGCATCTCCCTGCTGTGCCTCAGAGGGCAGGGCTGAGGAACGCTCCGTTGCAAAGGTACGTTAGCGTGTGCTGCTTTGTGCAGGTTCCCCGACATCGGGGCAGCGGGCAGGCGCAGCAAGGAGTCCAATCCAACGACGGCAACGTACGCCCATGGTGCGAGTATGAGTCCGAGGGCGGGTAATTCGAAACACTGTTGAGTTATATTTTCTCGCCATGCCCCCGGTGCGAAGGCCGCATGACCATCACGGCCGCGTTCGTTTCCCCATGACCAAAAAGTCAGAGATTATGGCTTGTTGTGGTAGGCTGATCTCTGTTTGCTATACAGGACGAACGATTACACTGTCATAGTGGACGTCGCTCACTACTAAGCGCTGGATGACGGCGCGGGTCTTTACGTCGGTTTGAATTGAACTTCAGCATACTCCGACGTCACACAAGGAAATGATCAGCTCATATGACCGTATTCGGTCAATGATCAACGTGGAGATGAAAGGTATAAAAAGCCGTCGCATCAGAGGGGTCAAGACAGGCTCAGTCATAACTCTGCAGAACGAAACTCACGCGCGATGGGCTGCATTCGGCCGCTATTGAGATAAACGAGGTCTCATCGCATCGCCGAGCTTCGATCAGCGCGTAGGAAAGTATCCAGCTCTCATAAGAGGCAGGCGCGTATACCCTGGAATAGCTCCTACTGCAACCTCCAATGAGAAATACGTCCGTAATCTCTGCGAAGACAGGGTGCAACGAACCCAAAAGCCAGGCCACCGCTCGACCAGCGCAACGCATGTTGATCTGAATATGTTGCGGCAAGAGCGTGTATGTGCCCATACCGAATAATCCATGCGACAATGTCCCGAGGTCAGTGGCGCGGCAGAGTTGCTTCTGCCGTGTATCTCATGCCAGTAGGCCAAGACATTGCACCGCTCCAGCGCAATGGCGTTCAGAACGCGAACCCCCTCTCGACACATGCTGCGCGAAGAGAGCAATTCAAGTACGCAGTTCGGTGTTCGAAAGAACTGCAGAGATATGTCAGAATGTCAGTTGTCGGAACTGCCCTTCCTTCTACCAGGACTGTACACCATCGAAAGTTCAGTACTTTCAGTTCCACTTACGCTTCAAGCTGGACTTACAGTAGTATAACTTTGTTGTACAGCCTGGAGCATTCCGCGGATTTGTTGCCTTGTCTACCTATTGAAACATGTATAGCGCTTGGAGGAATGATGCATCAGGTGCTCAGAGCCTTTTCCTTGCCGGTAACATGCGCTCTCGCGCTCGTAGGTCACTGTGGTGTCAGCGTTGCATCATGAGGCCATCATCGTTTGAATTCCACACACCAGTCTCCTTGAACCGTCGTGGACCCTATCGCGAAGGCGATGTCAGTTGTTCTGAACGCGGTTACGACCCGTCCGAAGGCCCTCCCACGCGGTGTCGTCCGTATACCTGCGGAACAGCAGTGATGCTGATAACGTTGCTTTGATGAGAATGTACCTAGCGTCTCGGTACCTTGCCCGATCCTGGCAGTCAATCGCAAACCTCAGACAATGGTCAAGGGCGGGTCGTGACATCAAGGTGATGAAGACTCACTATTTTGTTCCCAGAACCAAGCCAGGGGAAGATTCGTGACATTTCACAGGAGCTTGAGCGTTCATGATCCATTGATGCTCGTTCATCCGACCCCTGACCTTTCACAACAACGCCGATCTGGACGCTCGTCTTGCGCGCAAGGTCTGAGCGCGACACCGAACGTCAAGCATGGGCTATACCTAGCGTCCACTACGAGATTGACGAAACATGAGTGCAGATCTGCGGATGCCATCATTGTCTTACGCCTCTTTCCGCATCTATCGGGCGACTATTCGTGTCCATTGCCATTCCTAGGAGCCTTGCATTCAGTATATGGCATATCAGCCCCATCGTGGAATGGTAATAATCGAAACAACGTGGAGTTGCTGCTTCTCCCGTTACTTGCCTTTGTTCCTTTGGGGAAACTATTTTCTCAGATCCTCTTCATGAACGAGAGCGTATGTGTTCGGCCCCAGAGCCTGTCGCTCTCGTAATCGGCCATGGCCAAGTGCCGACTGAAATGAGCGCTTCAAGGTTGTCTAATCCGAGCCATTCGCGAACCTTGTACGGGTCAGGGACGACGTTGGCCAGATCCCTTCCCAAGGCAGTCAAGGCTATATAAAGAGGACATGTGAATCGGGAATGCGTGACCTATCGTACAGAGATGATCAGGATGTACTGACGACACACTTCTGTGCCTCGCGCTTTGCACCTATACGGTGACTTGTGGCATTTGATCATGAGAACCTGGGCCGTAAGGCATGCTCGGAGGAAGAAACATCTTATCGCGAAGGCCCGGCCCGCCTTCGCTTCACCGTTGAGCATCCTCCGGTCTTCTCTTCAGACGACCGGACCATGATTGCCGTAAGCGTGGCCTCAGGCAATTTTGACGGACATACATGCACTGTCTAGACGGCATGCATGAGGACTTCCCGGCCCGGTATGGCAAGCAGACTCCAAGAGATGCAGTATACGACGGCCGACACGGTAAGCTCTGCGCGGATAAGTGACACGCACCCCCCAGCACCACCGTTCGGCGAGATGCGACTGGCACCATGCCGAGACTTGACTTCATCCTCAGCGACGTGCCCGATTCTCCGAGGAACGTCCAGTAGACTGTCGACAGATGTTCTCGGCATGGCACTGGGGGGCCCAGAGGAGAGGGGCGCGCATCGTCACTCTTTCAGACTCCGCGCATGGGAGAAGATCCATTAAACTTTCGCCGCCAACAGCTGGGAGCTTGTTTGCCGAAACGCGACCACATGCTGTTCGTAGGGTTTCGTTGAGAGAGAGAGAGGAAGAAACCAAGTGGTATGCCCCGTATATAGATCGGCAAGGGGACAGGAATCCAAGCCGGTGCGCGCCCTGCAGTCGGAAGCGCTCTGGACCGTTTCCGGCCGAATATGAGAACATCGGGGAGCGTTGGCGCTGGCCCGTACGAATGTGGCGAATCAGAAGGCGGGTAAGGTTGCCTGCCCGCCTCTTCCCATGAACGTTTTCGCGAGAAGCACCTGGCTCGTTCGACGACAGCGTGAGTGCGCCAGGCTCCGGACCGCGAAATGGATAGCAGACCGGTCACGGCGGCTGATCCAGAGCCTAAGCGAGGAAGCGGGGCTCAGGGTCATCGCGTCATTGTCGGAGCTGAGCCCGAAGGGGGAGGGAGAGCAGAAAAAATGGAGGAATGGGGGGGGGGACGGGGTGCGAGCTTCTGGGCGAGCGCGCGCTCGGA